GGGTACATCGCAGAGAGCTCACTTGACTACAGATTGTCTTACTTGTTTTTCATATGAGTCACTTGCTACACTTGCAAAATTCGAAACGACACTCTTCTCTCTGCGCCAAGCGCCACAAATTAAATGTAACTAAATTGTGAGATTAAATGCTGATCAAGTTATTCTGTTACTTCATTCAGCTCGAGACTTCCTCTTTCCTCGCCCTCTTCCCTCCTCTCAGCCTGTACATTAGTCTTATTCTTTGTTCCTAATTTGCATTTCAAGTTGCATGTTTGTTGCATGTGGCAGGCGTCAGCCCCAGAAGTCTTTGACGTTGTTTCCATTGCCACCGATTCAGTTAACGTGGACCTTCCCCCTCTGTCCCCTTTCACTGCCTCCACTCTCTTTCTGTTGCAATTTAATCGCATTGCTCATTCTGGTGCTGATTTAATTGTCTGTCGCCAATTGCAACGCGACGCGAGAATAACTCCATCAATCAGTTTACCAACATCTTGGCTCACACCAAATTTAGCACATGCAACAACTGGTTGTATGTGGCAAACAGATAGCTCTGATAGCTTCCTTGAACCTTTTCTATTCCATTATGGAGTTTTTCACTCGACTCTTACAACTGGTTTACAATTTTTGCTGCTTTGCAGCCTTGCAACACTATTACGCGTCCTGCCACACGACGCTCTATTGAGCGCCTGCTGCTTCTGTGCAACATTTTTGTGGCATGCCACGCCTTTTGCTCTGTTTAAATGGGCGTCACAAATATTGACATGGTTCGAAGCGTGTCAATTGCGGTGGTTGTTGTTGCAACGAAAGTAGGTTGCATTTGAGTATTGCCAGTGTGTGGAATGCAGTATGTGGCATGGGCTTAAGCCACTTTCATTGATCGTATTATGAGCCCGAAAAACCAACAACCGAAATTAAAAGCAAAAATCACTTTTATGGCTTCTTCTTTTTATTGTGTTTCTGTTATGTTCTGAATGTATATTTTTTTGGATGTGTAACGCCTAGCCAATAAAATACCCTTGTCATATATATGTACAGCGTGGGTCAAAAGAATGGTAGCGCTTAAGAAAATGAATGTACAAAAATTATAGTTAGAATATAGTTACAAATTGTGACAAAAGCAATCAATACTATAGAAAAATAAACAATGAAAAATTGAAGAGTTTTTAAATTATTAATAAATAAAATTAAAGTCTTTAAATTTACCATAAGTGATGCGGTCAAAATAATAGTAATGAAATATTAGTGAAGCTTTCTTTCACTGGGCCTAAATAATATTTGTGGTTTTATCATATTACGTCTAATCTTTACTTTCATTACCCAGCTTCACAGTCTCCCAAAACTTAAAATTATGCGGTGGATTGTATATTATAAATTGCTTATTTTTATACGTATAACTGTACGTTTTTATTTAAAAAATTCACGATGAGAGACACACCATTTGTTGTTTTGTAGAATGGAATTTTTCTAAAATCTTTTTAAAACTTTTTAAGAGGTGTCGATAATCAGCAGCGCAATATTTGCAAAGCAACATTTTCTCACCATAAAATGAGACATATTTTTTGAAATGCTTACAAATAAGCTCATTTGTGCCTATTATATTTTATTATTTTATCAGTAAACTCTTAATAAACATGCTCAATTTAAAATATTTCAACCAAAAACAGAAGGCAAACAAAAGGAAAAGGTAAAATACAAATTAAGGATGTGGGGGATATATCGAAGAGTAAAATAACCCAGGGTATCGAATGATTATGAAACTGAAAGTAGATATGAAAATATTGAATAAGCACTACTATTATTATTTTGTCCACAACTGTGTTTATATATGATATGAATATATGTGCTTATTGCCTTGAAGAAATAACAATGAACATGATGTATCTCAGTGTTGGCCTCTGTTCTGCTCAAGGCCAAAGCGTGCATATTAATAATGCATACCTGTCGTATGCACGATGCGAGATGGATGTATGGATAGACAGTCAATCATACGCGGCACATCCTGCATATTAATATCGGAAAAATAACTAATTATGCCCAAAACACAACTGCACATTAATAATTACTGCATTTATAAACTGGGTAATGGAATGAAGGCAGAGAAATAAAAAAATTAAAATAAACAACATATAAATATTGGCAAATGTGGCAGCCTGTGGACACTCTTATGAATATTATTTACATATTTTAGAACATAATCAAAAAAAAAAAAAAAAAAAAAAAAAAAAAAAAAAAAAACACAATCTAAATATGAATATTATTTACATATTTTCACAACATGACTCAAAAGCAGAAAGAGAAATAATATAATAAAAATAAAAAACACAAAGGAAAAGAAAAAGAAAAACAAGTTAGGATAATTTGATTATGCTCATAAAATCTGCTCGACCACAAGACACTGTGTACATAAGTCTATGGTACATAAGTAATGGAATGAAGGCAGAGAAATAAAAAAATTAAAATAAACAACATATAAATATTGGCAAATGTGGCAGCCTGTGGACACTCTTATGAATATTATTTACATATTTTCAGAACATGACTCAAAAGCAGAAAGAGAAATAATATAATAAAAATAAAAAACACAAAGGAAAATATAAATGAATGAATATTATTTATATATTTTCACAACATGACTCAAAAGCAGAAAGAGAAATAATATAATAAAAATAAAAAACACAAAGGAAAAGAAAAAGAAAAACAAGTTAGGATAATTTGATTATGCTCATAAAATCTGCTCGACCACAAGACACTGTGTACATAAGTCTATTCACAGCTGCTATTTCTAAATATTCCATTTAAGTATTTCACATACATATCCCACCTTTGTCTGCCATTCGACTTTAATATACCCCATTTCAGCTATTGTGGAAAGTATTACGAGCAAGAACAACTTGCCACATTTGGCCATGACTGCAAGTTCAATAATTGAAATGTTGCGGGTGTGTTTTTAAACGGCAACAAGAACAACAAACTGCCACGACTATTATTTTGAAAGCAGTTGTATCTGAAGCAACGACGTGGTTAAAAATTCGAGCAGAGACTGCAGTCGAAATGCTTTGGCAGGTTAATGGAATAATCTCATAAATTATCTTAAACTACCTGCAACTATACTTATCCTACCTAGAACTTTGTCTGGGTTGTGATTTCCTGCTTCAAATGCGTCTAGACTCTAGACTCCATATCCTACTATTATAATAGGCGATAATAGGCCTCTTCAACTGTCAGATTAAACATCCTGCCTTATGTTGAAAGGCTGTACTTTTTAGGATATTCTGGCATGGTTTTGATTTTGTATATTTTATATACATTTTAAATTTAAGTTTATAATGCAGAAAGAATAAGAATCGTCTCTACCTTTTATAGTCTCTGACAAGTCTAGATTGACATGCTTGTTGCTACTGCTTAAGAATACATATAATTAATGGGATCTTAGCTGCTTCCTTCTGTTTATTGCATGCTCTTTCACAACTGGTTCAATCAGACATATCAACATATCAATCTGTCCATCACTCAAAAATTGACACAACGCCCACACGAGCGGAAACAGTTGGACAAGAACTCAATTAAATTAGAATCAAACTCAATTATCTCTGTTGTGATACGAGGAATAATGTCATTAGATGTGACCTTCCTGCTGCCCTGTGCATCGTTTTTAACAGTTTATAAAAGCACTTAACCAACACACCACACACACCCGCACACACACACTAATGCAAAATTTCAGCTGACAAAGTTTACATTTGACCTTTGGCATATTTGCCACACAGTTGACAGTTGTCAGGCCATGCAACTAACTTAAATATGCATATGTTGATTTGAGTTGATCTGATATACAAGGCAAAGTTGATGCCAATTAACAAATTATACGTACTACTTATTTGGGCAACAACAGCAGCTCACACATACGTATCAAACGCGGATATATAGACAGACAGATTATGGTGTGCACCCATTAAATGTGCGTAGTTAGGATTCCTGCAACTGCAACATTTACCGTTGGCCTCAAAAACCAGATAATGTCTGTTCGTCTCGGACTCTTAGTGGTGGTCTTTAATGAGTTTTGCTACACTCGGAGTTTTTCTTATCAGATACAGGGTATATTTTTCTAAAATGTAGAAAGAAGATATGTCTGAATTCCAGGTTGCTGTTTTTTATATACTCTAACTTAGTTTTACTTACTTTATAGATATATTTTATACTTTCGTATATAGAAGAAAAATACGTATAATTTCCAAGTTGTTTTTAAATGTTAGGTAAAATTAAGTTTTCAAGGTCGACTTTTTTGCTGAGTGTACTGCTTGCTGTTATGCAGAGGCACACGCTATGGCATAGATATGTGTGTACTTCTGATGGCGGTCAAGTTCTAGTGTGATGATGGGGCACAAAACACACACACACACACACATATGTTGACTCATTGGCAAAGTTAGGTAGTCACAAAAAAGGCACATTAAATACTTTGCATAGAGTAATCTCAGCTGAACGAAGACAGCCAGTCAGTAAACTAGTTCAATCTAAATTCCCATTTAGCTGGCCAGGTTTCACTGTATATTCACCAACAGCTGAGCATCATCTGTCTGTATTGTGTCTATCTATGCATTCTTCTCTTTCCCTCTCTTCTCTCTTCTCTCATTTCTCTTCGTGTCTCTTTTAAGCTGTTACCGCTGCACGTTTTTCGTTTTGTTTTGATTTTGCTTGTTCTACCCACACACACAGTCTCGAACGCCAAAAGCAAACACACTCACACACACGCATTTACACACACTCAGTAGCTCACATAGATACTCTCAGAGTTTTATAATAAAACGGCAGCCGCTTGTTGTTCGATTTTTGTTTTTGTTTTAATTCTTTTGCTTCGTCGCGAGCCCAAAAGATAAAGAATGAAAATGAAAAAAAAGAAAAAAAATCGTGTTGTGTACAAACCAACGGCAACTGAATTGTGAACAACACAAATGCCTGACGCCGTTGCCAGTTCTAGTATCTAGAGATACATTCAGTCGCAAAAGCGTTTAGCGCCGAGTCGGACGACGACAAACTGAAAACTGTTGCTTGGGAAAATTACAGCAGCAAAAAAAATTTGGGCAAGAAAAAAATCGCAAGGCAGACAAACAGCGAGTGCAAAGCGCTTTTCTATTTTCGCCTCAAGTGCAAAACAAAAAAAATAACGCCTGAAATCCAACAGAGCAATAATAAGAAAGAACTTGACGCGTGTGGCGAATAAAATAATAATTTTGTAGTTCGTTGTGTATGCTTGCAACAAAATATGTTGGCCATCAAGGAGTGCCTCATTCGGGAAGGTGTGCTTCAGCTGGATGTGCCTCAGCAGCAGCAGCAGCGACACTTTCAACTGCAGTCGAGCAGAAGCAGCAATAATATGGATATGCCACGCTATCGCAGTTAGTAATATATACCACATTTATTTACTGTTGCGATAAAAATAGTAACGCCACTCTCACGTATTAATATTAATATATATTTTTTTGATTTCCAAGTTTAAGGGCCTTATAAATTTTATTCACCGTTTGTAACGTATTTAAATTTTATGAAAATTAAAATTTAAATTTAAATAGTACATTTTATGATAAATTAACGAAACAAGTTATAGCAGCATTTTTTAAAATGTGAAATTTAAATTTGCAATTAAGAAAATTATAAATAAATAAACTATTTCTACAAAGAATTCGTAAGTGGTGCGAATACTAAAATATATATTAAAAATCAAAATTTGAAAAAATTGCAATTGTAATAGTTTGCTTTTTGCATTCGTAAGAATAAATGTCGTAGTGGTGCTATTATTTTGTCGCAACAGTATATATATATAGGTATAGTTAGCTATTAGTTTGTTTCGCTTAGATATGAATTCTAATCTACCAAACGCCATTTGTTAATGTAAATGACACAAGTTGAACAGCAAAATTGGTTTTATATACCTCATAATCATGTTATTAGTCTGCGTAATCATCATGAATCATGTGTTTAATATTTATTAGTGTAGGGTATCTGGCAGTCGTATTTATATTATCTATATACTACACATTTGTGCATAGACCATATCACTTGTTATTTATAGATTCTGGCGTCGTCGTCCAGCTATCGCAGCAACATTTTCCTATATATAGAGTTACTTTTTGATGTGTTATTGTTTAATAACTGTTAATGATTTGTCTAGCTTTTGTTTAGCCCCCAAACAAATTGTTATTTTGTATTTGTTGCCACCAAATGCTTTGAGCCACTCTCTACCAAAAAGTTCATTGTTTCTCTTAGCATTTCGATAAAATAAAAAGGTTCAAAAGCAACGAGCTGAATTTGTGTCATTTGTCTGCTGATGTTTTTGTTGTGGCTTGTGAGTTGTTGTTGTTGATTGTTGTAATACTGTCAGCTTTTATTTTGAAGTGATTGTTTTTTGATATCACATGTTTTTTTTCCTTTTTGTTTAAGTCTTGATGTACGACCGCTTTTAGGTTTTGTTGGAACAATGTTCCAATCAGAGACCATTTGCAAATTGCTATTTACGATTCTATTTTAACAGAAGATGGCTTGAAGCGCACCAATTCAAGATTTGAGCGGAAGATGAGATTTAAATGTTAGTGGTAAACGCTTAGGTAACTTTTCATAGCTAGCAACAGTTGAAAAATCAATTAATTATCATTCAGCCAACAGTTGAAAAAGTAATGAATATTTTCTAAAAAAAAAAAAATTTCCCTCAAATACGGCAACTGTTGCTGGGATTAAGCCTTCATTTGCAGAGCCACGCCCACACTTAGACTGAGCCTCTATATATATATATATATTTATATATATATATTTATTTATATATATTTATTTATATATATATATTTATTTATATATATGCCACTTTATATAAGTGCCACAAAATTTAAAAGATAGCCCACGCCCCAAGAAGATATCGATGTGGCTGTGAATGTGAATGTGGCCCACTCTTTAAGTTGTTTGGTGATTAAATTTGTGCATTGCATTGGCAGGCGGCATAAAAAACTAGAATGTTATTTTTAGAGTCAGGCAGCATATAGGAAAAATGAGGAGAACGAGAGGGCCAGAAGGAGCAGAGAGGAGGCTGTTGGAGGCACAGTTTGTCTGCCACTTGACGCGCCGGCGATGTGGGCAGTTTGCCCTTGCGTTTAAAAATAAGACTGCAACTGTAAACAGCGAAGAGAAGAAAAGACGACAAGACGACGAGACGAGGCAATGTCGACAGCAACAACAACATCTGCAACGCCAACAACAGTAACAACAACAGCTGCAACTGCAAATATTCACTTTGCAGCTTTTGGTTTTGATACCCCGAACCCATTGAAAATGGGTTAATAGGGTGTGATGGTTTGTTACTTAAGTATATAACAGGCAGCAGGAAGCAACAGCGACCCCATAAAGTATATATATTCCTGATCAGGAGTAACAGCCGCGTCAATATAGCCATGTCCGTCTATATGAAGATTATAAGAACTATAGACTTCAAATTTGGTATAAAGGTTCCAGATCCGTAAAAATAAAAAAGTTGTTATCGAAAAGTATTCTCTCGTTCTCCAATAAATCTAGAATATATTTAACAGCTGGTTGCAGGGTATATCGTAGTAGAACTCACTCGACTACAGCTTGTCTTACTTCAGACAGTTGAATCAATACAACGTTTTGCTTGGTGCCACAAAATTTACGCCTTGACAATTTGATATGAGTGCGCGAGGCAGCCGCCACTCAGACATGTAGCAAGCAGCTTAGGCGGGTTGCCACAAAGCTGCAGTTGCTGCAACAACTTCAGCTGCTGTGTCTCCTCACTTTCCATATTAATTATGCAACGCAAAGGAAAACAAAGCCATGTAAAACGAAGCGAAGCAAGGCAATCGATCAATCAGCTTGCCACACACCAGCAGCAGCAGTGGCAGCAATCAGCGGCAGCAGCAACAGCAGCAGCATTTGGTAATAAGCAGTTGAAGCCACAAAAATGTTGCACAGTCAATTGTTGCTGTTGTTTTAGTTACGCGAAATCAACTCGCAGTTTTTTTTTTCCTTGCTGCCAACAATTAGTTTAGTCGACTTTTCCGCCCAAATCAAACCGATCGTTAACATGCAACAAAATACAAACTGTTTGTTTATTATAAAGCCAAACGGTAAGCTGCCAAGATATGCGGCACATGCATTCTGCTGGCTTCGTTTATTTATTTATTTTTGATCCTATATGTATTTCAATTCTTTGTCTTATTCTGTTGGATTTTTGGCAAGCAATTTAGCATTGGAGAATTCCGCGCTGTTCTCTAAAAATTTTGCAATTGCGTAAATGCATTAGCAAAATATTATACATTTTTTGAGGTTTAAATACAGCAATACCCTGTAACCAAAAGTCAGCTCAAACTCTGTCCATAAATGGACATAATACCTGCTCAGATTGTAATTTAATTTAAACTGAGAGAGAAGTCTAAATGTGGGCGAGTATTTGTCAATCTCAATCCGCTAATTTCAGTCAAGGCTTGTCAAGGGCTTTTCTGGTTTGTCTTCATCCACAACTCCAACAGCACACATCCCACACATTCCACTTCCCATTCCCCTTCCCAATTTCATTCCCATTTCAAATAAGCAGACAAAGCCGGAAACCCAATTAAATGACTAAAACACTAAACGGCAGTTGCCAAGCGGCCTTCAATTCATTAATTTTGTCGTCTTGTGCTTACTTGGAGGCATGGCCCTTATAGTCTTATTTCGAGTTTTTCGTTTGGGTTCTAATGAGTTCGCGACATAAATATCTTTTTACCCATTGAAAATGGCAAAAGAAAGGGTATTATGAAGAAAGGAAGAAGTAAACAATGCCGAACCCATAAGATATATATACATATTTATATATTGCAGTTTTGATTTTAAATGCAGTATTTTTCGAGTGATCAAACCATGACTAGAAAGCCGTGGTTGACCAAAATCTGGTATTTGGGAGCAATCAATTTTTTCATACAACACGTAAATTTAAAAGCTGGGTAGAGGGTATCTTCCAGTCCAGCTGTCTCGCGCCTGTAGCATATTCCAACTATTTTTGAGTTAACTATGAAAAGAGCACAAAGAATTTGAATTATATGGGAAACAGTTGTTTAGAACAAGTGCTGACTGAGCACTAGCTGTTAATGAATTGCAACTGTCCTCATGAATCAAATGATGAATGAGATAAATAAAATGTATAGAATACACTTTAAAAGTGTATATTTCGCTTTAGTTTGCTCACTGCAAAGATATCTAAATTAAATAGCTTGTAAGGAAGCAAAGCAAAAGCTAAAGGTATTCACCTGATAATTTTCACTCCACCCAAATTTCACTCCACCTAATAAGCGCATGTTGTGTACCTAATTATAATGAATGAACTACTCTGAAAATGGCTTAACTAATCACCTTTGACGCGGCGAGTCACGAAAAAAGAACTCAAGTCCAAGAGGAAAAACAAAATTATCGCAAAGATTCAATTCAACAGAATGTTGCAGTTAGCTGGGCTCGTGCTAATGTCTCGGTGTATATGTGTGTAGTTGTGTGTAGGTGTGTGGGATGGCTAGTGGGGGCTGACTATAAAAAGCGGTCAACCCTCAGCTCACCTTGACACGATTGTTGGGGACGTCCACGATATTTAGAAGAGAGTGCCCAGGTGCAATTTAATTGCTGCCAAGATTTCTAAAGGGAATCAAAATATAAGAGAATATACAGCTGTGATCAAAATAATGGTAGTGCACACGTGTTTTGGATAATGTTAAAAAATACCTGCCAAATACTTCAAATATAATGAAAATTTGATTTAAATTAAATCAAGCAATTACTGAAGATAAGTAAATATTTATTAGTTGGCATAGCTATACAATTTATTAAGAACAAAAATTAAGGTGGCTAAATTTAATAATTTATATGTTCATTTTTATTAAGTTATTATTTAAATTTATCATTATAATAGAAGTGAAATAATAGTTTTCTCAGCTTCTAAATACTTCTAAAATCTTGACATGATGGATGGGTTTATTTTACTACACAACAAACCTATAGCATTTGTAAAATGCATTTATCTAAATTAAGATTTCATTACGTTTACTTTTGAGTTGCTCTTCTACACACAACAACTAACAACAGTTTCTTATTCTCTCCTAGAAACTATTGCGGCCTCAAGTGACTTATCTACAGCATCCGCCACTGCCAAAACTAGCTGCCAGCAACAACAAGAATTATCAGACGAATCTGCATCCGCTCGAGTCTCGTCTCGTGGACAACATCAGCACTTTCTTCACCATACAACGCCCGCTTATTATACGGATCTCCAGTTGCGCATCCATACGCCGAATGCATCCGATGTGGGTGCATTGAATGAGAATTATCAGAGTGTTTATAGCACGCCCAGCACACAGCTGGTGGAGCAGCGTTGCTTTCCCAAGAGCAACAAGAAGGTCTTGCCTGCCCCAACAACAACCAATCAGCGTGCTTCATTTTTTCGACTTGGCGACGCTGCATCCACAGAGAACCCCAACAGCACAAGACGCGCACCACGCAGCAGCAGCAGCAGCAACAACAAGGAACGCTGCGCCAAATCCTTGCCGCCCACAGTGAGCCCTACAAAAGGTGAAGAACCACCAACCCATAACAATCCTATCGCCAGTCGCACTAGTAGTTGTAGTAGATCACCTGTAGTCCCAGCTAGCTGTCCACTAGTTGTTCAACCAGCAGCAGCAGCAAATCTTGCCAGTCGGCATAAGCAGCGCTTCCAGCAGCGCTCTAAGCGGGCAGTTCGCGTGCGAAGCGAATCGCGTCCGATCAGCGCACTCTACGACATAATATGCAAGGAGAAGGGCCTCGACGTAGGCGATTCCAGCACCACAACGACGAGCAGAAGCAGAAGCAGCAGCAGCAAGAGCCACAGCAGGAGCAGGAGCCACAGCAGAAGCAACGAGGAGGAGCAATCAACGCAATCGAAGTTGGGCAAAAGCAACACGCTGGCGACCTTTTGGCCCTTGCATCATCAATACCACCATCACCACCAACAACAGCACCACAACCAGTACCACAGAGCTACAATGAGCGGCACTAATCAGCAGCAACAGGCGGCGGCGTCGACAGATCAGCAGCTGATCACCAAACAGAAACGCATCCGTCTCCAACCCGATGACCGTTCCAGTGAGGATGAGAATGATGATGATGATGCCAATGAATATAGCTATGCGCTGCACTCTAGTCAAAAGGTAACCAATGTCAGTTTGGGCAAGGCCAAATCAATGCCGCCCACAGACTCAATCTCGAGCTACCTCAATCAGCCTCAGACCCAGCTGCAGACCCAGTTGGCAGCGATGCCAACAACAGTGCCACCACCAATGACACGCCCACGTGCTGCCAAGAGTTTGGAGCCATGCTCAGCCTCGCAGCTGGTCTCGAGTTACCACGAAGGACATCCGATTAGTACGGAGGGTCCGTTTGTGGATCCACCAAAGTTGTGCCTAACGGAACTCAATCGACGCATCAACAGCGACAGCAACAAAAAGCACGAAGAATTGAAATCAGCAAACATGTATGAGCAGGGCGAAGTACTTGAAACGCTCGCACGCTGGCAACAGGAGCTGTGCTCCACCAACTCCGGCAGTGAAAAGTCCTCAGCTCATCAGCTTCTAAACGGTGCTAATGGTCATCATCATCATCTTCATTATCGCGATCATGAGCATGAACATGAACTCTCTCCCGATCATCTGCATCCAGTGACAGTAGAAGGTCATTATCAGACACAGCCTCAGTCTCAGCCTCAATCCAATCATTATCTTCATCATCAGCATCACCAGGCGACAAATGCACGCAGGTAAGTGGCTGCTACCAAAAATCCTGTACCACTCTTCACTCTGTATAAATGTGTCTGCATCTGTATCTATAACTGAATTAGCCATATGAAATTACACATTTGCCAATTATCAGACTGAAGGATTGTCATTTCTCACGAAATGGCAAGTGCTTACGTAAAAATAACAAAATAAATTCAAACTTCAGCATTCGTCACTGTGTCTTGCCAAAAAACTTATAAATTAGAGCCAGAGCTTAAACTCTCCCTTTATAAGCGCACAGCTCACAACTTGGAGTCATCCTAATCCTTAGCCGCTGAAATAAATTGTATTCAATTGTGTGTTTACAGCTCTCTCAGAAATCTTCACTCAGCGATTGTTACATAAGCCTAAGCCGGGCCCCCAAAACAAATCGTCATAGACAACAATAACAACAACAACTTGGGGCATCTTTTGGAGTCTTGTTAACAAACCAAATCTGTGTATTGTTCAGCTTGCTTTATGTGCTCTGTTATGTTGTCCATTGTTTTGTTTTGTTGGATGTTGCGAGAAACATCTTCGGTGCGATTCGATGTTTCCATCAATTATAATAAGATAAATCAAATCGAATGGCATATTGACGCTGTCACTGAACCCGACTCCCAAAAAATGCCCCCAAACCCTAACCCCAAGCCCGAAACGTGGCTTTAGAAAGCACCTGTTGTACACCCAAGTCAAACTGAAAACCGGGCGACAAGTTTTCCATAGGCTGTCCGTCGGCTTTCGCTACAAAAATGCCTCATAAAAACAGACAACAGAAAACAACAACCAAATATACATATATATATATATAAAATTCAAAATAAAGAAAAGAAAAATAAAAAAAAATAGTAGAAAATTGTCAAAATTAAAAACGAACGTAGAATTTGTGCAGAAGAGCCACGAAAAATTTGAATGCGTTCAATTAAGTTTGAAATTTATTGAGCCCGTTTCGTTGACAACGACAGGCTGAAGCTGGGCCTGGTCACCTGGTGGCCACCTCATTGAAAGTCACCTGCTGTGCTTCAGGCCTCGGCTCTAACCAACTACCACTCTATTAATTCAGTGGCCAAGTCGAGCCTGCTGTCTGCTCTTCTGTTGTCTGGCCCAGCTATTGCGTTGCGTCGTCGCCTGGTCTGGTCTGGCAATTTTCTTCTAGTCCTGATTTCGCTTTCTGGCACTGCGCAGCTGTGCAGCCGAAAAAAAAAACTGGACAACCGGTTGGCTGTCTCTAGGCATCACTTTTCCTTTTTTCTTTTCTTTTTTCTCCCCAAAAAGCTTTCCTTGAGGCAATCAACAAGTTGGAAAGTTCTTTTTCTGGCTGTACAAAATTGTTTACAAATATTGGAAATTTCCGATTGACAGCTGTTTAAGAAGAAGGCCAAAAGTCGTTAATAATTATGATGATGATGTCTCGCATTGCCTTGAATGATGCTTAGAGGCATGTAGATGTTGTTTGTTATTCAGCAGCGGACAATGGGATCAAGGGCATGAGATAAACATCTCCTACAACAATTCAATTAAAAGGAAGACAAAGTGAATTACATTTGTATCGAATTACTGGTTATTCTGTCTCATTTAATTACTTTGAAATGCATCCTAGGAATTCATTTTGTAAAACTTGTGAGCTGAATTCCACAAAGTTTCTATTGAAGGGTACATTGCTGTCACCTTTAATTATCTTCGGTCTTTATGATCAACTCATTGGATCATTGAGGCGTCGCGACGTTTAAACATCAACTTACTGACTGACCGACCAACTGACTGACTGACTGACTGAATGAGTGAACAGCTGCAGATGTGTGATGAGGAAGTAAAATTCAGACCAGTCTCAGAGTGAACATATCGTTTACATGACAGACGATTGTCGATATTGAGTTACTGTTTTTGTTTTTGCCCTTCTTTTTTTTGTTGTTTTTTTTGTTACCTGCGCATGCGCAGCAACTACAAAAATAACACTCAACAAACATGACAACACTAACTAAACTTGTTGCGCTTTGTTCTTACTGAGTTGAAAGCAGAGAGAGAGAACAGCAAACAGACAAGAGCAGCAAGCAGCAAACCGAATTGTCTTTAATTTTGTTAAAGATTTTACTACCTGGCAAACAGGCAAGCAGGCAAACACAAAATGTGCGAATTTTGCACTCTTTGAGCGTTTTTTTTGTTGAGTTAATTTTGTAGCTGTTTGCCGTCTGCAAATGTGTGTATGTGTGTGTGTTTGAGTGTTTGCGTGTGTATCTGCAAGATACAAGCGGCAAAACCCCAAACAGCCAAAAAAAAATCTCTTGTTATTAGCTTCGCTTGCTGGTTATTGTTGTTGGTGTTTCCAATAGCTGTTGTTGTCGGGTCGGCCGCTCGATCTCGAGCTTGGGTTAGCAGAGTTACTTTCGGGCTGCCCGTCGGCAGTTGTTAAGCGTGTTTGAAGGCGTCGACTAGCAGAGCCCGCATATCTCTATCGGAAACAAACCGAAAACTCGAGCCCGAAAACTATTTTTCATTTCACCTTGCAATTTCCGATCAGATACATTTTGCGCGTGTGTGCTTAAAAAAGCTTCAACTATTTAAACACCATGTAAATCAATCTAAAGCAAACAATTTAATTGTGACATTTATTCGAATATCTTACACATCTTTTGCCGCAGATTCATAAGTCGCACCCCACGCTCGAGTAGCCGTCAGAGCGCTGGCCACTCATCGCCACCGCCACCGCCAGCTACCGGCTATCACAGCGACTCATCCAACAGTTCGACATCATCTCCCACACGTGCTGGATGCAACAAGCAGGAAGTTGCCACAGCTACGGATATTGCCAGTGGCAGTAGCATCGCTGCCGATCCACAATCATCGGCGAACGGCAATAGTTCCGCTTATGAGACGGCTGCCACCACGGTGATGACACATGCCACACCAGCCGAGCAGTTGCAGCCACCACTTGTTAAAGTTCCTAAGAGCACATCATCCGTTATCCCACGGCCTGCATCCGGGAATAGAGGTAAGTTCTGGACAACTTAGCCAGTTGTTATTTGGCTTTGCTTTGTGTCTCTATGTTTGAGTCTGAGTCTGTTTTGTGTTTGTATTTATATTTGTCTATGCATCGCTTGCTTTGTCTATCCAGTATGTGAGTGTTCTTTGGTTTTGTCTGCTATACTTTTTACAACTTTTTAAAAATATTTGTACTGCTTAATTCATTGTCATATTACCCGTTGTCCGTATACTATTCAGGTGTAATCTTTAGCTATTTTATTCCTTGACAATTTAGCTGGAAGTAGCTGGGTTTTCTTTCTTAAAAATATAAGCCACATTTTTTAAAGGTATCTTATATCCTAATAGAATAGTCTTTAGCAATTTTAATCCTTGAGAAGTCACCTGGAGCCAGCTGGTATCTCTTTCGGTGCTATCTTTAACTTTCTTTTCTTTCGTTTATGATTCAAATGTAGCCCTTAGCCAGTTTATTCCTTGATAATTTTGATGCAGCTGAGATATCTTACGTAGCCCTTTCTCCAAGCCTAAGCCATACTTTGTTTGAAGTTTTCATAATACACTGTCATATCTTTACTTTTACCCGCATAAGATTCAGCCCCCTTTAATTCTTTCACAAATAAGCTGTAAGCATCTGGGATCTCTTTCTTTTGCCATCCTTAGCTCCTGCTCTATCTCGCTTCAATTTTATTTCCACACACACTATTTTGCTTGAACTTTGCATGCTGATTCGTCTTTACACTTATTCATTAGCTCTTTCAACGCAAGCTTTCCCACCAAAAAAAAAAACGATAAGCACCATAATTAGCTTAAGACCCCGTAATTCCCCCATAGTTCCCCCGTTCGTCGGCCCTGAAGGGAAGCTGTCAACTTATCTCTCTGCAAATTCGTTGAACTCTCAAAGAGTCGCTGCAAAATCACTTGAAAATCTTACCACGTTTCTTTTATGGGCACTTATAAGTAATTTGAACCAAATTAGATCTTTGTACAGCTTGCCAATCAAGCCGAAAAAATGTTTGCCACACAACTTTTCGCAAAGAGACCTTCAATTTTTATTATCTAGTCTCTATACACCTGCGCATAGTTTGAATGCGACATTTTCAATCTGACTTAATGTCCGCAAGTTATATAAAATAATTGTGCAAAACTTCAAAACAATTTAAAATATTATGATTAAAGCAATTTTGCACAAGAGCCGTCCAAGATTTCTGTTTGCTAGTTTGAATTGATTTGCTTACCAGCGAAACATTTCATACACAAGTTGAATTATACATATATTTAATTTTTTTGGTGCAAGTCACATGCTGCCTTTGAAAAAAAGGTGAGGGGGTTTCCTCTCAATAATGAATACACATCTACTTCACAAAAACCCGAATTCACGCAACTTAAGCAAATGAAAGACGTCATAAAATTGCTAATAGTTATAAAAAAAAAAACAACAAAAAAAAAACAAACAAAGATATACGACAAGCTGTGCCCAATTTAATTTATTTATCAATTCGAACCAGCGGCGTTTCAATTCATTCAAAGTTTTGCCTTCATCTACTACTTGTTATTTAACAATTCATTAAAGAGTTTCATAAAACATTTTGACAAGCGCCGCGTTTTTGAGAAAGTGTCCCAAACTTGACTGATTGCCACATTTGCATAGTAGATTTGCAGCGTATCGATAGACAGCTCTCATACCATATCTATCAATATGATGTATATTTATGACATGACACATCGACGAAAGTTCTACAAAAAAAAATCAAGAAATTATAAACGTCAAACTAATGAAGATCGTTTAATCTGATGTATCGATTTCAATTTAAATTGGCGTATAAATTGATCATACCTATGTTTGGTTTATCTATCTATCAATATTTACAACAAGATTTCGCAACTTGCTTTAGTATAATCTTTTTTTTTTGTTTTGTGGCTTGTTCATCTCAACTTTATTGTTTGTGCGATATTAATTTCATTTCGTTCTTGCCGCTATTTTTGCCAGATGGTGTTTGTGGCATGGGTTTTTTCTGCTTTTTTCGGGAATCATGTCTAGGGCAATGTTCGAGCCAAAAAGTTTACTGATCTTTGACTGACGAAGAAGTGGCAATGCACGACGCGGCAATCTGTTCGTCATCTTTATGCTCTTTATCTCAGATGATGATTCGCTTTGCGTAAGTTTTGCCAGAATTTAGAAGATTACTCAAGTCAAATGGGAGGTCAGACAAAAAGTGACCAGAGCATAAACATATGTGCTAAACCGAATGCCCGCAGAGGAAGAAGCTCATCATGTGTTGGCCCTGTTATTTATTACGGCCAAGTCACAACCTCTGCTTCCCGAGAAAACAATACACTCAGCAAAATATTGAACTAAATTTTTAAAATTCGGTTTTCTATATTTTCTGGAAATGTATTTCTTAATAATATAAAATTACAACAAGAAAAACTTTATAGATTACAGGTCCATTTTTTTTTTCTGAGCTTAGTAAATTACACATATAGTTCAGCTAAAAACAAATCTAGCAACAGATGAAGACTTACTTAATATTTGTCACCAGACCGCATCAATCAATCAATCAAACGCAGCCGTTGATACCTTTAACAGCATGTTGTGCACACACATACAGACATTCTCACACTCACGCCACACACACGCAATGCCTATAACAAGCCGGTTATCAAATGCTTTAATGTTCTCTAAACAAAACTTACGCATATACCCCAAATAAAAAAAAAAACATGTCAACTCTGAACAGTTTCCATTGGAAGCGCCAACAAGCGCAGCATTCATTTCACTTGCAACAACAACAACCACAACAACAGCAGCAACAATAACAATAACAACAACAGCAGCAGCAACATCAACAGCAGCAGTCGCTTTAGTCGCAACAACAACAACACCCACGACACGCCCATGCCGCCCCTTGCCACTGCAGCACCCAGCAGCAACAAAGCGCCATTAATTGTGCACAAGGCGGCAACAACAGCTGTTACAGGCACAGTTGTTTCAGTTGTGGCGACTCCGTCGTCGTCGCCTTCAGGGCGCCGCAAAAATTTGGTGTCGTCACTGCGACTTTGTGGTAACAACAGCAACAGCACCAGCAACAACAGCAGCTATCATACGCAGTCACCGCAGGGCAGTCCACTCTTGAGCAGCTCCTCATCCTCGCCCCAATCCTCGCCAGCGGTGCGCACAACCAAAGCCAGTCGATTGCGTGCCGCAGCGCTTGGTGAGTCAGCCATAAGTCACTTCATACTCCATGCTCCTTCATGCAACTCCATTCAACTCATTACTTGCCTCTCCCATTACTCGTCTTGCTTTCCATTTAATGTGTGTAACCCTCTTTGTTGTAGTAGTTGTTACTGTGTTAACCTATCACTAAAAATCTCCAACTAACTGCCTTTTCATGCTGTCTTCCGAATTCCATTGCAACACACAACACACACACTCTTGCAACCTCAACGCAGACCGCAAAAAGGAGGAAGATCATCATCAGCAGCAGCAGCAACAACAGCAACGTCAGCGTTACAGTTCTCCTAGCTCCCTTAGATTGAGCTCCACGCCGCCTGGCAGACGACTCAGCAGCTCGGAACTGTCGCCCAAGTGCAGCAACAGCAACAATAGCAGCCACAACAACAGCGGCTTCCATTCGGAGCCCAGCTCCAGTGGCAATCGTCTGCCAGCGGTAAGATCCGTCTCACAGCCAGCCTCGGACCCCGGCGAGAGGCGTCCTCTGATTGCCACCGTCAACAACGTGTCCATGAAGCAGAATCTGAGCGAACTGCACTTCACGGGCGGCACTCTCAGCAGTAGTCCGCCCAAGGTGGAGTGCACGCTGCGGATGCGACCCAGAAGCTCCACTCTGTGCACCGAGGCGGACAACGAGATAGAGAAGGGATGTGGTGTGGCGTCCAAGCCACGTAACAATCTGACAAACCTGCAGCTGAGTCCAGTGCAAAAGCACAAGCGAACTGTGAGTACCTGTACCTGTATATGTATATAAACTACAGCTCAAAATAATAGTAAAAGTATACATTGGATAATGTTAAAAAAATAGTTAAAATAGTTAAAAATTATGAAAATTTCATTTGACAATAATACTGGAACAACAATAATTACTGGAATTAAGTAAACATTGTAAAAATGTCATAGCTTCATTATTAAAAAAAATAAACTCTTTAAATTGTTAGAAAATGAGCCGGTTAATTGTAGTGGAATAGTATCTGAAACTTTCTTATTTTTCCCTAAGACTAAATAATATTTCTAAAAACTAGATTATGATGTGTGGGTGTATTATTTGAAATAACTGCGCATGGCGGTGGTGCAAGGAACCATTTATTGTTTTGCATAATGGAATTTTTCTCCATAATGTAATTTGTTTTTTTGTTGGCCACGCCCTATTTTATCATAATAAAAAGAGCCACATTTTAATGGAGTGCTTTTAAATAAGCAGATAAGTTACTATTGTACTATTTTGATCAATTTAGGTAAAATACAAAAAAGGGCTGTGAGGAGATATATCGAAGAGTAAAATAATTCAAGATATTGAAGGGATCATGAAACTAGGTATGAAAATATTGAGTAATTTGCATATTATGAAAGAACAACGACTGTTATTTTGACCGCAACTATAGATTTTCTCTACTCAATCACTTATAAATAATTTATTTTTTGTTTTCAGCCGGAAGCCTCACCCTTGCCACGTCGCGTCGCCGATCGCGATAAGTCCGCCAAACGTAAATCGAATCTGAATCGCTCACACAACGAGGAAGCCACCAAGGATAGCGGTAAGTGGACCACAACTAGCAACGAGCAACTGGCAACTGACAGCCGGAGAGCAACATACAACAATGAGGAGCGCCCAACCAATTTTGGGCATTGGCATCTGTCAAGCTTGGCTGCTCAAGCAACTGTAAAATTTTGAGCAGCATCGATGCACAGTTAGTTTCGCTTCTGGTCGCCATCAATCATGTGGCACACTCGTATACGGATTCAACACTTGCAACTGCATCAGTTTGTGTTGCACGACACCATCATCCTCTACAAGCGCATCCCAACTAGCTGTATTCAATATGTTAAACTGCAGACTGTACTCCCATTGTCATGCATGTCCCCGTCCAATTCTGTTCTTGTCTTCCGCCTGTCTGATCTCTTAATCTAATCCTTGTCCCACTTCTCATTTGCAGATGAGGTTGCTGCGTCGACGCGAAGACGACGACGTCGCGAGTTGGGCATGGCACGTCCCCTGATGCCCACTGATGGCGATGATGAATCGCTGCGAGAGCTACTCCAGTCACCGGGTCACAAGAGCTCCTGCAGCGAATCCACCTCTAAGTCAGAGTCGTTGCGTCAGGCACGCGGCATTAGCCAGAAGCTCAATGAGCTGACAAAAACAGAGCTGGCCGAGATCAAGAAGATCGCCGAACAGGTGCAGGTGACAGCTGCAGCAGCAACAGTAAGCGAGAAGTTGACAATGTCGCCAATATTGCGACGCAAGAGTACGGATGAGCTGGCTACCACTTCCACTTCCACTTCCGCTTCCGTTCCACCGGCAGTCCTATCCACTGCTTCCACACAGAACTCACCGCCTGCACCCAATCAGATAGTGTCCATACTGAAGAAGAAGGAGCACGCGTTTGGCGAGTGCAATTCAAGTGCCTCCAGCAATGCCTCACCGGTGACTTTCTCCGCCACGGTGCTGGACACTCCACTGCCCAACAGTCGCAGCAAACGTCAGGGCATACTGAAGAAGCGTTCCAGCCTGGATGAGAGTCGCTACTATTCTCGCTCCCATTCGCCGGATGAGCGCAGTATTCTAATCAAGTCGGCGCGTCGCAATTCACTGGAGGAATCGGGCAGCGCACTCAGTGCTGGCCAGCAGGCACACGGCATCCTCAAGCAGAGCAGCTATGATAGTGGCAAGAGCGATGGATGCCCCTCGGCCAATGAGTGCCAGCCGCATAGCATACTTAAGAAGAAGGATTCGCTGTCGACACCATCAGATGGCGGGGCACACAAACATGTTTCCATCTCGCAGGCCGTTACTTTGGCCGCTGCTGAGCTGGCTGCTCACGATGGCAACGCAGGCTCACTCGAGGATGGCGAAGAGCACGAGATACGACCCATCCTGAAGCAGGAAAGCACCTCCAGCGAGGAGACAGCGCGTCCGCCCAAACCCATACTGAAGAAGAAGTCGTTTGGCGAGGCGGACGAGCACGAGATTCGGCCTATTCTCAAGAGCAGTCGTAAGGGCAGCCGCGAGGAGTTCGATCTGAGTGAATTGAGTCAAGAGGGCAATAATGATGCAGTTCCCACTGCTGAGGCAAGCAGCATGCGTCCCATCCTCAAAACCGATTCACCCTCGAAGCGACGTTCCCTTGGCTCCATGGCCCAGCCACCCGATGAGAGGCAGGGTAACAGTTCGGCCAGTCTGCTCAAGCGACGCACACGCTCCCTGGAGCGACAGGATGTGGCGCCTGTCATTGATCTGGCTGCCGCCCTGGATGCCATTAGCAACTCCCAGTCGGCGGCACCTGTCGACGTTCAGTCGACGCCCTTAAATATGTCGGTCGCGGAACGCATCAAACAAATGGAAATTTTGGCAGCAACTCCAACGCAATCATCGCATGCCTCAGCTAGTGGTGGCATCAACAGCAGTTGGGAATCGCCGCTGCAGCAGACGCCACAATCACCGCATCCCAGTGTTGCCCCCAAGCTGCTCAAGCCCAGCGTGCTGCGTCGGGATCTTTACAGAGATCGCTACAAGACACAGCCTGTGACTAGTGAGGAGAAGAACTTGTAAGTAAACTTTATGAAACTTTGACTCTATGTCTCTCTCTCTCTTTCTCTGTCACTCTTTCTTCACTCTCTCTCCCTATCTCTCTGTCACTCTCTCTCTCTCTCTCTCTCTGCCTTCAACTGTTATTGCTAATAAAGAGTATTGACTATTAATGGCCAAGCTTTCAATTTAGCCTTTTTTGATAATCGATTATTCTTATGTTCGATTTCAATTGCGACACATTCGATTGGCCTGTCATAAATTGTATTTTACTTTTCGTGTGTTTTGTGTTTTTTATATTAGTCATTTTTAGCTGCTGCCTTCAGTTTTTGTTGTCACATTAAGCAGCTTATTGCTTATTGCCTAATTACCTAACCACTGACCATTGAGGCTAAGACAGTGCCTGCAAAAAGAATGTTGTCTCTCAGAGGGTTGACTAGGTTTATTCACTGTTATTTTTAAGGTCCCAGTTACCGTTTCACTGTGTATCTTAATGTCTCAGATACAGTTTCGATATATTCTACCTAGCCCACCTCTTTGCCTCAACTTGCTTGTTACCATTGGTTCATCAGTGCCTGATTAACTTGACCTTGGCACTATTATGATTGCTGTCGGTAATTAGTCACAACATGCCCATGTATTGTTGCCATGCCCTTTTTTATTTTGCTTTCGTTCAGTTCTACGAATTTTGGCACGGTCGGAAGCCCAGTTTTCCAGTTAAGTGTGTAGTGTACTCGTCGTAACTATTTTAGACTACACTATACTAGTGTGCAACCAGCACCTTGTAGCACCTTCGAGTGAATGGCAGCAACATTTGTTAACGGGGTTTTGATGTCAGCATTTTATGTGTGCTTTCGGCTTTCAATTCTTCGTTGCCACACCCCTCGGCCAACTCAAATTCTGAAAGAACAAAGAGAAAAGGTAACAAAAGCTGGAATTTTTTTCGTTCCTATACCCATCAAAACAAAAAACCAGATGGAGGGCATAATGATGTGTTAAGGCAACAGATATCTGTTGTAAGCTATGTTTATTTGTAAACATCCAAAGTCGAGCCGTCATTCTGAGTAAATACTTGTCAATTAAAAATTATGTTCTATTTGACAAGTTGTTGTTTCATGCTTGTCATAAACTATATGAAGAAAGTCTTGTGACAAACGAAGAAATTTATATTTTTTCATTTCATTTGCAAACATATTTATTCCTTTTTTGTCTTATTGTCTCTTATTTTTATAAAATAATCAAGATTCATTAACTTAAACAGTTGTGAATATCTCTGTTGGCAGATTTGAAAAAACCTTCAATTTTCGATTGAATGCATATACAATATCATACCTTAGTTAGAAGGGGGAGGCACACCCTTACCATATTAGCTTTATGCTGGGGTAATTTGTCTTTTATAGGGTATTTAGTAACCGTAATCCCTTTGGTGCTGAAGCTTTTGCTGCCCGCAACATTTGCATGCCCCGTCGATGCATTGTCAATAGCCATTGTGTATTTTGCTGCCAACCCGACCCGAGCCGATTCGACTGGCATTGTGGCGCGAATTTTATGCTATCCATATTTGCGTGGTTCCTCCCAAAGGGGTATGGGGAGGGGAAAAGGGGAAGTGAGGGAGCTCTGAAGACCTTTGAGTTTTTGACTGGTGGTCGTGTCTCGTGCTGCCAATGTGGCACATTCAGTTGGGTGCTGCATTCGGACGCGTTCAGAGATAAAACACACAACGAGTGCATTAGTTCACTCAGCTTAGTTTTTATTTTTTTTTTTTGAGCAAGGGTTATTTCCATGTTGTTCCAGCGGCGACACAACGAGAGAATGTTTGAAGCGTATTTTCGAAAACGGTAAATGCAAATGAAAATTGATGGGAAAATGGAAATTGGATGAGGAAAATGGATGCCATGAAAAGTCGTTGACGCGTTAAGTGCATCATTGGGCGGGTTATACAAAGGTGTACCGATGGAGACGCCTTTTGATAGCCAATGCTTTGCTCAAATGGCCCAGATAACGATAACGATAACGATATGTGTGTTGTGTTGTCTGATAATCTGAACGATCAAGTGAGAATGCTAAGCGAGCTGCTTGAGGAATACGATTGTAAATTCCAAGATTAGATATCTGTTTGGGCTTTGATTAGATTTACATGTGTATTTGGATCTGAACACATTTGTTCAATAAACTTTAATTTGATTTAGTTTTACAACTTATATAGGATATATTCCTCTACAAATCGCAAGTAAATCTATTACATGTTAGCCTATTTTCCTATTTACAATTGTGGAAAATAAATGAGAAAACTTCTGTCGCTCTCTTTCATTGCTCTGCTCTCCTTCGTTGGCGCAAGAGAAATGCCGAGAAGCCAAATGAAAAGTTTACACCAACGACATTTTGAAACTGTGGAAAAACAGACAGAGTGAAAAATAGCGTACGAAAATAAATATGCGTTTGTATTGTGCATATAAATATATATATATATATATATATATATATATGTGTGTATACAGCGTATACATACCATGGGCAATAAAAAGAAAACAAAGTTGAAAATAATTTAAATTTTGCTCTGGCCGCAGCAGCAGAGCAGTCAACGTCGACTGCGACTGCGATCGTCGTCGCTTTGCCCGGTTTGTTTGTACAAATTTGCGCTCAGTTGCTCGCGATCGCCTTTTCAATTTTCACGTACGCAACGCTGAAAATTTCCGTTTTTCTTTTCGGGTAAATCGATGTGGAAAGCGAGTGTTGTTTGCTCTGCTCGGCTCTGCTGTCACCAAAGAGAGCAAATACAAAAAGTGTAATAAAAGCAAATCGAAACTAACCGCTGATAAAAAATACAGCATATCAAATCTATCGTTTCCCGTTCCTTATCAGCCGACACTATAAGAAATATAGGTAAAAATACTAAGTTTCGAAAAAACCAAAGACGACGTGTTGGTTCCCAGCACCGGTCTCGCCTCGTGTCAGTTGCTTTTTGCACCGGTTATCGGTCAGTAGCCAAAGAAATAGAGAGAGAGAGAGAGAGAGAGGGAAAAAAAGGGCCTGAAGGTGTTAGTTGTTACATGTCTACATATATCTACATATATCTACATATATACATGTATATATCTATATATACTCGTATATTTGACCAATGGAAAAGCTGTGGTACTTTGTCTGCCGCAAGCATTTCGTAACGCTTCTAAAAATAAATCCATGGAAATGTGCAGTCAAATGGAAATACACACACACAAATACTCAAGTGTCTCGTTAAAAACACAACAAAATTAAAAATAAAATACCAAAAAGTTTTGTAATATTCGCGAAGTAATGCAAAAATAACTGTGCGGCAATCAAAACGTATTTATTTGTGTAAAATATTCTCTGAAATATGTGATTCGTGTACTCTCCACAAAAATAATCACGCAACTATACATGCGTATATATGTTATATGTATATAAAGTATGTGCTTATGAATGTGTTCCACTTTTATCATACTTCTATTTTGGCCCTACTGATTGCGTTTAATCTCAATTTGTGGTTTCGCTATTTGAATATTTGCTCTCTCTGTAAATAGCAGAACTTAAGTTCTATCCTCACGCCGACATTTAAAATTCAATTAGCATCGCTTTTTTCTATCTCTATATATATATTTTAGTACATTTTTTATTTGTTTCTGTAGTTTGCAAATGCGTTTAATGTTTTGTTAAGTGGATAAACAGAAGACCGAAGATTAGAAATGTGAAGTGCTAAAATCAGCGGAAACTGAAAATGATAAAGTGTTTTTTATAGTTGAGCCCAGTTGAATCTGGTCAAAATATCTCTTTTGTATAAACAAAATTCTCAATCGAATATAAAAAAGTTGCCAACTCATTTGCTAAACCATTTGCAGCTAATCTGCGAAGTTGAAGTTGATTGGCCAACTTATCTCAACTTTTACCTGCTGGTTGTCAATCACAGCGTTCAAATTTCACTATTAAAAAAAATGTGCCTGTAATTAGCGTAGGGAAATAGTGTTTGCCTTTAATTATGATTGCCTCTAACTGCGTATTGTGGAGAGGGAGAGAAAGAGAGAGAAGGGGGAGAAGAGCTATAGAGAGAGAGAGAGCGAGAGAGAGAGAGAGAGAAACTTTCGTGGGCTTATATAAAATATATAATCTCTTTACACATTTAACCCGCCTGCAGCTTTAAAGCAAACTCCACGCCATTTGACATCTCGGCAACATCGGCTTTCAAGCCCACCATACCGCTGGACATTCGCATCGGTGCACAGCTTCAACAACAACACTCGCCACTTATCTCACCCATCACTGGACAACCAATGAGCCACGTGCCCGCTCCACTGCTGCTCTCCTCGTCAACCCATTCGGGCGCTGGGAGTTCGTTCCGTTTGGCACGCAGCTCCACACAGCCGCTGCAGTCGCCGCGAGTCGTCCATCTGGCAGGTCAAGCCAGTTACTCCACTACTACTACTCCGCGGTCGACCTCCTGCTCCCAGTCGCTGGCGGGACGCCAACACTCGTTCAGTGAGAGCAGCGACCAGCAGCAGCTTACACTCTCCGTGGGCAACGACTCCGAACACATCTTCGAGATGTCCGGCCTGGATAACGATTCGTCCATTCAATCACTGGGCGCGGATGCCTCTGCCTCCACAGCCACCACATCTACAGTAACCACCGCCCAGCCGAGTGGCATGCCCGTTGCACGCAGCAGCAGCGTTCGTGCGAGAGCCAACATGTTCCAGCAGCTGCAGGAACAGACGGTCACTCGTCGCGATGCGGTAGGCAGAGAGCAGTTGCCCCTCTCGCAGTCTCGCTCCTTCGCCAGCAGTCAAGGTGAGTAGTGTCCAAAGTTTTCTGCGAAGTTCCACTAAAATCAACATAGAAATTAGCATTCAGTTATTAAGTGAAAGATCGCTGCGTGGTGCGACGGCAAATGACGAACTCTGTTCAACAGCAAGGGACATCAGAGAGGCAGCGATGCGTATAGGCAAACAAGTGAGAACGTTACAATCGAGCGTAACCGACGGCGCAATACACTGTTATCTAGCTGATAACAGATTGCGGGGAACAGGTTTAGTTAGGTGGCCGATGCCGATCTTTGAAGAACATCGCTAACAATCTAACAGCCAAATTTGGTTACTGCAACTTTAAAATTGTCGAAGATTTGTGCTTTTATCGATTTTATCGATTTCCCAGCCTCTTAGTGGATGTAGCACACTAAATTTTAACTGCTTGACTCGGGCAGATAAATAAATAAGTTTTATGTGTCCAGTCTTAAAGCTGTCGAAAAAGGACAGACGAACATTGCACAAAACTCGATTATATTGGTATTACCTTTGGAATTAGAGTATAATACAAAACAAGATAGGCAGTTGTGCAAACTAGTTCCTACCAGCTGTTATTTTCTTGATGAACTAGTTAAAAAAAAGCCAGCTCTTTTTGACTTTTAACAAGTAACTTTTACTACTGCACAGCGAATGTGTTTCTAATCTATTATTGCGTTATCCCACATATACTTCCTTGAGATCAATCAGATAATCCGCGCTCAGGTAAACTAATTACTTGATCGGTAACTAAAAAGAGAGCAGCTCCAAGCTCGGATCCCAATGGGTCTATGGGTCTGTGGGTGTATGGGTCTCGGTCTGGTCATTACGCCACGTTAGTGAACTCAGCCCAATGGGCGACACTATTTTTTTCGCCTATTTTGCAAGGTTTTTATTGTAGTAAACCGTCGCTGTCGTGGTTTAAATTATAGGCCAGCAACATGGTTGTTGTCCAAGTTAATAAGCTGTAAAATGTGTGTCACTTTCCCAATACTCGCACACAAACAGACACACACCTTGATTGCATACTCTGCTCTGGCAGTCAGCCACAAATTGAGGTTCCCATATTTTTATTTATTTTTTTTTGTTTTGTTATTGTTGAGTAACATTAAGTATACAATGTTGACTCAGGCGGTGATTAGGTGTATTACTAGTCAAAAATAATGCTCAGAATAGTTGACTTTTCTCCTAGTAAAAAAAATAGCTATGCGACTTACGTTTGAATCATTTTTTTTATACAATCATTTGCGATACAAAAACCAAAAATCAGGTTTAAAAATGGAACCAGGGCCCAAAAAAATAAAAAAAAAAACGCAACCACGCAAAAAATTGGACAACGCGAATAAAAATAATAATACAGAAAAGAAGCAAAAATAAGTAAAATATACTAAGGCATATGTACGAGTATATCTAGTAATTTTCTCGGCATGCATTCGAATTTTTAAGTTTTCTAACAAAATAATTAACACTTTGTTATAGCTGTTACAGTTTTTTTTGTTGTTGTTGATGTTGCTGTTGTTGCCGCATGTACAACAAATAACAAGATATTTTTTACACATGTTTTACGTAATTTACAAGCCATTTGAGCATTTGATTTTGATTTTCATATGTTTTTTCTTCCATTCGGCTCATTTTCTTTGCCTTGATTTTAATTTTTCGTTGCATTCAGTATTCGATTGCTGTTAGTAAATTTAATTAACCGTTCATAATTGCAATACGAATTTCAAAAACAAGTTTCAATCATTTCTGGATGCCTTTAGGTTTCCTCTATATGTGAAGTTTACTGTGTTAGATTATATATATATATCCATATAATATATAACATGGTTTTTGTATTGTTACCTTTATCGATCAAATGGCTAAGAATAGGGTGTTGCCATCCATGTCTTCGTTGTTTTCTCATAAAAAAAATACACCGCGATTTTTGTTTTGCGCAACAGTGACAATGATAAGGTGATATTGTCCATTGGTACATTGAACTGTCAGATAATGTTGGTTGTATTGGGAGAAATAAGTGAGAGGAAATTTCCCTATATTTATATACATATCCTCCTCCAATTAAGCTTTCTTAAGTCATCTATCGACAATGTATACAAAAAGTAATACAAATGTCCAAGAGCATGCTAATAGTCTGAAAAATGTTCCAGGAAAGCTTCTATATTCAAATTGACCATATTACAATATTAAAAATATTACTAATTGAATAGTAGACCCTTTCTACGCACTCAATGATCTCAGCAATTAGTTGATTAGTTTATCTTCTTTCGGAGAGAGTCTTATTGGAGAGAGTGTTCACATTCGTATTTCGAGTTGCCCCCTCGAGAAAAAAGAAGAGGAAATCGAAAGCTGAGATGAAAATGAAAACGAAAACGAAAACGTACATCAGCATCGCATCAAATAAGAGAACAAAGAGCGACTCAACACGACAATAGACACACATACTTACATATAAATATATACATAAATACATATGTAGATATAATAACATCTAAATAATAGAAAAAAGCATACAAATGAAGTATAAAAGTTTGACTTGTGCCAAGCGCGTTGATAACTTTCTATCAGCATCTGGAGTGAGTGCCACAGAAGACTTGTGGTCAGAGTAGTGTGTGCAACAAGTATGAGTGAAATAGCAAACACGACAAATATTTATCTCTCGCGACAGCAATGTCAGCAACAAAAAACAGCTACACAAAATTGTAACTTCGATAAAAAGTCGGCGAGCAGTCGATGCGCAACTTTTGTCGAAGCAGCAACAAGCAACAAGCAGCAGCAAGAAGCACCGACAACAACAACAACAAGAGCAACATATGAAAAAGTGTTTAAGTGTCAAAAATAACCAAAGGATGCGTAAGTTGGCTAACAACAACCAACAACTTTTAGCAACTACAAACAAATAATAAACTCTTCCCTCTTTCCTAACCCTATCCACATCAACCAAAACCAGAGCCTTCGTCCTTGTCGCTGGCCGAACGCCTCGCTTTCTTCAGCAGCCTCTGCCAGAGTGCCTCCTGTGGCACCACCACGGGCAGCGCACGTGTAGCGGCTCGTAGCAGCATTGGTTTTGCACCGCGCAGTCCATCCTACGCCTCCATGGAACGCACACCCCGCAGCAGCATCGCTGGCAGCTGCAGTAGCACAAGCGTCACGCCCACACCCACGTCCATGGAGTACACGCCCAACATGCACGAGCTGCGACTACAAGCGGTGCAACAGCAGCTGGAACAACACCCTGAACAGAGGCAGCCAGTGCAGCAGCAACAGCCAAGCCAGCAGCAGCAACAACCTGAACAGCAGCAGCAAGAACAGCAACCACTACAGCAGCAGTCACAGCAACAGCAGCAGCAGCTGGAGAAGCAGCAACAGCCAGCCCAGCAACAGCCAGGACAACCGCAGCAGCAACAGCAAAATCCACAGCAACATCCACAGCACAATGGTTTCCACGAACTTAGCCGCTCGGCGACGGCACCCACAACGACAACAGGGACGACAACATCAACAGGAGGAACGGCCGAGTCCTTGCTAGATGCAAAGCCCACAGCACAACGACGTGTGAGACTGCGCACCGTGGGCAAACTGGTGCTTCCCGATACTTTTCTCAGTGATCGTAACAACAACAATAACAGCATCAACAACAGCAACAGCAGCAGCAACCACAGCAATAGCAATGGCTATCGGAATAGCTGCTTGGGGCGCATGCAAACCGTGGAGGATATACACATCTCGATGGGTGTGCGAACCATCGGCAAAATCAAGTCACCCTTCATCGAGCAGCAGCAGCAACAGCAGCAACAGATGCAGCAGCAACAGTTGATGCAGTGCACCCCAACCGGCAAATTTGAGTTTAAAACGACTTCACATTCGCTGATGAATGGTTCCAGTGACAGCGGCGATGATGTACATGGCTCCGATTCCGGCAAGGAGAACTGCGCCGCCAATCAGCAGCAACAGTCAGAGCCACCTTCTGCTCCGGAGTTACTGCGCAAGTTGACGCTCCTCACTCAGATTACGGTGCAGCAGAGGGCAACGCCACAGCCTGTTGTCAATCGTCGCCACACCACTGAGGTGGTTGGCACCACAACACCAACCACAAACGCATCCCCATCCACAGCAACCACTCGTGGTCCCTCAAATGTGGATGAGCGCATTGCCAAATATTTTGGGCCGACTGAGAACTTTAATTCGACGACGACGGTGCACAAGACCCGCTCCATGCCAACGACAACAACCAACAACAACCACAAGCCGCAGGAGGCGCTCAATGAACATGTGCGTCTGCCTGCCACAGCCGCAGCTGCAGCTGCCCCACATAGTAGCTGCAACAATACAAGTGGCAACTTTGGCCTGGGCATCAGCATTGTGCAACGGCGTCGTGAGCTGCTCAAGCGGACGCGTGCCATGTCGCTGGAGGTGTCGGCAACCGATGGTTGCATCAGTCCCACAGCCACGCCCAGTCCGAAGAGGGCCCACTCACCGGGGGCGTTACGGTTAAGGACGAAGCTGAGGTCGTCGAGCATTGCCAGTTTCGAGGATATTGTGATCACGCCGGATGAGTTGCATGCTGCTAGTCAGGAGTTCAAGCGACTCTGTGGCGAGATTTTGGGCACGTGAAAAATGCAAATGCAAAGTAAAATGGAAAATTGTAAATTTTTGGCAAACCTAATAAAATTTCACAAATTTTTCGATACCCTTTCAAAAAAAAATTAAAACCACAACAGAATGAAACAGAACGAAATTGTCATTTAGAAAAAATTGTTGTGCTCACTTTTTTTGGTTGAGAGAAGCTCTCTTTCTCTCTCGCTCCCGCCATCGTTTTCTTTCTCGCTCACTCTTTCACTCTTCCCCAAAGCAAAACGAATCGAATGAAGGATAATACAGATATAAATATAATAAAGGAAGATTCCCTAAAAACGAAACGAACCCTTGATAATTATGTTAAGAGTTCGACATTGCATCCCAATCGAAATATGTTCTAATCGATAAGGTGCAACACAGAAATATAATATTTTGAGCTAATTAGGATCAGTTGCGATATATATATATATATACCTACTAAATAATATTCCAATGGGAACCAGTTATTAATTTTGATTACAATTAAGAATTGAAATATTGTGCAACTATGTTGATGAGTGCTTATTATTCATGCCCTTTTTTTATTAATTATTTAAACTTGAACGAATTGTACCTTAAATGGCATCATAATTATTACTATTATTATTATTAAATTATGATTAATTATTAAATATACATATTATCTTAATATTAAGTTATGCAAATTGTTAAACACTAAATAAATCGACAAATTTAACAACTAATATATATATATATATATATATATATAATTCAATTACAGTTTAAACTTGAAACTAATAACTATTAACTCTGAGTAAGTAAACAAAACTCAGTTTTCTGCTCATTTTTAGTTAAGCATGCTTTCTCTTAACTTTTTCTTTAACTGCCTGTTACTTGAAGCATTGAAAATGATTTCCATTGAAAATGTCGCATAGAGTTTTAAACTCTTCTCGATTTATGGCAGGTAAATCCGGTGAGGCTCCCAGGGGCGTCACACTGAAGTGTGGCAAGCCTGGCATTGGTGGCATGGGTCGCGGCTTGATGCCCATCGATCTGAATGCGGAGCTCAAGAATCGCTTGCAGCGCTCCACACATGCGACTGTCTCCAATCTGCGCAAATCGGCAACTACGGCAACTGCCGTCACTCGCAACGACGCAACCGATGAAACCGACAACAAAAGCTCCACGCAACAAGCGCAGCGCAACCTGGCGCAAATTTTACGCAACGTTTCCAAAGAGAATACGACGCCAGCGTCGACAGCAGCAGCAGCAGCTGCTCAAGCGCAGCACGACGATGCCGTTAGTTTGATGCGCAATCTCTCCTCGCTGGGGGCGCCGCGTGCCAACACCGAGCAAAGCTCAGCCTCTACCGGCAACAATTGCGCCTCTGCCTCCGAGGGCGAAAGCTCTGGAGGACGCGAAATTGAGGCGATCATTAAGAACAGCGCAGTTGCGCGGCGACGTCGGCAGCAGCAGCAGCAACAACAGCAGCAGCAGCAGCCAGATGGGTGAGTCTACGTTCAAGCCAAAGCCAAAGCGAAAGCTCAAAGTTTCGAAAGCTCCTGCCTGTTCCGTGTGCTGTGCGCAATTTCATGCATTAACCGTTACTAACTGTCATTAACCGTTTGTGCGCGTGCATTTAACGGCAAGCCTGTACCATAAATAAACACAAACGCACACAGGCAGCAAAAGCAATGTGTGTGAGTGTGTGTGCTTTTCAAGACTGTGTAATTTACAAAAATAAAAAAAAATCATCAAATACTTTTTACACCTAAGCGAAAAACCAAAATCTAAGCAACATTTGCAATTATACAATAAAAATATCAAAACAAAAAACTATCTGCTTGACTTTGAGGTACCCTATAAATAATTTTCAACAGCAAAATTTATGTTTCACTTATACATTATTTTAAGTGTGTCAGTGTTAATAAATAAACAAAATTGGACCAAATGTTTTTCAATAGAAATTTTCATGCATTCCCATAAAAATGTATTACAAAATTGTTTACAAAAAATGCATAAAATACATAACATTTGGAACTACACAATAAAAAATACAAAAAAAAAAATTGATAATAATTCTATCTGCTGAACTTTGAGATACATTGTAGTTAATTTTCTGTTCGAAACTTATTTATGTTTCTCATACTTCCATTTTTTAAATATGTCTGTGGTAATAAATAAAAATAAAATAGAAGTTTTTTCCTTGTTTATTAAACCATTTCAATAAAAAATTTCCATGCAAACCCCCCCAAAAAAATAAAAAGAAATCGTCAACGTTTCCTAGTCAAAGTGAACCCAACTTCTAAATGCTATTATTGGCGTCCCGTGCAACAACAGCAACAACAACAGCAACTAAGACAGATACAACAACTGCAGCAACAACAACAAAAATCGTTGCCAAATATTGTTCAGTCATAAAAAAACTAACGAAATATTGAAAAAAATATATATACTTACTTTGTATAAACGCAGAAATAGAAACTTAATTGACTAGAAAATAAGTTCAATTCGCATTGCTTGCTAACTAATATTAAACAGATACATATGAAAATATATCGAAATATTTATTTTACGGACAACTTGTTTAAAATATATATATATATAAATATTTATATATATTTGCCACATATTTTTGCGTGACACACTGAAATGAAAGCAATCCAAAAGAAAAAATAAATAATAAAGTTGACGAAAATCCCATTTAACTGTAGTTTTGTTTAATCCTGCTTTTAATAATATTAACAGTTTAGTGCATGCATGTTCGCTAAATTTTAAATTATATTTCAATAAGCGCGCGTAAATTGATACAGCTGGTAGCGCCGTCAGTGTTATTAGAGACAAAATAACCTTGGTGGCAACTCTGGCGCTGTAATGTTAAGCATTTCAACGAATTGCTCCATATTGAACGAGTGTTAGCGAAAATACTACAGTTTAAGTATCATTGTGCAATGACAAGCTTAGGTTTGATTTAAAAATAAATGAATACATAAATACAGAAAATAAATACAATTTCCACGTTAATTAGGGATCTCTGAATATTATCTCAACATAAAATATTCGATCACTTTCAGCTGCGCTAATTCGCCGCGGCGAAAACTCGCTGAGCGACTGTTTTTTAACAGCAGATTTGCAGACTGTTAGCGTCACTGACCAGCAGATTATGTACGTGTTTACATTCGAGGGGAGCGAACGTCTCGCGGACGACGCTTGCATTTGTTGTATTTATTTGTTCAATTCGCGCGCATTTTGTGCCGGCCACAAAAAAGTTGCAATTGCAATTGAATTATGGAAAACTGCGAATAATATTACGCTGTGTATGTGTGTGTGTGTGTGTCTCCATTTTGTGATAGATATTTATCTAAAATAGCAACAGCAGCTGAAAAGTCAAAGCCAGCTGCGTTTTTTTGCCTTTGCTTTTTGCGTTTGCTTTGTGATCGGCTCTCAATTTAATTGCATTGAATGTTTGGCTCCAATTGAAAACGCAAGTGAAAAATACCAACAACAAAAAATGGCTAGCAAAAAACTCATCAGACGAGCTTACAAATTACAGCATAATTAACAAAAAAAAAGGTTTGTAGCAAAAGTTGTATTATTACTTGTTGATAGAGCGGGAGGGAGAAGAACAGCGAGTGGGTGTGGAAGAAGGAAGGGGAGAGAGAGAGCAGCTATAACTCGAAGCTGACCAGTTTTTTTTTGCACAGACTGTTTGTCGCCTCGCCTCCCTTTGTGCTCTTCTTCTTCCTCTTCTTTCTCCTCTTATTCTTTGTTACCTGTTGCAACAGACTGTACGAGCAACAACAACGAAAACTGACCGAAACTGTAAATCGCCTTCCATTGAAAAATGTTCTGATTCAGCAAAAGCAGCAGCGACGCAGACTTTGTTGTTTCAATATTCTTGCTTGTTTTACTTTTTTTGTTTTTTTTTTTTATTTACGTTTCTTTTAGTTTTTACTTTGTAGGTGTTTTTGTTATGTTTATACCCTGCACCCATAGAAAATGTGTAAAAAAGGGTATGATGATTTATACAACTGTGTGTAAAAGGCAGAATAATAATATATATAATATATTATTTATTACCTTGACCTTGACATATTAATAATCAAAAAATGAAAGTCTAAAACTAATTCTAATTTTTTGCAATGAAAATGGAATAATAGCTAGTTGCAGGGTATCTCGGTGCGAGCTGACGCGACTACAGCATTCTTACTTATTTAGCTTTTAATTTGTTGTAGTATTTCCTCTTTTTTTTAGTAGTTGTTGTCATTTCATTTTTGTGTTCTGACACCCTGTTATACTGATTAAACAGGATATTTTTAATAAACAGATCTCTGAGATCTGCCTAAAGTTAATTTGATTTGTTTACATTTATTATTGTGAATATTTGTGTCTGAATGGGCTCAAGGTCTGTCTCCCTCTCAGTTGAAACAAGGCCAGTATTTTGTATAGGTTTTCACGTGGCATTTGCCAACAATTATCAACTGAATGGGTATCATCAGTTTTGCATTGTGTTTTTGCCTAGCTTAAGACATTTATTAAAACACTCGCCAGTTTTACTCTTATCATTATTTGTGTTTGTATTTCGTAATACATTTTTTGTAGCTGGCATTCAAATCTCGATTCCCACAAACAAAAGTAAAACCAGAAACTAAAAACCAAAATAGACAACAGAAAAATCACATTTCGCTTTCAATGAATTAACATAATTTGTTGTTGCTGCGTAGATCAAATAATTTATGTTTGCCGAAAACGAGAAAAACTGAATTTTTGTGGTCATGCCGGCTGCGGCTTCTGTGATTTATGATGAGTTAGATAAGTTGTCTGCAAGCTGACTGAAATGATTTGAAACCGCATCGGTGGGCCATAAAAGACTCTTACCTTTTCATACTCGGGCAGCTCTTGATAATCGATAGCAGTTTCGAGTACCTCTCGATGAGCAAGTAAAGTGTAAATATTCGAATGCAACATGCATCATCCTGAACGTAGATAGTTAGACAGGCGACACGTTCACGTCTGCAGTTAGAACGTGAGCTCAGATGCTAATGAGCCAGGCCAACAAAAATATTCAATATCAAGTAAGAATAAGTGAGATCGACTACGATATACCCTGCAGGCAGCTGTTAAATATATTCAAGTTTTATTCTCATATTGAATGCTTGCGCCTGTTGATAATGAGATCATAATTAGAATGCGTTTTCGACTATAACTTGGGTGAATCCTATCCTATCCTATTATATATCAATAGAAGCGCCGGGTATACTAGAACTTCAATTTAATCATCTAGCTCTTATAGTCATGCGGACATAGTTATATCGTCTCGACTAGTACTGCTGACCAAAAATATATATCGTTGTGGGATTGGATATGCTTTCTTCTACCTTTTTCCCATTTTCAATGGGTACAGGGCATTTAAAATAGTAAAATGTTCTCCGGGTTAATCACCTAATACAAAAACACAGCACTGATTTTTATGCACGTCTGCATATACTACTGATATATGGGTATATCAATTTGAATATACCCTCACTGAAGTGTATAACAGAATGTGTCAACTGCAATTGTTCGACACTCCCAATTCTCAATTAAATTAAGCAGCTAGAGAAAAGCTATTTACATGAGCCAAGTTTGCAGCAACTATTATTAGCCAATTAAAGTGATTGGTATTTGTTAATCGTGTTAAGGTATTTGATCTTCGCTGTTGTCATATTATGCTTTGTTGTTGCTGCTCGACTGATTGCTGGCTTTGGTGACCTCTCTTGTCTCGTAATTGAATTGATCCCATAGCCCAGACCGACAGATCGATGAACAAAGACACAAGTCGGATATTTCTCTCCTCTAGACGATGATGAATTATTAACGCTTTTAGCTTGGAGTCTTGTGATCGTGGATCATGATCATGATCAATTCCATGAAGCACAGCCTGATGCATTAGCTTTAGTTTGCTGCACGCTCCGATTACACACAAGCCAACTGAGAAACGTGAAATTTTTTGATGGCAGCTAGCCATAAATAATGCGTTTTCCCGTCTCCCTCATCCCGAATGCAATTGTATGCACTGAAGCATCTGGTCAGCTATAAATAAATTTGGGTTGGGAAGTCTGTTGTCTGAAAATTGAAGTTGTTGTGCTTGCCTTAAAATTCAATTTCGAATTCCAATTCAAATGCAAATGCATTTCTGGCTTATCTTTGATTTTAATGGTTTCATCGTTATTATTATATGTGTCTAGCTCTTAAGTGGAAATAGGCAAAGTGTTTCATAGTGGAAAGTGTTCTTTATTTATTTAGAATATTACACAATCACAGACAGAGTACATTAACCCTTTTTTTTTCGTTGTTGACAATGTTTCTGGTCTGTTTAACTACTGCTTCTGATTATTGCAGCTGTTTTTGACACTTTTGTTTAACATTTTTATATGAAACTTCCCCATTTTGCTGAAAAATAATTATTAGCTGACTCGATGCCCAAAACTTATTTACAATGCTTTTTTATTTTTGAGTATCTGCCTTTGCGCGTAATTTTAAATATGATATAAGCAAATAAAACTGAGAGAAAAAACAAGTGCAGGAAATGTTATAGAAATATCAAGTCAGTTTATCAGCTGTGAGCATTCAAACACATTTTAATGAGAATTAATTGCAAACAGTTGCGTAACTCGACTCAGCTCTTAAAGATAATATATATATATATATATATGAACTCAGCTGGAGTCATCAGACGGGATATGTCCGCCTCTTGTTCTTTTTGTTTAATTTTGACAACTCATTAGCTAAATAGCAGAAGTCCAATAAAGAAGGAAATGCAGCTGGCATAGTGCAATGAACTTTGTCGAGCGACGGGATTGTTGCCTCATCGTCAGAGCCTGGCCACGAGTCGAGGCGGGTCGAGGCGAGTCGAGTCTAGTCTCGGCTGACAAGCTGTCAGCTCATAAATCTGCAGCTAGCTAGTCAAGCGGCGGAGGCAAATCAACTGCTCCAATCCACAATCCGCAATCCCTCCAAATTGTAGAATGTTTTCATTCTCGCTCTGCAGTCTTGCTGTCAGCTCAAATCAAGCTTTGGCTTTGGCTTTGCTTTGTCTCGACTCTGTTATCATCAACAAGCATTTATTATTTCTCTCTCTGCCTCTCTGCATCTGTTCTCTGCTATTGAATTTCCTTTGTCTGTCATTTCGAGTCTGGAACTGCTTCTTCTTTTTTCCTCCTGCTGCACTCGCTTATCATGCTCATCAGAGATGCTGAAAAATGACAATGAATGCTTATGTGCTCAATTGAGTTAGTTGCATTGCATTCATGCCACTTTTCAACAGTCTAACCATATTTGAACCGTCTCCCGTCACTCAATCAATTCGACACCTGCTGCTTTTCTTTTTCAGGCATCAGATCATCATCACATTAATGTAGGCATCGGTGTTGGTATTGATATTGGTATTGCCAAAAAGGCATTTGCTATTTGGCAAAAGCAGTCAATGATAGCCTTAAAAGTCTGCCGGTGCATTTTGCTTGCTTTTGTTGTGCGTAGATGGGTTGTTAATAGCTATTTTACATGCATGTACAAAATTTAATGCAGTATTAATCTAGAGGTCAAACCACAAAATCAAAATCGGTATAAGTTTGATAGAGTTATGGCTGTGACAAGTTTAAGTTTAATGTAGTTCTAAACTCTGTTTTTCTCTCAGTGTGCGAGCTATTGCAATTACCTTCGCCTTGCTGCATTCCACTTCCGTAACAGATTTTCAACGCTTCGACAGCATCCTCTGCACATGGGCATTAAAAAAATGACTGTTCATGCCTCTAATCGATAATTAACGACTGTGGCAACAGAGCAAGGCAACACAAAGCAAAGCTCAAATCGCATCATTGCAGGCAAGCAACATGTCCCGCAGGCACTGCACAAGTAAAAGTTGCAACTGTGCGGATGAGGCAGACATACTGAGGGACTGACAGACAGATAGACAGACAGACGTGCATTCAAAAAGACCCAAAAGTAAAGAAAAGAAAAGCAAAATCATCACATGCAAAGACACGCCTTAAAATGTGAAAATGCGAATGACCTGAATACTACACACACGACACACACACAACATGAAACTGAAACTGAGAGCACACGGGGCGCATGCGCAAAACTCAGCGAAGCTCTGCTCAGTCTCAAGCCTAAAAAGGCAGCAAACGCCGACGATTTCCTTTTCTGTTTTCAGTTTTCTGTAAAACTAGTTTTGCGTACAGTTTTGTCACTTTATTTTTTATACTTTTGGGGACATCAACTGCACTTGTAGTTGGCCAGCTGCCCACACACACACACACACACACACACACACACACACACACACACACATTCACACTCGGCACACACACACAACATTTCAATTTATTTATGCAAAGCCGTCAAGTGTTTGGAGAGCCGTATTTGTTATTGTTTTAGCAACACACATTTTTTTTTTTTAATTTTTGGTTCAAAAGTAAAGATTTAACTTGTTGAATTGTTTATCTAACGAAACACATTTTCAGTTCAGGCCTCATCTTTTATTAGCAGCTGAATCAAATTGGGTTAATTCAAATATCAATTGAAGTTGTAGTTGAAAGCTGAAAGTGGTTAGAAAACTCTTTTTTAATATCTGCCCCATCTGAGGTGATATTACTGCGTTTTGTTTACAGCTCTGACTCTCAGATCTCACTGCTACAACATTCACTCACAGAATTGTTATAGCAGACAACTAATAGCATTGAAAATATCTTACTAAAACTTTTGTTCAAATTATTCATTTTATATTTCTCATTAATTGCCAAGAGTCTATGGCCAAGGCAGAAGGCAAGAACAACTAAAAATGCTGTAGCTCGACTACAGCACGACAATGATATACCCCGCTGTTAAAGCTGTTAAATGTATGCTAGTTTTACTGCTTATTTTCTCTTTAATAAATGCTTGAGCCTGCTGAAAGTAATAAGATCAAAATGAGAATAATTGAGGTATTTCTTATCCGATCTTGATCAAATTTGTCCAGTTGATAAATAATAATTATATATATGTCAATTAGAGGCCTCTGTGGCTTTTATTGCTATATGTAATCGATATGTATCGGTATTCGCAAAATGAGCGCAGCTATTGATCAATTGGAAAAAACTTGACCTGCGCGGGGTATAAGAGAACTTATATTTCAACTTTAAAGCCTCTAGCTCGTATAGTCTCTGAGAGGCGGACGTGATTATATCGACTCGACTATAGGTGCTGATCTAAAATATTCGACAGCCACATAAAAGTGGCTGGAGTGCTGCCTCGAATGCCAGGCCAATTGTGCTAATAAATAAGCGACTTGCTTTGGGGCAACAGGTACGCGTTTGCCTTCTTTGTCTTTGTTTTTGCCTTTGCTTGTGTCGGTTTCTGTTTCTTTGTCTCGGTTTCAACAGAAACTGACATGCTTCTGAAGAGGTCGCTCCACACAAGGCGAAGACTCAAATCCATAGGAGGCAAATACCGAGTCGGAAAAGGGCAGCACAGCTTCTCAGACTGTCAAGTTAATGCCTGCATATGACATTTCATTTGAACGCTCACAAAGAAAGGTGCTTTACTGGATTCAATTATAAGCACAATAATTTCTTAATAATCATCTGTTTGTCAGACATAAAGAGTCTTCAAGTGTCAATAAAAACGGCTTCAAATTTAAAACAAACCTAGCGACTCACTAATCATTAATCAAGCATCAAAGTTGATATTAGCTATGAAAATTTAACTTTTTTCTTGCACTTTAGTGTAGATAGAGACGAATACTCTCAATAAATATGGAATGTTTAGAATTGAAATACATTTCTGATGCGCCGCGATATTAGTTTAACAAGTTTAAAAGCTGCTTAAACTGATCCTCCAGATTATCTACACCCTCCGTTGTCTCCGTTGGCTCCGGCGTCGTTGTCGTTGTGGTTGTTGTAGTGCTTGTGGTCGGTGCCTCTGTCGTAGTTGTTGTTGTGGTGGTTGTTGAGGTAGTGGTGCTGGGTATCGGTTTCGGTTTAATGCGTCCATCGAGGCAGGCTTGCAGATAGTTATAGTTTTTGGCCGTAGACTCCACATAGCTGCGCTCCGCCTTAGTCATGCACTGCTCGTGATGTAAATCAATCAGGCGATAGCGTTCCTGCAACAGTGTCGCCGACTCCGAAGCATTTCCCGAGATGCCGTACGTAGCAACTGTGTTGTTCGAGCCCTGCAGAGAAAAGAGGCATTGATTTACATTAAACTTGAAGTAAACTCACTCATTTTCTACTCACCGCTGCGGCATGGCAATTGAACGAGTCCAGGGTGACATTCACCTGGCTGCAGATCCTCAGCGAATCACAAACGGCCTGAGCCGACTTCTCGATCCGATGACGCATCGGTAGGAAATCTTTGTCGATGCCATGACGGGAATTCTGCGCCTCGTGCAGACAACCGCCGTAGGCGCCACTATACTGCTCGGCAATCAGATTCGATTCACCAATATAGCCCTCAAAGCAGGCCACAGAAGTTCTCGGATCGCGACGTGTCACCCGAGAGTTGAAGAACAGGCGGGTCAAGCCATCCTGGGTGGGCAGACCCACATGGGGTGGCAGTGGTTGGATGACACCCTCTGCCAAGGCAATCAGCACCACTGCGAGCAATACCACAAAATTTACTGAGGTTGGCAACATGTCTTCGTTGGGTTCAGCGGATGAGCTACTTTTGGCGCAGTGCGTCTGCTTTGGCCACCTTTTATACGCAGAGTCGAGACTCTAGACTGATAAGCGTGTTATGTGATTTCCTTCCTCCGCTTATCATCTTGCGAATTTTTCACTGATGCTAGATAAATAGCTCGCTTTGTTTGCTCACTAGTTCGGATCGCGTCATTCCAAAGACAGCCATATAGAGACTCATTTAAGATCTAAAAGATACATTGTATGGATACACTTTTGTTTTCATTTAGTGCACTTATAATTAAAATGAAATCACTTTCAAGTGTGTTGCTAAAATGCAACGCTTGAGTATATTTCTATATATTACTTTGCACAGTTTATTTTATTCTTTTTTCCCCCATTAAGATAATCTTTTATTTATGACTGCTGTGCTGATTTGCTATACAAATATCGAAGTGGGTCTTTCTGGGGGTGTCTTTCCGCCGTTAGTGACGCCTAAGCTCATAATCTGTACAAATATTGGTACTCTGACTCAAATGGTGCACTATAAAATAAAATATAATGCATGTGATTTACGCATTGTTATGATGAGGTGTTATAGTCGCAATCAATTAGATATGGCCTCGGCCTTAAGTATATACAAATTATTACGTATAAATTATATATTCCTTATGATTATATGTACAATTCATAGATCAACAATACATACCCAACCCTTGACAACGATTGTGATTTGAGGTGTTATCGTCACAATTGAATAAATATGAGCTCAGCATTGAGTATATAAAAAGTAATACGCATAACTGATGTCTTACTTATGTTGAACCTAATATATGAGTCGTCGTCTGAAGTTGGGTATTGAATGAATTGTTGATATATTATTATACCTAGCATTCAATACCCAAACCACAATTCATATGCTTATAAGTCGAACCTAATCCATTCTCAGTTTCAAAGCTACATTGCAGCCCGTTGCCGAGCGCAGTACGAAATTCATAATTTCCTTTAGCTCAGGTCCTTTAGGCAGCAGCTCATAGTACCTGAGCACCTTGCTGATCATCGTTTTCATTTCGAGCATGGCAAACTTTTGGCCAAGGCAGTTCCTAGGCCCTGCACTGAATGGTATATATGAGAAGGTCAGTCGATCGTCGTCGTGCTCAAAGCGCTCTGGTTTGAAGCTCAACGGGTCGGGGAAATTTTTAGCTGCGCGATGGGCCAGGTACGGCACCATGTAGATGCTGGTATTGGCCGGAATTGTCTGTGTGCCTATCTGCAGATCCTTGGTGGTAAATCTACCAAATCCTGGTACGGGTGAATACAATCGTAATGTCTCCTTTATGACGCACTCCAGGTACTTGAGTTGCATCAGCTGGGTTTGGGTAACGGGCGCCGATCGATTCCTGCCCAGCACCTGTACCAACTCTGCGTATAGCCGTGCCTGCACCGCGGGGTGTCTGGCGATGCAGTATAGAGCATGCGAGACTGCGCTGCTGGTGGTATCATCGCCTGCGAATATGAAAGTGTCCACCTCCTCGTGTATGTCCGCATCGCTCAGCGGGGCGCCCTGAATGGAAGACTGCAGCAGAATGTCCAACAGTGCCATCTTTGGCTTGCTGCCCGTATCCGCATCACCCACACCTGGACCAAAGCCATTTAATAACATATATTGTTACACTCAGAAAAATAGCCCTAAACTTTAGTAAATCGCCATATAGAAAAAACCCCCTGGAAATTAGACATACATTTTCAAAAAAAATTTTAATCCACCCTAAAATGTATTAATACAAACCCCAGTTTTTCGAAGGACACATAAATACATTTTCGAAATTTACTTTTTAAATGATGTAAAAAATATGGCGATTTACTAAAATATGGGGCGAATTTTTGGTTGAGTGTGATTGATACTTACATATCGACTGGTAGGTGCCATCGGCCTTGGAGCGCTCTACTGCTCCTCGTCGCTCATGAATGACCTTGTCGGTGAAGTCATGCATAATGCGAATATCACTCAGCAGTTGCTTATACAATATGGGGGCTGTGAGTCTGAAAAGCCAGTTGTAGCGCTGTGAGAACTTGAGCCAGCGATCCGTCTGGATGTTCACAACACTGAAAATTGGTAAAAATTATTACTCAATGTATTTTATAGCTTATCACTGGACACTGCTTGATTGGTTCTCATGCAATCAGATTGTCTGGTTCTCAAGGCGACAACGGCAGAAGGCGCCGCGACAAGGAAGAAGGGGAAACAGTTCAAGAGACAAAATTCTCTGAGATCTCCAACTAAGGCAGCTGGCGAAGTCCATTCAAGCTTGTTTTCCAGAGGGACTGCAGTATATAGCGGAATAGCTCATGTAGTAACACAAAGGGGGAGCTTGTCACCGATAACCGCCTCAACCGAACATAACTTAACTTTCAGCCATACCACAAATATTATTTTTGACTTATGTCGATACTCGAGTTAACCCTATCACACATTTTAATTGAATGTACTGGTAGATTACTCTTCATACCCAATAATTGGTTACCTTTTCAACGCCTTTATGTAGGGAAAGTCGGGATTACATTGTGAGTTGACCTGCACGCCCATGGCAGCCTCTGTTCAAAGTAAGGTGATATCACTCGACTATGTCAACTCGACCGGCTCGAAGTCAGTTTTTCTTACGTACCTGTTACGATATCCAGAGCTGCCAGTGAGACATATTGATGCGTATCCACTATATGCTCTCCATTGGCAAAAGGCTTTAGTTTCTCCACCAAGATGGCGCTCTGGCTGTCCATAATTCCCACGTAGTGCTCCAATATCTTGAAGTGGAATGCCGTTGAGAAGACCTTGCGCCTCGAGTGCCACTTTTGAAACACGCTTAGCAGCAGTCCATCGCTGAGAAAGGCGCGTAGGAACTGATACAGCTGACCCTTATCCAGCAAAGTGGTGCTACTCAATATGTCCTCAAAGTGACTGATATTCTTGGTATACACCTGCGACTCGTTCAGTATCCATATGTGAAATGTATCACCATATTTATCAAAACAATTTCGAATATAATCTATTGCGTCTAGATAACAGAAAGATGAAGTAAATGGATGAACTCAAAAGAGGAGTTCTAACCCCAAACTTACTCTCTGAGCCCACATGCAGTAAATTAAGCCCGCAGCCAATCAGTGGCAATGAACGGGGTCCAGTAATACCCGATCGTTTCAAGGTGACATTTCTATGGCGCTTGCTCTCAAAGTCCCAGGCCAGCAATAAGATCAAAGCAGCTAATAGCAAGGCCAACCACATCTTGATAATTATGCTCAAATGCTGCGAATTGCGAACTGAGTTTGAATTCCAGTCTCGCTTATTCGATGCTTTCGCTGCCACGTCCACTGTCCGACTGTTCTATTTGGATGCTTTCGAGGCAGTTTTATTTCACTGATTTATTATATTATATTCACATTATAATCACTGACATCAAAAAACATGTTTCTAGCCGATATTGCTTACAAAATTTCTGTATTCATTTATTCAGAGCAAGTAAGTTGTAGCGATTAAAAATATAAATATAATTGCATGTGGTTGAATTTGCCTTTATAACAATACAATCATTGCAATAATATAAATAGAAAAACCTTTGATTCCAAGTGTTATTCTTGTTGGTCAGGAACACTACTATAGTTGAATGGACTCCGACTTATACTTTGACTTATTTTGTAGTTGCTGTTGCTGTTCTTATTACCATTTTGAACTTGGAGCAAAGTTCATTTGGCTGGGTTAAAAACGATGAGGTGAGTTGAGGGCTCACAGAGCACATGTAGCTGCAAAATCAACTATAGCTATAGCAACAACAAGAACTGGGTTCACCGGATATGTTTATTGCGTGAGCTTTGCAAGCGAAACAAACGAGGGATTCCAATGTCCACAAGTCGACCAGTTCCTTCAGGCAGGCAGCGAAAACAAAAACCATTCAACAATGCTGCACTTCAAGATATGCTGAATCCAGTGCTGTTAAATATGTTACTTTAGTTTTATTGCCAAAGTAAGATCGAACAGAAAGCATTTCGAAAATGACTTTCGCCTGCTTCTAGTAAAACAATCAATATAAGAATACGTTTTAGAATAAAGTATGGGTGATGTTAGAGTGTATTATATATAAATTGAAAGACTGTAACTTTCAAATAGTGGCCTTTATTGATTTTGCAAATTAATATGTATTGATATTCGCGAAACGAAGCCAGTTATCGATAAAGTGAGGCAAACTTGATCTGATTGTGGTACACAATAACTTTTTTTCAAAATTTGTAGTATCTAGCTCTTACAGTCTTCGAAATCCGTTTACTCATACAGAGAGACAGGCAGACGGAAAAGGCTAAGCCGAATCGGCTGTTAATCCTATTCAAGACTATTTTAATGATCAACAATAATAAGCATTATATTAATAGGATCGAAGATGTGTCAGGGTATAAAAACGGTAAACGGTAAACGGTAAAGAATATTCGTTATCTTTAAAAATGTCATAGTCTGAGAGATCTGGAGTTGAGTTGTAACAGCAGGTCAGTCACGTTTGCATCGAGAGACCATCCCTAAATATGCTTGCAATTTAAGTGCTGCTTTGAAAAAGAGCCAATTGAGACTTGAATCTTTGCTACTTTGGGAAAATTAATGCTGGGTTTGGGCGATGTCTGTTAAAAGTCTACCAACTTTGCCAAAAATGCATTTTCCCAACCACTATAACCTTCGCTTCCCCCTCTCTCTCCCTCTCCCTCTGCCTCTATCGACAACAAACCATGTCGAGTTTGTTTTGACGCTTCGTTTTGTATTCAGTTACCCCGGCAACCGGCAAACGCTAGAAAAGCATGTCTGGGTTCGCTTTTAGGGGGGGTGGGGAGAGTGGGGAATTGGGGAGTGAGTGGCCCCTGCTGTGGTGTACGCTCGTGCGAGGGTTGTTGCCATTGAATGTGGCACGTGCTGCGAGTATTGCGCCTGTCCGCAAAAATGCAAATCAGCTGTTCAAATGTTGCCAAACTAATCAAATATGTTTCTAGTAATAATCGCAACATGTTGCTAACTTTTGAGGTGTGTTCTTTTTCCTAACAAAATCCTGAAATTAAAAATAAAATGTTTAATTGTAACATGTTCTTTGCTACAATTTAAATGCTTACATCATCAGTTAAATGAAAAAGAAAATCCTTGAACTTGGAATTAATATTTTGACCACAATTGCTGAGCGCAAAGAAAATAAAAATAAAACCTGTGCCAAACAAAAGCAAAAATTAACTTGTTTGTAGCTAAGTATTTTACGGTATTTTAAGATCGCTAATGGAAGGTCACTCTAATGAAATGCTGAATCTAACAACAGAAAAAACCTGTTGAGTGAGGCGGGGTTAATAATTATAAAGATCGCTTAGACGTTGTATGACTACGATTACAAAGAGTTGTCAAGCTCATGGGCATAAAAGAGTTCAAGTTTAGAGAAAACGTTTCTGGAACGCAATTAATTGCTCTGTGTGTGTGGGAAAGCGTTGGGCTGAGTTCTTCAACTTGAACCCAACTATCCATTCAGCGGTATTTATCTGTCTCAGTGAGTTTAACTGGGTTATTGCCTGCGATTTCTTGGATTACTCGTCGGTCTTTAGTGAGTCCCTCTTGTGTCTTGTTGTCGCATTCGTGAGTGAGTGAGTAATTGTCACTTTACCTCGGAGTCGAGTGTCATTTGGCGTTGGGGGGAAATCACTTGAGCAGCTCGCAAACTTTGCAAATCTTTCGCAATCTTTTTGGGATCGGATTGCATAAGTTTCACTTACTCTGCTATTTTGCTGAAGTGCGCTTTTTATAATGTCGCGTCAGACTGTTTTTGATTTATCATTATGATTATTTACCTGAGCAATGCAATGCGATCACATCGGTTTAGTTTGGTTTCTATTTTTGCGGTTTTTCGATTGCATTCCTTCATCATCAAAATCATTTGCATCAGGTGTGAGCTTTAGCTTTTAATTACGTACCACTATTCGAAGCCGTAGTCTTTAGTTTTTGGTTTCATCTTGCTTTCAAGTTCACATCTATTCACCGGCAATCTCTTTGGTTTGGTTTTTTTTAAAGTATATATCTATTTGTATCCAATTATGCCGCGCTAAATGTAAGTTCGTAAAACAATCCACTTTGTTAAATCATTCCACCACAAGCCGCCTCTGACTCTGTCGATCGCGTGTTGAGCAAAAACTTTAATTACGAGTCGAGTGAATCGCAAATAGGTGCATAATTCAATTACAAAATAGCAGAGTCTCTGAATTCCCAAGCATTACGAGTCGGAACTTTTCAAGCAAATGATGCAATTTATAGCGTTTAGTTTTGCTTTCAGTTTGCGGAGTTTTTCAACCAGCTTCACATCGGCAAAGCGAATTGAAAACTCGTCTGTGGGTTGAGTGGCTGGGTGCTGGGTGGTTAAAAAGCGTAGCTTTTGAACAGGCCAGCCAGCCAGCCAGCCACACCTTGGGTCAGCACTCAAACTAATTGAACGCTAAACTGTTTCAAAAGCAATTTGTGTATTAAGTGTATCAACAAAGGAGAGCCTCGTCGAAACCTTTGCGTGTTGTAAACTATGACCTATGACTATCTGTCCATATCTATCCATGTGGCCTTTCCATGCCATTGCAATTTAAACATTATCTGCGCTTTCACATTGATTTACACTGCAAGAAAAAAACGTCGGCTAGCTGAATATGAACGTAGACCTTTAGGAAAAACTGCAGCTGCTTCGTGCTCTTTGTTAGTGCTTAGCGCGAAAAAAAATGCAGATTCAGGTAGTTTTCTGCTTCTGGTCAAGTTACAACCTAGGTCCAACTCTAAATCCATCCGCTTTGCCTGTATTTATGGCCTTAGTGAAGCAGCACTAAGTTTGAGTGCCTGTCCGCAGCTCGTCAATTTTTCCAAATTATATGCAACTAGCCAAATTAGCGACCCGCCAGGAGCTGTGGGCTTCCTTTGGTGTTCGCGAAATGTGAGAGCTGCTACACGTTGCAGGCAGCACTCATTCGTCCTTCGACATTTGCCACGTTCAGTTCGTTGCAATCAGTGTGTTTCTCAGTAAGTGTCAAACTTGCGACGTAAGTGTCAGGTTAGCCCTGTGTTTTCCTTGTCCCACTCAAAACAAGTTCTGGGCTTAGCAGCGAATCAGTTAACGGGACAATTAGTGTTCACATAGTTGGAGCAACTGTGAACTGCGATATTTTCACACACGCATCCAACAACGACGTCAGAACCGAACCAAAACTTGGCTGCTTGTCTGCTGACTAATGCCTGAAATACTCTTAACGGTGCCGGCTTCAAGGCGATTGTGTTTTTGTTAATGACCAGAAAAGAAATCTATCGAAGAACTTATTTCTATTTATTTTTATAATTATATTTAAATTCATATTTATTTTTAAATTTATATCCAAATGGAGCTTTGACCTTAAAAACTTCTGCCCAAAAAATCAATATATTCAACTGAAAATTATTTCCAAGCATATCTTAAAATAGTCATGGACCAGGAGAAAGTTGAGTGGAAAATCTCCCAGCGATGGCTTCCTGTGTGTAAGAATGCAACAGCCAATTTGAGCCTGTGCCTCCTTGCCGCTCTGCCCCTGTGGCAGAGCTGTGCTCATTAGTTGAACAAAAAATGCTGCATCACGATTCAACTATTAATGGAATGAAAGGAATGGTATGGAATGAAATATATCGTTTGGGTGGGGGATCGAAAACAGACGCATTATTAGAAAACGGAGTTGGTTGCAAGTTGCATCTCTGCTTGACAAGTATTTGTTTGTTTGTTTCACGCAGCCAACTTGCCACACTTTATGCACACTTTATAACGGTTTATCTGTATTGTTGTTGATGTTGTTGTCTTTGCAGCAATCTCATTGCGAAAAGCAAAAGTTACTCAGCCATAGCGGCACCCATCGGCATCGGCCCCCAACAAAAACTGCCTCCCGTTGATACATGCGGCTTTGTCAAGTTGCGTCATGTAGATTACGCTAAGCCGAGCACATCGACCAAGGAATCAACGCAATCGCCGCCAAATAGACAAGAGACAACTACAGATCTCGACAAAGCGGAAGACGAGGACAAAGAAGACAACAATAAAGAAGACGAGGTGAGCTTTAATTTTTATTTACTTGCTTGACACACTCCACATTTATTCACCCCACTTTCCGCTTGACGTCAGGTTATGGGTCCCGATAAGCGGAACAACATTGCCAAAACAGGCTCCATTGCCGACCGCTTGGCGGCGCTGCAGAAGAGCGGCGAGGATGACTGGAAGAAGCGCGTCAGCAAGCGCGACGAGGTCGACGATATTCGTCGCGAAAACTTTGTCAATGTGAGTAGCTTCGCCTTTATTTTTCTTCGTCTTATTCACGTCAAATTCGAGGATATTCGCCACGAGAAATAGATTTGCAGATTCACCTTTGTTTCATCCTTCGTCTCGTTCCTGCATACGCACTGAGCACTGAGCTCGCACGCACACGTGTCCACCACGATGGAACACCCAATTTACTAGTGGCAATTCGCACCATTTCCCGTTTCCAGTTTTCCATTCCAAGTGCGATTTCAATTGCTGCAATTGCATGAAAATAGTTTCCTTATTGTCGATCGGAATTGTTTTGTAATGACTCGCAACGGTTTCTCTTTCCATTTTATTCACAATATTTATTTCTGTTATGTTTTAAAGATCATTAAACATATTACCCTCAAATAAGAAATGCGTTGCGCAATAAGGGTTAATGTAATGCTACTTTGGAATGCCCATCGCAATTGGTTACAAATACAACAATGAACACCTGACGCTAGATGGCGTTGCCAGCTAACTACCTAAAAGTATGCAAAGTTTTTTTTGCCTTAAGTATTTTATTAAAGTCAATAGTTTTTTAAATTAAACTGTAATTTGTAAGTTGTAATTGAAGTGAAGAAACTGTGGCTCACATCTAGATTTATATTAACTTATAATTTCTGCAGTAATCGCTATATATTACTGTAGCCCTTTTCCCCTCCAAAAGAAGCCTACAGAGACACAATTTTTGTTGCCATTTTGGCTTTTGACTTTCGTCCATGTCCAAAATATCAATTAGCTTCGTTTACTTTTATGGTCAGGTGACATTTTAGAAAATAAATTGAACTTCAAATCAAAAGCTGACCAAGTTCAGTGTACTTTTTCTTTCTATCTTTCGCCTCTCCCTTTCTCTGTGTGCGTTGTGTATTGTTAGCCTTATTTAGGAGGGGTCTTTAAATATGCGGGCATTCAGAAGAGTACATCATCATCATCATCCCCCATCAGTCAACTTAATGTACAAGTAATCACATTTAATTACACTAGCCACGCCCTCTTGGGGCATCATCATCAGCAGTTGTTTACTTATATGGATGAAATTTTTGTAGGAAATCATGTCAAACAGATCTAACGATCTGTTGGGCAAATGAGTTTCGAATTGTATTTATTTTTTTGTTATTCATGCTCTTTGACGTTTGTTTGATGAGCTACCAACGATTTTGTATATAAACTTGGCCTAAACTCTCAAGCACTTGACGCCTGCGCCTCAAAAATCAAACAGCCTCAGCTCAGAAAGTGGCGCAAGGTCAAAAAGAAAATATTATTGCCTACAGGTTTTTTTTTTGTTTAATAATAATGTGGCTGAATTCAGATCATAAGCCAAGTCATATATATAAATATTTATATCATATATATATATCTATCTAAGTTTTGCTCTACTATTATTTTGGCCGCTCTTGTAGTTGCCATATTTTCCTGTGATTAAATTTAAATAACAGCTAAAATTCTCTTTAAACAGATTAATTATCTCTATTTTTACATAAAAGTGGGGCATCATTTCACTTTTGCAATCATTTAAAGAACATGTTCATTTAATAATTGAGCATAAATTGTCTTTGACAACGATCCGAAAACTGAATTTTTTTTGGGCTTGGATCTATTGGCGTAGTTGCTGTTGTGACACGCTAAGGGCACATCATCAGCAACGTCATCATCATTATAATCATAATTTCAAGAAATCAAAATAATCTTGCGCAATTCATCAAGTTACGCTCGCCGGGCAAATGATTAAGAATAGAAAAACGCACATTAAACTCGTAATCTTCTTTCGAGAGCAAGACTCTTGAATTGTTATTGTAGAGAGAGAGAGAGAGAGAGGAACTGCCTCTGCAACTGGCTGCGTTCATAATTTTCTTGCCTTACTTGCCTCGGAGTCAGGCAACAACATATATAAATAAATGAAGCAGCAGCCACAACAGCAATTACCAAATGAAAAAGGATGAAAATAAAGTCGACTTGCTGTTTTTGGGTGGGTCTGGACTAAAGTTGCCGCTCCGCTGTTGAAGCTGTTTCTACAGTCAAAAAATGTATTTTATTAGCAGTGTAAAATGTTTGAATGTGAAATGTTAAAATACATTGATTTTTTTCTGAGTGTGTCTAATTTTCGATGAACTAATATGTAATGAATTTTAGTTTCTGAGTGTATATTTCACTTTGATCTCGTTACTACTATTGCTGCTGGCTCCATCTGTTGCTCTGTGGCTGCATTTCTGCATTTGATCTGTGGCTTGTGATCTTGAACGTGTTCATCTGCCGGGCAGCTACTTCCCCACCCCAACTCACCCTCCCCTCTCCTTCTTCCAAATCACTTTGGCCTCGACTTTGCCTTGCTCGCGGGCTATTGTAAATTGTTTTGTGAATTTGATATACTTGCAGCTTTTCTGCTTGCATCCCTCTCTTCCACTCCTCCACCCCCTCGCTCTATCCCTCTCTCTCTCTCTCTCCCACTAGTCTGTTGTGCAGTTATTATGCCTTCGCGTATTGGTCACTTTGCTCTTGCAATGATTATGTTGTTGTTTATTTTTTCTTCTTATTTTTTCTGCTTCTGCTCTGCTTGCTGTACTTGTTCATTAGTCCATGCTGCACTGCCGAGAAGAAGAAGAATCACAATTGACAGCAGCCAGTTGTTGTTGCTGTTGTTGGTCTTTATGAAAACATCTTCTAAATAGCGATGTGTGGTGAACTTTTTGTATGTATATGTGTACATACACCACACACTTCCTCATCACCCTCTCTCTCTGTCTCTCTCATTCGCTCCACTTGTCACTTTTATCTGTAGCTGTTACAACCTGCAAATATTCCGACGGCTGCTGTGACAACTGTTTGTTGCTTATTGCTCATTGCTGATTATCTGTGTTTGTGTGTGTGTTTGTATTGGTTTTGTGTGATTCATTCTTATTATACCGTGTACCCATTAGAAATGTGTGTGAAAAGGGTACAATGGCTTCTGCAAATGTATGTAACAGAAGGAAGCAAAATTATATATATTCTTGATAACGTATATACATTATTGATCAACTGGACAAAGTTCATCAAAATCGGTTAAGAAACGGCCAAGTTGTGGTCCAAAATGTATTCTCACATTGATCTCATTTCTATGAGCAGGCGAAAAAAGTTAGAATATACGATATACAGCTGGCTGCAGGGTATATCGTAGTTGAGCTGACTCGACTACAGCATTCTAATTATTTTTTGTTTTTTTTTTGCACATATGTCAAAGAGATAAGGTGGTTTTAGTTTATTTCTCTTTTCCGTTAGTTTTTCTTGTATTTTCGGCCATTGCATCATCGCTGATGAATTGCATTATTTTTTTATTTTATTATTTTACCTTAAATGTGCTGGCTGCCAGTATACCCAAAGAAAAAGTGAATCATCGTTCATCATTAAATGCTCATCCTCATTTTCAGCATTTGTCCAAAAATATAATGCAACAATCCTTTTTGCAACTTGATTTGCAAGGTTCTCGCTGCCCTTGCCGTTTACCCGCTCTCCTCTTCGTCATCTGTGTTTCCATCTCCCTCTTTCTCATTTTGTGCACGATGGTCTCTCGCATTGCACTCGCTATAATTTGAAACGCCTGTTTTTTGTTGCCATCCACCACCACACGCATCAGCAACAACAACAGCTAAACTTGCTCATCGCCATGGCTGCTCTCTCTCTCTCTCTTTGCTCTCTTCCAGCGCCGGCTTTGATAGTCTCCAATTGGAATTTATGTCTTTCTGATCTGCCCGGTATCGTCGTCGCAGTTCAAGTCGCGACTCCAAGTCGAGCGCTTCGCAATTCGCTTAATATTTTTTTGCTTTCTGTTTTTCGCTTATATTTCGTTATTGTTATTGTTATGCATCAGTTTTTGCTGCCAATTCAATTTGATAAGCGGCAAATAGCAATTGACGTGCGTGTCTGTGTGTGTGCCTGAGTATATATATGCTTCCACCTCTAGTCTGCCGCTCTCTCCTTCGATCACTCAATTCGCTCCGATTGCATAAAAAAAGTAAAGCGAATTAATTTCCTGATTGCAGAAGTCAAGTTGCATAAATTGTCAAATGCGGCGCAGCAGGAAACGAATTACAAAAATAAACTATAAAATAAGATTAATCATTTGCACATATTTTCTGGCGTTTCTATTTGCATTTGCATTTGCGACAATTTTTTGAACATTTTTAAGATACAAAAATGTATTTCAAGGCTGGCTGTTACACTCACACACACACACAGTCACCTTTTCAGAGAACTTTCTCGTGTGGCGAATTCAAATTCAAATGACTGCAATCTGTTTGCGACTAATGCAAATCCAAAACCCACTTATGATACATTTTAAAAATAAATACAAAAATTCGTATATGCAAAATGTTCTCTATTCAACGGAAAAAGTATACAAAAAGATAATGCAAATTATGGAGAGATTTACAATATCTGCATTGTTGTTTTTGTTGTGCGTGCAATAAATGCAATCTTATTGGCATTCTAATTGGACATACCCAGTGTACACCCAGCTTAATCTGTCTCAACTGCATTGGCGGCTTATCCAGCGCACAAGCGAATTGGACTTTAACGAAGACTACAACAACTACAAAGGGCGATAAGTGCGCAAGTGTAGCCGACTGAACTTAACGTACGAGCGCATATCATAAAGGGAGATAATCGAGAGCGCCAAGGGAACAAAGAGAGAGTGCGTGAGAGAGCGCGAGAGAGAGAGAGAGCGGACATTGTGAGCGGGCGCAGCTTGATAAACATTTTAGTTCGACTGTTCGTTCAGTTAAGTTTAAGACGAGCAACCGACAAGAACATGATCAACGATCCGCGAGATCGCTGGCTGCGTTGTCAACGAAAATAAAAGCGAACAATTAAAAATTATAAAATAACTAAATAGGCAGCCTTGTGCGGATATCAGATGACACTCAAAGATAAAAATAATTTTGCCAACAATTGGAATATGTTTCGCTTGATGCATAAATAGCAGTACTTAACGAAATGTGTGTTTGTGTGGGTGCGAAAGAGAGAGGACTTGCATATATTGGAATATGTTTCATTATGCATAAATAACAGCTGATTACATTTAACAAAAGGTGTGTGGGTGTGTGAGCGAAAGAGAAATGACATATTCCGTCATCTGAAAATATTGCAAAATCTAGATAGAAAATGGTTGATCGATCTTTGTAATATTTTCATGTTGCGCAAAAGACATTTATATTTAATTTCCCCCCTCCCCCCGTGCAGTTGAGTGTTGAAAGAGTCGCTTATCAAACACTAAAAAAAAACGATAGCCGCAGTAAAAAAGGAAGAAAGATAAGCAAACAATTTTTGCCGAGCAAAAAACATAAAATCGAAAGAAAAAATTGTGATAAAAATAATAACAACAACAAGAACAGCAGTTATGACAGATTACGAGTTGTATTTGGAAGCAGCGTGGCAATGGCTGAGCTACTTGCCACATGTGCTGATCATCTACGTGCTGCTCACACTGCTGCCCAAATCCCTGAGGCGCATCAAGCGATTTGCGGATGCCGACTTTGAGGCAAATCGTTTGCGATTTCATCGTTGCTACGGACCCGATCTCTGTTGCCACGCCCATAAGGAGGAGCTGGATAAGGAGGCGCCTCTCAAGCAGAAGCAACGCAAACCCGTCACAAGAGTTTACCCCAAGCGACAACAGCCAGAGGCAAATTCAGCTCCGTGCCACAACTCCACAACACCAATAAAAATCAGCAGCAGCAGCAATGTGACGAAAATTGCGCGCATGTTTGAGGCAGGGGGAAATGCGGGTGGCAAGCGGCAAGTGAGTCGTGTGGCGCCTGAGCTACGCATGTTTGGTGGCGCCTCCAACGACGGCTCCACTGAGTCAACGCCTTGTGCGTCGCGCAAGAGCAGCATTGCCACACAGCTGACGGCGCAGTTGCAGCACATTGAGCACGCCATGCAACTGTGGCAAGAACTTGAAGAGGAGCAGCAGCAACAACAGCAGCAGCAATCCAAGCTCAACGATTGGAAACCTGTGCCGACCATAAGGCAACCTTGCAACGGCGGCACATCGGCCACGCCCTCGACAGCTTCGCCCCTCTGCAGCTCGCCGGAGCTCACCTCCCCCGTGCAGCTGCGGCAGCCACCCGCTTTGTGCCTCAATTCGAGCATCGAGGATATTTTCCAGGCCATCGCACGTAGCGCCGAGGAGCCCGGGGATATCAACTGGCGCCATTTGGCGCCTGTCACCTGCATCGATGATATACTCTCGGAGCGGAGATTCTCGCGTCCCTTGTCCGCCTATTCCATCACGGATTTGCTCAAGGAGGAGCAGGAGACGCTCTGCCTGAATGAGACGAAATTGCAACTGCCACTTGCTACAAGTTGAGAGTGGATATTCCTTAGTCAGCTAATCAGTTGTTCAGTTGGTCAGTTAGTCAGTTTGACATATTTCTCAGCCTAGCTTTCAACTTGCCACCGTTTTGCAGAGTGACTCAAGTTGCCACAAGTTGTAAATACTTGCTTGCAACATGCCACGCCCCTACTTATATCTGATCTGCACCCCTTCTGATTCTGCCTATCATCTGTCACTTGCGTTTTGTTTGTTTAATTGACTTGAAAACTTAAACAAATTGAAATAGCGCCTAAAAGTGTTGCCAGCTTTATTTAAACTATTTTTTTGTGTCTACAAAAAATATAAACACATATTTAAAGGCCAGGATGCCTTGCTTCGAACCTAGTCCCTCATTTCTCAACCGAATGTAAAATGATGTTTTTTATTTTTGTACTTATACTTTAAATAGCCGGAAGGCAAATGATTTAAAATAATAACAAACATTATTAAAAACCAACCAAATCTATTTATATACTAAACACATAACACATTTAAATGCACAAAAGTTGGATTACAAGCAATCTGCTTTTATATAAAGAATTTGTAGTATTACTTTCCCTCATAAACAACAAACTGCGAACAATAAGTATTCTATTTATATATAATAAATTTGTAAATTGTAAAAACAACAACAAAATAGTTGAATTTATTGTGTCAGCTGCTGCCGCAAAGTGCAAAAAGCGTGAATAAAATGTATATTTCAGGTGCTTTCTCTAATTGCAGCTGTTCTATCAATTTGTATGAACAAATTTCGTTTTAAATACTGCAAAACATATTCTCTGAGAATGTGATACCCTATTAAAATCGCACAGCTGGCTTGTTTAGTTTATGAAATCATTTCAAAATTGAGGGAAATTCATTTATCAGGAAGAGTATTCGATAGTCGGCCAGCCGAAATGAGTTTTAATTTCCTTGTATTTTTTTTTCTCTCATTTTTTATTTAGCCGTATTTGTGCATATATAGGAAAGTCTGTCTGCTAAGAGATTGACTTTAGCTTAAGTTCCTGTTGTTTTGTTCATTAATTTTAAATTGACGCACTAGCTGAGGCGACAGGCGATTATATAACTGAAATGTGTACAAATCATTTACCAACAAATTTGTTTAGGCATTCTATGAGCAGTTGGGGAAAAGTGGCCGATTCAAGCAGGTTTTTGGGAGAGCAGAACACAAAACAGATGAATCATTTGATTTGTATGTTTGTTGGGTGCGAATACTAATGAACTCTGATCAGCTACAACTACAATGCGACAAGAGCTGGTAATTTAACAATTAAGTCTAACAATCAATGGAACTCATTTACATTCAGTTTCATAATCGATGACAACAAATTCTAGTTTTGGAAAATACCGAATTGAGATTTTATTGCTATTGTAAACCCACGCAGAGTTTAGCTTGAACAATTTGTACAGGTTGCCGAAGATTGCCAAAAAGTTTAAACAAATTTGGAAAGCAGTTAAAACAAAAAAATAAATAAAAATCGATATTCATAATATTAAATGTTAATTTATTAGTTATTTATTTTTTATTTTGTTGTTATGTCATACTTCAACAAGCGTATTAAGCTTTGGCAAACCAAAGTTAGCCGTCCTCTTTTGTTTTGATTTTTTACGCGTTTGAATGCGGTTTATCAAATTGAACACTGATGACGATGATTCATTGTTGGCTGCGTTAAGCATTGGGGCGAGCAGTTGCAGGGGCAGTGGGCAGCTGCTCCACGGAGTGAGTTTTGCTCATGACACACGCTGCCAATTCCAGGAGAACTCGAATGTGTTGCTATCGCCGCATTAAAAAAAATAAAACAGAAAAAAGAGAAAGAGAAAGAGAGTCGAATGTTTTGATTGCTCATTTGAGTGCGAAACGGGAACAGCTCGCAACTCGCAACTCGCACCTGACGAATGAGTTTGTTTGTTGAATCAATAATTGAGAAGCTTTGCAACTGGGCTACAAATAAACTGATAAACTATAGCTTATTAGTTACCATAACAAATACTTGCTGTCTTCTGATGAACCTGTTTAGTGTTCACAACTGCTCTGTAAACAATTGATAAATAATGTGCACTCTGAATCCCTCAATGATAGCATATATTTACACATCAATTGCGGGTTAGGCCTCAAAACTAAACTGAATGTAAGCAATGGGTTGTTTCTCTCTCTCTCTCTCTCTCTCTCTCTCTCTCTCTCTCTCTCTCTCTCTGTATATATATAAATGCCTATTATCTTATCTCAAAAGGCACGTTATTCTACCACATTGGCTCTCTTTAAATAAAAGTTTGTTTCACAATCTAAGTACTTAGTTAACAGTTCCGAGTCGTACTGGAAACAACGCCAGGGATTCATTCGCGCATCGATTTGGGACTTACTCTCTGCTAGAGACGACCCCTCCCTCTCCAGTTAGCCCCGAGTTGGATTTGTTTGGTCTTTGGCCAACAGCTGTTAGCCAAGTGCGCAGTTGGCTTTAAAGTGTTTGTCTCTGTCAACATGCAAAAAGTGAAATTGGTAAAGGGCTCGTAGCTACTAATGTGAATTTGTTGACAAACCCTTGGCTAATTTGAGAGGGGAATAACCCAGTCCATAAGCCAGGCCTTAACATTCATCAGCAGAAATGCTAATAACAAACCAAATATGGCTTGATTGATAACCATATTTGTAGTCGGTGTATTAATTTACAATTTTGGTTTTATTTTCTGCCAAAACATTTGACGACCACTTGTCGCCCACTCGCTATTTGTCGCCCACTCGCTATTTCCGCTATTTGAATGATTCCCAATTTGTTATCTCTCTGTCTCTCTCTCTCTCTCTCTCTATCGCCCTCACTCTCTATTAACCCACACAGGAATCGCTTTCTCTGGCGCACTCGATCTCCGATAAACCGTTGCCGCCGTCGCTCCTAATCGTGGCCAGCATCGAGGGCGGCAGAGTCTCGGAACGCCTGGGCAAGCTTAAGTCCAACTCGGAGAACTGGAAGCAGCGCATAGGTATGTACTTACAGTTGCGGTCAAAATAACAGTAGTGCTGCTTCTCAAAGCATTTAATAAAAATATGACTGCTTTTATGGTGATAAAATTGACACATCTTCAAAATCTTCAATTTGAAACAAAATCTCAATTCGGTAAAAACAAAAAATTGTTCGGATTTTCATCTGGGAATGTTTTAAAATACAATTATTTTCCAAATACTAAACGTACTCAAATATAACCACCAATTATATCTAGTTTTCAGAAATATTCTTTAGACGCAGGGACAGCTGAGAAATCTTCACTATTCTTCGACTATTATTATAATGATAAACTAAAAATATATACATACATATAAATTATATATACATTATAATAAATTAGATCCAAATTTTCATCATTTTTGAATATATATATGTAAAGTATTATTTTTTTTTTAATTTTCCCAATCATATGTGCGCATTTCTATTATGTTGATCGCATCTGTATATCATTTTCATAGAACATCTATTCAACAAATAAATCATTGCAGAGCAAACGGATGCCAAGAAGTTCACAGTCGCTGGCCGACTGCAGAAGAAGGCTCAATCGCCAGTGGAGCTCCAGTTCGAGCGTCTGCCGAACGATGCGCCCAAGAAGTGCCCCATGCTGGAGGTTCGCAGCGCCAATCAGCCGCAGCTGGGTCTGGCGAAGAGCCCTTCCATGATGGTAACGAACTCCAACTTGAACTTTTCGAAATCTGCCCCAATGCGCAGCCTGAGCGTCAAGGCTGAGGAGAATGTGCCGCTGAGTCGGAGCAATAGCAACAGTTCCGAATCCGATGGGGAACGCAACTCGCCCCACAATGCCAAGCAGCACAAGGAGTTGGCCAATGCGAAGAGTCAACATGCAGCTGCCGCTTCAAGTATGGGCGCGAGGATTCAAGTGCCACGCGTAGATGATGAGGAGACGTTCAACAAATTCTTTGCCGCCGGAAAAGCGACAAAGGTGGCAGTCAAGGAGGAGGACTTCCAGCTGGAGATAAGCGCCTTCGATGACATAAAGCCTACGGAACGGTAAGTCAGGCAGTCGTCAGTTGTCGGAGTAAATCGCAATTTATTTTTTTTTTTTACATTTTTCTAGGCTAGTCAGCAAGCGGCACATTCAGGGCCCCAAGGGACGGCGAGCCGCACGCAATCCCCTCAAGACTTTGGCAGCACGCAGCGACATTTGCTGCGAGTACACGGAACTCAAGACGGGCATTGCCGAGCGCGAGCTGCGGCGCCTCAAGCTGGAGTCGTGTGAGTCTCTCAGCACCCAGCACCACTCTGGAATCTTCCCGCTTAGTGGCAACCAATTAACTTTTCTCTTTTTGCCTCCACAGTTGGACAACGTAGCAACTTGGCTGCGGAGGCCATTGCAGGCCTGGCCTCCATCGAAGATTTCAAGTCTGTGGCACTGAAATCGTCATCGCTGCCGTTACAGCAAATGTGGCTGCCACACAAGTCGCTGATGCTGCTGCATGTCAAGGGACGCACTCATGTCCAGACGCGTCTAGTGGCGCCCGTGCGGGCCTCCCTCAATCGTGGTGACTGCTTCATCTTGATTACTGGAGCGCAGCTGTTCCGTTACATTGGCTCGTTTGCGAATGTTATCGAGATATCGCGCAGCAAGAAGATCTGTGCGGCCATCGTTGAGAACAAGGATCTGGGCTGCACAGCCACGCAGGAGCTAATCCTCACCGATGGAAAGTACGTCAACGATCGCCAGTGGCGTATTTTCTGGTCACTGCTTGGCGAACCAGCGGAGGAGGAGCACCAGCAGCAGCAGCCGGAGATCGCGGACAGCGGCCATGCGGACGAGGACGATGTGTTCGAGAGCAGCCTAATTGAGACGAACAAGATCTATGAGTTCCAGGATGATGCACTGCTGCCGCTGGACAAGCACTGGGGTTGCATACCCAAGGTGGAAATGCTGGACACCCGTAAGGTACTCGTCTTTGACTTTGGCAGCGAGCTGTACGTGTGGAACGGCAAGAATGCGTCGTCGGATGACAAGCGGGCGGCTTTGCGCCTGGCCCAGGAGCACTTTGAAACCACTGATGCCGCCGACTATGCTCAGTGCTATCTGAATCCGTTGAACTATGCGGCAATTGTGGGAAGGCGTGAGAACACCAAGTACGCCAAGCGTAGCTCTCAACGGCCCGAGTGGTGTGTACTGGGCAAGATTACGCAGAACATGGAGACGGTGCTGTTCAAGGAGAAGTTCAGCGATTGGCCCGAACTGGAGCGTGAGGATCTGGAAAAGGACTACTTGGCAAATGGGGTGCATGTGGTGCGTGCCCTTAACGGCGCCGCTCTGCAGAAGGGCGAACCCTACCAAGAGCCCAATCTGGTGCTGGAGCAGGCCAATTTGGGGCGTGGCAATTTCTACTATGACAACGACACGATGCGCCACTTTGACATCATCAGCAAGTCGACGGACAAGTGGCAGATCCACGAGTTTAACTTCGATGCGGCAGAGACACGTGAAACTTACGGCCATTTCTACTCCGAGGAGAGCTACATTGTGCGCTGGATCTACCAGATCTCTGTCACAGTGCGCGAACTGAGTGGCAAGGTCTCCAATCGGAGTACTGCCGGACGCGATCGTTGCGTCTACTTCACGTGGCAGGGCGAGGATTCGAGTGCGAATGAGAAAGGCGCCGCCGCCTTGCTCACCGTAGAACTGGACAAGGAAAAGGGCGCCCAGATTCGTGTTTCACAAGGGGAGGAGGGCACGGCATTTGTGCGACTCTTTGGGCAGATGTGGAAGCATCGTGGTCGTAAGGAGCAATGTCTTGCCCGACGAGCCGAGTGGCGTCTCTACCAGCTGCAAGGCAATATGGCCGAGGAAACACTGCTCCAGGAGGTCGCCTGTGAGGCACGTCAGCTGCGTTCCCGTAACTCGATGCTTCTTGTTCACGGCGTCGAGGGTCGTGTTCTCGTGTGGCATGGTTGCAAGACTGCCCCGCACACGCGGGCCGTCGCCTTGTCCGCTGCCCAGAAACTGACGGAGCAGCTGCCGGCGGACTTGTTTCACCAGCAGTGCACTAGTGCCACACTCGAGGAGGTGGAGGAGTGCGCAGAAAGTGATGTTTGCAAAGCGGCTCTCAGCCTCGCTGACGACTCGGAGCGCAACTATGGCAGTCTACTGGAATCCAGCAAGACCTTTGATTACACACTGCGCATGTTCAACTTGTCAAGCACACAGGGCGTCTTCAAGGCGCACGAACTGATGGATCCGTTGCGCTGCCAGGATCTGCAGAGTCCTTATCCGTTTGCACAAGCACAGCTGTACAGTGCTCGCCAGCCGACCATCTTTCTGCTGGACGATGGCGACGTACTGTGGATCTGGATGGGCTGGTGGCCCTTGGAGGATGTCAAGAGTAAGTTTGCCACAGCTAAGCCAGTTTCAATTTAATATTCAGTTATCAAACCATAGTTAATACCGAGGATCGAAGCAGCCCCACCAATGACAACCGTTCGGGTGTCAACCGTTGGATCTCAGAGCGACGTGCCGCTCTAGAAACAGCAGTCGACTATTGGCGTGCCAAGTACGGCGACAACGACACTGTCGCTTTCCATGGCACGCAGGGATACGTTGTCTGGGCGGGTCTCGAACCCTTAGCTTTCAAAGCGCTCTTCCCCGTGTGGTCCGATCGCGAGGATGTTCGTGAAATCAACCTCAAGGTAATTTGATTTCCCCATTCCCATGCTTGCTTGAAATCTAAGTGTTTTTCTTGTCCTTCGCAGGATGGCCGCACAGATGACAGCGTGTCCATCAGCGAAATGCTTGCCCAAATGACCCAAACCGAATATCCCCTGGAGGTGCTCCAGGCACGTCCCCTGCCCGAAGGCGTTGAACCCACTCGCTTGGAGCTCTACTTGAATATCGATGACTTTGAGCAGGCCCTCGGTGTGACTCGTTCCAAGTTTGAGCAGCTGCCAGTGTGGAAGCAGACAAAGCTGAAAAAGGAGCGCGGTCTTTTCTAGACAAATCTCTCTTAAAATGTGACCATATAGACTTTAACACAATCACAAATTACTAATTTTTGTAACCAAATATTTTATTATACTGTGAAAAAACGTACATGCTTATTATATGTTTTCTACGGTCCACAAGTGCGCATATCTTTATATACTCTATACACACTCATCGTATATAACCACACACACATATATATTTATATATAAAGATATCTTTTTACACATATATAGCAGTTTGAAATGTATGCAGATTATCGCTTGAGGTGCACTGAGCTATGAGAAAACATCAAATTCAATTACCTGTACATATTAAGTTGTTCAACATTATGATTTAAACAAATTAACATTTAATTGCTTAATAATAATAATAATATTATCGAGCTCTCTCAATTTCATAGTTCACAAGTACTCAAAATTTGATTTATATATGTAATTGTATTTCTCCGCTTTAGTATTTGTATTTTATTATGTTTCAATTTTATTTCGTATTATGTAGTTTTTATTAAACAGACTTGACTTTACCATGTACAACTAAGTTAAGTTTTTTTGGGCGTGGTAAGCATATGAGATCGTCTAAGATTCCAATGGCTCCTTTCTGTCAATATTTGTGTGTTTAATATCGCTTAATCTGCGACCCGAACTACCAGACGAACATAATCCAGCGGTTAGCCGTTTTCAAGTCCGAAAAATATCATAGCATACTTTTAGTCTGGGCCAAAAGGTGGAATAATAAGTGCAGCATGCTCTTAAGCATTAGGCCAGTGACACAAAACGCTGCGTACTTTATACTGCTTTTGCTCAAAATGGCAAATTGCTGTCATTTCAGGAAGGTTTTTTCGTTCAATTCACTATTGCCAGTTGAATATTGTATTTATTTTATTTTTATTTTTAATTGCTTAGAGTTAGGTTGTTGAACCGCATAGCTTTGAAACTTTTCACATATTTCAAAAACCTCGGAAACTAGAAGGCCGACCTGTAGTCCTCTCTGCAGCGATTTAACTTTAGAATCACTATAACTCTTATGACCTCTACAAGCTGACAAACTTTTCCTTAATGTGCATATGCGCATATAATTTAATATCTATAGTTTTGCTTACACTGTAGATTTTAAAAATAATTCTAGGTTTCGTTAAAGATACATTTTAAATCGGTGAAGCGACAGCATCCGTGTAATTATGTATTGCATTACATGGTCTTTTGTATATCGGCTATGAGGCGGGAAACTAGCTCACAGCACGCCTTCTGCCTGATCTTGGCCACGGCCATAACTTCCTCGTGGTTGGCCTCGTCGTCCTTCTTGTCGCTGTACTCGATGGAGCACTTGTTGGTGATCAAGCTGAATGCGAACACTTTCATATCGCAATGGCGAGCAGTGATGACCTCGTGCACCGTGGACATGCCCACTGCATCAACGCCCATCATCCGAAGTGCCTTCAGCTCTGCAATCGTTTCGTAGGTTGGGCCGCCCAGGCAGGAGTAGACGCCAACATGGATGTTCGACTCAATGCCCATCGCTTTGCCAATCTCGATCGCCTTGTTTATCAGGTCCCTGTTATATGAGTTGACCAGAGCTGGAAAACGGGGTCCAAAGCGCGGATCATTGGGTCCCTGAAGCGGACTGTTGCCAGCGAAGCCCAGCATGTTGACGTGATCGTGCATGAGCATTATGTCGCCCACAGCGAACTTGGGATTGATACCACCAGCCGCATTTGTGGCAAACAGATACTCGACGCCACAAAGCTTCATCACGCGGACCGGCATGGAGCACTTGGCCAGTGGGTAGCCCTCGTAGAAATGGAAACGCCCCTGCATGGCCATGACATTGACGCCCTCCAGAGTGCCGACAACAAGTTTACCCGCGTGCCCCTCCACTGTGGATACTGGGAAGTTAGGTATCTTCTCGTATTCAAAGACCTTAGCATCCTGGATGAGATCGGCAAGGGAACCGAGCCCCGTACCGCAAATGATTCCAATCTTTGGTCGCATGCCCGAGCCCTTCACAATGAAGTCGGCAATCTCCTGGATGACCTCGTACGGATACCTGAAAGAGGTAAAAAGCTTTATATACCCATTATAATAAGAATTAGGACAGTACATTTAAAAAATGAAAAAACAACCTGCTTGCCACAGTCAAAACAATAAAGTGAATCATATTTTCAAGACAAGTTAACTTAAATGTTTTCGATAAAAAAAAAAACACAATTAGTCTGATGGCACACAAGTTTGTACAGCGAAACATAGTATGATAAGTAAGATTACATGAAAGAATCTATGCCCAAGTGGTGCAAAGATACACAAACAATAAAAGAAAAAACCAAAAAAAAACAAGACAACTTGGGACAACCACATCAAAAATATAACATGTCTACAAACGTGTCTTCGTTCATCACGCGTAGAGCCCGAAACTCTTCGGGTGTTAGATAGCATTGGATACGGTTGTCGCTATTGCTGCAATTGTTAGAAAATTTGTAAATATATTGCTGTAAGGGATACTAAGTTATATTAAATATACGTTTTTTTTCATATCTTTATGTACCTGAAAAATGCAAAATAATTGGCTTTGTGTATTTCAGTAAGAATTTGTTTTGCTTTATTCCCATTGTATTTTTGTATTGTATTACTGACTTGCATAATTTATTTAAGCACGTGCTAACCGACTGAAATCTTCACAGAAGCTTTGTCAGCAGACGTAGCGCGATAATCCCTTTACTAAATATTCTACGCAGTGATCGCGTAGTCTGCTATTAATTGGAAAATTATAATACTTAATTTGTCGTCTCGTGAAACCGGCTATGCAAAAAAACATGGACATTTTAAGAACATTTAGACTAAAATACCTGCAGCAACCAGTTTGAATATTAATCCGAAATTAGACAAAATCAAACAAAAAACGAGACAAGACTTTATCAGTAGTTAAATGCACAACAGTCAACAGCAGAAGTGCGAATATTGCAAACAGAGGCCTCCGTCAAGATCGCTGCACACGCCCACTTTTGTAAACCAATCAACGGCGACTAGTTAATAAAGTCGGTTAACTGGGTCAAAACAAACGTTGTATAAGCAATTGGCAAATCATCACACAGACACAAAGAGATAATTTTTATCAGGTGTTAGTTGAAGCCGCAGCTGAAACTGAATCCAAGCGAATCAGTTGGGGGCATTAACACGTCATGTCGCAAGAATTATTAACATCAAATGGCTCTTAATCGTAATCTCGTATGCAGATTGAAGATGTCACGATGGTTTTTTAATAGCACAAAGTTTCAATTTAATGAGCAAACAAAAATGAGCGCTATGCGAATCGATAACAAAACAACGTTAGAAGCTGATTGGGTTCAGAATTTCTGAAATTTATAATTTATGTTTAGCTACGACGACTGTCAAGAGCTACGGACTGATATTAAATCAGCGGTAAGATCAAGGACAGTTCAGTAGCTAATTGTATTTTAATATTAAATAAACTTCGAAGACAAACCAGCTGCTTCTGGGCTTACGGGAAAATGAATCGCAAGAGCCATTTATCGGCAATCTTCCTGGAATTTTTTGGGCCAAAAATGTAAGACAAGTTTTATGCGGAATCATGTTTTCAAATTTATACGTAGTATTATAATAGAGGCTCAATCATTATTAGAAAGTATTTAATGGGCACCTATACACTTACAGTAAACTTTGAGGTGTGGGTACTACAACAGGATTACCATCGGATTGCTTATTCTCGGCACAGGCATTGCCAGATTTGTTGGGCGAACCGCTCTTGCCAGCACAGCAATCTCGAGAGCACATCCTGTTTTATTGAAACTTGTTAGTCTACAGAGTCTAGATTGGCTGCGACACGATCAGCAAGTCATCAAATTTTTTACAAAAATGAATACAAATAATACCAAAACTTTTCATTCCATGAAAAAATAATTGTGTACGTCAGGCACATTAAATATAGAACCAGGAATTGACAAATTCAAGGCCTACTCACTTCTCAACGCCCTTAAACTACATATCGATTTTTAACGGACATCTAGCTGAAGTCTATTATGTTTGTATGGAGGGAAGAGGGGCCGTGTTGTAATCACAACCAAAAAAGGTTACGTAATGCGAAACAGTAAGAGCTATCGATTCCCCATACCCTGTTGCCCTTAACCGCCCGGGTTACTTACGCGTCACTCTCCCGGTCGGCGTATTCAGCGGTTTTTTTTCCATTGGCTTGACCCTTGGCACTGTTTTTGTGATTGCCATTGCCAGTAGCCACGTCACCTTTGGAATTGTACCCAGTCATTTTGTGATGCACTTCCTTGAGGTTTCTCGGTGTTATTTTTCGATAAGAGAATGTTTGATAACTTCTGTACGAATTGCGTTTTCTTCAAAAATTCACGTATTTATGTATTTTGATTTCACAATGCGCAGATTATTAATCAGTTGTCAGATTTTATTATATATAATTCAAAACTAATTTAAAGTCAAGCGACTTGAATGCCTTCTGTTATTTCGTTGTTTGCTGTCGCAATTCACTATAATGTTCTCCGTTATTGTGATTACTCGTTTCGCGATTCAATTTCAATTTCCTAAATTCCAGTTGCCTCCTCGAGCGCACTTCGTTAATTGAGCCGCGTCGTCAGCGGCGCCTTCGCTTTTAAGCCGCTGCCAATGTTGTCGTCACCGTCGACGTCAACGTCGCTGCGCGCGTCGCTGTCCACATTTATTGTTCAACATTCAATTTAGGACCTACTGTTATTGTTGTTGTTCTTGTTGCTCTATCAACGTCATAGGCATAAACCGGAATCGTATCTACTAACTCATTCAATTAAACAAAATTTACCAAATTTCTAGAAGAAAAAAATAGAAAATAAAACACCCAACACCGATTTGATAAGAAACATTAATAAACTAAATTAATACCATGGCCGTGCCTCTAATAGCACCAATTCAAAATTTCGCCGATTAAAAATCATACCAAGTCCCATTCAAGAAAGATTGTGCTTTCCACTGATAAGATTAAAGTGCAGTAAGAAATTGCATATATATTTGCAACATATGACCTATCCCAGGTAGGCCCAGAGCTGTTACGAGTTCATAACTTTAATTTTATAAGCCACATATTCAAAGTGCGTGTTATTTTTAAACATTTGTTTTAAAACATGTCGCACATCGAATATTTGCTTGTTGTTAATAATATTTTTGCGCTTATCACAAAAGCTGTGCGCCTCAAAACAAACAACAATTTTAATTGAACGCTCAAATCATTCGATTCGTTGATAACACTCCATGGCGGTGCAATGAAAGCGCATGTTGTAATCGGAAATGCCATTAATATCACATGGCAACAGGAGGAAATAGCATATTTGCACGTATATAAGCTAAGGAACTGTCACATTTATACAATACAAAACACAATACAGTAAATATAATATATATATATATATATATATATATACTTATACACCAACAATTAAATTCAACTTCCTTGCGGGCATCATCAGTCTTATCAGGCCCACTTTGTGGGGGGTATACGTCAATAAAATTATATATTTTTCTGCTCGATTCGCATTTAGAGTAAACAACTTTATTGCATTTCTTGAGCAATACAATGCAACTTACATACATAAATGTTGATCGCATTTGATTCAAATCATTTTCGAATCTTTTAATTAAACAAAAGCTTCATTAATAGAACGAGACCATTTTGAGCTGCTCAGTTCAGATTATTCTCTAACCAATTTTAAACTGAGCTCAGAGCACAAGCAGGTAGTGGTCAATAAATGAAAAGAGTGGAAAATTTTCATTTGATAAGAAAAGATTCCATTCACATTTGGAATATTTAAGAAAATGTATTTAGTTATCTGCCGGTTGCGTCTTCGACAACGAAACGAAGAAAACTCTTGCACAGTTTCTGTAACAGACTCATTGTAGAAGATATGTTGATTTTCTGTTTGAGCGATACAGGTCGAAAATCTGTTTACAATTGGTAGAGGCAGACAGCGGCGAAGATAGGCACACGCAGATACATTCAGAAAAACACAGCAGCTGATAAGAGCGAAATCAGTTGGCAGCCAGTAATGCCTGCTCCAAATGACATCTCGATGTATTTTAATTGTACGTTTATTCTGTTTTGAGATTTGAGTATAAATCGATTGCTCAGCAGCAAGACATATATAGTATATTTATTTTTTTAGTATTACTTTGAATGATTTTAATTTTATTTGATTATTGTTATTTATTTCTGAAACTAGCCAAGTTAATTGCATTGTCATTGTTGTGATTTTTCTTGTTGTTTATGTTTAAGATCAATTCGAACCTTGATGTGCAGTTAAGAAAGGAAATACAGCACGCTCTGATTTTCGAATCTGCCTTCTTCCTTTGAAATTAAACTTATTATTAGAACCAAATAATGTTAAATATAATCTGATATCAGTCTAATATAAAAATACAAAATGAATGATCTGTGGTGGCTTGTCCCATTATTTATTGACTTCAATAAAATTATAAAAAAAAAAAACTGTTGAGTCTATATACAAAATAAATACAAAGATCATTCCAATTATACCTACTTGACGGTTTCATTAGTGTCTCACCCTAGGCATGAGTTATGAAATAAAATCAGTGACTGTTAATATGCAAGAGTAAAAATATTATGATCCAAACCCAACAGACCATTGACCCAAAAAACAATTTGACTTTGTTGCAAAAACGTTGGACTTTAAAAGCAAAATTATAAAAATTATTATCTAATGGGTAATATATTTTTATTTTTTTAAGGCAATTGCGGGTTCAACGTAATCGAACTTCATATTGGTTGACGGGAACAGTGCTACTTGGACATATCTCTGAGCCACATGATACGTTCAAAACCCTTTCTTTTTTTTATTTGGGACGGTTTTTTTCCAATGAAAAAGGCACGAATGTGTGATGTATTTTAAGTGTTAAGACATCTATAATTATTTGGTGAGTTTTTTAATGGCAGACTAGAAAATTTATACAGGTTTTTATAAAATTTGGTTTATTTTAAATGAAGTTCATCACCCGCAAACAAAGAACTGAAATTTTGTTCGAAAGTGAAGGGCACGAGATACGTCCGTAATAGTAAAATTAGAATTTAGAAGAAAAACATAATCTGAGCATCAATTTTACATGATTTCATAGGTGAGATTTCGAATTGGCGAGATGGTGGTTTATTAATTCAATATTTTCCCTATATCTTAACAGTTGTGTGACACTATGTAGAGGCGATCTTTTCAAAAGCTATTCTAAGGACTTCCGACGGGACGAGTGACTAATGCACAAACGCTGAATATGCATAGACGATCGCAGACATCCCTCATGATTAGCGATCGGAGTCTTAGAAATCAAATAGGATGATGGAGGGAGGAAATTTTATATGTACGTCGATAAGATACGTGTCCTAATTGAGTATGAAAAAGAAGTATTGTTTGGTTTTTGATAAAACGAATCAAAGTCAGTTTGTGGCGTGGCACTCGGACTATGGATACTTTAAACAAAGATATACAGAGGTTTATTGCAACATATTTAAAATGAAAAGTAAACAATAAATACACATAATACGAAAGCACGAACACGAATCTATGATTGACGCAATATAAACTCTAAATCAATATTTTACACATGTATTTTCAATATATCAATTATATGTACTTATACAAAAGAAACAGTAAAAATTAGGTACAGTCACGATAAACCATAAATATAGTGTTACACACACAAACATATGCTTGGACATAAATACTAATTAAAGTAAGACCTTTGTTTTCAACGTTTATCCCGACATATTTGCATCCCTAATCTTTGCAAGCCCCCAGTCATAAGGGAACTTATCTGACGATCTTATCGGTTTCAACTTGTAACTTAAGTACTTAAGCGAAAGGGCGTAGGCAAGGAGTGCAGGGGAAATCAGAATATAAAACTTGTCCTAAATAAAACCCCTATCTCTGTGAAAAGCTGAGTACGCCCTTCCCTAAGTGTCTTGCAAAACATATTATTTAACAAATACGAATACTTTAGCAAACATTGACGCTTCTGTTACATACTATATCTTGGCAAATACAATGCAATTTGAGATACACATAGGCTAGATGTATTATAATTGTATGCGCTAATCTTAGAATTGCACAGAGTAATCGCTACACAATATAAAGAAACGTGAGACATATTTAGCTTACGGTTATGTGTTGCAATTTGCAATTAACTTAAATGATATTACAATATATTATTATTAGTATTTGTATTATTATTATTAAACGTAAGGTATTGTGTATAATTAGATGAAACGGGATTTTGTGGCCCTTTCAAGTCTGTTCAGCGAATTCCTTAAGTGTGCTACTCGTATAATTTATCGTGTTGCATTCTCAATTCAAGTTTGTTTGTTGGATTTTGGTTTAAACGTTTTCGTATATTTCTCTTTTCATTTCACATTGTTCAATAAATTATTCATAAAAATCAGTCAGTCCAACGCATTCTCTTGTTTGACTTTGTTTTTTGTCTCTTTTTTTTTTGTTGGTGTGTTAAATTAAGATGTGTGTTTCTCGGCTCTCTTGGCTTGATGTTTTCCAGTTGTTTTACATTTTTCTTTTTCTTTGTGGTGAATACTTCATAGTTACGTCTAAGTTTCATTAATTTAAATAAGTTAAAACGTAGTACGTATAATAGATGTGTGTGTTGTACAAATAAATTATGTTTGTCTTATTAGTGACTATATAAGTATAACTGTTATATACTTGTATTCATGGTATATTTCTATATATATTATATGTATATATATATATATATATATATATATATATATATATATATATAATTTAAACGCGTTTGTTGTGGTATGCATAGATCTTATAAGTGCTATGTATGCATATATGGTTTTGGTTTTTGGCTACATTGTTTCTTAGAAACTAGAATTCAACTACTTCTTTTTGGCCGCCTTCTTTTCGGCCTTGCGTATGGCCTTTTCGCGTTCGCGACGCTCCCGCTCCATGTCCTTGCGCTCCTTTTCAATGCTCGCTTTAAGGTCCTTTAATCGTTTCTTTAATCGATTCTTATCATCGCCGCAGACGCCGAGTGTCTTAAAGTCCTTCGAGTCGAGAGTGAGCAAAGCGCCACCCTCTACGTTGTGCTCCTTGAATACAGGTATATAACGCTCCAGCTCGATGCCCATCAGCCAGTGGCCCACCTGAGCAGTACCAAAGTTTTATATTATTAATTAAAGCTTTTGGGGATCGTATGTGGTTAAAGTTTACCTGTTCCTTAGTCCATTCGTGTACGGGACCACCTTTATAATTATAACAGGCAGCGGCCGCTTTCCGATCCGAGAAACTAGAACTGGATCCAGACAGATCCAGGGTCCGGCTGGGCGAGTAACCGGGCGAAGAGCACCCCGACGACATGCTGGTGGGTGACGGAGGCCCAGTGGCGTGAGCCGATTGTGTTAGCTGCTGCTGTGGATGCTGATGGTTCTGCTGTTGCCAGGGCACTGTGCCGGGCGGGGAGAGCGATTGCGGAACAACTTGCTTAACTTTAGACGATGTATTCGATTCATTAGTTGTTAGTTAGAAGTATCAAGAGATCGAGGAAGGAAGAGAGAGAGAGAGAGAGAGAGAGAGAGAGAGAGAGCGAGAGAAAGGGAGAGAGATAAAGAGAAGTTTCTTATTATTATTACACAATTGATGTTATGCTATGCTCTATATGCACCATATGAACGGAGTGACAGAAAAATAGAGAGTATGAGTTACGGGGAGCAACACGTATAACAGTTTTGTATAATTTCTGAGAAATTCATATAATGAGAATGGCACACGTTTAATATAACAGTAAATCGTAATATATATGGCTATTAGAACAGTATGGCATGTAAAACAAGAAACGTATAACATATTTTTATGTGCACATGAAACGATGATGTCGCTTTCGATAATAGTTTTTCTTGAAGTGGGTTGAATTTTGGTTAGTGTTCTGGTTCAAGTTCTAGCAGATAATCTACGACTCGTAATTGTTGTAACCGGTTGCGGGAATTTATGTTTGAATAGTTCACCTTTTGGCTGCGCTTCGTTGACCGCCTGGCGAATCTCATTGATCAGCGTCTTGCAGTTGATCGCAGCGGCGCTTTGGCTCTTGTTGATCTCCGTGTAATCATCGCTGGAATGGCGCGAGGAGCCGTCCCCAAGCCGTCTGTAAAATTCCGAACGTATAACAGAGTTTGTAAACAGTGCGTGTTCAGTATGTATGTGTGTGTGTGTGTCTGTGTTATCAATCACCCACCTCTCACGATCGGACAATGCCTGATTGAGCTGCTCAGTGAAACTGGAGGCGGGCAACTTGCCGCCATTGGGCGTCACACGTCGCCGACTCGGATACATCCAGTTCTCACCCTGATCATTCTCCGATAGCTTATCATTAGAGCCCACAATTGAGTCGTATGAGCTGTTGAGATCACGATTGCTGTCACTGCCCCCGCCGCCTCCGGCAGTGCCAAAGGTTGTCATGCTTCCCCGATGAAAGTCATTCAATCCACCTCCATTATCGGCCGGCGATCCCAGCGTAGTCTTAAATAAACTCGATGCCTGCTGTTGTTGAAACTGTTGCTGTTGTTGTTGTTGTTGTTGCTGCTGCTGCTGCTGCTGCTGTTGCTTGCTGGGATCCTTGTGTACCTGGGCATAAAGTTGATTGATTTGAGCCTCGCGCGCTGTCGACTGATTCGATGAGCTGGACGAAGCCGATGAGGTCGAGTTCAGCAGTATGGCCGTTGTTGTGCCCAGATGCCCGTTGGAGACAGGCACGATGCCGGTGCCAATGATCGCATTCGAAGCGGGCGGATGATGCTGCAGCAGATTGTTCACATTGGCCAGCAGATGCGAGTTGCCATTGGAGAGGCTAATGCTGTCGTAGCCAGTAGTGGGCGCAGCACTCGTTGCCAAAATGAGCGGAGATTGCTGCAGTTCCGCATCCTCATCACTGTCATCCAGGGTGCAGTCGGAGCTGCGACTATTGCTTCTGCTGCGCTTGCTCAGATTGCCATTGGGCAGCAACTCAGTGGCGCCGTTTATGATGGTGTTGCTGTTGCCACCATTGGACACGTTCGACGAGGGCAGCTGGCGATTAGCTAGACCACCACGGGAGGCTTTTGTTTAGATGTTTGTTATTCGTTTCGAATTTTTGTTGTTATAATTTTTGATATTTTGTTGCAATTCATTTCGTTGTTGTTATTGATTTTTTTTTAAAATTATTTTTGGGAGAATAGCGGTGGGTGTGGAGGCGCAGCGGTGTGGGCGTGCGAAATATAAATCAAACGACCGAGAACAAATATGGAAAGCACACGCAGATAAGCAAAACACAAATAAAATTATGCATTGAACATTGAACAGTAGCAGCAAAGCGCCCAAAGCACAGTGAGAGAGTGAATGAAAAGAAGAATGACAAAAAACATTTAGCACAAGGACAAAAGCGTTTACGCTACATTAATAAACGAAACAACACTCAATCAAAAAATTCCACACACAACAAAAATAATATATAAAAAACATATTGATGAAGTGCGAGGAGCTGAATGAATAACTGATTGGTTCATTGGTTTAATAGTGCACTCACCCAGCTCGATCTTCGTTTTGTTCACGGAATTGTCGAGTAGTTCGTGTTGTGGCACAGCTGCATCCAGCTCATCCTTAACGGGCACTTTCCGTTCCACGGTTGCCGTTTTGACCCCGTCGCCATCAGGTGATAGATCCGAAATTTCCGTATCGGATAGTTCCGTTTCCAGCTTGTGGAAGAGGGGCTTTGGCGGCGTCTTACGCATCATTTGGGGTGTTAGCTTCAGAGTGGCACTGTCGTATGGCAAACCCACTGGAAAGCCGGCCTTGCGTTGTGTTTCTTGGAGCTCATGCTCCAGATTGATGACACGATCCTTGAGCTTCTTCACGAGCGCATTGTACTCGGTGTCCTTCTCCTGCAGCAGCTGCTGATAGAACTCCTCGCGATGGCACATGTCCAGCTCCCGCTGCTGATACTCGCGCACCAGTCGCTTGGCCTTGTTGTACTTTTTGTCCAGCGCCATATACTGGGCCTGCGACTGCTGCAACATGTTCTGCAGATTGGCCGCTTCCTTCTTAATGTTGCCCAGCTCCCGTTCACTTTGGCGCAGTCTCTCGCTCAGCAGTTCATTTTCATTGCCCGTCGTCTCCAGTTTGACCAACTATACGTGGAATGAGGGAATTAATCAATTAGATTTGGGTTGCGTATTTTGTCTTGTGCAATGTATGAGATGAAATGATATTGATAACGAAATAATAACAAAGAACATAAAACAAAATTGTAAAAAACCAACCTTTCTCTTAAGATTTTGTATAATTTCTTCCTTAACCATGCAACCCATTTCGCTCTGGATGGAGTAAAGTACAAATTAAATTATAAAAGAAAAGAATTAAAATCAAAATATAATAAAATAAAATATAATAATAATAAGATTAAATACTGACTACGACTAATTCGTCTACTAATGGTTTGCAAGACTCGACACATTCACATTTGAAACAATCAGCTCAAATCATTTCCAAGTTTTAGGGCTACTCCCATTTAAGCAAATTAAACATTTTTAAAAATTTAACAAATGACGAAATGGTGCTCTACGTATAATTTTTGTTTTTCTTAGAGAATCTTCATATTTTTATGACCAATTACCGCTTTATGCTGCGTTTCAATTTCCGCGTAGTAAAATTTTTTAAATTCAGCAAAAGGAGAAAAAGAGAACAAAATTTTAGCACAGTTTCAAATAGACTTTGTCATTTGAGACTTGCTGGGGGTGGTACAACATACCTCCTGTAGGAGCCGCTTAAGCGACTCCACCTCTTGTGAGTGTGTTGCCTCGACCTCCATAGGGTGCTCAACCTGTACGGGACTGGACGGTCCCTCGCAGACACTTGAATTGGCCGAAACCGGCTGTGTAGAGTCCTCTGAGTAGTCGAGCGTGCGACGGAGGTACTCTTCTTGTTGGCTAAGCGAGCAGAAGGAAGAGTTCACAAAAATGTTCTCTTAATCGTTTGAGGGTCCACTTACCGTTTAATGCGCTCTTCTTTCTCGCGGTCTGCTTGGAGACTCAGTCTAATGAGTTGGGCAACTTCCGAGTTTTCGGGATCACGTTCCCGACCAATTTGAAATTTGACTAGACCGGATGTATTGCGTAACACTGAAGCTGCATAGGCCTGGGTAACACCCACCAGACTCTTGCCATCCACCTCGATTATCTGATCGTTGACCTAAAGTGAAAATATTGCATAAACGCTATAGATATTGCAGAAAATTGACTTTACTCACTTGAATGCGTCCGTCACGTGCTGCGGCGCCGTTGTCCGTGATCGTTTTAACAAATATACCCAGTTTTTCTAAGCCAGCATCTGCGCCAACGCCCATGCCAATAATGCTGAGACCCAAACCCTCAGGACCTTTCATCAATTCAACGGGAAAGACGTGCATCTTCTCGACACGCTTCTCCAGTTCATATTCGGCCGAAGCGGCCACCGGATCAACATCTTCATTGCGGCGATCGTAGTCGGTCACAGAGAAAGTTGAGTAAACGTGTATGGGACCCGAGCTGAAGCGAACCTTTGGATTCTTTCGAACTGTGATCGGTTGATAGGAGCAGTCGTCGTCGTCAAAGTCTAGCAGACCTTTTAAATATATTGAAAGTGACGAATTAATGCAAAGGCTACAAGAAAAATAGTCAACTCGACATACCTGGCACTTCCATCCAAAAATTGCCATCCTCAAAATAATGCACGCCCGCCTCGACAAGGACCTCCTTGCTTCGAACCGGCGGATACTCCGGTATATAGAACTGGCTATCGTCCAACTCAGTGATGCCCGTGCTTAGAACCGTCGAATTGGTGGCCTGCTCAACGTCCCCTAATGAATATGTGGAGTTGTGCTTGCTGGAGATAATGCTGTCATCGATAGTGGTCGTCTGATTGAATGTGGCATCCGATTGTGTGGACTCCACGGACACAATTGACTCGTGTAGAGACTCACCGGTCACATAGGTCTGATTCAAATCGGAATATTTGCCAGCCTCGTAGCCATTATCGAGTTCAACACGGTGTGACGTTGAACTTATTAGAAGATTCTCTAAGCTACGCTTTGGCGCCTCGAGCACATCACGCAGCCACTCCGGTTCATCGTCGTCGTGCCTTGTTGTTGTTGTTGCCGTTGCAGTCGATGGTGTTGTTGTGGTTGTTGTTGGCTCTGTCTCTGTACTATCTGCCTTAGCAAAGGTGACATTCAATGCTGATGCTGATGCTGTTGTGAGTGGTGCATGTCCGATGCCGACAATGTCCACAGCCTCGACATCATCCGAATCGAAGTCGTCGTCGTCGTCCAGCTGCTGTTCTTCCTCTTCCTCTAGCGTCGTCTCTTCCTCGTCCGCGACGACCGCAGGCACAGCAGCAATTTGTATGTCCTGGGGGAGGACTGGACTGACTTTGACTGCAACTGTCGCAGGAATGTTGTCCTTCGCCGCCTTTGGTTGCTCCTGTTGCTTAATGGGATTCTTGATGCTGGTGGGCGAAGTTGCTGTGGCAACAACGGCAGCAACAGCCACGCCCACGTTGGGAGACGAGTTCAGTATCTGCTCAACTTCTTTGGCCTGTTCGTCGGATAGCAGCGACTGTTGCCTGTCAATTGAGAATACGAATACGAAAACTTTAACATTCTGTTGCATTCCATCAATCATTATCAAAAATTAACATTCTGTTGCACATACATTGTGCAACGTTCTGTTACTGTTACGAACCTGATTTTGTTTTCCAAAATGCTACAAGGCACGAGACATAAACATACATACATAAGCACATGGCAATTGTAGGACAATGGACAGAGGCAATTACGAGTTTTAATGCAAGAGCAAATCATAAATAAGAGAAATGGAAAGAACAAGGCAAAAATATATATATGTAATTATAAAAAATACTATATAAATAAATACATGCAAATCAAATTACGAGGTAAGCTTAAGTTTAAATGAATATAGACTAGACATGCACATATAAATCAAATTATTATTATTTAAAAATTAAAAACAAGAGAAATTATCATAACACAGAAGTGGTAATCTATCGTTGCATAACTAAGCTACCTTCCCTACCCATAACTATGTTGGGTATATCACAATGTTGCCCATTAAATATGATGTTTAAGTGTAATATAATAAACTCGCCCACATACAAGCGGATTTAAAATACTGTACGGAGTGTAATAAAGATGTACGGAATTCCAAATTAAACATGTACGCTTACACAAGCATGTCACGCCTGGACTGGGAAGGAGTGAGCTGAGAGGGGGAGTTGGACTGACTGAAAATATAGCGCATACGCCACGTTGCATACACAACAGCAGACACCTGAGCAGTTCAGCAGTTTTGAGCGGCGCTGCGAGACTGAGATAGAGAGACTTGTCGAATGGTAGGACGATGGCAAATTTTAGTTGCTGGGTGCATTTAACGGTTAAGTGTGTTTCGTCACTCTCGTCTGAGCGTGACGTCACGTGGTAGCAGCAGGACTCAACTATGCACAGTGTACTCTGTGCTGTGTGTATGCTCGGTAATTAGTGCCAACAATTGGCAAAGTTGTTTGGGTGGTTGTAGCCCTTAGTTGCTAATCAACTAAAATACATACACCCACACACAAGCACATTTACTTCGTGTACTTATTTTTGTTTGTTTGTTTTTATGTTGCATGTGGCATGTTGCAAGTGCTTCATTATATTGTGCATAATGAGCCAAGCTGCTGCTAGAAAACAACAACAACGCACTCCACAACTAGCAGCACAGAAGTTTAGATTTGTACCATGACAATTATTCTTGAGGATTAGACCAACTATTTTATACAGTCGCTATTAAACTGATATATTGTTGAGTTCTATTTCGTTTTATGTGTTATACTTCAATTTAAACTCCCTGATATCTGTATGTGTCATGCATTTATATGAGCTTTACAACTAAATTTAAATATTTGCCATGCAAGTTACATGGGCGACGTTTAATTGGCTTAGATTTTCCAATTCGAATCGCACCTGTCTGCGGCCGGGAACATTTCAAAATAATAATTAAAATGCTACATAAATGTTGCCGTGCAACACAATTTATGAACCATCCTAGCACTTAATGCAATGAAATTCAAAACTAACTGTTTGCAGAGTTTCTAACGTCCTTTTTTCTAGCCTAGGGGACTAAAAGTCGCTCTTAAATTTTAAACTGCTTATGCTTATGGAAGTGTATTTTATTCCCCAAAAACTAAAGAAAGGAATTTTAGAGACAACTCAACTCCAGCAAACAATGATATTCTTACTTAAAATACTTGTTTTGAAAATCAATGAAAATCAAATATTACGTGTACGACTGGAGTGAGAATTATAACCATGAAAAAAAAACTATTTGCCAAGCCCCGCAATACCAAGAATAAGTGTAAAAAAACAAGGTGTTGTTTTTGAGTTGTTCGTAAGCAAAGAAAATATTAATGTTTGCCAAAACTGCAATCACAGTTTACTGACAGTTTTTAAACAATTATAAATAGTTTAAAAATCATTACATATGTAACTTTTATCCCGATATTAACATTAAGTTGGATCTTCGTTGTTTTTGTTGGGAAAACAAACGTGAAACGAAAGAGCAACAGAAGGACGCGCGGCAAAGCCGATGTTGCTGTTGTCCTTTGTTTTTGCTATCGGTAAACACTTTTTGTTGCCCACTTATTGGGGCAATGCACATTGGGAGAAGTCACACATGAGAAAATGACGTAAAGTTAAACAAACACGTGTGTGTGGATGTGGAAAACAAGGTCAATGCGTATTGTTTTGTCACACGATTTTAATTCATTTAGATAACAACAAAACATGCAACGTGGCAACCACAATGAAATTAAGAGCATTCATTGTGCCACAAAAGAGCAGCCCAAGTAATTGCTAACCACACTCAAAATCACTCTGTCGCTCTCTCTCTCTCTCAATTTGGTATTGTTGAGTGCATTTTTAGTTTATTTTGAGTGCAATTTGCAAGGTTGCGTCTCAATAACCACTCACACGCGATGACGTCAGACGCCAGACTCTCAGCCATTGTGATAAATATAATAAAATCATTGTGCTTTGCTTTACTATTTCCTAGCCTCTTAAAGAGGGCAGCTGTAGCTGCAGCTTTTCTACTTTGATAATGGAAGGCAGTTAACTTTTTAAAGCACCTTTGTGTAAAGACTGTGATTTGCAGCCTGGTTTTGAGCTTGAAGCCTCTGCCACCCCCTCAAAAAATAGAGGGGCGAGGAGTTAAGGTGAACGCTGACACTGTTTGAATGAACACAAACTCAATTCGCAAATATCTTTGACAAACGCATTGTAAGTACGTATGGATGATGGATCGGATAATCGTTTTAGAAATTCGAACATGTTTCAATTCAAATAAATTCAAATTATAATTGCAAACACGTACGTCATGCCAGATTACATTTCCAAGAACAGACGCTGCACACCAAAATACGCATCGAGTAAATCACAAATGGCACAGACCTGACATACTCTACACAGTGTGGAGTGAAATGGTGGCAGCGGAACAGCGTTCGAAATATCAGATACACAACAATTATAATTGAGCTATACTTAACTTCCATTAACATTATAACGCATATCGACAAAAGAGCAGTAATTTGTGTGTAGGGTCCAATTTGACGCCTTTCTCTATATATCATTTTTTTTGCAAAGTTTCAAAGTGCTTTACAGAATAAAATGGAAGCTTGCCACGTGCATCAGCTTCCGTCATCAGGCTGCAAGCAAGGCAGTCAACGGGGCAGCTATAGAAATAAGCAGGAAGTGAAGCGGTAACAAGGGAAGCGCAGGAAGGCTGCTGTGCTATGCTGTGAAGGGACCTCTTTATATTTGCTTCACTTCAATTAGGAATTCTTATTTGCATTTTAGTTATATTTCTCATTTTCCACGTAGCGCATTGCATTACAAAAAAATCGAGAATTTGCCCTGGACTGAGGCTCAGTTGGTAAACATGAAGCTTAACAACCATAAAAAGTACTAAAGAAACGATTGAACTACGACTTAAACTAAAGTGACTAATGGCAACTAAACTGTCCAAGTGCTTCTCTTCACACATTCAGAATTTATCCAGCAAACTGCATTCCATGCAAATGGAAGCCAGCAATAACTTGGCCAGGCGACATGTGTCAAGGACAAACGCATTTGGGTCCCACAACTGGGCGAATTGCCAAAAACAAACTGGGACTTAAAACCCTCTCCACTTCTCTAAGAGTGCCTAAAAGGGAAATGAGCATCGCCCGAGGCTCTGCACTTGAGGTGTCTTTTTGACAAGGACATCGTCCATATTTTGTACTTAGTTTGGACTTTTGGCAACGGCTTGACGATATAAATTCATGAACAATCACCACGAGTTACAGTAGTGGGGAAGTTTTTAATTTTAGCATTGGATATTCAACAGTTTAGGATGGATGCTCTGCAATAGGTTGCTGCAGCAAAATTCCATTTCATCAATTTGTTTCAGCATTTTGTAAATTTTTTTTGGGTTTCCCCTCGGAAAGCAATATCAATTGAAATTTATTTTTATCACTTATTTTCATAAGCCCTAATCGTCCTTTACTGTCACCATATTCCAAATTGCAATATCTTTTGCAACCATTTGGCGCAGGTGTCTTTGCAATTTAAATTAAATCGGCTTGGGAGGCGCGATTGCAAAAATTAACTTGACCCAATGAAATTAGAAAGAGCAATAGCAGCCAGAAGAGTTGGAAGAGAGGCCGGAATTGTCGTCTGAAATTATGTGTGAGGGGTTGCTGCTGCATATACATTAAATGGTTTGTCCTTTTTTATATATTTATGTTTTATTTAAAATAAGCGAATGAAACTTTAAATGTTTTTCTGTTATAAATTTGACAATGGCAAGTTTTAGTTTTGGCCAAATGTTAAAAGGAGTAGTAGAAATAAAGATGACAGCAACTGTTTGTCTGGGTTAAACGAAAAACTTGTCTCGTGTGGCTTGTTTGCAACCATAGAAATTTAACAGAAGACTAACGAGCCACATAAAGTCAGAGCAGTTGCATCAGTGATATTGTGGGCTAAAATGCTGGGGCCATAAAACAGAGCTTCACCATAAGAATATATTGAACTGTTAACTATTCTTTGGCCGTCAACAGACTGTTGACAATAATCCTCATCGTATTTTGCACCTACCAAATAAAATGATGGGAATTCGATTTTCTTTAGATACTTTTTTTTACTTTCGTGAGCATTTGGTGCGCGCCTGAAATAATAATTATAGCTCGACAATTTATTCACACGCGACGTATATACAATGGCTTAATAAATCAACTGTTTTTTTCTCGTATCGATAAAAGTGAACTTTGTTATTTTTCGCTGGGTTTCGACTTTTCAATATTGTTATGCTTACGCGCAAAATGAACGGAAGTTTGAAAGAAGTTTAGCAACGCAACAGCAAAGCGACAGGCGAACGAATGGCGGCCATGTGATTGGGTTACTTGAATTCTTGCAGGCAACAACAGCTGCTGCTTATGCTGCAAACTGTACAAGCAACACTCAAAAACTGCAAACGGAAAGCAACGAGCCAACGAGCTGAGTTGTGAGAGAGTCATCAGCCAAGAGACAAATGAGACGGCAAGAGAAGAGATGAGGCTCACTCAGCAAACACAGCAGTCGCAACTCACTGACTCAGACTCGTTCTCTTTTGATTCTTAATTCACAATGTGTGTAGCACACTCTTGAGTGAGTTTTGGTTGAGTCAGTTTCACTGCGAGTTACTTAATTGTCTACACGAAATCAAGTGAAACAGTTGACTATTATTATTAATTATTATTAGAAAATACAGTGAAATTGTAGTTATAAACTGAGCAGTTTAGTTTTAGCGTGGCTACTGCCGTTCAGCTATAAATCATAGATTAATTGGAGTACGTACGTCTGTACAGACTGCCCGAAAATGAGATGCCCTGTGACATTTAGACATCGAGAAACGAATAGCTACCTAAGGGATCGGCTTAAATTCAAGTTCCCATATCTCCACACTTATATATTATAAAATGTATATTATTGCCAACACTGTTGAAATTTATATTAACCAAAATTGGTTATTTGCACGATAAATTGCAATAATATACTCAAATCCTACAATTCATCCGAACCCATTTACATCGTATAAGTAAGTCCGCATTTCTGCCTGATAAATAGCCAAGTCTGAATCTTCCAAGTGTTGGAAATTGCATTTTAATTCGTTCGGAGAGTTTTAAAAAAGGAAGACTCATACACACATAAATCAATAGTAACTCAATTTAGGGAACAGTATCGGGAGAAGCAGAAGCAGAAACAGCCCAGAAGTCAAGATGAATGAGCGCGAAAATCTACTTGCAGCAAAGCTGCAACCAACCTGCAGGTGTCGAGATAGATAGTCCAGATATGGAAGCTACAACACACAGCTGCCACACTTGTGTGTCACACACCTGCCAGCTCTGTGTCTGTGTGTGTGTGTGTGTATGTATGCAAGTTTATAAAATTGATTCAAGGTAGCCAAACAAAGCAAAAACTGCATTTTGTGGTTCGAGCTCCAAGCGACGATATTAAACAAATTGATGCATGGCCGGACGATAAGTAATAAAGGTGCACAAAAATCCAGTCAATGGGCAAAAGGTCAACGTTTGGCAAAGAAATGGAAGTCACTTTATGTGAAATTAGAAAAATGCTAGTTCGTCGAAAAGTTTTTTGACCTGCAATGCAAAACAATTCCTTGAAAATCAAAGCAAACATGAAAAAGTTTTCAGCGAAACCGGAAGGTACTAGAAGTTACTGAGCGACAAACGACAATTTGACTTTCAATTAAAATGTTGATAATAATGGATGGAGATGGAAGTATGGCCAACATTATGAATAGCAAGCAGAAGGTTGCTTTGAATTACACTTTGGCGTGCATACTCGAGTTTAAACCCGAGCCAGAGGCTAATACATATAATATAAAGACGAGGGCACTTAAGGCCAGCCAAAGGAAACGGTAGTAAATATTTGTACAAGTTGTGATTCAGACAAACCGGAAGCAAAGGATAACATAAAGTAACTAAGATTAAGACAGAATAAAAACTAACTAACAGAGCTATAAAACTAACTGCTTGGACTTTGGTGGTGAGCACAAGCTAGATACCCCTCAAATTAACTGAACAAGTAAGAAAAAGTTAAGTTCGATTAAATAATTGTGTGAATTACTTTAAGCATTTTTTAATCTACATGAAATGAAAAATAATTAAATTTGGAGCACTTAAGCAAACTGTCATTATGTAATGATTAATTAGTTGGTTTAAGTACTTTGATTTTGAAGCTTAGCAACTAAGTTAGGCTAAATTAATATAGATAGCTTAAAAAGTGTATAAACATGCATCATGAACTAAGATAAGGACATGGAAAGATCAGTAGCCAGAGCCAGAGCAATTATATCATAGCCGTAAGAGGACTCACCTTGAACTCAACAATCGCTCTGCCTCGGCTGCTGTCATGGCATCTGGCAACAAGCTGTCATCTCGGGGCTTAACTGCATCCGAAGCGGAAGCAGCAGTGGCAGTGGCAGAAGTAGTCGAAGCAAGGGAAGCTGGCACTGCTGCAGAGGTGGCAACATGCAGCTTGATCGCCTCATCGACAACATCATCGTCACGCAACTGTTGTAGAAGATCCTCCTCATCCTCACCGGCACTGGTGGCTGCATACTCCACATCCTGTAGCTCCAGCGAAGGTGCACGGTGTTCTGGCAAAACGGGCGCCACCTCGTTCAAGACCTCCAGATATTCGACTGCTAGTTGTTCGTCCTCCTGCTCCTCCAGATTCAGTGCTTCCCCCACCTCCTGCTCCTCCTCCTCATGGCCATCTATGGAGGCAATGGGCGCAATACCCTTGCCCAACGCACCAGCAGCACAAGCTGCTGAAATGGGAGGAGTGGATTTTGTGTTGCACGTCTCACTTGATCCGCCATTTTGTTCGCAGTTGCGTCGCCTAATGGGCGATACGACGCCCACGGGCGGCGAGTTGTAGACGCCACGATGTAGGGGCGATCCATCCATACTCGATGATATGGGCGACTGCAACAGACCACGTACCGGCGTCGCCAACTGCGTCTCCTGCTGCTGCTGTTCGGGCACGATGATCGCATACAGTGTGCTCGACTCCTGCACGAAGCCGTTGGCGCCGTGGAATTTGCGCTGCATATCACTCACCTTGGCCGTCACATAGAGATCCACCTCGGAGCTGAACACATCGCGCGACTCGCTACCATCGGGATTGAGACGGTAGGCCACATCCACATAGTTCAGGCTGTGTGCCTGCTCCTCTGGTTTAGTGTTCACCTCGGGTGCAGTCTCATCGTGGCAGCACTCCTTCTCCTCTAGGCTGGCCGTCGAGATGATGCTGGGTGGACGCTGACCCAGTCCGGCCGCAGGCATATTCAGAGTAATACTGCTCCGCTTGTTGGCCACACGCTGTGGCGAGCCGTTGATGGAAGTGGGGCTGGAATATTGTGGTTGTTGTTGCTGCGTTTCCGGTTCGTCGACAGGCTTTTGCCCTGCAAAGCAAGATCAATCACAAACAATCAATGATCAATCACATAAAATAGCAAATATGAGCTCTTAAATAAAAAAGAAACTAAATAAGTATCGATTTGTAGTTCCTTCTGATGGATAATATCAAAATTTGCAATAGCTGAGAGAAATATTCATTTAATCATACGAAAAGTAATTTTCCACTTAATTTAAATAGTAGCCTTATCCTCAATTCAAGTAGTGACTAAGTTATCGAGACTCTCTCGCATGATATCAGCGCCTAATGTTTATTACTCAGCCAAATAACTGGAAAATCAAGCACAGGAGATGAGAGGGTGATTGAAGTGGTTAGTTTTCAATTTGATAAAAGTTTGACTAAAGCGTTTTGCATCTTCAGGAGCATATAGATGCGATTTTCTTCGGGACCAGAACACAAATTTGCTTTCAATTGGGGATCTTTGGGTCTGTGTCGTGCATACAATTCTCGATAGCGGCTCAACTCTAACTCGAGGATTTCATTCGTCTCCCGACATGTCTCGCCGCGCAGTTCAGCCTTGATAGTCTCCAGCAGGTAGTTCATATTCCTGCGCACATGCTCGTCCATCGGCTTGCGGTGATTTCTGTGTCCAATAATCTTAAATTGCTCGGATTTACCACGTGCCGGCACTGGCACTGGAACTTCTGTACGGACTGACAACTGGAGACTGGAGCTGGTGCTGCAATGTGGGATATATGAGAGATTGCTTGATGTGAACGACGAGGCGTGTAGCTGAGCAAAATGCCTGGGCACAAGTTTGGGCCTCGATCTATATTTCATCGTGTGCAAGGGGGTCTTGTGTGCAACCCGTCGCTTGCTGCAGCCACCAGCATAGCGGGAATCAGTTGCTGACACATCACAAGATTGTTGCTCAGTTCTTGATGTCCGATTGCTGCAAGTGCAACCGAATATCTCCGACTTTTGCAGCATCAGGCTGTTCATCGTTTGCCAGGCACTGATGTTTGCTATTGCAGATGTGTTGAGTGATTTTGAATCAAGTATTTCAGTAAAGTCCACCCAAACGAGTTCATCCGGAGGTACTTCATTAAAAATGCCCCGCAGAGATTTCTGATTGAAACACACACTGAGGTGACTCATGTAGACATGGCGCATCCGGAGCTCATCAAGTGTCTCACACTGCCAGGTGCTCAATCTTTTGTACCAATGCAGGGCTAGTTGGTAATCCGTCGACTTTGGACAGAAGGCGTCGTCGGGCATTGGCGACACAGCGAGCAGCAGCTGGAAATCATTCTTGAACACTTCTAGCGTTTCATAGTCATCGCCATCGTTGTCCCAAAGATGAGAACGACTCGATTGCGATCGAGATCGATACCTTTCCTTCTGGTTAATGCTCACCTTGCTGCTCTTCCCGTGCAGCCCCACCTCGGACGGAGGTTCGCCAAGCTTCTCTTCGCTGCGCTTTTCCTTGACACGCTTCGTCTCAGATTTCTCATCCCTACGAGATTGTGGCCCAGGTACACTATAGCCAGTGGCCATTTCAGCAGAGGTAACCTCCTGGCAGGGAGTTCGCTGATGGTATCAATGAAAACTGCACCTTCGTTAGCTACACAAATGGTGTTTCAATTTTGTATTTGAATTTTGGGTGCAATTTGAAATTTGAAATTTCATTTGATTGTTTTAATGAGAATAAATGCAAAGATTTATTGGTTGAGCGAGTATGTAAAGAGAGGGCATACAGACATTTTAATCGATTTGATTTTTGGTGATTTCTCATATTTAAGTCCTGACCCTATGACAATTCTGGCACTGTCGCACACTTTAAAGGAAATAAGTAAATAGAATTAATCCTTAAAACTTAAGTTGACATATTCGATGGTAGCTTGGAATTTTTTGAATGAATATGTTCATAACATATTTTTTAACTTAAATTTGATTTTACACGTAATTGTTATTTTATTAAAAATCAATTAGCCGATGAGCTAACTCTAATTTAAATAGGACTTAAATATTTTGAACGATGCCAGTGAAAATACCCCTGTTCCAGTAGAAAGCTAAACATACTGAGATGAATGCCAATGATCCACAAAAAGAATGCGCCCTGTAGAATGTCCAAAGTGAGAACCACACGCTTCTTGCGCCACTCCTCGGAATCGGCATCCTCTGCCTGTATGTACGTTTGCTCATTCAGATCCTCAAAGAACTCATCGGATTGTGAAGAGGCTCGACTGCGTCGCAGCACGTCCATGCGCCACCAGTAATCGAGTAAGCCGTGCTCGAAGAATGCGCTCAACATCCCCTGGAACTTGTAGCGAAAAGGCGAGCCCTGCGGAAGGATATAGGTGTTCGGCATAGATCTCAGATACTGTTTGACAATGTGATAGACAGAACGCCCCACATCTGAATTGTAGGTGAGTGCCAGGAATTCTTTGGCCTTATCGTCACGCATAATGAAAGCGTCTCTTCTGTTTCGACGGCTCACCGACAGCTCATAGAAACTGTCGCTATCCTTGAGGGGATGCTCCTGTCGATTAGCTGCGAGCAAATTATAGTGGCGCTCCGAGAGTGACGTATTCACAGCATCAAACAGGGTATTTATTCCGTGCACACTCAGCAGACCACCTGGTGTAAGCTCATCCAGAGTATCCACCTGTGCCTGGTAGCTTGGCTGTACAAAGCTGCTCTCCAACTTGCCAAAGTAAATGGTTGTTAAAACGTAGCTGAAGAGGATCCAACCCATGAGAAAAGTGCGAATAGAACTATTTCTTGAGAACCGATCAACGGGTTGACCCAGAAGCGTTTTGAAAAACAGTTCGAAGATATCATACCAACGACCAGTCTGGCCGATAATTCTCCAAAGCAGCCATTGCAGTCCAGCGAAAAGCATAAGAACAATCAGGAAGTTAGCCAGTAAAAAGTGCCACACGGAACTATGAAAGGCAGACACAAATATAAGATATTCTGGTTGCATTCCCGCCGCCGGAACAACCAAACAGATGAGGCCTCGGACATAAGGATATAGACTCTCTACGTGCGGCAACACGCAATCCATGACGAAGCGCAGGTTTAATCCAATGTGTGTGTCGCCACTTAACAGATCATGAACGACGCCTGAGAAACTTCCATTTGGAAGACAGCGGCCATAGGCCTCCCCGTCAGGTGGTGCCACGTACCGGGCTGTGGCATTCAACTGTTGTGCCATCAATCGCGCTACTGTTCCATCAATGGCATCATAGCCGGCACTCTCCACAGGCTTCAGAGGCAGAGCCCGCAGAGGGTGACTGAACATCGAGAAGCGGAGTTCAGAGCCACGCCAATTCCTCAATTTGTCAATGTAGAAGACTTCACTGGATGGGGATAAGTTTGTCAATTGTAAACCTTCATCCGAAAAAGGTTGAAAGTCGTATATATCCCCTGGCTTGGTAATAGCCAGCGCAAAAAGCAACTGCTTCTGCCAGCAACCCATAAAAAGTTCCTTTAGCTGCTGCTCACTAGCTCCAGGCCATATGAATAGATATTTGTGGTAGTGACGTCGTGGCTGTTTAGGATTCAGCATGTCCAGAATACGACGCACCAAAGGCTGGCCAGTGTCGCCGCCGGGTATATGGAAAATATTCATGCTTGCCGTCTGACGAAGTGGCTCCAACTCGTGAGCCTCTAGGCTGCGCATGCAGCTGGGCAGACGGGAGGCCACACAGCGATGCAACAACTGCTCCAATGACTCAAAGGAAGCCGAATCAGAAGCTGGACAGCTCGCACAGCGATAGATGTAGGTGATTTGAGCGGACTGTGCGACGGCAATCTGGCAGCTTATGTCTGACATCTGTAGAGTAGCTTGAGCAGTGATAGCGACAGGGGGAGTTTTTGTGCTGTTTGACAATCCAATCAGAAGACCAAGTAATAGCCACATATTGCAAATGCTGCCTGACACTCAATTTCACGAACAAGTTAGTAATGATTCCTCTTTGAAAGCACTGGCATTAGTTGAACGTGAATTAGCCATGCGAGTTGTTAATTAAAACAAAACAATGAGTACATAAGAGCCAAAGGGAATACATATAATAAAAACGGTCTAGATGAAAAATGGTTGGTCAACAAAAGTAAAGCGGAAGGTAAGGACTATCCCGTCCTCATGAATACCTAGAAGTCTGATGGTATTTCACCAGTAGTTAAAAAGTTATCTTTATATATAGACACAATTTTTCATAATCTTTAATTTTTAGATGAGATATATACTAAAGAAATAAATTATTCTTTACTAACCTCGACAGGCTTGATAGAGTTTGCACAAGCTCAGACACATTTTTACTTAATCAGACATAAACATTAAAACACAAAGTGTTACAAATCGTTCGTGGCTGAAGTTTTACACATTTTGTTACCACACTATAAAATGCTCAAGATTCGGTTAAAAACTCAAATAATGTTAGAACGTGCACGCCGCAAAAGCTGCCAGTGAAAATATCCCTGTTTCAATAAGAAAGCGAAGAGGCTGAGTAGGAGGCCAATGGCCAACAATTAAAATGCACCCTGTAAACTGGGCAGAGTGAGAACAACTCGCTTCTTGCGCCACTCCGCGGAATCGGCATCCTCTGGCTGTAGGTTCGACTGCTCACCAAGTTCCTCATGGAACTCATCGGATTCTGTCGCATTACGTCCTTGCGCCACCAATATTCGAAAAATTCGTGCTCGAATCAAGCGCTCAAATCACCTGGAACTTGTTGATGAACGTGGAGTCCAGGGCCAAGATATAGGTGCTCGGCATAGATCTCAGATACTACTTGACAACATGATAGGCAGGACGTCCCACCTCTTGTAGGTGAGTGCCAGGAACTCCATAGCCATATCACGGCGCATGAAGTAGTATGCCTTCTTATTTCGAAGACTGATTGCAAGCTGAAAGATGTGGTCGGTGTTATTAAGCGAATACTCTCAGCCTATTGTAATGCCGCTCCGACAAGGAAAAATTCACAGCATCAAATGTATTTCTCATTCCTAGTAGACAGGCTGTACAAAGCTGCTCTCCAACTTGCCAAAGTAAATAAAAGTCAACACACACACACAATACACACGGATCCAACCCATGAGAAAAGTGCGTATAGAACTATTTCTTGAGAACCGGTCAACGGGTTGACCCAGATGCGTTTTGAAAAATAATTCGAAGATATTCCAATAGGCTGCCCGATAATTCTCCAAAGCAGCCATTGCAGTACAGCGAAGAGCACAAGAACAATCGGGAAGTTTGCCCGTAGAAAGTGCCACACGGAACTATGAAAGAAAAATATGATATATTCTGGTTGCATTCCCGCCACACGCATAACCAAGCATATGTGAAATTGGATGTAAGGTTCCACGTGTGGATAAATGCAATCCAAGACGAAACGCAGGTTTAATCCAATGTGTGTGTCGCCACTTAACAGATCATGAATTACGCCTGAGAAGCTTCCATTTGGAAAGCAACTGCTTCTAACAGCAAGTCGTAAAAAGTTCCTTTAGCTGTTGCTCACTAGCTCCAGGCCATATGAATAGATATTTGTGGTAGTGCGGTCGTGGCTTCTTAGGATTCAGTATGCTCAGAATACAACGCACCAAAGGCTGCCTAACGTCGTCGGCGGGTATGTGCATTTGCAATGTGGCACCTTATTGCAGCCATCTGCAATCCAGTTCCAATCCAATTGTATGGTGGTGCTGTTGAACAGGCGAAGCAGGAGACCAAGTAGTTTAAAACATTTTGCCAATGCCGACTAACCAGAGCCACACTCGATGGCAGATGGTGATTGGAATAGGACACCCTTGCGTATACTTAATGTCAATTAGAAGTGAGTCGTGACTCGTTTAAAACAAGCATGAATACTTAATAACGCAGGGGAAAAAATGGGAGCAAGAGCGGGGAACAGAGTGAGGTCAAATTTAAATGCATACACGGAACGCTAAAAATGCGTTGCACGGTTCAAGTAAATAAACTTGATGAAAATATAAAGGAAATGCGAAAGTCAAAGCAAAACCGAAATCGACAGTCTCCAATTAATTCGATGATGAATAATCTAAACAAAAAAGAAATTCGCAGTTGCACTCTTTCCTTTGTGCTCGTTTAATGAGTGGCGAATGTACGTAAAACCAGCAACATTAAACCCAACAAAAAGTTGATGATAAATGGTTTAACAACAAAACAATTTTTGGGCATTGCCAAAAACAATTTACCGCATTGCCACACAAAAAACAATTAACAATCGAGAATCGCGACACTCAAATTACATATCTAAAGGAAACATTTAACTCGAAAAATAAACCCAAACTCAGCATGTTTAATACACATTTCAGATAGCATAAATCAAGTTAACGAAATGTTTGTGTAAATAATTAATTTGAGCAATAGAAAGCAAAGAATTTGGATTGAGATGTCTTTGGGCTGAATTCAAGAATTATATTTTTTTTAAACTTTAGGATAACTTTCATAATTTTCAACTGGCTCTTACAGCATAAATTATTTGCAGCCAATTATTAGTAGACAGCAGATTTACTTAGAACAGAGAAAAAGTAATAAGACAAATTTAGAATGATTTTCTAAAATTGTAAGCATCGAATATTTTTTCAGTTTGCGTTGCTTATGTTATTTTTGTGCTTGTTGCCATGGAGCAATAAGCCAAACAACAGCAAATACGCTGTAGGCACTAACACCCACATATACACCCTTGTATAAGGTGTTATTATTTTATCGAGCAGTTTGTAACGCACTGAAAGATGTGTATCCGAGCCCATAAGGTATTTATAATACTATAGTCCCTCACTCTCTATTTGTGTAAATAGAAATTTTGACTATATTCGCTTTTTTTTAGCAGGCGGGAAAATTAAGTTCTTGTATGAAAAATGTATTATTATGATCTTAATACAGTTAATCAAAACTTTGCACAATTGACTAGTTGTAAGCCGGTAAAACAAAACTTAATGCTTAACTTAATAATCTACACATAATCGATAGATTTGATTACAACAATATATGAAATATTGAATTAGAATAACGCTAAACATATTTAAAGACATCTCTTTCTCGTTCCACAAAGATCGAACGCCTCAAATTCCAGAAAAGTTTACGATCCCATAACAAAGAACAACAATTCAATAATACAATAATTGAGTTATAAATGATGGATAGAATTTTAAATGATGGCGATTAATCGAATTTGGTACTGTTTTGGTACTAGCAAAGCTGCTTTCAACAACGTGCAACGTATCCAATCCTTTTCAAAAATTTATTAATAGTTTTCCTAAAATATTCCCACGTTATATTTGTATAAACAGTTTAGTTTGATCAGATATTTAGTTAATTTATTATGTGTTTTGACAATTAAAATCCACACGCAGTGTCACGAATAAAACGATATAGTTTTGGACGCTTTATCAATGAAATCGCCACCGAAACGCGACATTAACTAAAAGATCAAGCGCAAAAATGTTTTGTGATTGGGCGAAATTTGTTGATCAGCAGCCGTTGCCCAAAAAAGAGAGAAAAATCGGTGAATACTCTCAGTCACATTCTCAGTCTCTGTCTCTTATTTTCTGTATTCGCACTTTTTGGCAAATTGCCCGCCACGAAGCGCAAAGTTCCGTTTCACAGGGTGTTCCACACACAGGGAACTTTGTCTCTTCTCGTTCTCTAGCAAACTGCGATGCCGAGAACCAAGGGCTGTCACTTGTCAGGCTGCTAGAGTGCACAAACAGCATGTGTTGAGAAAGGCCAGAAATTTTTTGGGGAGGACTGGGGCTAACAATCTACTATTTGTAGTCGCATTCTAAAAATAACACACGAATTCGTATATTTTTAAAATTTTCTAAAGCAAAACAGTTGAGAATAAAAACGGCAAGGACAAGGATTATAATGGCCAATATATTTTTCAGCCTTTTTTTATTTTTGTAGAGTAGTGGGCATTGTCAGAGCCAGGGTAACAGAAAACTAACCACGTTTCCATATAAAATTATACACAAACTACGCGGCTTGGGTCGACAAAGTGGCAAAAAAAAAAGAACAGAGACGCTAACGACGGCATCGACAACAGAGAAATATCTGTCAAACGCGCGCAATAAAGGAGCAATGAACTCGATGGGTAAAAACAAAGCATAATAATAGTCTGGCCTATGAGATACCCTAAGTACGAGAGTCTGCAATGAACACTTATTTATTATTTATGTATTTAATCTGTTCTGCGGTTAATACTGTATAATTCTTAAATTTTATGCAGACAAAATACACTTAATCATTTCGGTTGGTCCTGAAAATAGAATACTTTATGAACATTGTTATATTTCCATAATAAAAAGTAAACGGAATAAAGCCCATTAATTGCCGCCATCTAGTGGGACCTTGTTGCAATTGAAAACAGCAATGAAAGCTTACGACAGGTTGCACCGCTTGCTTAGCCACTAGAAGACTAGAAAAGCTCTAGCAATGATGCCACTAAAAGCTCGGTTGCGTTCAATAAAATCCACTTATCGAGTTTTACAATCACCCTAAAAGCTTAAGCGTTTCTCGCGTTTCGTTTCCGATTGTCTCCCCCAGCAGACAGACAACAAACAGGCGTCTCTCCCCGTATTCTTACAACAATGTCAATATGGATAAATGGATTACACAAAAAAAAAAACACCGCACATGTGTTTATGCGTATTTTATGATGATTCATTGTCCAAATTTTATCCACATATATATACATATGTACATTATATACATATATATGAAGTAAAGTGGAGCAGAGCCGTCGACCGTTTTGGCAGACATAGTTTATTTTCAAACACACATACAAATGTTGTAGAGGCCGTCCCTCTTGTCCCTCTCCCCTTGTCCACTACTGGTGCTTAAGTAGTGCTTGATTATAGCTATGTTATTTATAAAACTCTTGTGGAACTGCCGAGCCCCCAGCTTCACTTCGGCGTGCTTCCAGACCACCCCACAAATGGCCCATTCACCAATGTGAAACAAAGAGTATATTCCCCATTCATGAGTTAAGAGTGTAGCATATACTCTTAATATCACTGTTACACAAAGAAAGCTACAAGATAACGGAAGTGAATTTCATCTACATATGGTATATATTTTATATATACATAAGACATAGGAAAAAATTCTAATTTAAAAAAGTTTGACTTTGCAGTATTGCCTATCGTAGATTACACTTGCCAGCTGGGGTCTGTTAAGTCAAGATTAAGACATAGTCTATTGCCCTTTGTCATTTGCAATTGAGAACGTCTGATCAATAAATCAAGGTGAGGGCAGGCACACAACACTTGTGACTTTAAAAAAAAATTGATAGACCCGACTGCAATCAGGTTTTATTTCTCTTTCTCTCTAGTCGGAGTGAGTCCAAGTGTAGTCAGAAGACGGAATCACAGAGTAAAAATATCAATTTTGTAATCAGCAATAGAAAAAAAGTGCGGAATGCACAAACAAGGAGAAGCGCAGTAGCGACGAAGAGCAACGCATCTTTGAATTCTTGAATCTGGCATTAATACAACTTTGTGTGTGTATGGAGGGAGGAATCCGAGCGGAGCTGCGGCGAGGCGCTGCAGCGTATTGCCGACCATATCAAGAGAATCCCAACAAAATCCACATCGTCGTCGTCGTTGCATGGAGAAGGGAATATGGTCGACTGCAGATAGCGATAGCATTGCATTCAGACGACGAGTGGGAGAAGAAGGATGGGCACCAAAGCTTGGAATGCTGTTGTTGCTGCTACATTTGATATGCCTGCTGTGTTTGACCCATATTGGAATTTGCCTCGCAGACTCAAGCAAATCGAACTGTACAAGCAAACTGAATGAAGCGGAGAAAAGGCAGGGGCAAGAGGGAGGGGACACAGTTGCAGTCACGAATTGTGTGTAGTTAAAAAAAAAAAGTTATTGTCTAATATAAACGATGGACTGAAAATTACTACTTTAAGGGCAACCAATTGCCGACCAATGTGCGCCTAACAACCTTACAATGTCGACCTGGTTCCAACTCGTAGTCTCTATGCTTAGGGATTTTCATGTCACACACCCGCACACACAAACAACATGCCAGCAAAGGTGATTGACCTCAGGAACGCAAAGCTCACAAGTTTTATATAGCTAAGAGTTCGGAAACAGCGCGCAAAGTTCTATTCTGACCAGCAATAAATTCAAGAGGTAGGAAGAAAGTTGGATGTAGATGACACCTGCCCTAAATTTCGAATAAAGTAAAGCTCAGTTTCCTAAGTAGAAGCATTAAAAAATACCACAGAATAGAGACGTCAAATCGAAAAAAAAGAACATATTGCACATGCCCATTCTCTCTCATAGTTGGGCTTCGGGTCCTGAGAGCGGCGACCCGCAGCCACACGTAGGTCATTATTTGGGTTTCCTCCCTGCGACATGTTCTCTACTAAAGTAGAGACCCAGCTCTTTATCGAATATAGATCAATTTTTGGCTTGCCTTCGCTACCACATGTTCTCGAGTAGAATTCAGACCCAATCCCATTTTGGTTGCAAACAGGTAGCGACTTTTTCTATTGTATACTTACTTAGTGGTATAATGTAGCTTCGGACTTACCTTCAATCTCGCTGCGTCGTCGTTTTAGCACACTGTTGTAATTGTTGTTGATATAATGTTCAATCACATCGGACTTCTCTGTGGACTCATTTTCCTGCTTCTCATCCTCGGTGTGCACAGGGGATGAGGGACCTGAAGATGCACTGGCCACTGGTGAGCCGGACGTTGCCGAATTGGTGCTGCCACTGAGACCATTGCCGTTGTTGGGAACGTGAGCCGCTGCATCAATGGAGCCTTGCTTGGCTGCCTGCATAAAGGCGGCGCTGTTGTGTGTGCTCAACGAGCTGGTTGGCGAGGCGCAGGGCGTGGAACAGGTTGTAGGCGCTACATCCTCAATCAGATCAATGGACTTTTTGCGCGGCTTCTCAGGCGGCACGGGTGCATTTAGCTGCTGATGCTCCTGTTGCAAGAGGACAGAGCGTTGCATGGCCGCCGTAACTGCAGCGGATTTGGCTGGTGGTGGCGGAGGCGCCGCCTCCGAGCATTTGGTAGGCGAACGCACACGGTCCGGATTATATTTGACGGGACTGACATTCTTTGGTTTGGCGGCTGGGATTGGCGGCAAGGGAGGCGACTTCACAGGACTGCCAATTTTGCCACTGCGTGGCTTAATCTCCGGCGGAATGGCTGAGGGCGGGGGCGTGGCGGCAGCTGAAACTGCATTAGGAAGCTGACGAAAGGCCGCACTCGGCGGTTCCGGGTCGGTCGTCCGGGACGATGTCACCACAGGCATCGGCCCGACCCTTGACGCCTTCTCGCCATCCATAATTAGGCCGGTGCCGGGAACGGTGCGTATAATATCGCAACGATTGAGATCGCTATGGGTGCGTGTGCTTTTTGTCTTGGTGAAGTGAGAAGTCCACTTTTTTTGTTTCTCAATCAGCTCGCGCGAATTGAACTTTCGCTCGGGCTTCTCCGGCTTATCGCCGCCGGTAAACAGCGCACTAACCGAACCGCTTGACGGCAGAGCCACAACAACTGTGGCCACCACCTCCTCGGACTTGAGACGCGCTAAATTGTGTTGCAGATATTTGGCAGTTGTCGTTGGATCCACAATGAATTTGGTATTGCTGAGACGATCGGCGCCGTTCTGTGGCAACTCAGCAGTGTTGTTACTCTGATTGAGCGAGGCGCCAGAGGGGAATGGCATACGACGCTTTGGTGGCGACTGCGAACGATCCGAGGATCGAGATGAGGAACGATCGGAACCGTCGTACAGATTATCCTCACGTGAACCGCTGCGCAGTAAACGTCCGCCACCTACTCCTGTATTGGACTCCACGCCCAGTTTCTCGAAAAGTGCTCTGGCGTTATTGAATCTTGCCGAATGCGATTCCGTCCGCACAGACGGATGAGGATGAGCTGAAGCGGCAGCAGCAGCGGCAGCTGCATGGGCTGCAGCCACGGCGGTCAGCTGCTCGACGGGCTGAATTTCAATTGGCTTGCGCTGAAAGATGTTCGCTATTTGTGAGACCTTCCCAACGGATGCTGGAGCATGCTGCATGGGCTTCTCCATAATGTGGCTGCAAAAAAAAATTCAAGAAAATTGGATAATATTTGCCTTTTTTATTCACACAAAGCACATATCGTTACAGGTTATGACTAATTAACTGATAGCACACAAAAACGCGTCTAAAATTACCAGGTTTTTCTTTCTACTTTTTTTTTTTTTAGTTTTACCTGTGCCATTTTTGCTCTTACTTATAACATTCACTATACTGCACTTTTAATCTATATTTTATTAAGATTATTTATTATTTTTTGATTTTATAGTTATTAATGGCCCAGTTCCCAAACTGTGATGCGTGTGAAAGTCTTCGCCAACGATTAATAGCAAAATATTGCCGCAAATTCAAAGACTGAGACTGCTGAAGAAGGCATTGCCAGCCATAAGGCTGACATTTCTTTGCTGGCGGCTTTAAAAAATTAATAGGGAGAGAGAGAGTGGAAAATTACACGCTCTTTCGGCGAAAAATGTCAGTGGGTTCGGTGGGTTGAAAGCTATTTGCTGTTTGTTGCTTCCACTGATATGGTAATGGTAATTGTTATCGGTATGCTTTTGCTATCTGTATTCATTTGGGCCAAGCCAGGCCGATTCTTAGAGTGCGCTACACCAATGGCCAAAAACACAATAGATGAAAGCGTTGCATAGTCGCAAGTATGAAAAATACGCTGATCTTTAATTGTGGAAGTGAGCGTGGCAGGCAAATTTAGCTAATTTTAATTTTCTTGCGCATATAAGGATTCTGTGTTCCGGACGGACATTAAAGTCAATGTGTTTAACGGGAGGTCAGGACTCGTACCACAAAGGATACTTCCGGGCTATCACAAAACAGTATTAAATGCAAGAATGCATTCAGCGTCCCGTGAGCCGTCAACAAAAGTCCAAAACTTGAGTGAAGCCTGAAATCTGGTCGCTCAATATCATATGTGACCTCCCGAATTAACCTCCAATTCTCTCTAGTATCTGATCTGACCTGTCAATCAGACATAACACATTCATTCAACAAGCTCTAAACTCTGCAGCAACGGCAACCGCCTCTTGATCTTATAGCTCAGGCTTCGACGCCTGATCTATAAGTCAAGAGGGGCTACTCCTAAAGTAAATGCATTGCAGCCGTGGAGATAGTGCGGAACACAGGCAGACACCCTAACAACATCACACGTTGGCAACCCAGCACTTTCTTTCTACCTACAACAGTCGTAACTGCTTTACACCATACAGACGATCCATAAGTTGCGCAAGCAACAAATGGGCCATTGTATATGATGCGAGTAGCACATCTGCTGAGGCCCCAATTACTTCTCAAAATCCGACGCACATAGGACATAGGTATATCGACTTGGCTGTTGTTGTTGTTGATCAAGAATATATATGCTTTATGTGGTTGCACATGTTTCCTTCACAAAACCAAAAATATAGCATTACTGCAGAGGTTGAACGACGCTGCGAACGACACTGTGCGACTAAACATGCACCCTTTTGTATGCATACACTCTAAACAATGGTATAAATATATATTAATGTCCGTATATATATATATATATATATACATAACTATTATATATATATATATATATATATATACATAACTATTATATATATATATATATATATATATATATATATATATATATAATAGTTATATATATATATATATATATATATATATATATATATATATATATATTTATATTTATATAAAATAGTTGCTCTCTATCTTTGTAGGGGATTGAGGCCCTGATTGGTTGGTTATTTTGCTTATGACAAGATTATCACAATGTCAATAGATTGCTACAACAACTAAACAAGAATAAACACAGCGGAGAAGTAAACAAATGGCACAGATAACGAGCGAACGATACACAAAACAATGCAGTTAATATAGACACACACAAATTAGAAGACAAAGTCAGTTTTGGTATGCGACAATGGCCACTCTGCGTGTCTGGCCTTCTGTAACCAGAAGACAAAGAGAAAAAAGAATGAAATTGAAGTCAGCCTAAGCCCATGTTGTGATTTAGGGCCCCGACAGTCTGTCACTGCCACCGGGGCACCGAGAACAGAGCACAGCTTATCTAATCTCAACAAAAATGATAACGTCCGCTGCGACCATGAATTTGATGATAAGCTTAATTTAAAGAGAAAGACAAAATTAGTCCATGATCTATCTGCTGACTACTGAACACTATTTCAAGACCTGCACAAGATAAGCTACAACGACAAAATTGAAGTTGATAAACGTGTTGCGGCAGTTGCAATTAAAATATCACGTATACGTTATAAATGGCACTCCTCCCAACCCCAAAGAGAAATACTACGTCTAGTAAATATTTAAAAATACATCTGTGAGATTTATTCGGATTGGCTGATATCGATTGAGTGACATGTTTTACAATGTTCCTATTGTAAATGCATGATGTGACACAAGAGACAATAATAAGAGGAATTAGAGCACACTACGAGCTAACTTAATTTCCGTTTAAGTCATACATTTACCGGCGATCTCTTAAAATTTTTAGTTTGTAAAAATTAAAAATTTCCATTTTAAAAAAAAAAAAAAAAAATTTAAAAAAAAAATTTTTAAATTTAAAAAAAAAAAAAAAAAAAAAATAAAAATGTTAAAAAAAAAAAAAAAAGGGCAGAAGCGATCTCTTAAACATTTTGTGAGGCAAGCAGCGTGCCCAAGATAACAATGTCAACAATGAAACGATGTTGTATGCAAGGCGGAACAAAAAGACGGAGAGAAGACACGGACACAGTTGTTAGTCGGATTGGGCATTGGATTGAAGAAGAAGTAAAGACAAAGTGTAGGTTAATTGTTAGCATAACGATTGATTGCAAATTGTCCGCTAACAAAAAAAAACTCAAACTTAATAACAAATTACTCGGGCGCAGGAACAAGTTCATTAACACAGATAAGCAAAGAACAGCTGAGATAAACTTAGGCAACAAGCACTATGCAAATGAAAAAGACTATGATATACCCTACACTAGGTTGTTAAATATATTCTAATTTATAAGACACTCATCCATAAAATAATCTGCCCGGATTAGACAATAACTTATATTGCAAATTTGGTGCTGGACAGACGGACATGTATCAAGGGACCGCAGACGCTTCCTTCTACCTGATACATACTTTGGGACAACACCATAAAACCCATTTTCAGCCACTTTTAATGGGTGCAAGGAATAATATATGAAGAATGATTCAATGCAACTGCAATGCAACGATGTAACCTGCTTTTAAGCTCATAATGCTACTTTTAAATCAGTTATAGGTCAATGGCTACAGAAAACCTTGGATTTCATTGAGCTCCACTTGATGCCAGTCGTTGTTTTGTTCAGTTCCACACTTAAATATATCGTTTCGCCAACTATATGTGCATGGCTTCCAGCTCATGACAGCTGGCTGGCAGCGTAGGCCAAAACACAATGGCAGAAAACAATCAGCAAGAGAATTCCATACTCGAGAGATGTTGTCATACACGACGAAAGAAACTACAACAAAACAAGTTGGCGTCGTTGCTTGCTGTTCTTGTTGTTAGACAAATTATGCCAATTAAACGGTGGGAAAACGAGTTGGCAACTCTGCACGCTTGTCGCCGCCTCAAGTGGGTTTTTGCCGAGTGGGGGAACTGGAACTGCTGCTACTGCAACTTGAATGCAACGCAGTGTTGAATAATATTCGATACAAGGATGAGAAGGTCAGTTAATTAATCTTTCGCTGACTCAGCCATTGGCTATCTTATGTCAGACAGCTCTTCTCAAATCGAACGATGCGTGAAGTGGATCAGATCAAAGTATGCGACATCTAATTGAAACAACGGTAGCGGATATAGATGTGACATATTAATAGACAACTGGATTACAAATTGCAACATATTTCATTTATGGAATCTAAAAAGAAATATGTCTGTTTTTAACGCATTAAGTTCCACAGTACCAACAACCATTGTCAGGGTGAATATATAAATTTTATTCTTATAACAGTCACAATCTGAACTCAAACAGCTTTTCACAAAATCCATACACGTTAACAATGGGTTAACAGTGAGGTCACAGTGTAGATTTAAGTTATGCCTTCGTCTCCGATAAACGGACGGTCAAAATTCCACTTTGAAAAAAGTTAGTTACCCAAATAGATGTATGAGTAAATTGATTTAAAAAAAAACTATCATCTCTGTTACACCAGCATCATTTTCTTATTGCCCATGCAGTAATAAATGTTGAGACCCTTGCCATCGCCCACACAGCTGATCTTATTGCAGCATTTATTGAAGGTGACATCCCACAGATTCCTGTTCGTACCACACATAAATGCCAAGGAGGTCTTTGTGGTTCTGGCATCCCAGAGCTTGATGGAGCCATCGAAGGCGCCACTGAGAAAACGCAATCCATCTGGCGACACATCCACCGACATCACGAAGGCATCGTGACCGACGAGACTCTCACGCAACATGCCGCTTGGCAAATCGATGAGCTTAATGGTCTTATCATCGCAGGCTGCGAGAGCATGTTGCATGCTCGGATCAAAGACCAATCTTCTCATTGGCATCTTGTAGTTGGTGCGACTCGTAATCTGCCGGGTGACGCCATCGAACAACGTCAAATTGCCAGCATAATCTGTGGCACCCACCAACCGCTGATCCTTACTGATTGCCAGGCCCAAGACGTTCTCGCAGCAATGGGTGTCATAGCTATGCTGCAACGTTCGGTCGGACGTATCGTATTTGTAGATGTGTCCACTGCCGGATCCCGCATAGATGCACTCGATGTTGCCGCCACCACCAAAACTCGATGACCAAAAGTTGCCCACATGGATGTGACTGACGCTGGGCAGCCAACGACCTCCCACACCATTGAGACTGAGTAGCGTCAAATTGCCATCCATGGAAATGGCAGCTAAGCAACTGCTGTCCGAACAGAGTGCCACATGATGGATGCCCAGACCCGGCAGTTGCATGCTGTATTCATCGGGGAACACATTCGTTTTGCCGGGCGATGTGAACACAACTTTCAGCTGCGACATATAGTCGCCGGTAATCACAAATTCCCTGGGCTTTAGTTTGGCTCGCGAGGACGACTTCTCCTCCTCTTCGATATTAGACTGAATACTCTTCTTTGCTGGCTGCATGACGCCCCAGGCACAGCACCACACTCGGTTCGTCTCTGGCTCTGTTTCGTTGGTTGTTTGATTAATTTCCATGATGATGATAAGTTTTACGTTTTTTTGTTGTTTGTACTGATTACTGAATACACTTACTACAAAGCTAGGCCTGCCAAGTTGATCATAAGCAAACTCTCGAAGCTATGCCCAACCACATCGCATCATATGTAAATAGAGTTTTGTATAATGAAAAAAAGCATACTATTTTTCACCGGTTCTTAGAAGATTTTTTGGGAGTATGCTTTGAAAATGAATTTCGGGTCAGAATCACATTTCCAACTTTAAATGTAGCTTTGCTCTAGATGTCAATCCATGACTAAAAGGGTTTGGGCTTTGAAAACGGAAGCAAGTTTGTTAAAACTCAAAATAAAAACAAGTAAAAATGCTGTAGTCGAATGAGCACGCTGATCCCTGCAAAATTTTCGACGCGTCGCTATAAATTTGTATGGATATGAGAAAATGAATCAAAGTGTTGCCTTATCTTGTTGGCTAAAACACACACGTAAACACAATGAAATCAATACATGTCCCAAATTTTGGAAAACGTCATAAGGGCGACAAAATGCCCCAATTAATATTAAGAAACATATTCGCCGATTTTTTTTCATTTGAATTATAGGAAATCGGAGAAAAGTACGAATAATTGTTTAACTAAAAAACCATAGTGACAGGTTATAATATATGCTCACCTATATTCAGTCAGTCAGGTGGCGTGGTGTCCTTTGCTTCGTTGTAGTTCGCTGCTTAAGTTTTGGCTATGCAAAACTCGAAACTTTTGACATTGCTGTCATGATTTCTGTTTCCACTTGACCCAAGTGTTGAGGTGCCTCGCTTCTGCTGCTGTTGATGCCACTCAAGCGTGCAGAGTGTGTCGACTTTGCGATTGTTATTGCAGCTGTTGTTGTTAATAATATTGCTGTGGGGTTTTCGTGTTTCAATTGTTAGTCAATCAAGCAACCGCCGGCCTCAGCACTTTGCATTTTGTGTGTTGCTTATGTATTTTTTGTTGCTTTTTGTTTGTTATTCCGCAAGATAAAAATGCAAATATCTGCAAAAAAAAATAAAAATTAATTTTTTTTTCAGTGAAGCAAAACGGTGCTTTGAGTTCATTAAACCGCATAGCATATTAAACAGTATCAAAAGAATTGCCACATTATTATTATTATTATCCAAGGCATACACAATAAGTATTTCATTTTTTTATTAGTTTATTTTTCTTTCGACTTTTTCTTCTTGACTTCACGCGACTTGACTTGGTTTAAAATGAAGGTGAAATGCTACGAATGCAAGCAATTAGTTTCATTTGTTCAATTCGTAGCTAGCTCAGCTAACTCAGAGGAGAGGAAGCACACAGGGCGATGCTCACAGACAGACCAACAAAACCAACACAGGAGAAAGTGCTGCAAATTGTTAAATAAAACGCACTGACGCCTCTCAAGCTGCCTACCAATAAGTATCAAACCAAAAGCAGCAACAGCCATTTTCGATGAGTGTCCAAATAAAAACAAGAGAGCTGCCGCCTTCAGTGGAACTCGAATTGGAGATGGCCAGGCGAAAATACCTATTTGGTCTAATGCTTTTCATCAAACTAAAGAGTCATAAAGGGCCATAAAACTTGAGCATTACATGAAACCTTCAATGTAATTTACTACATTAAGTTTACCCAACGCAAAAGTCGAAGCTTACATAAAAAAAAAACATTAGCAAAAAAACAAATACAAGCCTCCAATTGTTAAAATCAACAAAACACACAAGAAAGAAAACATTTCCCAAGTCCACACTCAATAAATATTCGCTAGCGGCCTTGAGAAGAACTTTCGAATAAATCTGCAAAACGATATTGAAACTATTCACAACGATGACCAAAGTCCACATTGAAGCCACTCACCAACTGAATGAATGAATGTCGAATGACATTTGGAGTGAAACTTACGACATAAAGCAAATGAATGTCAATTCATAAAAGATACACATCAACACATAAAGATAGGTTAACATGGCTAATCGTTATCGTAGACTGAAGAAAGTCAATCTCTTTTATGGAAATTGTTGGGCATTAGCTTAGATTTATATCGATTGTGTTCCGGTAACTGAATTATAAAGATTATAATGCTTAGCTATTAACACTTCTAACATAATGTGATGTGTGCTATGATTCCCTTGTTTTTCTCGGGTCTTGACATTAAAAACCAATGGTTCGGCGAGAACAATAGGAATTGAATAACAATCTGGGGGATAAATAAATGCAGTAGGTCGAGTGAGGTTAACTATATAGTCTCTAGATAGACCTGGTTGTTTTCGCTGATCAAGAATATATATACTTTCTGGGGTCGGAGATGATTCCTTCTGCCTGCCACCTACATCTACACAAAACCATTTAGCCTATTTTTAACGGGTTCAGCGTAATGATGAGAAGCATTCATTACCCATTATCCATCATTATTCGTTATATTAACAAATCAAAGAATACTTCACTTCCCTCTTTCTATCCATTCCAACACTCATTTTGCTTTGCTACACCTGAACGAACTCACGAATAAGCCGCTGTTTTTTTTTTATGTGAATCATACATTTCCAGCGCGCTGTAGCATGTAACTGGTTTACTAAATGGAGGCATAACTCCAACGCAATTTTAATTAGCTGCAAATCACCAGCAAATTTATCTAAACTAGACAAAAACAACATGAAAATACCATAAACAAGGCAGACGTATGGGTTGCAAAAGTAATTCTTCTACTCCAAGAGCTGGTTGTCTAGTATATTTTTAATGTAATGAAAAATACAAAAAGTTGGAAGTAAATTAAATTAAATTAAAAAGAAAATTAATATTTAAATCTTAATAAAAATAAAAGGAATAACAAAAATAAATAACAGTGCACCTGACTGCGAACTGGCTGTTTCGGTGGCAACTATTGACGGATTGTGGTAATGAACTTGACACTATTTCCAATTTCGGTCTTTTCTTTGCTTTCTGAAAGAGAGCCACGAAAAAGCCACGAGGGAATTTAACGAAGACTGTTGGACAGACAAGTCAATAGCCTCAGCAGATCTTTGGCAAGAGTATACAATGCGGATATGCTCTCCACCACCAGAAACTGCCAGATCAACACAAAAAAGACAATAGACTTAGACAGTCAACAAACAAACTAAAACAGTTATCTACGGCGTATCAGTGATGAAAAAGGCGATCGAGTGGCTTATATATAGATTTAATATAAGTGTTGTAGAAACCGAAAGCGAGAAACAGAGGGAAGAGCAACATAGAAGTGTGGCTGCTGGCTCTCTCTGCTCTCTCTTTCCCGCTCCGCTGATTTCTCTTAAATATATATATATATATACGAGGTGTGTTCAAAAAATATCGCGAATTTTTTATTTTCGCGGGTTACGTATATTCGAATTTCGATTTTTTTGTAGCGTTATGTTGGTACTCATGTCTCTCACTTATGCCGACAAGCTCGGCCATTTTGAATGTTCACTTAATTGTTGACAGTTGCTTTGCTTGCACTTGTTTTGGATCGTCTTCGATTTTTACCTATTCAAAAAAATGGATCAAAGAACCTGTATCAAATTTTGTGTGAAACGAAATTAAGTGCGCGGATGCATTCCGAATGTTGATTGTGGCATACGGAGAAGCTACCTTGGACCGAAGCAACGTTTATCGGTGGTACAAAATGTTCTCAGAAGGCCGAGAAGATGTGAACGACGAAGAGCGTGCCGGACGCCCGAGCACTTCAACAACAGACGAAAAAATTAATGGAGTGGAGAAAATGGTATTGGCCAATCGTCGAATCACCGTTAGAGAAGTTGCTGAGGAGCTAGACATATCGATTGGCTCATGCCATTCGATTTTTATCAATGATTTGGGCATGAGACGGGTCGCCGCGAAATTCGTACCAAAATTGCTCAATTGCGACCAAAAACAGCATCGCATGAACATTGCTAATGAGATGTTGGACTCTGTCCGCGACGACCCAAATTTGCTCCAGAGGGTCATAACTGGTGACGAATCGTGGGTTTATGGTTACGACGTGGAAACCAAAGCTCAATCATCTCAATGGAAGCTGCCGCACGAACCAAGACCGAAAAAAGCGCGCCAAGTTCGGTCGAATGTGAAAGTTTTGCTGACAGTTTTCTTCGATTGCAGGGGCGTGGTGCATCATGAGTTCTTGCCACAGGGTAGAACAATAAGGAATATTACCTGCAAGTTATGCGCAATTTTCTTTTCTTTTTCTTGTTCCCTAAACTGAAGAGGCCCATGAAAGGACGACGTTACGCTACGCTTGACGAGATAAAGACGGGATCGAAGGAGGAGCTGAACAAGATAAAAAAAAATGATTTTTTGAAGTGCTTCGAAGATTGGAAAAACCGTTGGCACAAGTGTATATCTCATGGGGATTACTTTGAAGGGGACAAAATAGATATTCATGAATAAATAAATAATATCTGAAAAAACACAAAATTCGCGATACTTTTTGAACACACCTCGTACATATTTATTTATTTATTTATTTTTATATATATATATACTCTCTGTCTCTCTGCTTAATGGTAAGTGACTGCGTGACAATTTTCAAGCGCAGCATCAGCTCAACAACAAAAAGCACGTTGAAGCATATCTAGCTAAATTTTGTACGCTTCGGGCCACGATTAACAATTAACAAAAATAATAAAATAAACACGAAAAAAAAAAAACAATCATTTTATTTTGATGCTTTTTGAAATGTGCTCGTTAAACGTGACAAATTGGTTTTGTGATTTTTGTAACACATCTACAAATTGTACATACGAATTCTCACAACATGTATATCGATTATAGAGCACATAATAAAAAATAGAGTAATATTATAAATTAATTTTGCTTCAACTATTTCTTGAAATATTTATTGAGAGAATTATTCATATACTATATTTAAAAAAGGGCCCTAATTAGATGACTTCTAGCCTTTCAATAAATAAAAACGTTTCTAACTTTACCTCTAGCAATTAAAATCGAGCTAATTCCATAATAGTTTTGATGACTGCACCAGCTGCTATTATGGATTACAGAGACTTTGACTCAGGCATCTTCTTATCAACCACATTCTCAGGCAAATTAAATTTGCCTTTTTTATACATTTTATTTTTAATCAACCTCCCATCAGCCAAATGGTAATTTGTAATAATTTTAATAACTTTTCAATTAGAATCAACAGCAATCCTATCCCTTTTGATATTCTCAGTACAAATTACCACACACATAGCTGATTCTGCTTGTATCCCATGTTTGGGCAGGTGTGGAGCGTGACAACTACAAAAGCGAGACGATAGTAAAGTAGCAGAAGTGTGAGCAAAACAGGAGTGGCGCACAGGATGATAAGCACCAAAGAAGAGTGCAAAGTTGAATCAACCTTAAACGCACACTTCAGTTTTCTGTCCTCCGTCTTCTTCTCCACTTTCTACTTTGCAGAAGTCACACTCAACTTCAAATGCAAGCGCACGCAAATATCTATGTGCGTGTGTGTGTGTGTGTATGTTGTATATGCAGGAAGCGAAAAGCGATGCGCAGCAAAGCGATGCGAAAAGAAGCTAAGGAACAACCCTTACAAATGCATACAGAATACCAATACCAATAAAAAAATAACAGAAGCCAAGATGCCACCGGACGCTAAGGATGTACAGCACAAAGAGAAAAGAGCATTAAAAGCGTCGGCAAATGTGTAGAGAAATCGAATAACGGAGCTAAGGCAATATCAAACCAACCAATAACCCACCAGAACCCCCCCCCCCCAACACAACCAACACAACATCAACTCCCTGTGCTGCGGAATGTCATGAGCAACGGTTTCTTGCCATTATGTAAGCAAAATTTATTCCCCACAAAACCTTCTCTTCCGCACACAGCTCCTCTCTCCCGCTCTATCTGCCGGTCTCTACCTATCGCTCTCTCTCTTTCTCTCTCTCTCACCGTCTCGTACTGTCGCACTAGCTGCCGTTGTTAAAAAGATTTTACTGCTACTGGGTTTAAAAATAGACAAATTCAATAAAGTAAAAGCTGTGTGCCAACTTTCTAAAGCTCGCCGACAGACACACAGAGAGACACATCTTTTTTTTCCCCCTTTTTTGGGTATTAAATTTTCCGCACATGAATGCATTTTCATCCTCTGATCGAGTGCCAAATGGAGCTAATGAATGAGTTAAAGAATAAATGAATGAATGGAGAAGCACCAGTCAAATTGACGGCGAGCCCTCTTCCTTCCTTATGCGTTGACCAATTGTTGTATAAAATATACTCACCCTCCACCACCAACCCACTCACATCCCTTTTAAAATGGGGTCAAAGAGGGGTGCGCTACTCCAAATTAGCTTAGATACTCCAATTAATTAAAGAAAAAAATATTCACACACCCAAAAAAAATTAAGCAGAATACGAAAATTGCTAATCCTTCAAATAACTTAATATATAAAATAACATTGCATTAGCTTTAAGACTAGTAAACTTTACATTGCATAATTTCAAGGACAGCAGAATTGGTTAGAGCGAGATTCCATTACGCAATAGTATTGTTCTCTGTCCCCTTCCAACAGCAATTAAAAAATACAATGCAGCTAAGATTTCACTGCTGCCCGACAGCCAAATTACTTCATTACTTCATTGAATTCTAGGCAAGGCAATTGCGAAGCTCGACAGCAGCTGTAATTCTTCCAGTCGACTGGAAGGCTTCACCGCCGCTGCCAATTTTATGTCTGGAATCTTTGGACTGGAAGTATCGGAAATATTACAATGGGCTAACATTTTAGGCAGATAAAACTACCAGTTTTGTATGTGAGCAACATTAACCAAAACTGAGACTGAGAATAAAAGCGTAAAACAAACAACACAAATAACAATTATGGGCAACGATTTCCTATACATACACAAAAGCTTAAACGATTTTCACAATTTGCCAGAGTTTGGTGTTCATCATTCATCAGTCGGCTCCTTATTTGGCTCAGTGTACGCCAGTTATGTTAACTTATGGCGAAAAAGCAATCGAAATAAACAAATGCATAACAGAGCCCGAAAAACGGCAACTGTTGCTGCTTGGCTGTTTTGTTTCTTTTCTTTATTTCATTTTACACTCTGTTCACTTCGCGCAGATCTGCGTCGACGTCGTTTTTAACTTGCTCCAAATTGGGTAAATGATAAAGGGCTGTGGGTGATGGAGAGGGAGAGGAGAGGTACATGTGTTTAAACCCCTCCTACTCCCTCGACATCATTAGCTAAATACCTGAAACGCATTTTTTAAGTAATAAATAAAGCTAAGTTACAAAACGTTTTAAGGTTTCGAATTATGTATTGTTTAAAACTCAAGCCATAATTTTTAGTTAATTAAATAAATAAAAATAAATATCATTAACAAAATATATCTTTATATATATTTATATGTATATAAATTAAATATCCAAAAGACGAACGTTTTGCATAAAAACGATTGCATTAAATGCTAATTTGTCAATTTGTGTTTTCTAGCTACAAAAAGTTATGTAAAATATAAAATTGTCTCCATTTTTGAAATTGAATTAATTAGGAATAATTTACAATTGTCAGACGAGATTTAACTAATTTATGCGCGCGTGCGAGTAGGCGACCGGTTCTTTCTCTCTCTCTGTTTATTTCTCCGTTAACAGTTCAACGAGCTTTAAAGTCAGATAGAATTTTCATCTGCTAAAAATAAACAAAACACTTTTACCAAAGACAAAACTTACAACAGATAATTACATATGCAGACCTCTCACCCCCTCCTAATCATCCTAGAATTAAAGTCAGGAAACAAATGCCCAGAAACTGGGTGGAAAGACACAATAAAAACAACAATGCAGCCGCTGCTGACATCTACGTCAACGTCGGAACTATTTCTGCAAGAGACAAAAGAAGAGGAGAGAACTGCGACTGCGACGCGACTTTGAAAGGGAGACAGGCAGCATTGAAATTAAATATGGTTTGTAACCAGAATTCCGAAACTAAAAATAAACGAAAGAGCTGCAAGCGGTGTGAATGGGAAGGACGCACGGGTATAAGTTAAGCTGTATGTATGAATGAGTGTATATGTGTATTAATCTATATGTGTGTGTTATGTATATACATAAAGAAAAAACGGCAAATTAGCAACACCGTGGCCCCCAAGCCATACATACATGCATACACACTCGCGCACACATTGACATGTCTGTTATTTTGTTGTGGAAATAAATTTGTAATTAGAGTATTTTGCATATTTGCATAAATCGGACGCGGACATTGCAACAAAAAGAACAAGATAACAAATGTTAATCAAACAAAAACGGACAAGAATCTTAGCGAACATAGAATATCAGCAGCAAAAGCGAAAGGTAAATTGTCTTTTGTTTTTCATTTCATTCCAATATCATTGTCTCTCTCGCTCTCTCTCGCAACTGATCAACGGGCTATCGCTCTTACACATGGGCGAGCCTTTTTGTTGTTGTTGCTGCGCAGGTCAAACTAAAAACCAGTTATTAAAAAAGGAGCAATACTGGCAATGCTGCCCGGCTAACTGTAAGTGCAGTGCAGTCAGCTATTTTGCCAGGTGTCCAGCGAGCAGATGTTTGATCGAAAAATTACATTGATGCTTGGCTTTTTTTTTTAACTTCCTCCCCCTCCACACACACACACACACATACTCCTTTGACCGAAACACTTCTGCGCAGTGCACAAGGCGATAAAGAGAGCTAAGACAGACCAAAATATAAAAACTGGAGTGTAAAATACCGATGCTACATTTTTTTTGCTACATGCTTTTAATTAAATTTGCTATTCGTACCAATCACAGATTTATGTGCATAAGAATAGGAAAATAGGAGCAAACAATAACAAAAAATTATTGCAAACACACATATACACACCCTATACTTGTATGTATATGCAGGTATGTATGTATATTGTGTGCCTTTACAAAGTTGAACTCCAGCGCACCAGTAGCTCTCTCTCTCTCTCTATGCTCTATCCTCGCACAGACGCTACCTTTTCACATTTCATCTCTGTGTTGTTTTTCTGCCTCTTCTTCGCCAAAAGGAGTGGCGTTCACTTAGACTTTAGCTTTGGCTTGTCTCGCATTCACACACATACACACACATTTGCATTTTGCGGCACTTTTCTTCCTTTAGTTATGCTCCTTTTTGCAAATGATTTTCCTTTTACATTATGACAAAATCAGACACATAACAGTTACATATATAGAAACCCACACACACGTACGCATATGAATTAAAAAACAAGAATTTGGCTTAAGATCCTCTTATTGTTAAATTCTCTTATTAAAACTGATTCCGGTTTCGAGACTCAATATTTTTCTTATTTCGTGCGTCGTCTGGGCGAATATATTTGTTATGTATTTGTGTGTATATGGTGACCAGTATAATTATATATATATGTATGTCTTTGTGTATGTCGGTACCTTTTAACAGTAGCTGGATTATTTTCTGCAATTATCGAACAAACACACACACAATTAGATTGCTGCACTTGTCAAGCGATAAATTTACTGCATTTTGCCTGCGCGCACATTAAATACACGTTCGTCGCGGCCAAATAATATATTTTTTGCACTAACAAAGGCAAATTTTGCAGCACTCGAACCAAAACACACGCTGACGTTACCACGCGCCGACGATTTGTTCACAACTAACTGTATCTGTGCAAACTTACCCAGAATGTAAATCAACGAGTATAAAAACCAAAAGAGAGCCCGGGAATAGTCGTAAGAGAGAGAGAGAGAGAGAGAGAGAGAGAGATTTAACATTTGGTTAACAGAAGCAGCAAACACCAACTAAATGAGAGTGAGCGAAGAGTAAAACGCAAGAAAACAGTAACTGTAATCTGTTTATGAATTGTGAAAAATAACCTTAACTTGCATTAACATCCAATTTAAATATTGTCGTTTTCAATACATTGTACACACGTACAGTGAGTGAATTTTTAAACAATGCTAGAGTGACCCTTCTACTTTTGCAAGCTGCACGTTAACAGCTGTTAAACTCAAGAATTGCCACTGTTAGTTTCTAGAGGGACCATAAACGGAAATATTTTGATAAACCGGAGACCCAACTCAATTTAAACAAAGCAAAATGAGAAACTTTATTTTGTTAATTATTTTAAGTTGCGTAGTATACGCAACCTGCTCAGGAGAGTGCAATACTCTGCTGAGCGATTTGGCGGACAAGCAGAGCAAATTCGTCTTTTGCAACACGCAACATGCGATTCCAATTCCTCCTCAATATGAGCATCTTTGCGGCGGCTGCAAAGACAACTTTATAGAAATGTTAACCGATTATGATAATCTGATGAAAGTGGAGAACTGTTCCAAAATGTATCTGGACTCGGATAGCATCAGCATTGTGTTCACTACACAGAATGTGCTCAAGGCTCTCTGGGAGCGGGCCTATTGCGACGGTGAGTGCGTCTCTGATTCATCGTTCACCATCCACATTTTCTTTCGAGCAGTATTCGAAGTGTATTCATAAATATTCACATTTGCATTGGAGCAGTAATCATAACTATTGATATTTTGTTTCATTCATTATTCATGTTTGTTGTGATTAATCCGAATTCATACTTGCATTCGAGTAATATATATAATTATTCACATTTGCTTTCGTGTAGTATTCGAGTAATATTCATTCATTATTCACATTTTCTTTATGTTTTGCACAGAGTGCTTCAAGGACAACAATTACAATAATTTCACAAACCTGAATATCTCACTTTCGAGCTGTTTGAATGCGAATAAGGGCAGCGAGTGCAGCAGCTGTGTCTACGAATACATTCAGTTAAATGACTTCTACAAGGATTTGGACCAAAAGAACAACGGACACATGTGTTTCGATATGCAGGATATGGTGTGAATATTGACTATTATTATTGACACAGTTAATACTTCGTCTATCCTCTCCTTCCCTTTACACAGATGAATCGCACCCGTGTGCTTTGGTCCAGGGATCTGAAGTGCTGCCAGCGTGAGGTGAAAATGACTCTCTTCCTCGTCAGCGTTGCCCTTTTTGCAGGATTGCCAGTACTACTCTTTTATGGCGCTGCCATTGTGCTAACCAAACGGCGGGAGGCGAATCATGGACTGCTCAACGAGCAGCAGCCGGAACTGGATGATGCCCCGCCCTCATCCACAGCGGATCTGCTTGCTGCTGCTCTGTTAGCGACGAGACCAGCAGAGACGCCAGCAGCGAAACGAGCTATTGAGAAAATGCAGAGACACGCTTTGGATTCATCATGCGATGATGATGAGTCCATGGCGAAGCCAAAGATTAACTGAGCATCTATCATGATATACTCAATCAATTGGCATGTGATAATCTACCATATATATATACTATAATTATATACTTTTTTTATTTTCACCAAATTAATGGATGATTAAACTAACATTTGACTCCGCTCGGAAGGCAAAGATTAACTGAGCATCTATCCATATCTACCATACATTGTATATATATAAACTTTAATAATATATATACTACCTTTTAAATATACACAAAAATTTATCGATTTAAACAAACATTTTATTTGTTATAACATAACATTTTGGTAAACATTGAGAATCTCTTTTTGCTTTCACGCACCCCGTTAATCTGTTAAAGTTATACGAGTGTTCCAAAGTGTTCCACATCAAAATCAAGCATCCATTCCCGATTTTGATAACACCAATCTGATCTTGTCTCTGAGCTTGGATTGTCAACGGCGGAAAACATTCGTTTCTTTAGAGTCTTTTGATCCAAAACAGTGGAGTTCTTTTCAATGAGATGCTGCGATGAGAAAAAGCTCTTCAGGCAATGCTGATCGTCGGTATCCTTTTGGGATTGGCAATTTAAAGCTGATTTAAATCGATCTGTTGCTAGATCCGTTTCTGTCTCGATTTCTGGTTTGGTGAACGGCATCACATCCAGCTCATAGCCCAAACACTCAAGTACGCTTAGCTTGGCTTTCAACTGCTCATTGGCTATGAGCAGTTGTCGCTCTGTTTTATAAATATTATCCACCTGATTGGACAACTCGGAGTCCAGTCTATCGATTTGTTGGAGCACTTCGTCCTTGGTGTGGTAAGCAAAACGCATCTGATGCTTGCGAATCTTCGCGTGCAGACTCAGCAGCTGTTCCTCCTCACGATGCAGCAGTTTATTGAGCGCATAAGTCCTTTCCAACCAAAAGGTTTCCAATCGATTCGATTCCACTCCGCTTTCAGTTATCAGCGTATCCAGATTGGAGTTTTGTATCCTCGGCTTCTTCTGATTATTCACATTTCGTTTTCTTTGTGCTGGTCTCTCGGGTGCATCCAAATACGCATCGAGCATATAATTCTTGCTCAACTTACGTTCACGTACTCGATGCTTTTCATCCTCAATCATCATGATTTCTTGTTCCTTTTCACTGCAAGTTTTAATATTATTAATAAAAGTATTTGGAGATAGAGAGAGAGAGAGCAGATACTTACTTCAATAAATAAATTTGCCTATTTATGGTCTCATCTTGGGTCAGAATTATATTCATTATACGTTCATTTGGATTCGCAATGCAATAGTTTAGTGGTTGAGGCATATTTGGCGTTGGTAATGCTGAACTAGCCCGGCAGAGGGCACTTTCACATCTCTGTTTGCCCCGCCGTCTCCGAAAGCGTTCACTTCGAGAACTAGCCACTGGGCTGCCCATTCCACTATCATTATCCGTAGACATTGATAGCATTGAGAACATTTGCTGTTGCTTCTGATTATTTACTCGCGATGATCCATCAGTGGGTTCCTTTTCCACTAGATGTCTTAGCTGCAGCTCACACTGTAATGAAAATATGTAAGATATATTTAAGATTGAGTAGGGCTTTAAGCGCACCTGTTTATTTGGGGATACGACATCTAAGATGCGAGTGCTACCATCCAAGTATTCCTCGAATCGAGAGTCTCGCAACTGTTTTACAATCACATACTGATACGAGTTCTTCGAGTCCTTGCTGCTATAAGAAGTTTGTTTATTTTCTTTGGTATTTGTTGTTAATTTCATTTGGCTGGGTATATTTGTGGATCTGTTCAAATTGTTATCGCTGCAACGCTTCTCTTCGAACTCCTGGTAGTGCAGCAGTGCCCAAATTAAATTTGTGCATGTCGTATTTGAATCAATCCCAGAAACCCAATGCTGCTCCCCATCTATGGTGATTGCTACGGGATCCGACGTGTTATCTATGGAATCACACGAATCCCAATCCAAATTGATGCCACCATTTTGTGCCCAATTAGTGGCGAATATGGAGGTGGAGTCTTTCTTCAAAGATCTTGTGTCTTGCTCCAGCATTTCGTTGGCGCTGAGTTAAAGGAGAAGAGAACAAGGGAGAGATTTTACAAATTACATATTCGTATACACACAACAAGTGACGTCAGCTCAAGCGTCAACTCAAAATCACTGGGCGTGTAGGATATTTAAACCAAAGAGAAACAAAAGCTAGTTGAAAGGCGTAAAATTCGTTTGGCTTCTTTCGCATTTGGAACACAAAGGTTTTCAGCTACGCAAAGAAAGAGAAACAGAAATAATACGAAATGCCACACGTTCCGATAAAATTGTCTTTATGTATTGTTTGCTTGATTCATTGTTAGTGATAAAGAATCAAGACTCGCGTAGACTTTCAATTGCAAAAAAAATAATAGCACCACTCTCACAAGAATTGTTTTCAAAGACGTATTTTGTAATTTTAAGGAACTTATGAATACGTTTTTAGAGCTGGAAATAGATTCTTAAAAAAATGAGAAAAAAGCAACCTTAATATTATTCACTGATTTCAACTAATTTAAATTTAGTTAAAACTACAAAATTTAATTTTATGATAAAGCATGAAAAGGAATCAAAAAACAAAATAATATCAGAATTTTTCAAATGTGCACTTATAATTATTAAAAATAGAAATAAAGAAACCATTTCTATAAAGTTCTATTACATTTTCTGCTACTTTTTGGCAATTGTCCCATCAAATATAAAATATATATAAAATATATATTCAACATATGAAAAAATTGTAAGACGATTGGCATGTTTTTTCATTCGTGGAGCAATTATTGTTTTCGCAACTGTAAGTTGTAATCCGGAATATATATACACTATGTTGCATACATCATTTCGCACCGTTTTGTAATACTCCTTTTCATGGGTACAGGTTGTTAAAAAATATACAAACTGGTAATCGGTATATGTTGGACCTGAACAGAATTACAATTCCCAATTGGCATTTGGCGGACTTGGCGCGTTTGTAAGCCAAAACATCAGGTTTACCACACCCAGATTGAAGTTTGTTTGGCATTTAAAGTGGACGTAGTGAATGACCAAAATCGTTTCACCCCACTGCTTATTACTAATCGAGATCCGATCTCTTATGCTTTACTCTGGGATTTGGCAGCAAAAACCTTTCAAATAAATTTCATAAGAAAAATGTTTTTGCTTTTATTGTTTTGCCCACTTCCATTTATAATTGTTAATTATGTTAAATTGCTGGGCAGCTCTTTTTATGTGAGTGCGTAGGGGAAATTTGGTTTTGGTTTTGATTATGGTGGAAACCATTAGAAAGTTACGCTAAATCACATAATTGTTTGTACGTTGCTTCTTTGCCTTAAGCGATCTTAAAGATTTTCTTGCTAGTTTGTAGTTAATAATCTTAGAAGTTAACGTTAACGGCACTTTTTTGGTTCAACTTTAGTTTATACACACACACACACACACAGATAGAAAACACAAAACAAACACGTACTAAAAATTGCTTATGTCGTTCTTCTCAAGCACTCTCTTATTATCGTGTAACTTTCTATTTAATGTTTACAAATATTTCAATATTTTTAATGCAATTCCATTGAATGCCGCAGTTTGTTACACATTTTATGCAAATTATAATTTTATTTATGTATATATGTATATGTCTATGTATATATGCAATGAGTAGTCTGAACAGACTACATACATACATCGATTTGTGCTTTCAGTATTTGCCGTATTACACCTGCTGCTAGCAATCCAGCCGACAGAACGCAATCAACTCTTTTGGAGTCGTCACTACAACTGAACCAACTGATCCAGCGGAGTAATGAGAAACAAAAGAAAAAGCTTCAGGCCCTCAACTTCTGTCTGAAGAGAAACCGCGCTCTCCCGCAAAAGAGCTTGAGAGCAAATCGACAACGACGCTTTACTCGTGCTTAATACATCTCGTCCAAGATAGTAGTAGAGTTCGCCTTGGTAAACAGAGAGAGAGAGTAGCAGAGCTTACACACACACACACACACACATACGGGCCCATTCAAAATATGCTATCCGAAGTTTGTTTGCCCCTCTTCCCTCTCTCTCTCTCTCTCTCTCTCTCTCTCTTTCTCTCTCTCTCTCTCTCTCTCTCTCTCTCTCTTACTCTCTTTCGCACAGTGATCTGGCATAGTTTCGTCGATTGGTTCAAGTAAATGCTCGGGACTCCCCTCATTCCCTCAATTCCCTCGATCCACTTGTACTGTTTCAGATGGCAAATTGTTTGCTGCTTTTTAAACAAGTTCTGAGCAACTTTACTGATACTGCAACATCTTAATCCCACAATTGGATGTGATAAACATTTCATGCATAGTTATTCGCTCAATTAGGACAGTAGTGTAGTATGAAATTTGATTTATTTTTACGAAATTCCACAAAAATTAATTGTAACAGTTTTGAACAAGTTTGGACATAAATGTCGATCAGTGTTTCAAGGCTTTTAACTGAGTGCTGCATAAACTTATATTATCTTATATAATAGTGCTGTTAAGTGACAAAATTATTACACTCATTATTCACTGTTACTGTGGGAATTTGATAATAAGTCAATCCATTTAAACGAATTTAATATGGTGTTCATTTCTGTAGACTCACAACTGAAATGTAGCATTAAATACACCTTTAAAGTTGCCGATGCCAAAATTCACCACAATGAGACTACTTGACTTACTCTTGCTGAGGGTAAAGTTATTCACCTCTCTATCTCTGACTAATCAAATCGCACAAGAAACCTGTATTTTGACTCAGCTTTAAGCTACCAGTGTGTGTATGTATACTACATACTCACATACATACATAAACTACGAATGCATAATTATAAAAAAGTATACGTAAAGGTGCGTAAATTAATAATATGTTTGACACGACTTGAGCACGAGTGGAGCACGACTTAAGCATATGCTAAAATTAATAATGTTATTTCATTAACTTATGTGGCAGATGATGTTAAGAGTTGCATGCATTTAGTAACAAACTCACAATATTCTACCTATGCATTTTGTACTTTAGCTTGTTTCAATCTCGACCGATCTCGTGTTTCCCGACTTATAGTGAAGATCAACACAGCTGAAAGCACGACTCTAGCACATTTCTATAAACTATGCCGAGCGAAACAAGCTTTACTGAGAAACGATACAACTTTAGTTGTTAAACAAACGTCAGCGCGCGCTGTTCGATCGTTGAAGTGGGTTCAAGCTGATATCGCTTAATAGCAAAACGAACAAAGATACAAAATAAAGAGGAAAAAACCAGTAAAAACAGTATGAAGCTTGGTCTTCAAACAACACGTCAATAAGTGTGTATTGTGTTTATGTATGTACTTGCTATACACATATTTTCTGTCTCACCCACGTTTCTATTAAGCCTCGAACGGATTTGTCAAACCCATCGTATGTTGTGTGATTGGCTGTGTATGTGTGTGTGTGTGGGGGGTGTATGTGTGATTGAGCTGCGTTTGCAGCGCCATTTCGAAAATGGAAAATTTCAGATAACGTGATTTTGGCATCATTTAATGGCAATTACCACATTTTTGCCATACTAAATTTCTCTTTCTCAACTATTATGCTAGAGAGCAATAGTTTCAACTTGTATGTGTTGATGTACATAGGGGAACCCCTATATATACAGGTACTGTTAACCATATGTATATACCAGATACACACACACGCACACACACATATATATATATATTTATATATATGCCCACTGTATGTGGGCCGCATGAATGAGCTGCAAGTTTTCTTCTTCTGCTTCTATTTAAGACAAGGCGATTAGTGAAACAAAAGATTCGATGCTACTAATTTAATTCGTATGTACTTTTTTCTACAACAGGTATATATCAAGGTCATCAACAGCATCGAAATCGACGTTAGCTTAATGAGAATATGCCGCGAAAACTGCTGAAATTTCTGATTATCTTTGACAACACCTCACTGCTGTATTTTCCGGGTCAATTCCTTTCTGGCCGTGTGCTTATCGAGCTACAGGATGAAACACCAGCACTGGGTCTACATTTTCATGTGGTTGGCGAGGGTGTTGTCCGCGCTGGTGGTCGACAAGAGCGTACATACGACAAAGAGAATTACATCGATTTTCGCATGAGATTACTGGGCGATGTGGATCAGGGTCCAGCCATATTATCACCAGGCATACATAGTTTTCCATTTAAATTGGGTTTGCCCGTTGGTCTGCCCTCCACATTCCTGGGCAGCTTCGGTTGGATACAATATTTCTGTACGGCAGCGTTGCGCGAGCCCAAAGGCCTCACGCATAAAAATCATCAAGTTTTCATCGTTATGAATCCCATTGACTTGAATCTGGAGAAACCCATTTTATCGGTAGTTATACTTTATCCTTAAAAAGGAGTTCATATTATATTCGTTTGATTTTACAATAGCAACCATTCACGTGTGAAGTTGAACACAAACTGGGTGTTGTTGCCTGTGTGGGTGGTGGTCAAATCAAATGCCGAGTCATCTTGGATCGTGGCGGCTATGTGCCCGGTGAGAGCATACTCGTCACAGCAATCATATCCAATGCCAGCAACGTAACCATTAAACGAACAAAAGCTTCGCTGACTGAGGTAATTCTTGACATACAAAATGTTGGCTAAAATCTATAAACAATCTTCCTGAATTTTATGTAGACCATCGAGTATCTAGCACGCGGCAAGACGGTACAAATAGAGAAACGTGCTTTGGCTGTGTTGGTGCGAGGCAAGATACGGCCGGGTGGTAAAGATGAATGGCATAATGATAGCCTCTATGTGCCACCACTGCCTCCGACAAATTTACACGGCTGTCATTTGATAAAAATCACATACGATGTTTTCTTTGTTATCGAACCGAAGTCTATGGAAAAGGAAATCAAACTGCAGCTTCCAATTGTGTTGGCCACATACCCATTCCGCAATAATGCCAACGATGTTTCAAACACGTGGCCAGAATCTGTACTGAAGCCGGACACGCATTATCCATCGACATTGCCCATATTTCGTCCATGGCTGCATGAGAAACCAGATGCATAGCTTCCAACAAGATAGTCACTTTTGACACTCGATGCGAATAATTGTTGCAGTCCCATTTGCGCCATACATTAATTTATAACTTATTTAACTTTTAATGACTTTTGTGACAAAGTACTAAAAACCATGCACAATAAGTTTCTGCTGCTTCTTTTTTTTCGTTTGTTACAATGCCGTTACTCTCTTGTTCAGCGATCAAATGCACTATCGAAAAGCATAAATATATATGGTATCGGAAGGTCCCTTAAACAAATATATTTAATATGCTTGATATACTCGTAGTACATACAAAAGAAAATTATATGGGTTTGTATTATTTACATATCGTTTTGGGCTGTACATTGGCAAAACTACTTAGATTTGAAATTTACAGTTGCTTTATATTGGCTTAAATCTGCTTTGAAATGAAAATACAAAATATTTACCTTCAGTTATATATGATAAAAGAATGCAACTACTTATATTATGTGTACATTTAATATAATTATTATATATATTTTTACCTTCTTAATATGTATGCACTTATACGTATACATATATAGAGTGAGGGAGAGCTGCTCTATGCACATATAAATATAATTTTATTAAAAGTATTTAGTTTATTTTACCTATATATAAATTTTTAAACTTTTTTCTGTTTCTGTTAACCCAGCCTAAGCCAATGTAACCTATACCAACAATCAAAGGTTCGATAACATGTGTCTTTCAATTGCCTTGACCAACAACATTTTCTCGAAAACTCTTAATCTTTTGAACAAAGAATGATTCAAGTGCTTCCGCGCACTTGTAAAATGAAGACTCTTTTGGGTTATAATAGCGGCAGTTATCAAAAATTTTCGTCATATCGCCAATGAATTCGGCGAGCTTGGTGTAGGTATTTGATTCGAGTTTGCTTTCCATTTGCTTGAGATCTGTGGATAGAAGTAACTTTGTTGAAACATATGTATATAGTCTATTAGATAAATAATCAAATCATACCCATGGGCTCTTTAATCACTTTATAATAGTCGGGTGCCTCTTCCGGATCAACCGGTTCCATAAATGGCCACGCACTCTTGTGCGACTGCAAATACAAATGTATTTTTCCAGCAATTAAGAAAAAACGAATCGAATCGACATTTAATATCACTATGGTCGTGTTTGTTACCTGTATTTGCTTGATCAAGCTCTTGAGCTCAACAATTTCATTTTGCACAAGACTTTTCATATTTGCGGTATTTGCATCAGAATTTCGCTGGCATTCTGGACAAACGTACTCGTCAATGTACTCAGCCTCGCTCTGGACAATACCTACACAACGACCATGGAACCAGTCCTGGCACTTATCACAGCATATATAAAACTGTGATTCGTCGTATGGCTGGCGACAGCTGCAATAGAGCTGTTGAGTTTCACGCGCCTTCTGGCAGTCTGTGCAAATGAATTCGGTTAGTTTTTTGGACGCCTCTTCGGTAATGTTGATACAATCGCCATGGAACCAATTGCTACACATATCGCAGCCGACATAGAACCTGCGAAGTTGAAAATGCAACACACTTAGTAAAAGCTGATTAAAAGTTGTGCATTAAATGTGTATTTATTTACTTTGTTTCATCATATGGTTTCCGACATATGCAATAAACCTTATCATTTGTTCTGGACATCTTCTTGGGCCGACCAACGCTTTTCCGGCTGTGCAGCGATGTTGGTTTGGTTCCAGCGCCTTTTGTAATTGAAGGTTTTGAATGTCTGCAGCAGATAATACAAAGTAATTGATCATCTAAACGGGCTAATTAGCAATTTTATCCACTCACCGCTTGTGGCCAACATTTTTATCCGACAGAGTTTCAGTAAAGATCGTCGTCGTGCGGTCATTTTCCGATAGTTTCTCTGGCACTGTGATGCTCATGGCGCGCACATGTCGCTTCACCTTGACCTCCACTTCCTCACGGATCTCGTTTTGCAAATTGCGCTCCAGCAAGGAGCGTTTCCGTAAAATGCTTTTCTTCAGCAAATCTTTGTGGCGCTCCAATTGTGTTTGCTTCGGCTCACTGAGATTAGCGGTATTTTCAAATGGGAGTAGCTTTCGATTGTTTTTACTTGAACTATTGTTATGACTAACAGTGGCTACGCCGGGATGACGTTTCGATGGAGTACGAATTTTCCACTCATCATCATCGTTGTTGATATTGTTACTGCGCGACGCAGTGCGTCGGTGATTAGACGTGCCACCACCTTCACCAATGGAATTTGATCGGTTCGTCGATGCCGTCCATTCACCCAAGTTCTGAAAATTTTGGTGTTCCTGCTGCTTCGTGCGCATACTGACCAATTTTTCCTCAAGTTCGGGACTCAGATTACCTTGTTTTAGTGCATTTGTAATAGCTGCAATGATTTAAGATATGCAGAGTTAAGAACAAATTTAATTTTGGGGGATTTTACGTACTTTCTTGTATATAACCGCTGGTGACCACAAAATTTTCCGTTTGTTCATTGTCGACGCCTTGCACAAGGGCTGTTTCACAGATATCTGTTGAAGCTACTACCGCATACTCTACATTTTCCACCGACGCAGCTGCTCCTGTTGGGTTGTAGCTGTTGTTGTTTGTGGCGTCAATATTCTTATCAGCTTGGGCAAGGCAATTGAGTTCGAGGTTAACGCCGATGCTTCTGCTGCCGCCGCCTGTGGCATCTGTGCTGTTTGTCGTGAGGCAAGTGTTGTTTTGGGCACATTCCTCATTAGTAGCTGGAGGTGCGGCGGTGTCGTGTTCGTTATTGATGTTGTTGGTGTTGTCGTTGGTCTGCAATATATATCGATTGACGGCTTTAGCACTATCAAATTTATTTAATTTCTGCACTTGATCATGATTAGCTCTATCATTAACTACAGGTATCTCTTGAATATGCACATTTCGCTCTTCTTCTTCGGACTTAAAATTAATTTGATTGTTGCATGCACCAATATTGGACGCAACACTGTCCTCATATTGGATTCCCTTCTCTGAAGTTGTTTCAGATATAGTCGCTGCCGCTGTTGCTCTTTGAGAAAGAGAATTCATAGCCTCTTTCTTTTTAAGGGTTGGACTGCAGACAACAATAATTTCATCATCATCATTATCATCATCGGATTCAATATCTTGTATAACATAAACAATTGAAATGTCACAAACCTAATTGTTATCAGGAAGTGACCATTAAAATTAATTACTTACACATTGTATGTCAATAAATGAATAAAGATGTACAACATACTTAGGAAATGTTAATGTAAATTGCGGATTTGGTGGGCACCTACCTGGCTTTAATCAGAGATCAGTTGTAGTATTTATTCCAGGCAACCTTTTACGATTTTGTTATGGTTTGTAGATTGTGGTTGAGATGTTGTTGTAGTTGTTGTTGTTTGGCGAAGAGATTAACACGTGGTTTTTTAGGAGTTGTAGTTGTTGACACGGATTTTAGGCAATGCGTTTAATACGTTTGGTTTTTTGTAAGTAGTGGCAGCATGGATTTTATTTTAAGGGTATTCGAAATTATTTTTAATGGTACAAAGTAAGTTCTTCAAAACAATTCGATTGTAAAGCTTGCTTTAAAATATTCAAAATGAAAATTGCGGCAAAATGTTTTAATATACTCTTTTTATGTGTACTTTGTGTATGAGTTGTGATTGTGATTGATTAATGGCGTGGGTGTGTATGTGTGTGAAACTCTGGTATTTAAATTGTTGCTTACATTTTTTTTAAGTGTAAAAATTTATTTCGATTTAGATGAGATGATTACAAATATGGTTAAGCCTTTGTGTTATATATTTCGAAGTTTTTCTTTTTACGAGAACTAGCTTACATGCGCTTACGCGGGGACGGAGGGGCTAGTTGGAACGGAGCAATTCGTCGTTTAGATTGCCATTTGGTATTAGACGACCAGCAGTGCCTCCGATTTATATATATTTCATAAGTCAGCCAACTAAAACTCTTTGTGTGGGTTAATCTCTTCAGCAATATAATATACATGTATATATATATATATATATATATATATATATATTTATATATTTATATACTTTTTTTTATATATAAATATATACATATATATTAGTTTTTATTTTTTTTCATTGTTATTAATTTTTGTAATATTAAATTTTATTTTTCTAATGATTTTCTTTTAATAGCCAATTTCAATTAGGCCTTGGAAAAAAAAAAAATTTATTTCGGTCTGTTTGGTACTCTAATTCAACTGATTTCTGATTAAAGTCATATATATGTCCTTGGTTTATCTAATGTTTAAAGATTTATTTATATTTTTTGCTTACAATATCTTTTTTTTTCATAATCATATACATACATGTGCATCTCTGAATATGTATGTATGTATGCATGTACATACACCATATATAGAAAGCAAGCGCTTTTTGTCAACACAAAGGCCAATTTGCAAATAATCATCCAACTAACTCGGAAAGAAAAATTTACGCACAATGTGCATTGATTTATGATTTATATAAGAACTAAGGGAGACAGACAGGGGATTTGGAGAATGGAGTTTATAGGCGTGGAACCGAAGCCTTATGGCTTGATTAAAGTGAAATAGAAACACGCGTTTATTTCGTAGAAAATAAAGTCAATTTTTCAGAGTGTGTGGGAAAAAGTGTATAAGTTAATGTGAGGTTATGTAACAAACCTCTCGAATTAACAATTATGCCATACAATTCTGCTGCAATTTTTTTTTTCTTTATATACACAAAAATGTTTGTTTATCTATTTTGCATTTCTCTAAAACTTACTCAAAATTATTAATTTCAAATTTATACATAATTTTTTTTTTTTCAATTAATTTATTTGAAAATAATAACGAATTATTAACTTGAAAATAATATATAGAAAACATGTTGTATAATTTTGTGTTCCCTTTCATTTTATGACTACTTATGATTTTAAGAATTTTCATATATATATATATATATATTTGTATAATTATTGTATTTTATTAGTTTTTGTATCTCAGAGGCATCTATCAAAATAAGAAGTGATAGTTAATAAACATACATCTACATATATTTAAAATGATCTGCGCTGAAGTTGTATTGTATGAAAAGAAACAGGATTGGTCATCGTTATTTTGTATTATTTAATACATATTTTTATTGCAAAAAGCGCTTTACATTTATTACAAATAACATAGATAGTAGATATAAGAATTAAAAGCCACATGAAACTAGGCAAGAAAAATCTATACGCATTTAGCGTCTTGTCTAATACTTTTGCCTTGGTCGCTAAAATTACGTCACAGTCTGTATAATTGCTCGCTAAATATGTAATAAGGTAAAAAGTAAGACTCATTTGAAATGCTCTGTGCTGAACCAATATTGAATGTTTTTTGTTATCTTATTTTCACTTAATTTTAAAGATAAGTATTTAAATGGCATTAATTTTAAATTATATAACTAATTATAAACATAATAAAATTAGAACTCAAAGCAATTAAATAAATACGTATAGTATATGTAAGGAGTATAAGAAAATGTTAAAAATTACATTTTCAGCGAATTCGCCAACTGAATCATTTATATATTTATATTTATATATATTTATATTTATATATATATGTGTGTTCATTTGTATTTGTTGGAGAATTAGTTGACAAATATTGCAAAATGAAGCCTTTTTGTTGAGCAATTTATATTTATTCTCCAAATAATTTCTATATATTTTTACTTTTACTTTAAATTGCAGAGGTATGCCATAAAGGAATGTGCATAATATGCATAAGGCGCAAAACGTATGATATATCATCATATGCAATTTGTTTTTCACTATTGGAGAGTAAAAGGAATTTAACAAATAAATTAAAAGTACCAAACGAAACTTGTGCAATAAACGTAAATTACTCAAAATCATAGCAAAATGTTTTCGGTTCTGTGGTAAAAAATTAACTTAAAATTACATTATTAAATTATGAATTGGAATAACATGTCGATCGGTTGGTATAATAAGCGCAGCCTACGTTCAGCTCTTTAAGTGCTCATTAAGAGAGAGAGTTCCACGCGCTTTCACCCCTATATGATTTTTGCATTTAAAAGCTACTCACTTGTTGGTGGGTTGCCGTCTGGTGCACGGGCGTTAGTGGCGGTGGCTGGGAAGATTGTGTCGCTGTTTCCGGTTGCACGGCTAGATAAATTTTTGTGGGTCCTAAAACGCCCAACTTGCCATTGGATTCTTGGGCTATTAGCAAAAGAAAAAGTACACATAGATTTAGCTTGATTTTAAACAATGGCTTATGGGTAATTACCTTTCATTAGCTGCTGCTTCACCTGCGTTTGTACCAGTTGCAATTGTTGTGCCGTGAAATCGTTGCCCACAAGACCTTGCAGCACTATGCGTGGGCCATGCTCCGTTTGCAAGACTTGTGCCGTGACACATTTGATCACTGTGCCAGGTGGCTGATTTTGAAGAAGACTCTCCTCAACGCTCAGCGATTGCTGTGCTTGTGTTTGCTGCTGCACCACTTGCTGCACTATGTGTTGCTGCTGCTGCTGTTGTGGTTGAACTTGCTGCTGCTGCATAACGACTTGTTGTGGGCTCTGTTGCACAATATTTTGCTGCTGTTGTGGCTGCTTAGTGGGTGAACTTTGTGGACTGACTTGAGATGCTTGTGGCGTTGTATTATTGGTCACAATGTGGGCGTTGCCATCGCCCTGATGTTTAATATGTGCCACGATTTGTGCCTGATTGTTACCCAAGGGTTTGACAATGACTTGCTGCCCATTGATAGTCGCCACTTGCAGCTTGCCTTGCGCCAGCTGCTGAGCCAACGTGGAGTTGGGCACAAGCACTTGCTGTGTGGTTGTCTCATTGGTATCGTTGGTATTGCTACCTTGTGGTTTCTCCTCAATTGCTTGTTGTTGATGTTGCACCACCATTTGCTTGACCACCTTAGCTTGCACCGTGGCTGTCGTTGGCACTGCTTGATTCGTTTGCACCACATATTGTTGCTGGGGCTGTACGATATGCTGTTGCTGCTGTTGTGTTTGCAATTGTTGCTGCACCATTTGCATGGCTTGACTCTGCGGCACGTTGCGTTGCGTAACAATCGTTTGACCTGGACTCAAGATTATACGCTGCCCGCCAACAACAATTTGCTGCTGCACATTGCTTGTGTTGACAATTTGTTGTATCACTTTTTGTGTCGGCTGACTGTTCACTTGTTGATTGACCACAATCTGTTGCTGCTGTTGCTGTGGCGCCTGCTGCTGTTGAATATGCTGTTGAATTCCTTGTGTATGAACAATTTGCTGTTGCTGGACTGCGCCTTGTTGCTGCTGTTGACTTGCCGGCGCAGATATTATAACTTTCTGGCCCTGCGCACCCTGCGCTAGCAACAACTTTGAGCCGGGCTGGACAAAAACTTGCTGATTCGATGAGGCAGTTGATATCACTTTCGGCACTAGTTTTTGAACGGTAGGCGAAGCAGTGTTCGTTTGACTTGTTTGCTGCTGCTGCTGTTGTTGCTGCTGCTGTGCAAGTAACATTTTATTTTTGACCTGCGCCAGAGGCAGAGTGAGACGTGAAGGTGACCCAATTGTCTGTGCACCTGTTGACTTGGCAATGTTGACATGTTTCACGGCAATTTGTTTAATCACTGGGGATGCCGAGTTTATGGCTGCAGTCGTCGTTGCCACGGCATGTGTTGTCGAAGATGCTGTCAATGCTTTAATTGGCAATTTTCCCTTGACACCTGAGTGCGGTACAAAAAAGAAATGAAAAAGTTTAAATCAAGTAGTGAATAAAGACTTTTAAATTTCAGTGCTTACTTGATGATGCTGCATTTGATGTTGTCGTTGTTGTTAAAACATGCAGTTTGCCATCTGGCATTTGCACTAGTTGCTGGCCAGGATTTAATCCACGGACACTCACTTTGCCATCAGGTCCACGTATAATTTGTACTTTATGTGGCGTAGGTGAGGGTGTTGCTGGTGCTGCATTTACTTGTGATGCGTTTGTAGACGGGGAGGGACCTGCTGTTGATGATGATACTGATGAGCGTGCCACTTGCGTCACGGCTTGCTGTATGATGCGCGTCGTACCATCCGGATTCTTAACAATCACACGTCTACTGCCAATTACTTGTCCCTTGACTATAAAATGTATGTAATCATTCCATTAGTGATATATATAAATTGTATTGTATTGTAAATAATTTACCTGGTGTCGAGGAACGAGTCACTTCGTTTACACCAATTAATTTACGCTGCTGATGAGCAGCTCGTTGAAGCTTCAACTGTTGTTCCATTTTTTCCTTGCTGTCTTCACCGGTCTTGGGCGCCAACAGAACACGTCCACCGCCTGGACTCCCAATAGCAGATGAATTAGAACCGGAACCATTGGTCGATTCAAGCTGCCGTGATGTCACCGATCGTGTAACTGTGGCGAGACGTGCCTTCTCATGTTTCTCGCCAATGAATTTAATTTCCCACAGCTCAAGTTTATCCTCATCCACCCATTCTTCACTGATCTGTGGCTCGGTTGGTTGTGGTGACTCGGCGCGCTTTCGTTTTCGTAGACCAGAACGGATTGACGTTACTTCTGCAAACGAGAAAAGTATTTTACATTACAATATTATATACATATATAGATTAAAAATATAATATTTCAATAGTTCTTACCTCTGATAGTCTTTGGCATCTCTAGTGGTATGACAACTCTACGTCGGAGGTAGCTCGTCTTTTCGCCATATCGACCGGCGTGGCGTAATTTCAGCAATTCCAAAGTCACAATTTCGCTCTCCGTGGTAACCTGATGTTTTCCATCCGTGGATGGTGGTTTTGCAATCATATCGTCCCAACGCAGGCAGGACCATAATATTCTCAACTGCAGTGCTATGCATGACAACGTTGTCGCATTCGATGTACGATATGACCAGCATGTACGGAACAGAGGCCGGGAGCACTGGTACTGCCAAATCGAGTTGTTTTTGGCCGCATGATGAAAGCCGCTTGCCGGAGACTTGCCGCCAAGGCGGGCTAGTTTGAGAAGCTCGTATCGTGGCAAGACCAAAAGGCAACGCTTCTGCTTATGCGTGAGAAAATTTGAGATAAGCGGATAACGCGCATACAAAGCTTTCCTCATAACTTTTGTCTTATCATCTGCTGCTTTCGACGCCTGATCATATAATTTGGCCTCGTCACGCAACAGATAGACGCGTCCACGGGTTGAAGCCGCTGAATAGACCCGCTCATTGCCATTTTCGAAGTACTCGCGTTCGTATTTGGTAACATCCTCACGCTTAACGGGTCGCTGAGTGATGGGAAACCGGCGATTTTGTTTGTTTAACGGTATATCCTTGTCCAAAGTTTGATCTAAAACATCTTTGGTGCCAATATATGCCTTCTTGGGTTTGACGCTACGCTTCCGCCGCGCACCCGCAAATGTATCGACATCATCGACATTCGGTGTTGAGCTGGCAGCGCTCACTGCCGCCGTCATTGAATCTTCTGTGCTCTCGATTTCAACATTGCTGCACACGTCCATGCTCTCCATGTAGTCCATTTTGTCCGAGTCCTGGGTATTTGTGTCAGCATTTAAACTGCTCGCACCATTTGCCTCTTCCACCTTAACTGTGATTTTATCGGGTGCTGATTTGGGGACCTCGATCTGAAGGCAATCCGTGAGCAGATGTTCATTAAAGGGTTCAGCATGAGCTCGCGCCTGCTCCCAGTCATGCAGCAAATCGAGGGGCGCTTCAGTTTCCGCTGACTTATGATCCTCCGACTCGTCCATTGGTACCTGCTGAACACATTCTTTCTTGCCCTCTGTTAGCTTTTGTTCAAGTATGGACGGCTTTTTCACTGCGCCCAAAATAGCTGCTACAGTCTCCTTGGAACCATTGCCAGCAGTGTGTGCCTTGCGAAGCAGCAGCAGCAGCTCCTTCTTTGCACGCGCCTTTTGCAAGCACAGCGGGGAGTAGCAAGTGTTTTGGGTTATCTGCGACACGGCATTTGAGTTCGTGTTGCATTCCTTGGTGTAGCAGCGGAAGGTCTTGGCGTAGCGATTAAGTTGACTGAACTGCATACGCACTGATTGTATTTGCTTAGCCAACGAGTTAACGAGATCTAGATTAACGTTGGATGTCATAGATTTGCCCGAGGCTTCGGTGAGGCGCAGCAAACGCTTCTCCAGGTATGTTTGCTTGCTGCTACTGCCGCCACCAACATTGCCTGATGTTACAAGAAGCGGTTTGAGATCTCCACCATCCGCATCCGATTTGATTGCAATTTGTTGTTCGACTTGGGCCAATTTGAGGCGTCGCTCGAGAAGATCATCCAGGCGGCACTTGCGTGCCACCTTTGGAAAATATATGCGACAAGGTGCAGTTAATGCTTTACTTACATCAATATGTCCATTTACATGCTCCGCAACATCCTCGACGACCTTAATGTGTGTGTACTGTTCGGGCAAATAATGGCAGACCTCACCCGCCGCATGGATCTCCTTACATTGCTGTATGAAGCGCTCAGTTCGCGGATCAACAAGGATGCATTCGTTAACCGTCGACTCCTCGTCGCCCATGGTGTAGTGCACAAAGATACGAACGTGTGACAAGGGCTGGGCACGGGTCCTTCTCACCCGGACACCGCAGCGTCGACTGCTCGATAGCCAGAGCCAACCCCATTGGCCATGCACACGATACTCTTCGCCCTTTTGTTTCCATACCTGATGCTTCAACCCAAGCGAATATTTAATGTAATTGATGGCCAGCCGATTGCGTTCCTCTTCGTCGTCACGTTCACGCTTTTCGCGTTTCTCTTGCTTCTTGCGATCCTCGCGCTCGCCGCTTGTGATGCGTTGCAGATGCGTGTGCCCCAGCTGCTCGTGCCACACATTAGCGAAGACAACACTCTTGAGGGATGCTTGAAAGAGCAACATAACCGCAGCAAAATCAGTGGCACGTTTCGCATTCATAACAGCATTGTTCCACATTTTCTTGCTGCTCAACCAGTTGATATTCATAAAAGATGCTGCTATATTTGACTCAAAATTTAGCAGCGTCTGTCGAAGTGTTGTTATCGTATTTTCGCATGTACCCATCGTAATGCCAATCCATTTAAAATCCGAAGCCGTCGTCAGTGAGAATTTGTGGGAGAGATGACGACGCTTATCGCGTTCCTCGTTGCGCTGCGGCTTGTTGAGCGCAATTGGATTGGTGGCATACTGGTTAACATAATTCTTAAAGCCCTGCTCCATGCCCAGTTTAAAGTAGAGTGTGCCACTATTCAATTGATACGTCTTTTGTCGCGTTACCATTTTATTATTCTCTTCCGTTTTCTTAACGTTCTCGACCGCTTGATCATCGCCTTCCTCGACAGCAGTATCCCCTCCCGTTTCTTTGTCGAGCAGTTCTTGTGTAGCCTCTTGCTCTAGATCTAATAAAGTGCGTTTGTTATGTTTGTGCTCGTTGGTGAGCGACTCGGTTAGCTTCATTTGACGTTCGATTTCTTCTTGACGATCCATTAACTGGACATAAAGTCGAGATTCCAGCTCAGATGCATCCATCCGTTTAAGTAACAATCCGAATTTTGCTGTTGTGCTATAATACCAACAGCTACCATTCAGTTGATCCTCAACAAATATACGCCGCGCAATAAACCAGTACTTGCGTCCATGCCGATCCACCCCAAGACAATCGTGACGTATCAGAACGCCTTGTTTTTCCTGAGTCAAGATGCAGTCCATAACGCCTGTAACCTTGTGGGAACGGCACAGACCACACTGCCAGTCCTCGGTGGGTACATCATTCATGGGTGGATCTACGCACTCCAAGTGATAGACAGCTGGGCATGTTTCGCAGCATAGCAAATCGCCGAGTCGGTGACAAATACGACAATGATCATCATAGTGTATGGGACCCTCCTGCACCATCACGTCGCGCACCGAGTTGGCCGTTAGAAACTGATCGGCCAAGAATTGTAGCACCACCAGACGATGCTCGACGCATGTATAGGGATATTCGCCAGTGCTGAGTATTTTAAAAACATTTCGATCAAATTCTCTGTCACTTTCCACATAGCTGCGTAACACTTCTGGCCATGTAATGGCATCGATCAGATATAAACTGATATTGACTGTGTCCTTTTGGTCGAGCGGTCCAAAGTGTGTGCCCTGCACATCCTCCTCACGTAATATTGCCTTCAGCAGCATTATGTGGATGTCGGTGAGCAGTGCACTTTGCTCCTCACAGACGAAGGCTGCACAAAAGTCCTCAAAGCGAAAGGGCGACAGTCGCACCAGGTGACGAAAGCGACGTAATACTTCGTAAATACTTAAAGCGCGCAAAACATGCACATTGCCCATAGATAGATCTTCGGACGATTCCGGCAACTCGAGAGCCGGATATTGTCGACCTTCTTGCAGCCAAATTGGATCCGGACTGGGTGGGCGTGGAGGTCGACCAACGCCATTCTGTGTAAAGCTGCAGACCGAAAACTCCGACTCACTCTCATTGGCTGCGTCCAAGCTTTCATCGTCGCTGGGCGTCAGCAGCAAATCATCTTCATTATCGGTCTTTTCCTCTTCCGAATCACCGAAATCGGAGCCATAATGATACTCCGACTCGAAACCTGTCACAGTTCAAATATGAAAACTATTAAAATCACAGTATGATATAGATATTTTTCTATCTATACCTCTGCCTCTATGTTCAACATTTACCTTTTAATCGGCTGTCTGTCATAGTACACCCCTCTTGTCCTATTATTTTTGCTTTTATTATGCTTTGTACGGGGAACTATTAAATCTTGAATTTATCTATTGTGATTGAAATTTTTTTCCTTTGCGCTTTCCTCTTCGCCTTTTAGAAGCCCTTCTGTTTAACACAATTTGCTTCTCTAACTGTATATGCAGGACACTAGCACATTACTTTACTTGTCAACCGGTCTAGATTCTTCATGAATTGTCTTATTTTATTTGATTTGAAAATTTTCAAAAGACTGCTCAGTTGGAGTTGAGCTGAAATATGTTTTCTGAATTATCAGAAATGTGACGCTTTTCTCTTGACATTTTACAATGTAGTTCCCATTCCATTATAAGAATCCTAACTTAATTTATTACTTTTTTTTGCAATAATATCTACCTTTTCTGACTGAATAGCTGCTGGTGTTGGTGTTTCCATGGACATTCGATTTGCGTCCGCGTCCCCGTTTGGCGCCGCTGCCGCGGTTGCTGCGATTGTTGTGACTGCTGCGGCTGCACTCATCGCTCTGTGGCGAGATGCAGCGCGATGCCGATGGAGTGCTTGGCTGCGATTTGCCTTCACTGAGATATTTAGGCTTCTTGAGCAGATGATAATTGAAGCGACCCGTTGATGATCGCTCATTTGGCGTCTTTGGTGGACGTCCACGTTTCCGGCTGCCGCGACCACTCATTGTATTTTGTTCAGCGATTTCGTCGTTGAGATCCAAAACGCAAAAAACAATGCCTTAGCCACCCACTTTCGGCTTAAAAACTATCGTATGGACTTCTGTTTGAAGGAAGTGTGGTGTGGGGCGTCGTGTTCTCAACTCAAATACGAATCAGTTTGAATTAGTTCTTGCACATATGGGTTACACATTATCTAAAACAAAATAAGTTTGTTTAAAACCAATAACAAATTTATTTGCCACTAAATTGTCAATAGAACTCTCTCACGTAAAATTGCGCATACAGTTGTATTGGGCGCATATATGTGTGTATATGCACAAATGTACGTGTGAAAAAAATCGATAGAATTTAAAAAATCTTATGGACAATGTCCTTTTGTTTACAAATTACATATTGAAAAACTTTGCTAATTGCATATATGGCGCCAAAAATTAAACACGCATACACACAAGCCACACACTGGTAAGGATGCTTTGCTCTGGGCTAGGTTTGGCAAATTATACATTCTCAATTTTTAACATAGTGCTAGGTACTCGACACGCACAATTCTTCGTGACTGTCTATGTGTGTTATTGACTGTGTGTGTGACTATGGAGCTAAAGCCAACGCACATTGTCCGCCATTTATAAAACCGAGAAAATTTGCGAAAATTGCCACAGTAATGATTGATTGGCACAATTGACAGTTATTTGTATTGCCATTTACCAATTTCACTTGGGATCACATTATGGACGCAATATAATATTTTATTCATTATTATTTAACTATTTTTATCCAAACTGTTAGAGCGACTTTTACCTTACATTTTACTTCTGAATTTCTAGCCCGAACAGCGTACAGTCAGCCAATCACAGCGTATCTTTCATTTGCTAATGCCGCAAGCGACACCTAGTAGTCGTTTAAGACACTAAAGTATACATGGTTGCATGCGCGTCATGTGCAGTGTTGCTATCGACTATGTTATCGATATTCAATTCACGAGATTTTTGAAATTCAAATTTGCAATTGAGACGATGACTGTGCTTGCGCCGTTTTTGGTTTTGTCTGTAATGAAATTGACTTGTTTCCTTCATGGCTACATATTATTAATTCTATTATGTATTACTTTGCGATTTTTAAAAACTAATGTAGGTTGAAGCCCTGTAGCAATATTATTATCTTATCAGTAAACTGTCCGTCTAGGGCGCTTATGTGGTAGACGCTCGTTTCGCCAGTATTACTTCATTGTGCGCGCATGTCGGATGCATTATATTATTAATTTTTCGTGTGCATTCACAAATAATGTTAAATTAAATGCTTATTTTGACCATTAGTATTTTGTGGATACTTCGTTTTTAAATATTATTTTTTTATGCATACTGTACATACAATCACACAACCGTGTTAATTAACTAAATATATTTTTCCATTTATTGACATGTGAGTGAATAAAAACGACTTAAGATAAAGATTCGTTTTCAATACAAATACACCTGTGTCAGTCTGTGCCTAATATTAAATATATATTATTTAATGTAAGTGTGTATGTTATTATTGTTATATAGCATGCACAAGATTTTTGTTTTGTTTCCCTGTTATTAAAGATTTTATAACTTTAAACTAAAGGTGCCTCCCCTTATTGGTGGGCTGCTTATCACTGCGCTTATTTTACAGGTTTTGTCACCTATTTTATACTGAAAAATACACATACTCATATATAAATCCGATATATATATATATATATATATGTGTGTGTGTGTGCGAATGGAACGTACATAAAACGAATTACGCGTGTATCTTTAAATAATAACAAGAATTTCTTAACAGCTAACACTCATTTTTATGACGTCATATTTGAGTGTATAATTAAAGTAGGCAGGGTAAAGATAATTTATGTATGTATGCTGATAGCAAATTATTATTTATGTGTAGACTAGTAACTCCCATTCATGATAGACGCGTACAAAATATCATTGGGTAGATCGCTCAAAGAGTTCTAGACAAGCAGACAGGCAAACAGACAAGTAAAAGAAATTGTAGAAAGTAAAAAAGCAGGCTTCATTTAGTTGGAATTATTGACGCATTAATAAATGTATTTATTACAGTCTGTTATTCATGCTTAATTTAATGATATTTGACTCTTTTCAGTTTTTACAAACAACATACACAAAATGGGAGCATATTATCGGAAAAGCAGCTTTATATTGAATTTCAAAGTATACCTAACCATTTATATATGTATCCTTATGACTATGACAAAAGCTGAGTATGTTTCAAATATTACAGGAGTATTAGACAATAAAAGGTTTCTATATTTTTGTTTTAAGATTTCATATTATTTAATTGTACGATCATGTTTTTCGTAGTGCAATCACAACATTAGAGGAATCAAGCGATGCTTTGTATAGAACATTTAATTCAAGTGTCAAATCAGTGCCAGACGAGTTGGTTAGTACAATGATAGTAACACCAATTTCTACTGATAATGTTACAAGTACGCGTAATCCAGAGAGCACATTATCCACATTAGTACAAAAACAAACGCCGGCTGATTGCTCACAGCGTGAGAAATCCAGAAGTCAGCCAATTCCCTCATCCACCTCAAGAGTGCGAAAGTGTTGTCCACTTGGTGAGAATCTGGATTTTTATCGTGAGAACCAAAGTGATTCAATGTGTGATGGCGCCGTATTAAGTTTTGAACCGACTATTATAAATGCGGTTCTATTTGATAACTGTATTGAGGATTTGGAAATATTTACAGAATTGCCCTATGAGGTTGGCAATCCATGTAATAGGTAAGTTAACCGCCGTAGAACGCTTACAAGTTTCTACTAAGACAAAGTTTACACCTGGGACCATAATGATTATTATATTCTACGTATTTGATTCTTGAGTTAAAATACTAATGCCATGAATGCCTCCCATAGTAACCATATTTACATACTCTTTACTTTTGACCTCTGCATTCCTCCTTTTAAATCTTGATATGTCAATATAAAAAATTAAATATAATAAAATGATATGTATTATACATAATGAAGAGTAATAATTGATTTTGGTCCCTGGCGAACAACATTATGCAATATACTTTAAGAGCTCTGCAACTCTTTGTATTTATTGCAGTGTTACTTTTTTCAGCTCGTTTCAATACGATGATACGGAAGACCTGCTTTTTATATTGCAAGATGGATCGCTGTTGATCATCGACAAAAACGGAAATGAGTCCTATACAGTGGAGGAAAATTATTGTTTGGACCAAGACAAATCTGGCCACATGTTGGCCTTTATATGCATCACACAGGTTGATGAGGTCTCCAAAGCAAAAATAATTATTGTAGCTGTGCTGATGCTTGTAAGCATGCCCTGTCTACTTTTGGTTAGTTATTTACACCTTACCCTGCGATTATTGCGCAACTTGCACGGCTGGTCTTTGGCCCTAATGTCACTGTGTTTGGCCTGCGGCTATTTTGTGTACTCTGTGGTGCACATATACGGAATACCATCTGGTGGCTTCATTGGATACGTTATACAGTTCTTTATATTGAGTTTCTTCTTTTGGTACTTATGCATATGCTGCAATGTTCTTTTAAATATTTGGTACAAGCTTCCCTACTATATTCAATTCAATAAGACTTGGACAATATTGAATTTTGGCGCATACTGTGTATTCTCGATCACTGGACCGGCGATACTAGTCTCGTTAACCGTGCAAAAAGGTTTGCCTGGCATGCCGTCATATTTTTTGCAGGGCCTAACCGAATCCATTCGTGAATCCCAGCGATACTTTATTCCACCCGTTTCGACCATATTAGGTCTTAGTTTTCTTGTAAGTCAACGCACTAAAATCAATAGAGCTCAATATACAAAAATTCATTAATATAAATTAACTAGGTTATGGTTATATCATTTTTTGGTTTTCAACGCATTAAATCTGTTGGTTACTTGATTGCAAATGATGACGAAAAGAATGCTACTACATCAATACGACAGTTTGATCAGCAGAAATACGAGGATGTCAAAAAAGAGTAAGTTGTTTTCGCTTTACAGTCGTATAAGTAATCTATAATACTGTCAATTTTTATCAATTCCTTCAAAATCAATCAACAGCGCAAAATGTGTTGCATTACTTGGTATTATTATAATATTAGCTTGGCTATTTGAAATAGTTACATTCTACTCGCCCGGAAATGAAGGTAATATTTTATAATATAATATATAATTTACTAGAAATGTATACAATTCATTTCTTTTTCAGTTTATTTGTTACTCTGTGATATGATAAATGGTCTTCAGGGCCTGTGGATTTTGCTCATATTTCTTGTAGTGCGTAGACGTCGCACTATAATACTGCGGTGGTGGTACGATCGAGGCACGCATACCATTGCTGAGGGCACCGAATTGCAACCAGTCAACAAAACAGAAAATCCCACATGAGAATTTAGTCATCACAGTTGTATATATAATATAAATAAATGTTTTATTGCATTTTACATAGAAAGTCGTTATTAATATATTAATTTTTTTGTTCTCGTCACTTGTATAGATAGTGTCATTGAGTTTAAATATTATTGTGTATTGTGTGGGGGAGGGGGGATGTAATTGGAGGTGGAGATAGAGTAATTTTCGTAGCAGCTATGTTGTAAGTAAATCGTTTTTTGTGGAAATCAGTAAATAATTTAGTTCGATTACTTGTGTCAATGTTGATAAGTCTAAATCATGCAAATCTAATGATTTCGCGATTACAAAGAGAATTCCTTGTATGGTGATTAATAAATAATTGGTTTTCATATGTATAGCGTTGTAATACTATTTACATATTATATGCAACATAAATGGGATCTAACTGATCGGCCAGAAAACCATCCCGTAAGTGCATACGCTGCTTTTCTCCACGACTATTAATGGGTACTACACCTGAAATACAATTGTATGCGTTGAAAACAAGTTCAATTTTGTAATTCAATTGAATTTACCTGGATCAACAACGACAACGACACCCACAATAAGCTGATGCTCTTCCAGAACAGTGTTTGTGACTAAGGGTACCAAGTCAAGCGCTTCCGATTCGTTACCATCTAATTCTACAACTACAACCAATAAATTTGTCCATGTAAAAACGGCGCTGCGGGACAAAAATAAATGTCTCAAATTTATTATTTAGACTGACTAGAAAAGGACTCGGTTAACTTACCACTCGGCAATTTTCTTATGACAGCGTAGCACAGAATTTTCAATATCTATTGGATGATAGTTCATGCCTCGCAGCGAAATAACTTCGTCCAAAGCACCAACAACATAAACAGCATCATGGAGCTCCTGATCATTGGAATTGACGGCACCACCCACAAGACTATGCTCGGAATTGCCACCCAGAGAAGTATTTGAAAAGTTCAATTGCAGTTGATTCATGGAGTTTAAAGACTCTGTATCACTGTCACGACTCGCCACACTTGGTGTGGTTTCATCTAATACAGAAGCGGCCTGAGAACACTCCGTGCGTCTCAAGAAACCCAAATAACCAGTACGTGCATACATCTCAGAAGTAGCACCAGTGACCAATTTAGCGTTGAAATGATCATTATAGTCCGTCTCATCGCCGTATATGGTAAAATATCCATTAGCATTGTGTGGTGCTTGCACCTATGTAAAAAGAAAATATATTTAGGCAAGATCAAATGAAATTATAAATTCTTAGCAATAGTTTACCCAAATTTCACCCAAATGCGAATCGCCGCAATGTCCTTTAGTTTCAGGATTTGCAATGATTACTTTTACGCCAGGCAGCAGTTTGCCGGATTCAATTAAACACAACGAATTTGGCGCTCCTCGCTCCACCAGGGCAACACGATTATTGCGCAATGCCCTTAGATCAACATAAACCTGTGCGCTCTCAGCCGAGCTTGCACCCTGCACACATATGGCTGGATTAACGCGACATCCAAAGGAAGTTGACACACAGCGTGTGTTCAGTCCCAGTCCTTGGAATAGTTTGCAAAACTGCTGTGTCAGGGTCACGCGCGGACGTTCCTCTCCAACAACAACGCATGTGCGCACGCATCTCAAATCGACATTGCGCTGCTTGAGCGATGGCACTGAATTACTCAACGCTTTGGTGCACAGCTCGATGACTCCATATGAGCAGAATGTATCACGTACGCGATGCTGGGAGAGCGTTGAGAGCCACAGACTTGGATTGGCCTCCACTTCATAGGGGGCAATGAGAATGGAATGGTGTCCGCTGTATACACCAATAAGAGTCCACATTACAAAGCCAAGTCCACAATAAGGATCCAAACATAAGGCGACATGACGGGAAGGATACAATTCACAGGCCAGTTTTAAACTGGCGCACAGACTAGACAGAGATCTGTTTGAAGAATGTATAGTGTTAGATTGTACAAGAACAGAACAGTTAATTTTTTTTACCGATGCGTTATGTTGACACCACTTAAACGCCCACAGGTAGACACACTGAAGTCTAAATATGCACTGGAGTCCAACAAGACTGTGGCTATACCGGCCAATTTACGTTTTGGATTATCATCGATATCCAGAATGGGTGGCCATGTCTTTGGATCAATTGATGACGCCGCCTCCCTTGATTTCAATAACTTTATAATTGGCTGTATAGAGAGCACAATTCCGCTTTTGGAAACATCGACAATCATACGAACTGTGGGTAGCGTTGTGATTAAATTTTGTGGATGCGGTGGCCTAATAGTTATCGGTATTGCGCCAAGATAAAGACAGCCATAGAATGCACACAGTAAGTCCAATCCAGGTGGAAATATGAGGGCTAGAAACATACCAAGAACCAATCAGTCCTTACAATTGTAAGTCAAAAATGTTTGTAAAACTTACCAACATGATCCCCTGGTTCAATTTTGCCACGTTCCTGCAAAAGGGCAGCAATTTTTTCGGCTCGCTTGTGCAGTTCAGAGCAGGTAAGCGTTTTTGCTATGGCTCCTGAAGGGTAGATTAGATATCAATCGATGAATTATTTTTAATACTCGAAAATACTGCTTACCCTTTGAGTTTAGCAACGTAAATATTACATGATCTGGCGAGGTGTTGGCTCGCCAACGCAAAACTCCAGTTATTAATTGCGGCTGATAAATGTAATGATGAATTATTATATATTTGGAAATCCTCGTCGTTTAATATCTGAACATAATCTATGAAAATAATAATAATTTAACATACCTTACGTTCACCGTCTTCGGCCATTCCTACATCGCGTCCGTGTGCAACAGCTAAGCGATTGCCCTGCACTAAATTTCCAACCATGACGGAGGCGGGTCCTACACCCGTGTCTGTAATACCACAGCCAGATGATGAGCTTAATTTTGCAGTAGTTTGCACACCTTTTTTTTTTGATTTTGATTTTGGTTAGTAGTAGAATGGTTTTGTTGTTTTGTACAAGGATTTGATTTGATATGCAATAACAATATATGAGTTATTTATGTTGTTTATGTATACGAATAAATATAAATTTCAAACGTTTTGTGTAGATACATATGACAAAATGTTTTGTCAAATTGTTAATTGAAAGCAATGCAATGCAATTAGTTTAGTTGACATATTTTGAGTTGTTGTTTGTATGTTTGTTTGTCAATGTTATAATACAGTGTTATGGTTATTGTAGTTATTGTTGTTGAGATGAGTGTTGTTGTTGTTTATTAGTGGTGCGTATTTATTGTAGTGGGCATAGTGGGAAGCAACCGCAGCATTTCATTGTTGTTGTAGTTGTAGTTGTTTGTTGTTGTTGGTGATAATTAAAAAAGAGGAAAACAATATTTGTATTTTCATCAGATTCGAATGTATAAAGAAAGCATAGATAGGAACCAACAAAGCCAATGGATTAACAATATGTTCTATACTACCCTTTTACCCGCTTAACCAAACAATCTCTCACCTTGATGCAGTTCACGTGGCTTGGGCAAATTGGTGACGCATGTGTGCGGACACATTAAAACATTTGCCGGATGCAGTGATCCCTCCAAAAAGCGACGTCTAGCCTCGCACAAATGTATGCCCCCAAGTGGGGTCTTCGGCAAATGATTGGGCGGCACAAGTGCTAGACAATAAATGCCAACTTGGTGTATTGAGTCAACAGCTTGCAGCACGCGTGACATCCACTGGAAACTTTCCTCCTCCGAGCAGTCGGGTCGCTGCTCAGCTATGACGCAGACTCGCTCGTCGCGCAACACTTTTATACTGAATACGGCAATGCGTCCCCTATATATAAATCGCATCGGTTCAACAGCCAGCACCGTGGCAATGATGTCATCTGCATTATGTTTGCGTCCGGTGACCGTCATGAGGCCATCACGTGAGCCGCACACAAAAACCAAGCCACCGGGGCCAAGGAAGCCCAAGAGACCTGAACGCACATAGTTCTCCTCGCTTATGGGCTTAGGGTTGCCCACAATTGTGCCGCCGCCGTCCTTGGGTAACTCTGGATCCTCAAGTAGCGGTTGCACCTTAAATGTTGAATTCGTCATGCCGTCGAGGCCAAAGTAACTGGCTCCAGTCGAGCCACTCGTCACACAAATCTCGCCAACCTGATCCGTTTTACAGAGTACTGGTGCACCCTCCGAGCGCACAACCACCATTTGGGCAGCTGGCATAACTTGGCCGCAGTCCTGCAAAGTAAGGGAAGTCAAAGAGTCTTCGCTATCGACACGAACAACACCGTGTGAGAGGGCGGCCATGGATAGTACGCCGCGTCCAGTGGCCGATTGACTGAATCCGGTGGTAGACGAGCGACCCGGTCGACGCAGGGAGACAGTAAAGACCTCGGAGCTGCTGGCACACGGACAAATTGCATCTGATCGCAATCCCTTGGCTTGGAAAACATTTAAAAATTGATCGCATGATGACAACGACCAAGGATTGGCACCGTCAGCTACAAGCAGCATGCGCAGCGAAGCTAGCGAGATGTCCTTATGATCCTTAGTGGCTAGTAGGCCCCAATGAAGATCTCTGCTCTTCACCAAGCAGCAAGATGCACGATGTTTAGTTATCAGTTGCATCCAAGACGAAGGCCGCAATTTCATCAGAGCGTAGGGAATAAACACCACATGCATACCATTGAGTATGGATGTCAAAACGGCATGCCACAAGCCAACCTCTCGCTTGAAGTCCAAAACGCACACAATTGTTTCACCTTCAGTGTAATGGCAGGCCATTGTCAGAGCACGACAGTGATTTATCATAGCAGCGCGGCTAACAGTTATGCCTGTAATTTATTTATTACAATTTATATTTAATAATATATAATATTATAATGATAAATAATTATAATAATATACTAAAAGTGAACTTAAGAGAACAACCATAGTAAAGAAACAACAATATTTCGTTATATTATTAAATGTGCCCCCAAAAATTTAGAATCAACTACTAGATTACTTAATATTCCGAAATACAAATACCTTCAACATAGACAATTGTGATATTTATACTCAAAACTTACCCATTACACTGCCTTCCTTATCTGTAGTATACTCGATATACGCAGCTGCCGTCTCTTCAATACGCAAATTGCCCACATTGAAATCTTTGGGTGGCTTGGGTAAATGCTCGGTCACAAACCATTGTAATCGTGGCCAACCTTTCAGTTTGGCTATTTCACCAGTTGCCGACTTGGGTAGACCCTTCAAGCAGGCTTCAGAGGTGAGGGCTACGGTTATCCCACATGAACTAAGCAAGAATCCCACTTGCTGTGGTGGAGTATCTGAGCTGGAGAGCGGTAACTCAATTGGCAGCGGCACCAAACCGCGAAACATGCAACCATACCAAGCTGTTATAAAACTGAAAAAGAACAAAAAAATTACAAGCTATTTAGACCGCAACAACTACATACACAAATACACACTGCATCATTAAATTACCTCAGTGGATCATTATTTGGATATACCAATGCTACACGATCACCTGGTTTCAGCGTTACCTGCTCGGGCCCTTTGCTGAAAATCTTCGTGGACAGTGCGTAGGCGATCTTTTGTGCGCGCGAGAGCAGCTTTCCATAGGTCAGAGTGGTGGTTATTTTACCATTAGGATCCAATACCGTTGCCATCGAACTCTTGAACGAATTCATGCCATAGCGCTGAAGCGCACACTCTAATGTACGAGGCAGTCCAGCCGGTATAGAAAGTTGTTCGCCTTGCACCGGCGTCATTGTGCTGCCTTCGGGCTTCGGTGCATTCGGATCCTTTGGATTGGCAGCAATCTCCAGCTCAATATCGTTGTCCTCATAAAACTCGGGTAGCGGTCGTCGCTTGGGCCTTTTGAGTGTGTTCAGCAACTGTTGAATCTTGGCCGATACTTTCCATTTTCCATTCGCGTCAGTTTCATTTAGCTCGGTTTGAGAAACGTTCACATAACGTGTGACACGGTCTGCTATGCGATGTGCGTTGTTGAACTGGGTTATGTCGGGGGCGTTGACTGTTCGGAAAAAATATTGATGTTACTGACGAATTAGCAATATTATTGGAACACTTACAATGCTTATGCTTGTAAGCCTTATCAGTCAATTCAGTATCTCTCTTGTATGCAATTGGCGGCGAATCTGTGCTCGAAGTATCCGAAGTGGGCTGCACATAAAAATCATATTAAAATAAGAACACATAAAATATATTACAACTATTACTGTATATTAATATATTTTTTATATTATTAGTCCATAATCTATAAATAAAAAAATTAGAATGCTTGATTCATAATATATATATTTATCAAACGTTTACGTGTCACATTTACATCTGTGATGACTTAATTGTCATGCATGTCATATGGAAATGGCATGGCAAATTCGATTGGTTCAGTTAAAATCTTGAGGTAGACGAACTATACTTTCTTTAATGATGTATTTGATGACATATGAATGATGGTTTTAAGTGATTTTACGCATATCAGTTTAACATGAATATCGAATAAGAATCGGGATTTCAACTTTGAATGCAGTATAATTCTAAACGTCATTTTTGAAAAGTCCAGGTTTTTTAAAATTCCATAAATTTTGACAAAGTTATGGAAAGTTGTGACCCGGCTTTAGAAACTATTTTTAAGAACATAATTTTTACATGGCAAGTGGGACCGTTTTTCACTAAGTTAATTAATAATTATGAAAATCGAGCCAGTAACGCCTTTACTTCTTTAAGTCGAGTATTAATCTAGAAGTTATACTGTGATCAAAGAGGCAGTGGCTTTCAATGTTAACAATGTATATAGTAAATGTTAGCACTGTCTCTGCAAACTTGTACCACTTTTATTTCCCCTGATCGCGTTTTTATAAAAGCTCGGTCTTAGAGCCCATTTGCGCCAAAACCGCAGTTTTCTTAGCGCTTACTGTTTTGACCTGGCTTGTAAAACAAACCACCAATATGTTGGTCAGCCAAAAGGAAGCTTTTTTTATTTGTTATTTTAAATAACAGTTGCTCTTGGCTCTTGTGAACTCACCAGAGGCGGCAAATTCTGCGGTGGCCGTCGTTCTGCAACACTACCGCTGCTCGACGATGGATATTTTTGAGCTGACGCTTGAGATTGTTTGACCTCGTGTCGTAAATGATGATGCTGCACGCCCATTGATGATTCACGTATTGGTGGCTTTATTATTGGTTCCGGAGGTAACATGCTGTTGCTAATGTGATCACGAGGATAATTATATTCTTTATCGGGTGAAATAAGCTCCTCAGGTATAGATTCGTCATCAGTGGATGAGTCCAAATCATCGTTACACCCTGGACTGCGATTAAGCACGGAACTACGTTTTGAGGGCATTGGCAGACTGGGCTTTGGTCGACCTTTGAGAGCAGCCAGTGCCTGCTGCACAGCTTCCTGTCGAACCTCTGTCAAATAATCCAGTTAAATGATGAGATACACTTATTAAATTGTTATTTATTGTAGACATACCAGAATGATATCGCTTCTCATTGTGCGTAACTTTTCGTTGAGTCCGGCGTTGTCGATGCTGGCTGCTATTTGTTGGAGGATGGTGAGCAAGGTTCTGAAATGTGTTTGGTTCGCGTGTATTCTGATAACCGGGATCTCCGACAGCGCCACCCTGCGGTCGCATATTTTCATAGCCAGGCGCCCCAGCTCCGCTCTGAGGTGTTGATGATGATGCGGGTTGGTGGAAGTCAGACTTTTTGGAATGCCTTTGTTGTGATGAGGGTAGTGAAGGTACCTCAGTAACATAACTGTACCCCTCACTGGAGATGATGACGCCATCGATGTTTACATTGCTGTTGCTATTGTTTGAATCTTTTATGTTGTAGTATGGCGGTGGAGGCAAATTCTTTACCTTTTCCACATCATTTGCTATTGCAAAATCACGTTATATCCGTTAATTTATTATTTTTATATTTTTCAACAATATATTTTCTCAAAGCGTAAATAATGTATGTTTTTTTATACTTACGTTCCGGTTTCTTCAGAAAGGGTTGCAATAATTTTGCACGTTTCTTTTCGTATCCTTTTTGTGTAATGTCTCCTAAAAAGAAACAGAGAGTATTAAAATAACTTAATTTACAAGTGGAAAATAACGAAACGCTTTTTTTTATATTGATAGATGGAAATTTAAAACTAAAACTGAAATGTATGTAAAAAGCCTGTATGTAAGTTGTAAGATATAGTAAAAGCAGACATAAGAGATACGTAATTCTTTAAAGTGTTAAGAATTTCGTGACACAATTATAACAAACTTGTCAACCAAAATGTAAAAGAAACAGCTCGCTCTTCTTATTCATATGTAATGATTATTGAGTTAATTGAAAATATCTATAGAGAGAGAAAGAGAGCTACATGTGTACGCCATTATAAATTGATATATATATCAATATATATATATCAATAATAATATATAAAATATATATATAAATGTATAATCTACATATTGAATGTATTTAAGAGACTCATCTGTCGTAAGCAGCCGTATCGTATCATGCAAACCTATGTATATATATGTATGTGTACATGCTTATGTATATGCACACATGTGTAATCATGCATGTGTAAATGTATAAGTGTATACTTATATATGTATATATATAGGCAGACACATGTTCATCCCACAAAACCGCACACAGAACACAGTATCAATAGCAGTTAAAGGGGTTGGCGGTGTCACAGAAAAACCTTACCCCCAACCCCCACCGCCCCTATTCCTAAACAGTTTCTATGTCTGCTGTGGCTCGGACTCGTAATGGGAACGCAGCTGTGACCCATGGCCGGCTACAATATTTTCTAACTCGACAATTATGCTACAATGAGTCAGGGGAAAAGGGAAAAGGGGGTGATGTACAGATACAGCATTAGCAGCAATAGGATAATTAAAGTCAATTGTATAGCAAATCACAGTAATTTTATTTAATCCACAAAAATTGGGAGTAATACCTTCGGATAGTTCCAAATCCAATTCGGCCAATTTTTCGCGAATATCAGTGGGTAGTGATGAGACAAGCTCCATCCCCAAAAAGTTTGCAGACGCTGTAGACATTTTTGCTATGGTCGGTTATTGTTGTTGTTGGTGCTGTGCTTTTTTTAGTGGCTGGAGTTTTCTATTAGTACACAGGCATGTACACACACAAATGTATTTCACCCTGCATATGCAATCATACACAAACACACACCGCTGCTACTTTGCAACTTCTTCGTTTCCAAATATCGATCGATTTTCAAAATATTCAAGCCACATTTAACGGATCTAGCGTTTCTGCCAAGTAAATGCTTAGTGCCCTAGGTTGATCACAATTCGCTTTATCTTTTGCATTATACTTGCACAAATTTAATCATCGCCCCAACAATAACCGCACCGACAAACGCGTATATATAAACAAAGAAAAAGTATCAGATTCGATTGAGAGAAACACAGGTATGCAAGAAACTGTGCCACATTTTTCTCTCACTGCGCATGATGTCACATCTTTATAACTTTGTGTGCTGCTAATGTGTAAACTTTATAGCGAATATAGTCGCGACTGCAATGTCTCCGAATGACTTAAGAAACGCCAGCTGTGGCCGTTTGGTTAGTTAAAAAGTGAAGTAAATAAACAACGTAGCAAAAAGCATTAAATTTATGATGTCAGAGTACATCATATCCACCGGCGAATAGTGGACCGGCGTCATGGACAACCTTTTTCTTTTATCAGTATCTTTGAGTAGCAACCGTAAGAGGGATGATCAATCGTCGACAACTTATATATGAATCGATATAATTGGGTTATTTTAAATATCGTTACATTTAGTTTCGTTCAATATTCTACTATTTAGTTGTGCCTTTCGGACTCGTCAAACTGACCCATATATCTGAACTTATTATATATATTTATATTTATTTACTGTGTGTTTTCATACATATTTGACAAATTACGTTGCGTTGATAATCATTTATCGATAAGTATACAGCCTCATTGCCAGTAACAAGAATGAACATATTTAGTTGCTTAAATTTATTTAATGCATTTCGCATAAAATAAATAAATATATTTATTTCGATTGAGGATTTTAATACATACATAAATACATAGAAAAAGTTGTGTTAAATGAGTTAGTAAATAAGTTAGGTTGGCAGCTCCGATTTTCTTATTCTTCTTCAAAATGGGTGCGCGTATGGTTTATTTAAAGCATTTTCATATTTTAAATTAACAATTTTTTTTTTTTTGTTTCTAGACAATTTAAAGCTGCAGAGAGAAGTGATAGCTTTGAAAAGATTTGGTATGTAATTATATTAAACAATCTTACGGCCCTTAACACTAGTAGTAATCGTCACAGCAAATCACTTGGAGAACACTCTAAAACTCGTCAGCATTGAGCTCTCCGATTTGCCGGACGATGTTTTGATGTTGCTCGACAAATGTGTGGAAATTCAGGCAAGCGAAAATCTGAATGAGCTGAACTTAAACTATTTACGCGAAATTTACTACTGCAACAAAAGCGAATATATAGAGAACAAGCTTACTGTTGCGAAGCACGCGGCAACGATAAAAAATCTTAAAAAGTCTATAAAAGAATCGGGAATGGATATTGCCGATTTGGAAAGGTAATTACGATTTTAAAACCTAGTCATTATTAATTATTACGTTCCTTACAGATTTATGAGCATAGTCGATAAGCGAATAATTCCGGATGCCGAACAGAAGCTCAATATCGTTGAAATAGACGAAAAATCCAAATATTTTCAGTTCAGACAAACCGAGTTCAACGTGCCAGATAACTTTAGCATTGAGTCAGTAATAGAAAAGGTCGAATTGTTGGAGGACAAGTAAAGCGAGCACAATTTTTTGTATAAAAATTATTTTTAATGTATTTTTTTTATTTAATCAGTAAATTCAAAAAAAAATTACTATAACACAAAATCTGCGAATTTAAATGAATAAATTTTTTGTTTAGGTTTACAAATAGAAAATCTACGCATTCTAAAAAAATTAAATTTGTTGATTTTACTTTGATTCTATATTTTATTGGAAGTTAACCGCATACAAAACGGTTAATTGCTGCTAGATCTTGCTTATTTTTGTTTATTGTATATTTGTTTAAAGAATTATTAGTGTTAATAAAAAAAACTGTAAAACCGATTGTTCGACGGTTTGGCAGTTGCTTAAAGCATACAAAAGTTTCAAGTTTCAATCTTTACTCAAAGGCTGTTTTTTCTGTTGCTCAAATGATTCCAATGTGGGTACTTGCTTCATATATTTATATAAGTATATAAATTGGTGTGTGTTTATAGAATTAATAATTTCATATTCATTAAGTTGTTTCTTGACGTTGTTGTTGTTATATAAAGGGCGGGTATGTGGCAGACAAACATTTCAGCCAGCAGCGCGCGCTCCACACGCCGCCTGCCTACTGCACGCTCAGAGTCGTCTTCTAACGGAACTCGGGCGCATCGTCCTGCGTAATGTCACCGTACTTCCAGATGGCCAGATGTGCAGCCAATGCAGCATCCTGGGCAGCCCTATACTGCTCCAACAGCTCCTTGAGTCGCCGCTCGCGTCTCTTCTCCACCAACACAAGCCCATCGGCCACAAGTTGCTTGCCAAAGTCCGTCTTCGTTGTGGGATCGTGCAGACTGGCCAGATGTGGACCACCGCCCACCTTCAGCTCAACATTGAGCTGCACCTTGTGGTTGAGCACATCGTCCGAGAAGGTGCGCAGAGCTTCCTCCTTGTCCTCATTGTCAGCGGGCAGTGCGACCAAAGCAAGTGCGTATTCCGTGGCATGTGGTTTCTCGCTGCTAAACGAAGCTGGCAATGCAGCCAAGCGGCTAATTGGAAGAGTCTGTAATAGGCAGTCATAAAAAACAAATTATATGAAAGATTGTCTATTGTCAATGTGATTTGTTTGTGTCGCACACCGTTGACAGACGCTGTGCCACGTGTTGGGTATCCCCAGCAATGTAAATGTGTTAGTTATATATGCATGTGGAAGACGCAGGACTGCCAGTCACCTGTGCTCAACGGTTGTGTCAAAGAATATGAAACATCCGCGCAGAGCGGTTTTGGTGAGCAAACGCAAACGCTCCATGAATATAAACATACACAACACGAGTGTTGCTGTAGAGTTTGGTGTACACCACTTCATGGCAGCCAGTTAACGTCGAACGGTTGAGCATTGTTTATGTGGCAAACTTATGACTCATGCGCTTCACTTTGAGACGGAAACGGATCTAAGGAGCTTGCAGCAGTGTGTGCGGATTGATTTTAGTTATTCCATCTACTTGCCTCCTTGTTGCCGTAGTCAATGTACAGGACACTGGCGTTGTTGCCCTGAATGCGCTCCACCTTGGCACGATACCATTGATTGTCCAAAATGAACTGGGCTGCGACCAAGTCTCCTCGCTTGGGTGTGTATGCGCCGGCAATTGGGGGATTAGCCTGAAAATCGGCATGCAACTTGCTCATCAGTGTCTCCAGTTTGGGTCCGTTGTCGACGGATTGGGCAAAGAAGGTCAGCGTTTCGGTGATCTCGGTGACAATAACGTTCTCGTAGTTAACTTTGCGTTCGACTGGCACCTTCTCATCCTTCTCCTCCTCTATGACGACCTTCTCCTCAGGCACTTGTTCCACGTAGTTGGCCCAAATGTTCTTCTTGGCAACCTTCGCACGATCCTCGGCGCTCTTGAGCAGGCGATAGTACTCCGACTTCTCGGCACTGAAGTGCACCTCGGCGAGACCTTCCTCAACGAGGGCAACCGATAGATTGACATTTTGATCAGTCCAGAGCCAGCCAATAACAGACGAGCCCGCCTTATCTGTGGTGTCAATATGCACGGACACATCGCGTTGCAGGACACGCTCGCGTGTAAACGTGAGCGCTTCATCACCAAAGGGTTCACCTTCCTGGGCTGGTACGCCGTTGAGGGCGGGGCGCGAGGAGCGTGGACACGATATGCCAGCGAGCAGGAAGGTAACAAGGCAGCTGTCCTTAGGCACATACAGACGGAGACGTGAGCCGCTGGCAACGAACTCAACGATGGCTTCGGTGCGCAAGGCACGTTGCCAGGAAGGCAGGTACTGCACCTTAATACGGGAATGCTCTACAGTGAGATCGTTAACACGCAATGTCGCGTTATCCTTCTTGGCATGGAGGCCCTTCAGACCCTTGATTGCCTGCTGCTCTGCGGCTATCAGTTGATCATATGCGGATGACCGCTGATCATCGTCCTGCCGATAACGCACACATGTCGCCAGACCCTTTGCGACCATTGCCTCGGCCACGTTCTGACCACCGATGAGAACGGTGTAGCAGTGCTTCTCAGGAAAGTTATCGCGCAGCGGCGAAATGTAGTCTAGATTGCATTGCACCTTCTTGTTGACGAGTTTTTTACGCAAAAATTCACGGGCATCAAACATATGCGGAATCTCATACAGCGGGCGATAGTTTTTACCGCGTGGTGGCGCCTTCACAATTTCCTCGCCATCGGTGCCCACAACGGCACGCTGGTCACGTGGCGGGCGAATCGAAGAGAAGAATACCTTCTTCACCTGTCCATTGGCCACACGTACATTAATCGCGTCGCCGTTGAACACCTCGACAACGGTGCCCGTGAAATCCTTCTCCTTTGAGTTGAAGGTAGGCGTTTTTGCTTGGTAATCCTGCCATTGACGCAACCGTTTCTCCTTTGCAACGCGTTCGGCTGCACGCAACTTATCAGCGCCTGCAAGCAAGTTAAAATTAAAAATTAGCTTGAGACCTTAATGGGCGAGGAGAATTTTGTGTAAGAATAATGCTAGAGGCAGCATTTGTGGACGGGGTGAAATGAATGCAGTGTCAATAAATCAGACACTGTATTCTTGGAGTCCGTCGATTTAATCTGGCAACCGCTTGCTGATAGCAACGTAGCGCAACACAGGCTTTAGCGAAAGGGGCGCCATGCCGTTCAGATCGATTGCCACACCATAAAAGTGATAATGATGATATGAAATCCACTCACCTGTCTTCATCACGGCCATGGACCAGTCCACACACTTGGCCAGACCTTCGCGCAGCAGTGATTCGGCAATGTTGCCCTTGGGATACAGAATCGTGCCAATAAAGTTCGAATTGTTAACCGATTCTAACCTGATCTCGACATCACGCTGCAGCAGACGCGTCTCCACATGGTAACGAGCTTCGTCGGCAAAGGGCACTTTCACGCTCAGATCGGGTTTGCCATCCGCATCGAGTTTAACGCCCGGGCAGCGAATACCTGATATCATCAGCGTAATGTAATGGAAATCGGGTAGGAGGTAGGCACGCACAGTAGAGCCGTCGCGGACATGCTCAATGATTGCCTTGACGGGCTTGCCGCCATAGACATCGACAATGTGGGCTGGATTCTCGTGCGCCCACTTGATGTTGCGCACCTTGTCCGCCGAGTTGACGTTGGGCGCCCATTTGCCACGATTAGCGGCACGTGCCTGATCCTCAAGCTCAATGAGCGTCTGCTGCTCGGGTGTTGGACGGCCCTCGCGACGTACAGTGACGAGACCCTCACGGACAATGGACTCAACGATATTCTCACCCGTTTCCTTGTCCTTGCCCAACCACACAAAACCGTATTCCCGATTGGAATTGGCGGGTTTGTCAAAGGTGAACGTCACCTCATTGCCGATTAGCTTCTTGCGCAAATATTCGCGCGAATCCCATGCCCACGGTTCGTCCTTCGTCTCATCCCCGCCAGCGCCAGGCCGGCGTGCCAGTTTCGGAGCGAGCACATGCGAGAAGGTGATTTGTTTTTCCGGCGGTGGGGCACCCTTTGAAGCACGTATAACAACCGTGTCGCCAGATAGAACCTGAAACACACAACACAAGCACCCCGAGCACGGCGGGCAATGAGGTTATAATGAAATCAAATAAAACACGTGAGTTTCACATATAGCCAAAAACTAACCACTAGGTGGCGCCGAGTGCAGTGTTTTACAGGGCTGCCGCAGATTAGTGTGACCGTTGATCATTTTAATTGATAGTTTCTCATTTCAAGCAGGCAGAATGAATCCATATTAAAAGAAAAGTATCGCGAGCCATACAAAAACATTTTATCTGCAGACTAAAGTGACCGCTGATCATGATTCAAGAATGCAGAATGCATGTTAAACAAAAGTATCGCAAGCACTACAAGAACATTTTATCTGCAGTTTAGTGTGACCGTTGATTATTTTAACTGGTCGTTTTTTGATTCAAGAATGAAGATTGCATATTAAACAAAAAGAATGCTAGTTCTACAAAAGCCATTGTATCTAACGGATTTGCTGGCGACAACCTACGACCGTAGATATTATATATATGCAAATGCAAGTTCTGTTTACGTTCCAGCGCCTTAAGCGGAAATTTAGTAGTTTTACAAATGTGTTTTAGAAACCACTACAACACAGTTTTAATATTAAATAATAATATTGACTAATAGAGCGTACAATTTAAAGACATTTGTCCATATCTTGTCATACCAAACATTTGAAAGGAGTTGTACAATAAAAGAATTGATGTTATTTCTATAGCGTACTCGCTCCCACACATCGAACTTGGGAAAACAGGTGTTGGCTTGCGGTGGCATTTTAAATATCAACAGGTCTTTCACCTAAAATCTGTAACATGGAACGGAAGACGGAATGCTGACGCGGCATTCGCTCAAATTAAAGAAGAAGGAAGCAGCAGCGAAGTTAATGTCAAAAGTTCTCAAGACGTGTCTGCAACGTCATCAATTAATATCTTTTGATTATTATGGTTAAGGCAACTGCCTTGATAAATACTTGACACGTGTGTGTTTTAAAGGGTCAATAATTGACTTGCATTCAAAAGGGAAAACCCAAACACAAACGGAAAAATCGAAAGTAACTAAAACGGTTACATAGTATGTTAATATATAATATTTACACTCATAACTATGCACATTTTGACATTGCTTTTGCGCCTGTGCAAGCGTTTTTCGAGGTTAGAAACGATTAATTTTATATTAAGCAGCAAATACATTCCGATGAATGTCTATGCATGTGTATGTCTGTTTATCAGATAGAAACGCATGTTTTAAAATGCCGGCAAAGTGTTACTGATTGATGACGTAGCCAGCCAATGACAGACAAGAGTATGCTAAGTAAATGCATACACATATGCATTTAATTTATCATGCAATTACACACATGCATATATATACGTAAAGGCTCAATACATATTTGTAAGCAGTGCTGCTCTGCTAAAGAAAATCTGCCAGGTTGGCAGTTGGCACCTCCGTCGATAACTTTTTTTCTTTACAAACAGCGAGCGAGCATAGTCTTGGTGTGAGTGTGGTAAGCGTGTTTGACGTGTCACTCTCACGGAACACGCATATATGAGCATCTCTTTCACACTTGCTTGAGTGGCAGCAGCATTCGCCGTATTTGCCACGCTGATGATAATCACATATTTTTTTTCTTTTTTTTTTTGTATGCATTATGTATGAATTATTATTACCGACTTATGTGCGCTACACTGAAATAGAGCACAATAGGATTTGAGCCATTAAAAGAGTTGACTGACTTACTTGTTTCACAATGCCGGTTAAAGTCTTTGCAGGCGCTGCTGCCGTCGCTGCCAGTGCACCGTCTTTCGCTGCTCCAGCTGTCGTCGTGTTAGCTGCTGTTGCCATTTTTTCGTACGGGTGCGGTTTTTACCGGCGGACCGATATACGTGGCTGATTTTTTAAGTGGTAAGCGGGTCGAATTCCTCACGTTGGTTTAAAGTGCGACTAACACTGCTCGTTTTTGTTTAAACTTAATTAAGTTAATTGAGTTCGAACACACCACACAATACGAGCTCCTCAGAATTTTCACTGCTCTGTAAGCGATGTGACCTACTTTCCTTTGCTCTAAAATACTCTAGTCTCTCAAAAATTCCATTGATTGAAGCTAAAATACTAAAATCAGCTCTGTTAAATATTTTAATGAATTGAGTATTATTTAGTATGCTGCTTTGTCAACTTGGTGAGATTCATAAAATACTAAAATTCTTTGAAATGTAAAACTATCGATAAATGTTGGAATTTTCTATTGTGGCTGAAATTGAGCGGGAAATTATTTCTTTATTGTTATAAACAAAGATGAGTCGCTCAAACAAAATGTTTGGCGACAAGGCCTTCGATTTACTTAAAGATCTAAAACGTTCCGCTCAAACAATTCCTGCCTTTGACGACGACGGCGTACGCCAAGTGCTCGAGGAGGTAAAGGCCATATTCGAGGAGAATGTGGCGCAGGCGTCCAGCTACAGCAGCTCCGGCGATCGCAGTCTGTGGCCGCTTCTTAACTACAGACATGCAGCTCTGCAGCGGAACAAACGCTGCCTACTGGCCTATCTGTATGAGCGGATGCAGCGCATCAAGGCCATGCGATGGGAGTTTGGACCCATCATACCTAGTGATATCAAGCAGGCTCTATGCGAGCCGGAAGTGCAATTCTTCAATAACTACTCCAAATCCCTGGCTGCGTATATGCGGTCCATAGGAGATGGAAAAGGCATCGATTTGACTGGCAACTTGCGTCCGCCCAAATCTCTTTACATAGAAGTGCGCTGTTTGGAGAATTATGGAAAATTCGAGCTGGATGACGGCGAGATAATACATTTAAAAAAGAATAGTCAGCATTATTTGCCCCGCGCACAGGTGGAACCGCTGGTGCGACAGGGCGTATTGCAGCACATAGCTTAAAGTATACAAATGCAACAATATAATTATTCATATAAATAAACATTGATTTAGTGCGAATTCTAACTTGCTGTGGCTCTACCGCTCCGATAAAACAAACCGATAAATAGTTAAGTGGCATCTGTTCAGTTTGAGCTGTGTTGGAATTTATACGAGACTAGCTGGTTAGAAGCTCTTAACTTCCAATTGGAGTGCTGGTCTTTCTTTTTCTTTTGCATTTGCATTCCAGTAACAGAAACAGTGTGTGCACAAGCAAATAAGAATGGGCTGTTAATAACATTTCAGGAAATGTTAAGGTTTTTGGGGGCGCACAGCTGATTTTGCAGACCGCAATTACGTGGAGTCAAATTTGTTGTGTTACGAACTAATAATTGGGATTAAAAATGAATCAAGCCGAAGTCAGCAAACTAATATCACAGCTGCGAATCACAATGCGGCCAAACAAACGTCACTTAAAGAATTCAGAAGGCCCAGAAGGTCGCCTTCTGAAGCTACGCAAAACTGTTACAGCGCTGGTTAAACACGAGCGAATTGAATTGTTCTACAATCGAGCGGACGAGGCGCGTGGTTATGCAGAATTGGTAACTATAAATATCATAAGGATTAAGGAGTAATGAACTCTTTATAAGCTATCAAATCGATACAGCTAATATCAAATGCAATACGCTATGGCGATCGACACAAGGCGACCATGGAATTAGCAGACTATTGGCTGCTGGAGAAGCAGCTGGTCCACAAATTGTTCAAGGTGCTGGTGCCGCGCTATGAGAATTTCAGCTCATCTTATACACGGATGTTGAAAGCGCCGCGAGACTATCCCGGCATCTACTATAAGAAGTCGGTGTTGGAGTTCCGAGGTAATCCCTTCCCAGCACTTGTGCCCGATTATACTCAGAATCGTAATCTATTACACAATGTGCTTCTGGATGAGGCGCGCAAGGAATTCAGACGGGAGCAACTTGCTAAGATGGCCAACAAATTTGCGGCAGAGACGGCAGCACCGCCTGCATTAGCCACACAAGAAAACGATGCGGGCAACTAGTTACAGTGTAATTGTTTGTATTGTTAATCATTGAAAGTAAATCATTTTTCTAAGCTAAATTATGAGATAAAGCGAAATTCATTTATGCATGCTTTGAGACGAGATACCTTACCTTAATGAAAGCTTTAACTTAGGCGTCACAGAGGAAATTTCATGAAAATTGTGCTTATGTACATTCTTATATAAAAACATATATGTAATTGATGAAAGGGCGTGAGTATAAAATGTGTGTGTATGTGTATATTTATATCTGCAGCGACAGGGCAGATAAAACACGTATAAGCGTTTTGTTAGCTTTTATAATTTATCAGAACCTCAACGGAGCACCACACCAGACCGCACCGCTCCCTCTCTCTCTTAAGCGCCTGAGCTACCCCTCCTTTGTGGGTGTATCGGATATGACAGAGTTCAAGCGAAGAGGGGGCAACAAACCGACTGCAACGTGTTAATTATAATTTGTAAACAAATTATACCTACATGTCTATGTATCATATCATAAGCATTGTAATCAATGCTTGTGGTAATCAAATACTTATAAGGTGTTGGTAAATGTTGTTTTAATTTGAACTTGTTTCTTTATTTTATAAGGTAAGGTGTGCCAATTACATGGGTCCAAATTTCATTACAAGGTTGCTGTATGGTCTTGATTTATATTAAAATTTGTTGCACTATGAATTTTAAACTGAAAATGAAACACTCTTCCAGCAATAGTAAAAAATCAAAAATTGTTTTTGCAAAATACTTTTTCCTTTCATAAGTAAAGGATTATATATAAGTTCACATAGTATTACATTTCTTCAAGGTGCACCGGCCAGAGGAGTTCATCCAATGACGTTTTTTTTTATATTTCCCAGTCTTTCATGATGTTGTTTGTATCAAGTCTCCATTATTTTTCGCAACTTTGAGGCCTTATGCCATTCTTCTTTATTTTTTGTAATTAATGTCGACCGAACTTATGTGAAAGTACTTACAAGCACATACAAACAGACGTACATACATGTACACCTATGCTTACATGTGTACATATAAAATGCACAGATTTAATAAGGCAATGGGAATGGCTGGAGTCAACGCGAGGCTTTCATCTCGTTGAATAGAACTTTTGTGCCTGTGTAAATTAGCTTCTTATGTTGCTCATTATGAAGCCAAAAATAATGGTCTGTGAGCTGCGGTTCGTGATAACATCTTCTGAGCCTTGGCATGTGGCTATTATAATTATTGACAAATTATGAAAGCCCTCGGCTTAAGCTTTATGCCGGCAGCACACATGCAATGTATCAAAGTGGTAATTCGTTATGTACATGTGTACCTGCTCGTACATATATAAATGCATATGTACATTCAAAGCACTATTCATATTCTTACTGTGTGATCTGATAAATGGTATATTTCAAAATTGAACGTCGCAAGTTGTTTTTAATCATTTCCCTTAAGCGACATTTTTATTCAACTTAAACCATAAGCGATATTAATGTGTCGACTGGCTTCAATTCTTATTTATTTCCTTTTTACTTAAAATTGGTACAGCTGACAAATAAATGTACACTTTTAATTTATGTTAATATATCAGTCTTGTGAATTATATACAAAGGTTTATTTTTATGCATCAATTATGATGCGAATGCCGAAGATCCTAAGATTTATTGCTTGCTTACATTGCAATGGCTTAAATAGTCCGACTGCCAATCTATTGAGAATGAATTATTAAAAAAAAATTGTTTATGTTATGTCCATTTATATATTCATACCTTTACCGGTGAAACATATTTCACGCAACATGTCACAGTGGCTGTAGAAAAACTGATGCTCATTTCTGTACGTGGCACAGATGGGTAAAAAAGGATCGCAATCATATATGGCCTTGCAGCGATCTGAATTCTGAAATACGGGCAGGGAGAGCACACAAAGCATAGATCTCTCGATGAGTATTAGTAGAAGTAACGAGATTTTTGACGGGATTCCCAACGAAGGCATTCTTAAATTAACACTTTTAAAGACGATTAACACGTTGTATAAATATACTCCCTCTCTGTCACTCTCTACGTATATGGGTATGTTTAAATTTACGTGTCAACAGGTGTGATATAAAGTTGATATAAGAGGCAAAACATATTGCCAGTTAATGGCTAATACCAATGTGCTGTGACAGGCATCTTAAAGCGACAATCGAATAACTGATAATCACTGGGGAGCTTGAACGCAACTGTGCTCTCACATTTGTCATACTACAGGCTACATACGCCAAGCTGAATCCCCCATCTGCTGTCCGATTGTCATGACAACGGGCGATTGTAGCGCATTGTTGTTGTGGTTAGTCACAGAGACAATGATAAACATTGACTCCAGCGCAGTCCGCGCTTTTTTAAGCAGAGCGCTATTGTTTATGCCGTTGTTGCCGGCATAATCAATGAATGCCGATGTTGTTGCTCATCTAACTGGAACACCGTTTTCATCCGGATCGGAAATGGGACTCAGCGGAATCATTGCGTGCAGGTGTATTTTTGCGTGTATATTTAGCGGAGAGTCGTGTATTTTTCTACACAAATCCATCGAATAAAGCATACTAAGTGCCCTGGATAACATTTGACTAAATTAAGCTAACTTTATGTGTGAAAGCTCTTTTAGTGACACACTAATTATGCAACATATAACTACCGTGGTATACGTCCGATTCGTAATTAAGATTGTTACATTAACGGGTTTTCGCACCATAGAGTTCAGCCACTTAAAATCAACTTAAAATTAGATGCAGATGCAGTTCAACGTTTGAAATGGCTATGAAAAAGCATTTCTCGCCGAGTCTAATCTTAAATATGTTCTTATATACATATGTATGTACACATATGTACTCGTATATGAAGGAGCGTTGTGTGTGTGTGCTCACATACCCAAGATGGCTGCATTGCTGCCTGCTGACGTTGATGTTTTCATTACTAGTATGCGACTTCCGTAAGTTCTGCAAGCGAATTGTAAGCATTGGTCGCCGCTTTCAAATGGTTGGAAAAGTTTTTTAAGCTTTAATGTATATAATACCTGTTATATGCCACTAATTATAATAGTAGTTAAACTAAAATGTCAAGTTGTGAAATGCATTCTTCCGGTCTTTTGCACAAATTACTATATTTATTAATTTTTATTGATTTCAGGGCTTTAAAACTGCAAGTTATTTTTATGGAAATTTTTGTTCCCTAATTAAATAATAATTTAAATTCAACAAATTAAGGGGTTATAATTACGAACTATAAGCAACCAACCTACACAAGTTGTCCGCTAAAAAGATAATTTTTAGTGGTTGTTTGGAGATTCTTCCAGTTACGCATTTTGTATAAATTCAGGGTCTACATTTTTGGTTACGATACAGTATGCCTAGTTAATAGGAGCGATGTGGTTGAACCTTTCAGTCAGTAATATGACAATATTGCTGCAAGCTCTGGCAAGTAACAAAAATACCAATAACAACAAGAGCAATCGCACAAGCACCAAAAATGAAAGCAACGTACACCGAGTACGATGAACTGTGTTTGTATACTCATTCCAACCATATTCCCATTCCGATTGCCCTTCATATCGAAGTATTCGCTATGTGTGCGCATAAAAATAGCAGCAGTTCTTATACCGTGTACACATAAAAAAGGCAAGAAAGGCAGAAAATTACCATTACCAGGAAAGCCTAGATTTTTGGGACACATACATTATGGCGTGGCATCTCTAAAGAAAACCTGACGGTCACAATAGCCATTCAACTAACTAGTATTATATTTGATGAGTTAAAGAACAGGGGCAAAATAGAGCGCTGGCGCTGCCCCAAGCGCTTAGTTGGCCGAGTGAATATGTGCGCATACTTAGGAGCATAATTACGTATATGTATGTATATGTGTTGTATTTATTGGGCTATTTAAATATGGGGACAGGATATCTCCGGTTTGAGAAGTTGACTCGAAAATATTCTTTCATGTTATTATTGGAAAATTGCTGAATCGCGCACAGATATCGACTGTTTTTGTGGCAGTGTGAAAAGGGTGGGTGCAAGAGGGGGAATTCAATGGGTCGGTGTAGAGCATACATATCATATGTGTTATATTGGCAACAAACACTTGTGCCAAAACTGAAAAAATGTTAAAAAAGTAAGCATAAAAGTTTGAAATTACACCCATACGATTCATCTTGCGTTCAAATTTGCGCTCGTATATACAATTATTTATTTCATATTAGGCACACATAAGTATTGTAGTTATATGATTATCACAGTCTAAATGAATGTCAAAAGTTAATCCCGTTTCACTTATTGTTAATCAAATGATCTGGTTTTCTTTGTAGAATATTTTAAGGTGTCCTTTAGCTGATTCAACAACATATACTTATGGATGGAGAACCATTTTATGCTTATTGAATACAGATTACTGAATTTATGACGGAATTCTTGATAAGCTTATGCTCATATGTATTACAAATAGTATAAGAGGTATTTATGCAATTTGTGTTCTAGGATATCTTAGATTCGACTACTTAAAGGTAACTTTTTATTTTATTGAAGGTGGTTCAATTGACTAAAGTTAAAACACTTTGGAAAAGCTGTAAAACTTGAATTGCTGGAAATGAGAGAAGTCCTATTTGGACTTTTGCCCCAAATGTGCAGTGATGTGCACTGTTGTACTCGTACAATTAGGAGAAGCGCACATGCTGTCCTCGTAGGCATTAAATTACAAATGAATTCCACGCACGTGATATTTTGCTTGACTGCATCTGTTAGCCACAGCCAAATGCAGCAATGACCGCTAGCTTGCTGGATTTGCCTCGGGCTTACAGTTGTATGTGCAACTTAATTATGTGTAACATTTAATGGATAAACTGGTTAAAGAGTTGGTGTGTGCAGTTACTTTATTACATATTTGTTAAGTTTCATTCCAGTAGGTTAGTGTGTATGTACTAAAATGAAAGCATTTCTTATATTGAGTGTCATTATAAGTCCTTTTATTTTATCCCATTTCACCTATCATGAATATGTAAACATTAAATACAAATTGATTTGTTAACTAATTTTAGAAAATATAAACATTTAATAGACGTTACAACTAACTTTCTAAAATGCGCTTCTGGCGTTGCAAATTATTAACAATAAAATAATAGATGCAGCGTTTTTGGAACAGGATATGATTACACGTAACGATCACCTCCACTATCACTATACTATATACTATCTATACTATATATACTATATATGAGAGATGCGCTTAAGTCCGCTTACCTTCATAGAAGTGTAATGCAGTAATTCTATGCGTTAATGACAATTCTGCCCATGACCGCCCTATTTGTTTGTTGTGAATTGTCTGTTTGGACTAACCATATGACTTAATTACATTTGCATTATTAAATTTTATGACAGCTGTTGTTCACAGCATCTTGCCCTGCTTCAGTTGACGGCGGTATATACCTGTGCGGTGTTGCTTTGAATTCTGTTAAAGTAAGCTCAGTTTTAAGGACAATTTAAAAATGAAATAACTTATTATTCATCCACATATATATTAAAACAAGATATAATGATTTCCTTTGGCACGTCGAAGATAATATATCCTTGTAAATTTGACTCCGGAATTCAAAATATCACTATGTTTTTGTACGTTTTAAAAAATGTTTATATATATATGTTTTCTGTTCTACTACTGGCTGATATGTACGTCTAAATCTTTAAACTAATTGTTCCTATTGTCGTTGTTCCGGTCGGACATCGAGTCCTCAGTGACCGAGGCAAAAGGACAAAGTACAATATTGCTTAACTCACTATTTTACACTTAGATTCTCTCATATAATATACAACAGGACTTTTATTATTTTGAAAAATGTATTCCTTCAATTTACGTTGAGTTGCAACAATGCCTGCAGCTCAAAACAGGAAGCATAACGTAGCTGCAACGTTTATCTGTGTTTATTTTTGGAACATGCGCAGCTTTTTGATAAAAAACCTAGGTGCGCTTCTCTGAGTACACATAACAAAAATTATGTTAAAAGAGAGAGAACGAGAGAGAGAGAGAGAGAGAGAGAGAGAGAGAGAGAGAGAGAGAGAGAGAGAGAGGTATAGAAAGAAAGAAATAGAGGAAATAGAGAGAAAGAGAATGGCACTTGGACGAGAGCATAATATCCTACAGGATATTCGGGGCTTTTTGCAGCTTTTTGCATATTTTGGTATTCAGTTTCACAGAGTCGCGCAACGAAGGCAGTTCAGAAAAATTTGCAGTCGAATTTCTTACACTGTGCACAGCCTCAGTTATAGTCATAGCCTGAGCCAATTGACTTCCTTGGTGTGAATCGTGGAGGAGCAATTTTTGTGTGTATAACGGTTAGTTCAAGATTCATGTTTCTATGTGTGTGTGCTACGTAATTAGTACCTTTAAAGGTTGAAAAAAGCTTAAAGAACACAACTTTATTTTAAAAGCAGAGCTATTCAAGTTTATTATCGTTGTTTGTGTTTTTCCACAATTTTTGTGCCAGTGTCTGGATTAACAAATATAGAGCAGTATATTGCGTCACTATATACATAGTTGAGCACATAAGGACTCTTTATCGAATTCGCTTGTAGAGGGTAAGCGTAAAGTAATTATTTTAATTAAATAGCCTCGTGGGAGAACCTTACGTCTCGGTATACACCTTACGGCGAGGTGTATATTCATATATAAGTTGTTGGTAAAAAGGTTTTAATATTATTGCTTTCGACGCCTCATGCTTTTTATGCCTTATGCTTCTCTATGAATGAGTTACCATAGATAAATGCCAAATACTTGGGCTGGACCAAGTCATTAAAGCAGCTCAAAAGCTCAACCACAAATGCAATATAATTTATTTTTTATATGTAAATAAATAATCTGTTTTCCACGCAGCTAAAATCTAATGACAGAGGTATTCAGCAGCTACAACAAATGTTTACTTCTATCAATTGTTGTCGATACTTAAGATAAATTGTACTGGTGAAATTGAGAATTCAAAATAGCTCATATATATTCATCGAATCACATTCTGTCAAAAATTAAGAACAAAAAATATTGAACTATGTGTTTATTCGTTAGATTCGGGCGACAGAACTTTACGTAAATGCATACGGTTGGTAGATTACAATTAATGAAAAATTACATTGATAAATATATTGATATTAATTCGCAAAGCCTTTACGGAAAGCTGGGCAATCCTTTGTTACTTAATTATGATTATATCGAATAGCTTATTCTTGTAATCTAACGACATAACTTAATGTAGTACGTTACAGGAATATTAAGGAAAAAATATGCTAAGCCGTTAACAGGATATTACAGTATTTTTCTTCAATAATAACCGGCTTGAAACAATGTTTCAAAATTCTAGGCAATCAACACATTTGCACAATGAGACATAATTGCAAAAGGTTTTTGGTAGCAACGATCTTTACATGGTCAGCTTTGCTGTCCAATTTAGCTTGTGGTACTACAGAAGGGCAGGAAACTCCACTAGCCCTGCCCGTAGCTGAGTTGACACAACCAACAACAGCTATACAGGGTGAAGTTTGGGAGGAAGATGATCACGAGGTCTTAATACGCAATGAGCGCGGGACAAAAAGCGACGGTGAGTTCAGTTATTTTCTGCATAATATTTTCAAAAACGTTTGAGATTTGGGACAATATAAATCAACCATTTCTATAAACTTTATATTTTTCACAGGTCTTTCATGTCGTTATGGAAAAAACCCATGGACTGAATGCGATATTAAGACTAACACACGTTCCCGAACTTTGACATTGAAAAAGGGTGATCCGGCCTGTGATCAAACTCGCACTATTCAGAAAAAATGCAAAAAAGGTAATAATAATAATTGTTAATTACTTACTAAAATACACAACAAGAAAGAATGATAGAATTTTGTAAGCTCAAGTTTTGCACACTTAAATGAATCAAAAAGAGTTGTGGAATTCCTATCAATTCCTATGAGATCAATTTTTTAATACAGACAGATGGACAAACTAACAGACAGACATGTGGATATGACTACATCGACAATGCTGTTGATCCTGATCAAGAATATATATATCTTGTGGCTTTGCAGATACTTCCTTCTTGTTGTTACATATATTTACACAAAACCAATAGGCCCATTTAATTCATTTTTAATGCGATCAGGATATACAAAATAAAAATAATACAAAAATGCTGCAAATTTTTTCATAATGAATTGCAGCCTGTAGATATGAGAAAGGTTCTTGGTCTGAATGCACCACAGGACAAATGACCCGAGCTGATAAATTAAAGGCGACCAGCGATCCTTCATGCGAAGCTACCCGCATAATTAAGAAGAACTGCAAGCCAGGCAAGTCCAAGGATAAGAGTGCCAAGGAGCAGCGTAAGAATAAGGACAAAGGTGGGTAATCGACGGCTGACATATTAAACTTATCTTATAAACTATTTAAACATTCAATATTGAAATATTGAATTTATTTAATGAACAACTAGAATAATATATATAAATTATTTTTATATCTCGTAGCTGCTCGCAAAGGACGTGCTTAAATAATCTGTCAGAAATCGCATTGATTTTTTAAATTCACATGTTACTTTTTATTCCTGATACTCGTTTTACAAAAATATATGAAACCCAAAATAACAACGTTACAGATAAACCCAAATAATGTATAATCGTAAAGTTCTATTTGAATACACCTATTACAAAATTGTAGTTTTGTTTTGAAACAAACCGAAACCGAGTAAATTAAAACCTATAAATAAACAAATTGTATGCAGAATTTGTATGAATAATACGTAGAGCCATACCAAAAATTTAGTTTATCCATTAAAAATAAAAACCATTATTCTCCAAATTGATAAAACTAGTTTGACTGATCCGGCAGATATGAAGCTCGATACCACGGAAAACTGTCTTACAATTTTCATAATGCATTAGCCAAGTAATTATAAAAACAACTTTATATTAACGTGAATAAAAACCCTTTTTATTAAACTAAAGTTATTCGAATTAATGTAAAATGTTCGTCTAAAAATATCAGCTTCTGTATTTGATCTCAATATAAACTGAGAATAGACGAACAACCAGTGGAAAATATGATTGACATAAGTAATAAATAATAAAACAAAATTTAGAGGTACAGTAAATACAACATTTAAAGAAAACACTTAGTGTAAATATTGTAAAAAGTGATACAATAGTATTGCGACGTAACAAAGAGACGATGACCGATGGTTGACTATGTCTAGGCACTATGCCAAAAACGATTGGTATTTTAAAAACGTTCATAATACCCTATTAACTAAATCCGATATGATTATTGGTAATTATTATTCTTCTTAAATAGAAACACCCCAGAATCATACAGGCACTCGCGGTCATTGAAACAAAAAAAAAATAAAAAATAATAAAAATGCAAATACAGTGAAATGTTGTATACAACGTAGTAATCTTTTCTGCAAGTACATTATCAGTTGTAGCTGATAATAATAATAATAATAATAATAAACCTAAAGGTAATAATGATAATAATAATAAATTTTTAATAAACCCTCAAATTGAATTTCTTAAGAGTTGTTTATGACTAAATGTACTTAACGAATAATCAATCATAATTATTATTATACAAACATAAACTGAACGATCCCTTGGATCTTACATGTGTGGGTACATACGTATGTATGTACATGTATGGCTACTGCACATATGTATCTACATACATATGCATATGTAAGTGGTGAAAAAAACAAATTTACATAAATATTTGATGTCAAACGCGTTTAATTGAAATTATTTGTATTCTATCAGGCAACCAATAGAATTCAAAGTAAAAAAAAAAACACAATTAAAACAGAAATTATATACATGCGATATAGTCATTTGCATACATACATATTTACATACATTAAATAAGAATAACATAAAAAGGTAAAATGAAAACAAAAAAAAGTAACTGAACTTACATAAAAATATTATGAATAAAAAATTGACATGAACATTTAAATAAAAACTAAAACTAACTAATTTGATTTTCTTTGATAACCTGCTATTTTTCAGAACACCTCAGCTGACCTAACTACCACTCCTAAAAACCAAATGCTTGAAAAAAGTTCTCCCAAAAAATAGGTGTGGTGTAAAGCACTCTGCGCTAATTAGAAAATAATACAACACCATAATTTTTACTATGTGCTTCTGATAACTTTAGTTTTTCTTTTCATATTCATATGTATATTTAATCAAAAATTAACATAATTAATATAAAGTTATTTTGCAGACAAGCTTTAACAGACGAACATACAGAACAGTTGACGCTTATATCGTTTGTGAATGAAAAGTATACGAAAATGGCATCTATCAGCGCGTGCAATCGATATTATTAAGTGAGCTGTCGAAGGAATATATTTATGTATGTGCACATACATAAGTAAGTTAATGTATACATACTCATATACAAAGTAATTCGAGGAACTAGCAATTTAATACTTGACATTTGTTGCTGCTGCAACTGAGGAAAGGGACTGAAGCTGGTTAACAAACAGCGTTGTTGCAAATTCACATTGGGAACAATTTGAATAAAGTCTGAGTAAACACGAAGAAAATATATGTATATTCACGTATATGTATATATATACATATAATCAGCCCATTCGTATCGTATCAAGTTGCATATGCATGAATATGATTGTGAGTCTGCGAAAAAGTATGTGCCGCTTCGATTGCCGCGTCATCTTTAATACTATTTCCATGGTTATACAGCTACGAGTATTTTTAATGCAAGGTGATGCCACCGGGATCTGTTTTCACATTTCAGCAACGTCATCAACAATGGCGACATGACGATGTATTTCCAGTATGTGTTATCTCATTACTAAATGCTATTATTGAAAATGAATTCTTACTGAACTCCCTTGCAGAAGCTAAGGGTCTAATGAATGTAAATTCATGTAATAGGTTGCAGACCTAGTCCAATAAGAATTATTTAATAGAAATACCATTCAACCAAAACTTACAATAACTACAAGACCAGAAATCTTGTGAAAATCATTGCGGGGAGTGTTGGGTTCAGAGAAGAGAACATTGGCACATAGCAACACAAAAATAAAATTTGAGATATAACTTGCAGATGAGCAAGACGCCGATGATACAACACATAGGGAGAGGAGAGAGAACGCAAGCGTAGAGAGTGCAGTTACCATACAAGAGCGTTCGGAATTAGAGACTCGTTTAGTTGGTATGTGATAAAAAGTCGTATGTTATGCTCATGCGCAGCAAATCCAGAATACTCAAAAATTGTATTTAAAGTCAAATCTAAGTTGTTTACTGTCTTTGCTGGGGAAACGCGAACTCAGCACATAAACAAATTTTGTCCGATGCCCAAGAACCTACAGCCTTGTGGCTCAAGCGACTGGTCAGGCTCAATTGTGCTTATGTACATGCATACATGCATATGAATGATTGTATGGCATACATGTTGAAAGAATCAGAAAAATAAACAAAGAAACAAAAAAAGAAAAGACCCATACATACATAAATGAAACCGTATAGCCAAAAGAAAAAATATATCGAACGATATACATACATATGAATATGTACGTAAATAGAGCATTCACATATGTGTACATTTAAACGTATACATATGCACATAGCCACATCAACAGTATTATGTTTATTTTGTTTTTTTCTTCATTTTTTCATTTTACTTGCCTTGCCTGGCTGCAGAGCTGCCCGCCAGATATATTTTTTTGGTATTATATCAAAACAATGTTCACTGTGCACTCTGCCGGCAATGTTGAAGTGGACTTGATTCTGACCCACTCAAGCCACAATCTCACTCAAAACTTGTTTCCTATCTCACGGAATGGAGAGTACCACTCGCACTCAAATACACATAATGTGTGTATATACTTATGTCCAAAAGTAAAATTTTTGTGAATCTTATCGATTGACTGCTATTACACAATTTCGAATTCCTTGTTTAACTTTCTTGCTTGTTGTACTAAAAGCTATGAAATTTGTTTCATCGCAAATTATTTATCAAAGAACTTAAAAATGCTAAGAAAAGATTTTGCGCATTATGCGGTTTATATACGATAAATAGCGCCTTATATTAATGTAAATAAAGTTTTTTTTTTTACAAATAAAGTTAATTTTATAAATTCTTATCTAGAATTACATGCAGTTACTTCCTCTCATCAATCATATACGAAAGACGAGGTTGATACATGCTGATGGGACGTTGCGCCACAATAACAACAATAATATAAAATACAAATTTATTGATAAGAATAAATGTCATGTATGTACGTACATATACAATACAATGGAATGAGAATGAATATGAATAAGTCAGCTCTAACTCAAATGACATTTCGCTCAGTGTATTGAGTGTGTAGCAAGCTGAGTTATTTCGTTGCCTCTCGTATTTCAAGAGTTGCTTGCTGCTTGCTGCGTCACAAGCCACAACATTTGCCAGCTCCACTCAGTTCCTGCAGAGCTCTGGACAGTGTCGATCGGCAGCGGCAGCACGTGAAAAATATTTTTACAATTTTTACCAATTGAGATTTTAAGCATAGCATTAAGGAATTACTAGAGTGCAACAACTGTTAAAAGAGACCATTTTGAGTGAGACTCTCTCGTGTATTTGTTTGTGTTATAATTTGTGGTGGGTGCGCAGCAAAACATAATCCAAACAACTTTTACTCGAATCGTCAAAGAGTCTACGACTGTGTAGATAGAACGCAACTCCACGCTATATTTTCCCAAAATTGATCATGTTCGGACTTACAAAAAACCAAATTTAATTTGATAAAAGCAAAGTTTAATCAAAACAAGGTAAATTAATACGCAATATAACTAATTCAATTGAATCTGTTTTGTGGCATAAGGCTTAAGATATTTCTATATATGCAGATAGCGACACACCGGCTCGTTTCTTAATACAATTGCTTTTGTAACCTAATGAAATAATGACATCAACTAAGATGCAGCCTGTGACATAAAATAAAATATAGAATTCGAATACGTTCAATTAATTAATTAATTGTTCCACTTGTTTTGAGTTGTATACAGGGAATAGAGTATTGAGAAGTCGGAAGCTTTCGACTGTAACCTTTTTACTTATTTGGTTTATTACCATGTGGTTCGTTAGCCAAAGGACAATAAAGTACCAGCGCAAGAGCAAAACCAATTGGTGAGATGAGTGGGTCAGGACATACTACAAAGAGGCTCAATATGTATAGCTATTGTCGCCAAAAAGAGGCACAACACATACAACAATAGTTTTGGTCGCTTAACAATGCACATAGGTATGTATGTATTTCAATATATGTGCATACTGGCCAGGATATTGCCAAAACACAAGCGGTGCTTTCTATCCTTTGTGAATATTCAATTGTTCTGTGGCATCAAATAGTTTCGTCAAAAAAAAGAAGACATTTGATGGACGAGTAAACAATAGAACAACAAAATATGGCCTCGAAGAGAAAGAAAGAAGTCAAGCCATGTTTCTCAGCATACGGCTTCTTGAACTGGCATCTGCCTAATTTTGGAATAGTACGATATATATTGGAGTCTGAATTAAATAAGAAAGTTCTTCAATTGTAAAATTGTTGTATGATACTTAAATGCGTCTAATGTTTAAATTTAATACACGTCTAATTTAGAGCTGAGCGGGTGTACTTCAGCCTGCTAGGCATGCTACAGACATAACTTGTTTCTAATACAGCATTTAATACTAAAAATTCAGTAGGAAAAAAAGAGCATATACGTTTGTATCCTGCTCAGTATCTCACTGTCTTCACTTTTATGCTTTGTTTGCCTTTCATATGATACAATTACAATTATTTAAGTGAATCAGTATACTTAAATTGTGCGAATAAATGCATTATGAGAGACCCAGACCTCAATTGCTTTCATAAACTTCATATGTCTGAAAACTTGATACATGTAGCTGCATTGCATTGCTTTAAATAAATAATTTTGTAAAATAGCAGTTACAGCTGCCAACACTTGTAGTTCCTTGTGCGCAGTCCTAAAACATATATATACATAGTTGTACAATTCACATCAGTCAACTCATCCATAAATTATTTCACTTATTGCGTCAGAAATGAGCGAAAGAAAAATCGTGGACGCTTCATGTGTTCGCCAGATGTGCAACTTACGGCACGAAATTACCAGATACCACATTTAATGAACTTTTAACGATTTTTAGTGGTTGCAGCTCCTTATTGTTAATATACCTCTGCATATTTTAGCATGATTGTGTACTACATTAATTGGGGCATTTACATAAATGTATTGATAATTTTATTTCTATATTTAAATACAGTATAATCGAAAAACCATGGATTTAAAAAATGTGACTACTTTAAAATCCAGTCAGAGCCGCGTTCTCAATTATAAATATAGTATACATTCAAAAGTTCAGCCTTGACACTTATGGCTGCGGAAAGTTTTGACCTGTCCTCACAAGCCCTTTTTGAAGGCTTAATTTTTAAATATACTTCGACGATACAATCCATTTACAATTTAAAATATAATATTAAACAAGGATTGCAATCATGATTAAAAAGGCCTGCTTTTTTTTAAAATCGGTTTGTTTTCGACAAAGTTATGGCAGTAGAACTATAAGTTGGACTATTAAAAACTGCTCTCATCTGCATGTACAAGTTAAAGTTAAAGTTTTTAACTTTGTTTGCTAGTTGTAAGTACATATTGTTGAAATGTTTTGTGGTGGCCCTGTTCAGCGCTTGTGCCCCATTGGTTGGGTTTTGCGTTGATTAGCTTGTTGTTAGTTCTTTTTGGCTCATTTTACAGTTTTCTCTTCTTATGAAGGGCTCACAAAGACTGGATATTTATATATTCCTCCCACAACTGTTGAATAAACTTGGCATAGCCGGACAACTCTAGCTAGTTCAATAAATTATTTTTTTTATTCAAGCTATTTGTACTTACTATACAAATTAAGCGCTTCAATTATATTTCTCTCTAATACAAATCACTTGAAAATTAAAATGCATAAAATATAAATTATTTGCAACTCGACTTTTTACTTTAAACTTATTTTAACTGATTTCTGCTTTCATGGGGAATTTCTGTGGGTATTCTTAAACACTGACATCTCTGTGTACATAGGTGAGGTTGTTAGGTAGGTAGTTGACTGAGAATTTGTTGTCGTTGCCCAGATAACAAAAACGTCACAAACAGCAACCGTAAAGATGGGACTTGCACCTGAATTAGCAGGGGAAATATCATCTGGCAATTAAAAAACCAATTAAATGTGAGTGAAACTGCCATTTCTACCACCTATGTACATACACATTTATACAGAACTTTTATTTAAGTTTAGTTTGCACAAACGAGTCAGAAGAATAAGATATTTGATAAGAGTTGACATGTGTATGTGCATAGCTGCCGTATAAATTGGCAAAAGGAATAGGCCTGAGTCTGGACCATAGCCAAGGTATTTGCCGGGTCAAAGAGAATCCGTGCAAAAATCGAATCAATCAATAAAAATAGTTGTGTTAACAAACCGTCGTCCTCCTTGTGTAGTTGGACTTTCTGCTTGCATTGCTTGTTGGACAGGATGCCAAAAGCCTCACAATGGAAATGACAAATTGATGTGATGCTATTGAGCGTATCCCGGCACATTCATTCCTTTTGCGATACACTTGGAACAGACTTCAACAATTTATTTACAATTAAACAACTGGTTCTCATCGTTAGAAATTTTCTGCCTGAAGGGATTAAAGAATGTAAAAAAACGGACTTGTACAGAACTGACAGAATATTAATCAAATAGGTATTGATCTTCAAAATTTAAGACACAAAAGCCAAACTAAGTTGGATCTGAATAGACAACTCCAATAGTTTTTTTTACGAAACGTCTAACGCATTCAGTAAGACATCTCCGATCCCGTTGAGTTTATCCATATATTCTTGAATAGCATCGACGTCTAAGTTTGAACGTATGGGATTATTTGCTTAACAAACTTATTCATAGATTTTTTAGTTTTAGGGCGACTTGTTGACACTTTTAAAAGTTGTTTGGGTATCGATCCCATAAGCTATTTTCAGACACACACTTTAAGCATAAATATATCTAATGGGTAGCTTGTTTTCGTGAACTCATTATTTCCATTGTCATTTGAATTTCAGATTAGTAAAGGGAGCCAGCACCTGGCGAGTAAGCTGAAATGGGTTGTTTAACATCCGCGCCCTTATTGACGATGCTCATACTAGTTAAATTGACGCTGATGATAACTTTGATACACGGCCATGGTCATCACCACAGTGGTAAAACCTATCACTTGGCTCTGTCAGAACTCGCTAGTGGTGCACATTTGGTAATGGAAACACACTCTGGTAATGTGCTAGCACGTCCAGCGCGTGAAGCTATGCAGGAGGGAATTGCTGCAGTCCCCGCCAAAGCCCCAGATGGCGACCTTAGTGGCGGAAATAAGCGTGCTAAAAATAGTAACAAGAAATCAAACAAATCTCATAACAAGATGCTGCATGTAGGCGGTCACAAGCCTGTCACACAAAAATCATTTGTATCCGCCGGTGAGGAGCAACTGCAGCAGGGTCAGCACAGCAATGTCAAGCAGCAGCGACAAATGCTGAAGCCTCAGCATCACGAGCATCAGCATCACGCTGGTAGGAAATCTGGAGCTAAGTCAAAAGCATCGGAAAAAGGCAAGTTATATTAAAATGAATTGAAGGCACTAGGTGTGGGAATTGGTAAGCTGTAATTTATTTTCGGCTTAAAATGATCAATACATCGTACATTCTCTGGCTGGAAGAATTTAAAATTAGCATCTTCTTGAGTTAGTCTAAATATTTCATGAAAATATTATATATATGTAATATATAATAATCAAAAACATAGCTTTTTTTTACATTTATGGCTTTAATAACTATAATGATATAGCTAGTTAGTTCAACCAAGGTTCAATCAATAATAAATATTTGTAATAAGTTTTCTAATTAAGAATATATTTGGTACACAGCACCGACCTGTCGTTATGCGAAGAGTTCATGGACCGAGTGTGATGCCAAGACCAATATGCGCACTCGAACTCTAAATTTGAAAAAAGGCGATTCCCACTGTCTGCCTACTCGGACAGTACAGAAGAAATGCAAAAAAAGTGAGTAGAAAAAACTTTTATTGTTTCTTAACAGCTATATTGCCCAGAAATTAAAAAAGTTCTCAATTTCTTAACCCCTAGACACAGCCTTTTAAATGTCCAGTTCCAGTTCAGTTTATCAATTACATTCAATAGTTTATATGTGTTAATATTTATATCGCTTAATCGATTATCGTTATTTTATTAGCTTGCCGTTATGAGAAAGGGTCATGGTCTGCATGCAACGCTGGGCAGATGACTCGTGAGGATAAATTAAAGGCATCGGAAGACGGTAGTCAATCAATCTCTTGCAATCTCGTGCGCATAATTAACAAAAAGTGCAATCCCGGTACTGTACAAAAATTGATACCAGGCGACGTTCGCGACACGAAAGTGCGTAAGCACAAGGAGAAAGGTAATATCCTGATATAGCATACTGTAAGCCAATTAATTCTGCAGCAATTACACTAACAGGTATACGTCCTACATCACCCCCTGCGTAATGTTGTAAAATGGGCGGAGATGTAAATCAACAAAGTATTTAGAAACAGCACATTTGTAGCATTAATTTTTTAAATTGTTGATTAATAGGGCCGGTTCGCGCAAAGCATGCATAGTAATATGTAGTATATATATATTTTTATAAACAGTTTAAAATATTTCTTTTTCATGTGGACCTTTATAAGATTGTTCATTTTATTTGTATGTCGTTTGTATATGATTCAAGAATGCAGTCAAATTCCTGAGGGACAATAAATACGACACTGATTATGAAAATGATTTACAAAAGAAAAAATTAAAATGAAGTAACCTACAAGTTTTATTCTAATGGCGTGCAGCACTTGGATATATGAGCCACCAATGAAGTTTCTCGGATCAATATGCTACTGACTCTCAGGGTGTTGAGCCTTATTCCGGATATACCGATTGCCTATCTCACTGGATATTCTGCAACCATCACGTGCTATATATTCTAATTCTCGATTAATATTCTGAATGGCTTCGCACAGAATCTCGATCCTAGCGCGCCAAGTCCTGCTTATAGATACCGGTAAAATCCTCGGCTAGTTGGCACACTTCGGTGTGGTGGTCCAAATAAATATTTGATGCGAGCAGAACGTACTGAAGTAAAATTTAAAAATAAATAATTTTGTACATGTGCATTTACTTTTTAAATACCACTAAATTAAAAAATGAAAGATGCAATTGGTTAGATATTTCGATATTTATTATGCATACCGACACCATTACCTGCTAATCCACTGTGTATAGGTGCCGACATGGTTTATTTTGTTCACTAGACGGTGTCAGTAAAAAATCGAAAAATGGTTGTGGGCCTCTTATTCTGTTTGTGTCCTCTTCTACTTTTCGTTTGACGCAGGCGACTGTCAAAATTGTTAGAAGCTTAAGCTTAAAATAATTTTTAATAAAAGCACCTTTAATATAATTACCGCAAAATGATGTGTGCTTTTTGTTTTTATTATTTCTTCTTCTTTCGGTTTCTTCACTCACTAGTGGTATCATGATTTGACGGTCTGGCAGCACTTTTTTCGAAGGGGCCATTTTAGTGTGTATGCCGTGGATTTTATCTTTGTTAGCGCCGCCATATTTGATGAATGGAATACTGTGCAACCCTATTGGCAGCTCACACAAACTCAATTTCTATAGACTTTTTAATGGTATTTTTCCGTTAGACCTCAATACTTCTTTTAAAAGGCGATGGGATTGTTGATAAATAAAAAAATACATCATTTACATCATAAAATAACTCACAGCAACCGCATTTTTATTGTCAGCTATTGCTGCCAAAATTCAACTAAAAAAAACCAAAGTAAACAAAAATTCCCTGCCTGATTTAAACTAAAATGTCAAATTTTTCAGTGACCTTTTCGTATATTGGAAAACCCTAATAATTTATTTATTTGAATCTGCAAAAAAAAGTTGCAATTTTGCAAATGACTTCGATCGCATTAGGGCGGATGCTGTATGGGGGCTCAGGATTCCGTCGCAAGCTTTTATATACTTCCCGAACGCTCACATCAGGAGTCATATACACCATGATCAACAGTATCATGGTCCAGACCCAGACACGAATCAAGTGTACAGGAAATCGGGTAAACATACATTCATGCAATTTATACTCCAGCTACTTGGAAAGACCGCATCTGGTGTATTTGATACATCGTTGCAACTCAACATGTGAGAAAACATCGACGCAGATACTGTCCAAACTATTTCCGCAGACATCCATTGAGCTCAATGATGATGAGAGCCGTGATCGACGTAAACGGGAGGAAGAGGACGAACTAAAGGAAATGGAGAGTGCATGGAGGCGTATGAAAATTGGTTTTGGCGTCTGTGGTATAGGGGGCATTGTCTTTATATTTTGGGCTATTTATTTTTTTGGCAAGACGGCACTCGATGAACACGGAAATGAAGTTAAGGACGAGTACAGCACGTTGCCACTGGTGCAGCAACACGTAGCGCGTACCTTTAAGTCGCTTAATCATTTCCAACGGTTTATTCAGGAACCTTCGAGCCAGAAGTTACTACCAGATCCACTACAGGCACCTTACGTACAACCTTCCTACACCCTGGTACTCGAGGTTAAGGATCTACTTATTCATCCTGACTGGACGTATCAGACGGGTTGGCGTTTTAAAAAACGTCCCGGTGTAGATGTTTTCTTAAGGGAATGCTCCAAATATTTTGAGATCGTCGTATATACAGCCGAGCAAGGAATGATGGTATTTCCACTGCTTGATGCCCTTGATCCCAGTGGTTATATCATGTATCGTCTTGTGCGTGATTCAACTCATTTTGTGAACGGTCACCATGTAAAGAATCTTGATAATTTGAACCGTGATCTCAAGCGCGTGGTAGTTTTAGACTGGGATAAGAACTCGACTAAAATGCACCCGGGTAACACATTTTCGATACCACGTTGGTCGGGAAACGACGACGACACAACCTTATTTGACCTTATCTCGTTTCTAAGCGTCCTAGGAAGCAGCGAAGTGGATGACGTGCGCGAGGTTCTTCAGTATTATAATCAGTTTGAGGAGCCTATTACCAAGTTTCGCGAAAATCAGCAAAAGCTTTGTGAACAAATGCAAGCGGACGAGATTGAGAAGTTAAGTAAGCCGAAGCCTATGGTCAAAAACTGGTCGCGCGGTTTCATGAGATAGATTGCTTAAAGTTTTACGTTCCCTTTGCATTGTTGTAATTTAAGAAATTGTTTTGAAAATGATGTGTAAAGTGTTTATTTACTTTAATAGCCTAGAACAATTCATTCAGTTGCCATCTGTTCATATCAAGCACTCTAAATTTCGAAATTGTTTGTTTATATTCTTCAGCAGGCTATGCACACCCGTTAATTCGGCTAGTTTCTTAACAGTGCCTGGCTGAATTTGCATCATACTCTCGCGGAGGACACCTTTTACCAAAATGATCGATAACTTTTCCCTTTTAAGCATTTTTCTTATCTCCAACTGCAATTTCTTGAAGTTAACGATCTGCCGACCTCGCTTTTAGCACCGAAAATGACATTTGCACGCATAAAATATAAGCAACACCCAGATTTCGTGAGCACTAGGACCAAGTAGTAGTGTTCCTTCATTAGAAGAAAACATCCAGCGAGATCAAGAAGTTAACTTAACCCAATCGTTACCCTTTCTCCCAGAGCTTCCATTGCTAAAGTCGGACAAGTAATTCTCACATTCAATCAATTTTAATGGACTTTTATAAAATATTTCTAGGTCAAAAATAATAAAATGACTCGAATTTCAACTTGAATAATTTTGCATGAAATTATAAGAAATGATAAAAAGATTGTCAAAATGGAAGAGTTTTCTTCAATTTTTAAATTAATGCTTAATTCGTAATAAAATGTGGTGACGCTATGCGCAAGCTCTGATATGTTCGCTTATATTCTTAAACGCCATTATGAGCATACATAACTATGTATGTGGAGTCAATGTCATCCATCAATTCAATTCATTTTATACGGACCCAGTTTCCGGAATAAATTTCAATATTTTCCATTTCCTGGTTTGACCTCTTAAGCCGTTGTCGGTCTGCGTTAGTTTTATGATGCGGCAGTGAAAGCAAAACAAACATGTAAGATTGCTTTGCTTAACAGAATCCTGGACTCGGCGTAAAAACATACAAACACACATTGCAAACTGCGCTTTTGAAGCCATCAACTGGTTTGCTGCTTTCTTTTTACATACTTCATTGATGTACCGCTAAATTTGGAGTCCAATTCATCATATCATATCAAAATAATCATCAGAACAAAAAAGGAAATTCCACTAGCAAAATCCACAGTAGCATTCACAGTTTTCAAACGCTGTTGATTTGAGTTGATTTTGCATTGGGAACAGGGAATCATGCAGTGGGGACAATCTCCATTGCAACTTCTTTTCTTGTTTTGTGTGTTGTCATCGGTCAACTCTAACTGAGCGGTTCTAAATTGAATTAAGACAATTCATTGATATTTCATTTGGAATTTTAAAAGAAAACAAGCTGAAAGCTTTGACACCAAGCAACATGTAGAATCCCCGAAAACATAATTCAAAGAAAACAAAACTATCAATTGCCCCAAGCATTCCGCCAAGGTAGCTTGCAGCTATTTACTATTGTATACCTTGTTATATTTACATATGATATACATATATGCAGATATATGCATATATAAATACATAAGATGCTAATATGCAAAGCAAATCAAATCTCCACTCATAACGACATGCATCTTGCACACGTGGCTACTTTAGTTTCGCCCACGCAAACTCAGCAACATGTTTCCGGCTACAACTTTTTCTGTGTATTGTGTATTTTGGTGTGTGTCAGAGAACACGTGCCAAAACAAATTATACGCTTTTCAACAGTCACCAACAACGGTTTCTACTGCCCATGCGCAGATTTGAATAGGGGAACCGTTTTTTGAGGATATTCGCAACATTGCCTTATACGAACATTCCAATGTGTCGAACAGGGTGCTGTAGTCGCACACTGTTGCTTGTTCGGATACATGGAATGATTAATTTACGTTGATTTGATTTGAATTTATTATATGTTTTCTTGTTGTCGATCTGTATATTAACGACAGGACAGTTCATAAATGATTTCAGTTAGTATAAGTATCCTTAGATGCTGGGACACGTGCTGTTTACGTTGCGTTAAGAATTGCAGTGTTGTTCGAAGTGGTTAGTCAATTCAGAAATGCGAATGGAAATGTCAAAAGAAAGCATATCCAACGCATGCGCCGAAGAACTGTTAGGTATGCAGATGAGTACGCGAGTTGCCGAGGAATTTCCTCACATTCACTATGCAAAAGTCAAAGAAAAGGCTGTGGGAATCTGGCACAGTGCACAGAAACTGTCGGCCTCTTTGTGGATTTATATATTGAGGATGGCAAGCTAAAAAGCTTTCCATCGGGTTGCAAAATGGAGCACACATGCATTATTCTGTTTTCGAATTTCGTCTCTCCTTTGTGAAATTCTGTATAGGGCAAAAAGCTTTTGGCAACGCCGCAAAGCAATTGATGTTCAGTTTTGAAAGAACGGACGCAGCGTTTATGTGTCTCGTCGCCATTTTTGATAAAAACATTTTTTTTTCGCTTTTTGAAGAGGAATGCCATTGAGAACTACCAAGAGGATATATCTTGGTATAAAGTGTGTGAAAGAGAGTGAGTGTATGTGGCATAAAACAAGAAAGGAATGAAACAAGAAATTGGCACATAATAAATCCGTTACCATTCGGTGCGGTTTGCCATTTTGCTGGTGTGTACTGAAATTATTTCCCAATGTTTATTGCCAGCTACTAAAAAAATATCACAATTATTTTTTTTTGCTTGTGTATTGTGTGTAAACGTGCTTATTCAAAAACACAAAAATATGCAATATGCTGCCTATTTGTATCACTCTACAATACAATATAAGATTATAAAAATTCAGTTTGCTTGCCGTCAATTGGCAATCAATTGTTCAATCAGATCAAAAATGTATGCTATAAAAAGGTGCAGAGTCAGCTCTTAAAGAAAATGCCATGGAAGAGATAATTCAATATCATTTAATGTACCTAAATAGGCTAACAAACGCAATACTACTACAGCCACACCCTAAACATATTCGTTTTATAAGGACCAATGTGCGCGCAGAGCATTCGCACTGGCACTCACACATATGAATGGAGATAATAATTGAAAGAAAAACAAAAAAATAAATCAGAATACAATAATTATAAGAAATAGAATGCTTTCGTCAAGGCGGGATATGATAAGCTAAGGTTAAAATCGATTTTTAAAAAACTTACGAATGATTTTATAAACAAATTTATAGTCTTATTTTTGTAGTCAACAATTGTTTCAAATAAACTAACTAAAATATAGTTTCTTTGCATAGAGTATACCATCACGAGCAAATCTATGGATTGACATAAAAAATATATTTAGACATGACAAATATTTTGATATCCGATTGCATTTGTGTTTTGTCTGTTTTCACATTAATTCTGCTACTCTAATTTTACTATGCACAACAAACTTTAAAATCGTGGACAAAAACAGATATACACACACACAGTTTGTGTTATCTTATCCTCACAATAATTGACAAATGGTTTTCTTACGACGTTGCTACCTTCAATTAAGGATGTGAATTCGAGACCGTGTTAACGTAATATAAATTTAAATTTCTAATTCGTTTTTCGTTTGTTTTTCTATTTATTTGCATTTCTACATTCAACTGCGGATTGTAAAAGTATTCATAGGCGAGATTGTGTGAGGTTTATTTCTACAGTTTTCCCTAAAGTAGACTTATGCTTTTTTTATATATCATTCACAAAAGGCAGCCGTATCCTTAATAAGCCTTACTTTGGAGCGTTACCGCTACGATGACAACGGAAACCGTTTTTGATTTGGCATATGACCGAATAAAATCGTCGAAACGCCCCTTAAGGCCAAAGCTCCTGAAATTAACAGATGTTACCATACCACACCGTAGTCGAAAGAAAATTAAAGTAAAGGTGAGTAATATGGAAACTTTATAAATAAAGCTTCCGTAGTTCAACTTTTTTTTTATTTTACCCTAATTATAATTATATTACTTTACCGTTTTATTCAGTCAAAGGATCGGTCAACGACTGTGCGTGATCGTATATACGATGATCCGGCATACACAGAAGACATTAGCCACCTGGCTAACCCCCTACGCCGCAGCAGCTTGTCTGGCAAATCTTCGGGAGGCTATAACCACTGTTCCGAAGCTACAATGCAGTCTGTAGCCAGTAGTAGTTCTTTGGGTAAACGCAGTCAGTTGACTAAGGACTTTCTAAAATATGCGGAAAGTAAAACAGTTAAAGCCAGCAACAGCGGAGCACTCAACATGGATTACGAATTTGATTCCAGCAGCTCGGATAACGAGAAACAAAAACTATTTAAGGACGGCAGCATACCCAGGCGTGTGCTCAGCCTGGAGAGAAGCTTAGCCGCTACGGTTGACGAGAAGAACGAGAAGAAAGCAGCTACCCAAAAACGTAGCTCCAAGCAGAAACGAAATCTGAGTCTAGATAATAGTAGAAAGACAACACAATCACATCCGCAACAGACGCCAAATAAGGGTAAACAGAGTTACATGAGTGATATACGAAATCGGAAGGAACACAATCGTAAGCAATACCTGGAAACAGAAGCTCAATCTGGCCGAGGTGCTAGCGAGAAGCAGGATATATCAGTGCGTATTTCGACACAGAATTCGCTGGCCACGTTGCCTGTAGACGCGACAGCGAAATTGCCAATTGGCAGACGTCTTCTTAAAGGCGAAATTGGTATCAAAAGCTTTAACTATTATCTTCTGAAGGAGGGCCTAAAGAGCTCCAAGAAGCTTGATAAGCAGCGTAATGTAGGTGACGCAAAAACCGCCAAAAACAGTGACAAGAAATTGCATACGCGCAGCGAAGAGAACATTTATGAGGAGATATACTTTAAAGATGTGTCAGGTTCAATGACAAAGCTAAAGAGTAGCGTAACAATACCTGCTGCAGCTGTGCAACCTAATGATGAAATGCAAAACCAACACCAACAACAGGAGTGCATGCCAGATGCTGGCATCTATATGGACTGTGAACTGTGCATGCAGCAATGTAGCAGGGAGAATTGCAAGTATTGTATAGTCCAAGGTGACTCGGCGGCTAGTGCCCAGCTTCAGAAGGACGATAACAGCGGGAAGCAAGCAGCCACATCAAGCGATCTGCCTGCTGCCCACATTCTGGAGTTTCAGTCCTACAATCCAAACAATCCGGGCGTATACAAAATTGAAACGACGCCCGTTGCCATAACAGGTGAATACAATCCGATTCTGCAATTCCAACAATCATCTGTGGGAACATCCACCACAACCACGATATCACCTTGCGAACAGCAGCTGCACAACCATCGTCACCACCAACAACAACAAAAACAGCAGCAACCACAACAACACATATACAGTGGTTTTGATCAGCAAAACAATGCTTTACATCATAACATAGCAAGTAATCCACTCACAAATCGCTATAACGCTGGGGGAGCCAGTCTTTTGCTGACACAGGCGACCCCACGACGACCGAATCTGCAACAGGGTTATATAGTTGGCTACCAGAATGGTGGTGTTGGAACAACAACTGCATCCGTCCAACGCATAAATACTAAATCTTCCTCCTCGAGCGACTCTCTGCCTTATCACAAATATAACACAATGGCCCGGCTAGAGGCGAATGTGTTTGCCACACCAGCCGTGGGTGAAATCTACTATGCCATTGGTGGCGTAGAAGGGCCTCCCATGCATCCCTTAATGTATGCGGGTAGCAGGCCGATAGGTGGCTCACAGATTTTGGTCGACAAATTTGAATCGCAAATGTACAAGAGCGATTCGAAAGCATCCATCCTGAGTGAATTCTCTCTTCGAAGCAGCGATAATTCACAGCGCTACACACGCTACCCACATCGCTCAAATATATTCTCATCCCATTCCAATGCACATCAGCGTCGGTACTTTGGCAGCACGGAAAGCTGTCGCATTGGTTATGACTGCAGACGCTGCAGTTTGGACGGCATTATGAGTAGAGGGGTAATGGGTATGGCAGCAACTGACAAATGCACCAATTCTGATAACTGTCGGTCTGACTGTCGCAACTGCGATTGCTCATCAAGCTATTTTAGCTCCGATTTTGATGACATTTATGGCACGATGGCTCGTGGTGGCAGCAGTGGCATACCGCGCAAAACAGCGGCAGGTACGCTGCCATCCAGCAGTCCAGCGGATCCCAGTAACTATAAGCAGACACCTCTAGTGATGCCAGAAGAACAGCCACCGCAGCTGGACCTCAAGCAGAACAAATATGCCATGGACTTCTTCAAACACGTCAATGACGTCAAGCGCAGCATCTATCAGTCCGAAATGCAGCGGAATAACAGTCTGGAGTCGACACGCCGAGGACGCAGAAACAGCAGCAACCTAAAATTTAGTCCCAAACGATCAGCCTCCCAACCGCCTTTAGCACCGCTAATTGTGACTACACTACCGCTCAGCAAAGGACGTGGTACAACACCAACAAAACCAACTCCTGCGCCTAGGACAAGCCTTCAAAACCAATCACAGCAAAAGCCGCCAGAGGACACGAAGCCTCCGTCGGCGAAGCGTAAGCCACAACCAACAGAGCGCCGTGAGTATCCTTCGTTGGATCGACTGGTAGCCTCCTCAACTGGAGCCATACCCAAATGGCAGAGCCATACAGTGGGGGAAGAAGATCCAACAAGTAATAAACAAAAGTCCAAGCAAACGGAAACAGAGTCACGAGAGCGACGTGATCGAAGTGCACACGCAGATTCTAGCGGGTCAGTAGCTGCAGCTGTAATTGGTACCTCAGGAAAAAGACACCATCGCTCGAGTAGCGGAAAGACTCATCCAAGTGTTAGCAACCAATTACCTATTATACGACGCAAGGACATACCCGCTCCACCGCCACCATCACCAGCAACTTACTCAGATCTCCAAGAGTTGAAGGCCAACATGGAGGGGCTCCAGGATGACACCAAGTCCCGCTCCTTAGAAAGTGAAACTAGCGAAACGCCCACAACTACCACCGACCTTATGGCAGTAAAAATAGCGCAGGGGACTGTAACAGCCGTTGCAACAGCACTAAAAGCTCTAGCACCGATAGCCGAGCTTACTGTCAAAAGCAATACAGGAACAAGTGCGAGCAAAGCTGCGCCGGAAACGGAGGATGATGATGTTTTCTACGATGCACGCAGCGAAAATTCTACAGGCGGCTTAAGTGTTCTACCCACCGCGGAAGGCGCTGTGCAAACTGCAATTGCAATGGGCCAGCCGTGTAAGGTAGGCATGCAATTTCATCTAAATAACTCTACAAAGTGAGGAATTGCCTTTACAGTCAACCTAAGCTCCGGTATACATCTTAATACGTCTCTTCTATTTTACCTAAATCTACTTAAATCCGCTGTCTCTTTCTTTAAAAAGAATAATACATATATTCCCTACTTTGTCGCATTGAATGCTTTATTATCGAGCTGGAATAAAAGATACCCTGAACTCTCTTGTGTATACATATGTATGTACGTATGCTTTCTACCCTGCTACTAATTTTCAATGAGCTCAGGGTATAAATAAAATAAAATATAAATAAATATACAGATAATAATTTAATATGTGTGGATAAGAAAATATGCATGAATTTGCTTACAAATATATTTAGGGAAAATGATTTGTTTAATCTGTTTTATTAATTTATTTTAACAGGATGCCTGCATTATACAACCAGAGCTTGACAATTTCGACATATTAATACAAAGCGCAGTTACGATTTTGACAACGACGGATAGGAGCGAACAGCAGCAGCAGCTGCCCAAGGCCATTGTTGAAAACGCGATACAGACTAAAATCGTGAATGTCGCTACAGTATCGGCCACAACGAGTCGGCAGTCACCAAATGATGACGAAGTTGGCGAAGCCACAAATGTAACATCGACAATGGAGGCTGGCAGCAAAAAGAGTTTGGCCACATGTTGCCAAAGTGAAGCAGTAGCGAGTATTCAGCAAAACGAAGCAACAGTCAAAACAAACAGCGAAGCTGCGAGCACAACAAAACGTAATAATAATACAAGCACATCAGAGGTAATAACCCGAAATGTTGACGCAACATGTGTGGAGGGGCAAGAGACCAGTTTGACGGCAACAAATGTTTCCCACAAATACACAGACAGTAACAACGACAACAATTCAACAACTATTGAAGCAACATTGGAGCTCGAGTTCAGTTGCAAGTCGGCACACACGGACAGCGCACCGCTGGTACACAGGTACGCGTATTCGCGATATACTTCATACTGCCGCTAATCTGTAACTATATAAATACACATATACATACTGGGTTATACATATGTATAAGAATAAGAATTTAATAGACATATTCCATAACTTCAAACACTTGTTGTTTTGTGTGTGCGACCCAAGTCATCGCCACCTAGGAGGTACTTGATAGGCCGCAAGCAACACTCCCTATTTACGAGCTTAATGTTCAACTTATTAGAACTTTAATTTCAAGTACTTCTTCAGAGTGTGCTTCCTGAATTTTATGATTGTTGAGTGCAGTGAGTTGTGGATGCAAAGTTTTCAATTTGTTGCTGGTCAATAAATCTGAATGCAGTTGGACGATTGCTTTACTTCGGCGACTGAACTGCAATGATTTATTAAATACGTGTATTATGTATGAACATGTTTTTGAAATTCTTGTCAATGCGAAGTACGGATACCGACTCCTCATCGTAAAAAACTTTGTTCAGCCCACGTCGTCAGCCTAAGAAGTGAACAGAAAAGAAAAGTACTTCATGTTCTGAGAACGTAAAGTGGCAAAAATTCTAATCGCGAATTAGTTACAAAGAGCTCATCTATCTACTCTACTTTTCTAATTTCATCGAGTGGGTATTTCTGTCCCTCATCCCAGTTTACAAAAGCAACGAGTACTTAGCTCGAACAATAAAACTTGTGGGAAAATGTTCCCTAAATATATAACAGTGTATATACAGATATAATATTTTTTATATGCAAAATCAAATTGTGCCGCACTTAACCGCTCATTATACCCAAATGGATTTATGCAGATATGCCATGATAAAAGTACCATAAATCAATTATAATTCCACATTCTAATTGTTAAATGTGGATTATGTGCAAAAACTGTGTCCATCGTATAAAATAGATGTATGTATGTTTATATTTGCGTTCAAGAGAGAGTTGATACTTGTTTCAGTGCAAAAACCGCAAACCAAAACCATAATTAATATGGCTGAGCTTACGCGGAAATTGGGCAATTGAATGTGCAATTTAATATAGACGCAATGCTGCAAAAAAGTGGACCACAAAAAACCTATAGTCATTATGTTTAGAACTTTTCCATGAACAATGTGTAGTGCACTGTACATGCATATCAGGCTTATCAAGCTGCAACAAGGAAAGGCAAAAGTAATTGCCTTTTACAAGACACTTGCTCATAGTGTACCATTTTGATTGAAAAGTGGTAGGCATAATGACAACCTTAAGCACTGAACGAGATTCAGAACGCCTGTTTCAAGCCGCTCAATAAGTACGCCATGCAGCATTGATGCTTGTTAGGCGCTGCTGAATGCTGCATAATCTGTCACTAACAGACTGAATATTAAATACTGACATTCGCGCAAAAGACATTCGAATTATGCATTTAAATGCATGTAAGTTACTTATAATAAACCCAACAATTTATTGTAACCAACAATTGTAAGTCCTAGATAGATAAAAAAATATATAAGTATATTAGTAAAATAACAAGAAAGAATTGTTATCAAATAAATTTTTGGACCGAATGTTCCCATAGCAGCAATATGATATAGTCGTCCGCCGATGATGATTGAAATTGCCAAACTTTTAGCAGTTTAGGTATTGCAAAAACTTGTTTTCTATGACCGCCACTTAAATTGGTCTTGGTCGTTGGCTTTTGAGTATGGCGGCAAGTTTCGAAGCCTTATTTCAGTGTCGTTTGGCCAGTTGCAATAGCAGTCGCAGCAGCAGCAAACTTACCACAACGCTGCACATGGAAGTGCATGTAAGCTAGTTAAGTAAGCCGGCTTCAACTTAAAAGTGCAAGTTAAAATTTACAGGCAAATTCAATTGATTTACTCATACCTACGTTAGCCCCAGGCAAAAGTCTCAAGACGACAAGTGAAACCAGTTATATAGATTGCATTGTTGCGCGTTGCTTTTCTAGATGCAACATATGAGAGCCTGCGTATGTATGAGTACATGAGTACATGAGCGTTTATTCGGACAGGTAGTAAGAGAGCGATTTTTATTTCGAGATATGTCGATATATTGCAATTTTCAATGGAAAGTTTAATGCATTTTTATATATCATTTTACGTTTCTGCGTTTCCATTAAGGTTTCTGCGGTGGACTTAACAAGCTTGATAAAAAAAATGCTAAAATTCTGACAAAATTTGTATAAATAGTGATATAGCACGGTTTAATTACACGAAGATGATGACGACAACTCATATACATAGGTATGTCCAACAGAAAAGTGATATACAAACATGTAATAGCATGTGTATATGTATATTAATGATACATTGTATAACCGCACATAGAAATTGAAGACTAAATCAAGTCACAAAACGCGTTCGGATGTGTACGCCTGGAATTTCCTGTTTAATACAAGCAATTTGCCATTTCGCACAGTTGCGCAATTTTACTTGGTAACATTTTCTTGGTATACCTAAAACTGCGATCGTACGATGCAAGTACTCATAAATATAAGACGAGTAGTTATTTCTTATAACTTATGCTTTTAACTTATTTAATAATTACTCATAATGCTATTGACTTTTCACTGAGCGCAATGTTCGATGACCATCACAATATGTGACTGTCATGCACATATGTGCTCAGTCAGGGTAAGCGTATAGTCGTATTAAGCTTTAGAGTTTACAATTAGACTAATTATTATAATGGTAAATATATGATATTGTAATATGATCCTAATTGAAATATTAGCAAACAGTTGATAACTAAATGAAATGAACTTTATTGTTGTCCAATTTGTAAACACAACGATAAACTTAGCCGATCAATAAACTTATTAAATCACTATCAATTTGAGTTAAAAGCTTATTAGCAAATCTTAAAATTTAAAATATTATAAGTCATATTTAATGCTTTACACACTTTGCGCTAGCATCAAAATACCTCTCTGAAGAGTATGAGAAGTTTTGGCAGTTAGCACATTGCTAAAGACAAATGTAGAAGCTGGAGGCGGGTGCATGAAAATGATAGATCGATTTTTGTAATCGTGTGCTCATGCTTAAATGCATGTTGTGATGCCCATTCGTATCCATCAGACAGACAGATACAGGACATACGTACGGTGACGAATGAGTGTGTGGCACACATATATGAAACTTTGTGAAACAACCATCAGTCGGCAACACATCACAATAAAACCAACAAATGGGATTTTCTCTCAATATTTTAGATTATTATGTATTACTTTATAAGTGCCGCCGATGTATGTATTTTATATTAGCGGCCTGATATTGGACGGAATATATTAACACATCCAATCTATAAATGGAAACTAGACGCTTTAAGAATTTTTGCCATGAAGAGACAAACTTGAACATGCTTATACAAGAAAAAAAAACCACCTTCCGAATATGGAAAACATATCGACATCAAGTCAAGAGCACATAACGTACCATACGCTCACCTCATTTACTCTTGAGTCGAACGATTCTTGTATAAAGAAAATGGATCAAACCAAATGAAGTTAGGTTGCGTGGGTGTTATTTCTGTATATACACGAAATATAACTTTTATTTCATACGTTGTACCAAAAAGCACAATTTTGTGCTTTTTGCTTCTCAATGACACTTTTTTACTAATAGTAATTTGTTATAGTATTTGCGTATATTCTCTGTATATCATCTTACCTACAGTGATATGTTGCTAACGAAGATAGAGTTGTACATTTTTTTATTAAGTTATGCTTAGACAGAAATGAATCTTCATATTAACGCTAGCACATAAAAACATTATTGCCCATAATTTTAATCAGATATAGAGAATATCTACAATGGCTAATGGACGCCTACATATATCACTGAATGTGTTCAGCGCTTCAAAATTGTGATTGGTAACTGGTTTGTTAATTCAGCGGTTCTCCAATGTTGTTATATTAATATAAGTAAAGAAGAAGTGAAATCATTAAATTCATTTACATGTCTTTTTATATTATGTGCCTGGCAAAAATCTTGTCTGCGGATTTCACACTTGAAGTCAATTTGCATTCAATGACTCTAAAGCGAATAAAGATTATAACTATACCCACTTATTCATACAATATTTTGTATTTTTTTTACAAATATTTAAAGTAATTTTCTGTTGGGTTTAATTTCAGTGAGCCGCCTACAGTGCCTGCAGCAACAGCTGTACCGACCCAGGACTATACCTGTCTCGACTCCAGCGAGGCATTTTCCGACGATAGTCACCTGACGCGTGACTCTGTGACTCGTGAGTCACAAAACGACGAACTCTCATCATCGACGGTCGATAAGCTTGATCTTAGCACATTGCCGCTTCCAGCCCTTCCGCCAAAACGAAGACGTACGCGTTCGCGTGCCAGTCCTTCAAAGTATCATCATCAGCAGCAGCAGCGTTTGGAAGACAGCGAATATGCAGATGTAGCAGATTCAAAATCGGGCACAGCTTCATCTCAGATATACCGAAAGCAAAAACAAGAAAAGGACTCAATCCCGGATTCGGTTAAAGCTGACCTCATAAGAGTTCCTGACAACACAGCACAGCAAGACCAGCAACTGCAGCCGCATATATCCGCACTCCAGCAATACGTTGCAAAGCGACGTGACAGTCTTGAAGCATCCACGCGTAACTTTAACGAGAAACTGGAGGCGCGTAGAAAGCTCTGCCACATGGGTGGTACTGGTGGCATAAGTGGTGCGAGCGCCACATCTACAACGGATGGTGGTGTGCCCACTTATCTGTTTGGTGAGCAGTTCTATGGTGCTATTCGCAAATCAAAGTCACCATTGAGCAACAAAGAGGAAATATTTTTAAACAAGTCCGGCTGGGTGCAAGTAAGCACAAAGCCCAGCACCAACAGCAAGAACCAAAGTCTACACCTTAATTATAGTCGCCGAAATGCAGACGGTGCTATGCAGGACAAGATCCAAGGACGTAATGCTATACGGGTCATACAGAGCGATCATGCACATCGTCCAGAGTTGTGTCGGCAACCAATTGTGCACCACTTGCCAAACAGGTGTGAGCGTGAGCCAAAATTCGTTGGCTCTAAGGTGGAAGAGCTAATTCAGCGCAACGAAGCCCGACTAAGTGGGCTCTCATCGAAAGAAGCGACGCTGCGTCCAGGTTATCGAATTGTCGATCCTCAACTGGCAAGCATACTCAATGAGCGTCCCGGCTTTCTACCCGTCAACGATCTTGAATCACCACCACCCGTGACACCCATTCTGTCGCCACCACCAGCTTTTCAGGATAACAGTAGCAATATCATTCGTACTCCATGGCATCAGGAACGACGGAAGTTTACCCGTCAGTCATATACACCTACACAGCAACCAAGGGCATTTCAGCCTATGCTTCTAAAGAATCCACAACAACAGCAGCCGGGGCATGGCAGTGGGCCGAACAGTGTCAAAGGCATGGTCTTCTCACGGAGTTTCGAGTATGATACGCGTCGACCCACCAATACCTATGTAGAGACATTTTCGCGCAGCTTCGATGACAATCTGTCGGAACGTCCATCTGTCCTGCCATCTTTGGCCGTTCAGCGTGAGCGGTCTCTCAACTTTAGCACTCTGACTGGCAACTCTCCCAATTATTTGTCGAAGCGTGAGGGCAGCGGTGGCGGCAACGTCAGCAACAACGTCGCCGGAAGACCGATGCGTAGCAGAGACAACTCACCAAAGTATTTGCAGCCGCAAACTACCGCCTATCTGAATGCGTCCGTAAAGGAGGCGCCACCCGGCTATAGCGTGGCTAGCAGCAATATAGCCAAGTACTCACCCCGTTCGCGCCACGATCGTACCTTTGAACGGTCCAAGAGCCACAATGTGATTGGACGTTCGAGGAAGTCACAATTTAACTGCATGGGCAGTAGCAAACCAGGAGCCCAACCTCCCTCTGTTCTGGGTATGTCGCGTTTCCGCAGCCTGGATACGACTATCAACAACCGACTCAACTCATGCGACAGCGGTGCTCGTTCAGGTGAGTTTAAGTGGAAAAAGCTGCTTTTTGTCGTTCGGAAAAAGTAGTCAACACACAAACACATATATGATCGTTAGATGTATTTTCCATTTATCAGTTTTACTGATTTAAAATATAAGACACAGTATGAATATCCTCTGAAAATTATTTGTAATACAGATCTTTCAAATGACGAGATCGACAACGAGGATGGCAGCTCCACGGAATTCTTATCGGCGACTAATTACCAGTATCCGAATATGGCTTCAGGCTGTGCCAGCATCTCACCATTTAAGGCTCAGCGATCCTTAACACCTGACCGAAATGATTCGCACAGCTCTTCAAGCAGTTTGCGGAAACAACGATCTCTCACGCCCGAATCGCGTTCCCTGACGCCGGAGGAGAGACGTAAACGGGGCTCACAGATATCCCTGATTGGCTCACGTCAGAGTTCGAGTTCGCACAACAACACGTTAGACCGACGTCATCGACATGAGGACAAAACACCGCCAATTATATCGCGCAGCTCATCCAGTTCCAGTTACAGTCGCCGTGACTCTCACGAGCCATTAAACAGCAGTCCAAGCACAACTGCTGCCACTGGCGGATTACCTGGTGCGGCAAACTATCGCCGTTCCGTGGGACGCAGTGCAACTAAGCAGACGGAGCACGAGCATCTCATTCGACGTTCCAGGTAAGTGCAGGCGTCTGCCGAAAATACGCTAATATAATAAATGCATGTGCATCATAGCAGATCCCTTCAACTTAGCGAGCGGTCACCGAATCGCGGTCAAAAATCGGTAATATGTGTGGGTACTGCATCCTCATTGCAAAAGCAGGCAGCACCTGTTCATTATCAGCAAGCGAACAGTGGCATATTTCCAAACTCAATGCGGACCACCGGACTGGCGGCTAATAAAATGTTGGCCAGCTCAAATGGAACAACTGGCCACTCAACACGACTGCGTCAGAGCGATGTGGACAAGGCGTGCTCCTTTGACTTCGACTACAACAATTACAATCGCAGTGGCAGTGGCAGCGCCGGCAACGCCGCACGTTCCTCCACCCATACAAGTGGCAGCGGTGGTGACAGCGGCAGCAATCAGAATCTGTGGTTGGACTGTGATAAAAGCCGTTCATTCGACGAGGATTACCGCGAAGCATTGCTCAACAACAATGGCAGCAGTGGCGCCGGCATACGTTTCTTGCAGCCGGGCAATGAATCGAATGTGATTGTATCTGCATCTTCCACCCGTCTGCGTCAATCCAGCTCTCCGGTTGGTACCGCCGCTCATGAGCATATGACAACACGCTCGCCACAGTCTTCAGGCTCATCGTCTAACAACCTGCACCAGACATCGCACCGCACGAGCAGCCCGCAGAGTCAAAGCTATGGTACGCGTCTCTGTGACCACGAATTAACCTACGAGATGCTAAGAAAATCACCTATCATGAACTTTCGACGTGACACTGATTATGAGCTGCCTGTGCAATTGCGCAACCGCGAAACCATCAATTCCGGCGGCAACAGTGAGCTTAACTTTATGAGTAACGAAACGCACATTTACGAGCACCCGACAACTGTGCTGAAGCCACATCGTTCCGTCTCACGCGAGGATCATTTGTACAGGTCGACGGCGGCACTGCCACGGAGTAGCAGGTACTGAAGCTGCAATTCTATGTAACCTATATTTAAAACGCACCAAAATCTGAACTAAAGGTCGCCTATATCAAAACCAAATTCTAAAGCTAAGCTACATCTACTAACTTGACCAAAGCAAGCTCCCAGGGTATGCTTCTATGTGTTGTAAAAAGACTGCTTATGTACACTAAGCCAGTGGCAACTAATTAATTGATACTCAATATTTCTTAGTACTATTGTCTAACACAAATGGTTAATGGATAAAGTAGTGCGATTTAAATGTAATTTAAGCAAAGCATATGCCAAAACTCAATGGATAACTGCAAACACCAAACAAAAAAACACAGTCCGCAACTAAACCCTAATCTCACAAAAGTGACAAAAATGAAGCGAACTTCAGCATTGGTTACTAATAAGAAACTATGCAAATCGCATTGTATGGTGGTATGGTTTTCCTCAAGTGTACCCATGACAGTTCCAAGTTTCTCGTGTTACTTTGCAGTCCTGAGCCGCAATTGGAAAGAGCAACTACCAACAAGAAATGCAAAAAAAGTTTAACATCCTGCGATTATTGGCCACGCTGCGACGCTTGTTGCAGCACCAGCACTAGCAACTTACAATATTTAGTGTCTTCGGCTTCAGTGAAACCAGTTGTGGTCAGGAAACAAAATTCATCACCAGCAGTTATTCAGAATATGCAGCAGCAACAAATCTCCGAAGTGACCTTAAATGGGGATCCCATTAAATTGAACATTTGCACAGCAACAACAATAATTCCACACACCCAACAGTATACACATAGCAAATGCACGACACCCCAATGGACTTTCCTCTGCAGTGGTGGTGTCAACGCACCACCAGAGAACGAAGAAAGCGGAGTTAATCACATAGCCACGACCAGCAGCGATCGTCGACAGCCAACTGCTGTTATTCGACCCCGTGTAGTACCATCAGCGATAAGTTCTCTTGAGATTTTAGGGGACTGTGAACATATTATCAGAACACCATTATTATCAGAACAGCATGTCAAAGAACATCAGAGGCCTGCGCGGAAGCAAACGGGAACATTACCTAGGTGAGTTGACAGCTGATTGGCCACATTTTTGTTTTTTTTTTTATTTAAGTGTCTATAAGTATATTAATTTCAACATGTTCCATGGCCTTTTAGCAACTTCGAAGAAAATTCCAAAAGATCAAAACAGAGTCAGCCCTCAACACCAGAATCTCAGAGCCAACAATCGGCCCGAACTCGCAATGGAAACCAAGACTTGGACGCTATATTGAAAAAAGCTAACAGTGGGAGCTACCGGAAACGACAACGTTGTCATTCACTGCCGAGTAGAATTACAGCATCGCAGCAGCTGCTCACGATCGAAACTACCGTGGGGTGAGTAGAAAACTTTATATACTGTCCAGTTAAGAGTTACTTTAAAGAGAAATGAACTAATTGAAAGCAAAAGCTTAACAACTGCAATAATACATTAAATAATTTTGAAGAGGATTGTTGATACAATTCAGATTAGGGCCAAGCGTACACGATGTCGTATATGTATCCCAATGAAATTATATTTCTTACCAGTTTATTTCAATATGTGATAAAACTTGCCTATGCCAGAACTACTATGGCACTCGTAGGGCCGTACACTTGTCAAATAGGTATCGAGGATGGTTTAACTCATCGAAGTTCGACGTATATTCAATAACACCCATTAAGAAATTTTCCAAAGTAGAAATTGTGCCCTGCACTTGAACGAGCATTTGTTCATTATAAATCATAGCATAAGTTAAACTCATAGAAAATATATGTGCCTACTCCTACTCCTTTATGTTAAACTATCACTTCAGCTGCTTGGTAGATTTCACTGACCCAATTCTCAACTGCATTTTAATCAAATACTTATATAAGCATGCACACATCTTGGACATTACATTAATGTATGCTGCTGGTCGTCGAAAATCGGAAATACATATTCAATTTGAGGTGTGCTTTGAAAAAAATCAAATTATAATAAAATAAATCGTGTTGAGCATAAAGTAAGCTGAACTATTACATATCTCTGCAGACCAGAGTCAAAATGCCTGTGTCTACATTTAACTATAAATTAAAAATATCGACTGGTTGTAGTCCGATTTTGATGATTAGAATATAAAATCTTAGACATACATTTGCCCTGCAAAAAACATACATTTATATCACACTTTAATGATACGCCTAAGATGCATCAGACTGCGCAATATTAGCACTGCGCATGACACAAAATATGTCAGTGTAAATTGCTGCATAAAATTTATAGATAACCAGTACTAAAGTTTATAAACTGATTCGGTAAGTTTTATTGATTTAGTAATAAAAAAAGAGGAAATTCATAAGCAAGGATAATATGTATATAGTTCAAATTTCGACTCAACATAAGCTTTCTCTAGTTGAAAATGCCTGACGAAGAGATATCATGCTTTAAATCAGCGGCTAATTAGATTCCAACAAGATAGCAATACCCAATGTTTATTGTAGTCAAAGATCTCTCGCGAGCTCTTTTGTATTATCCTCCAGCAGTAATTTGAAATTTGCATCCGCGGCAACTACAAATAAATATGCATGCAACATTTTTGATTTTGCTTTGCGCATAAGCTGCTTTAATTTAGGCGAATTTTAACGCTCACACAGTGAATATATAACTTAAAAAAGATTTTCACACATTTTAGTTTTTAAATTACCGACGAGGCATGGAAAAGAGCAGATTCCCTTATCTTTACAGAGCAGAGTGACCACTCACTTGATAATACGCTCCAAAATCTGGTCTGAAGCTTCGATTAAAAATGTCTTTTTAAATTTGTGGTTGATTTACAATATGTGATACGAGCTTGATTTTTAATGATGATATATACTTTATGGGGCCGAAGGTACTTCCTTTTAGCTGTTACTTATGTGTGCACAACTCTTAATATCCATTTTAAGTTAGTACAGGGTAAACAAATCCAATGTTATGTTAACCTAACATTTTTAGTTGGCAGTGCCATTTTGAGTTACATTACTGATACCATAAAAGACCATTTAAGGCAAAACAAGACGTCTTGTCTTTGACTCCTTATTGTGTGTTGTATCGTTATGCAGACAATACAATTGGTTGTATGGTTTGTGCTTGTAGTCAACGAGCCACCGCCGCGCTTGTTAACATAACATTTTGAGTTTTGCAGGGCCATTTTGAGTTAAATTTCAGCTACTTAAAAATATATCGCAATTCGATAATTCATTATTTTCGTTTGTTGTTTTGTAGTCGATGAACAAGCGACGCGTCGGTGAAGCGTCGATAAAAGATTTGCATGCGTAGCTCAATCTTATAAAGCAGGTCTATTCGAATAGAATTCAAACAGATTTTTTAACTATGGTGCACATATTCAAATGTTCACGCAACCATAACACCGTTTTATTATTAAGGGACTTGTATTTTCTGCAGAGCAAAATCTGTGTCAATTAAACTCTTTCTACGCATATCAAGTGCAGTCTCGCCGGTCGACGTGAAATTGTCTGCCCTTTCGTGTATATATATAAATATATGTATATATATGGATTTTTGTTTGTGCTTGTGCCTAGTTTTAGGGCACTCTGCCAAAAATATACAGATGCAACGCAATTATATATGTTTCGAAAGAGTGCATGCGAAAATCAATACAAAAACATTTTCTAAAAACCGACTGTAACAGCATTGACAATGTCAACAACAATAAATGTGTCGCAGTCAACGCCATCTGAAGAATATCCTGTGTGCATTTTTGGTGTAAAGGATGAGAATAATGAGAATAGAAAGAATGCTAATCTGGATACCGATGCATATTTCGCGTGCGTCGGTGATGATGCTTCGGCAAATAAATTTGGTTGTGCCACCATCGAAAATGCTGCTGGCAGCGCAGTCGAATTAAAGCCAGAGAATGCTAATGGTTGCATACCGCAGACAACTCACAGTAGAACTGAACTAATCGATTCAGTTACGAAATGCTATATGGATTGCACAGAGAAAAGCGTACCAACAATAGGCACACTGTCACTTTGTCCGGATAATAATGCAACTGTAACAATGACTGCAACAGCAGCAACATCTGCTGCACTTCCATTTTCCGGGATGTAAGTTTACATAAAACTATACATAACAAAAATCTAAAAATAACTGAACAAAAACAGATGCATTTGTACTGGAACTGCCGGTGTGCTTAGTGTGTAAGATTCTCCCACAAATATTAAAAATATACCTTTCTGTCATTCCGGTTATTAAACTGCCTTAGCATTCACCTGTCGCTTTGATGTTGCTCTTGCTTTTATTTTTAAACTCTCCCTTTGTCATTGCCAAATAAGCTTGGTATATTTCTCCACACATGCTTTCAATTTTGCACATCATTGATAATCGATCTATCCACCCCTCTAATGCGCCTGGCTCTGGCTTTTAACTTGTTCTGTGGTACTCCGGGTATACATCAGCCATCATGATTTTCTGCCTCTAACTTATTAATTTAATCAACCGTAAATCATATAGCATACTCTTCGTGGCCTCAACCGCGCATTTTGTTATTTTCTTCACCTTATTCATATACCGAACCAATAAAAAATGAGCCAATCTGAAGAAATATAAGACATAAGGACTCTACATTTTGAATATATGTTCTCCTTTACCATACGTGGAGCCTTTTATTTCATTTTATAGATACCTATTCTAAAAATTTTATATATTTCTAAAAATTACTTTTACATCAGTAAAATATGCATCAAGAGCAAATAACGGAATGAAATCGCATATACATATTTACCAAATTACAAAGAAGCAAATGTAAGCTTTTTTTGTATACACTTTCACACACATGCATTTAAGCACATCTACTTTCAACAAGAGAAGACTTGGGTTTAAGTCGAGTCCTCTAGACTAGAGCTTTCTTACATTTGTATACCCCTTAAAATATCCGCGTTAATTTTGTGCTCAAGATTGTAAAGCATTGAAAGAGACATCTCACCCATATAAAGTAGGAATATTCTTGACCAGCATCACTAGCTAAATCCATATAGCCGTAGTACTGTTCAGTACTTCCTCATTTAACTGTATGTGACATTTTAGTTGTTATGTGGATATCTTAAAGTGGCATACTCACAACAAAATTAAAAAAACTCAATAAGCTTCCATAACTTTTTTTTGTTTGTTAAGATTTCCCGGAACACACAGTACTTTGATTTTTTATAACTGGAGAAATAAATAAAGAAGGAAACGAGAGAAAAATTATATCGACCCTAACCTAGCAATTTCTTTGTCTCTTGGCGGTTGATGTTTTCCATGTAAGTGCGTTGCGTGCCCAAGCCATCTACTTGGTCTATTTGATGCATTGCATGTCATGCAGAAGTTGCACTCGCATGCAAGTAATTTCGAATTCGAATCCGTTTTCCCCTCTCCCTGTTTTTCCATAATCATCATAATTGTTGTCTGGTTGCGTTCTAAGTCGCAAGAATATATTCTTGCTATGCGTATAACCATAAGCGGCACTGAAATTTCATCATTGTAGCTAATCCGCACTCGATGCCTTGCAAAAATGACATTAAAATCAATATATTTACATATGTGATGTTTATTAAAGATGTACGAGGTGTGTTCAAAAAGTATCGCGAATTTTGAATTTTCGCGAGTTACGTATATTCGAATTTCGATTTTTTTGTAGCGTTATGTTGGTACTCATGTCTCTCACTTATGCCAACAAGCTCGGCCATTTTGAATGTTCACTTAATTGTTGACAGCTGCTTTGCTTGCACGTGTTTTGGATCGTCTTCGATTTTTACCTATTCAAAAAAATGGATCAAAGAACCTGTATCAAATTTTGTGTGAAAAACGAAATTAAGTGCGCGGATGCATTCCGAATGTTGATTGTGGCATACGGAGAAGTTACCTTGGACCGAAGCAACGTTTATCGGTGGTACAAAATGTTCTCAGAAGGCCGAGAAGATGTGAACGACGAAGAGCGTGCCGGATGCCCGAGCACTTCAACAACAGACGAAAAAATTAATGGAGTGGAGAAAATGGTATTGGCCAATCGTCGAATCACCGTTAGAGAAGTTGCTGAGGAGCTAGACATATCAATTGGCTCATGCCATTCGATTTTTATCAATGATTTGGGCATGAGACGGGTCGCCGCGAAATTCGTACCAAAATTGCTCAATTGCGACCAAAAACAGCATCGCATGAACATTGCTAATGAGATGTTGGACTCTGTCCGCGACGACCCAAATTTGCTCCAGAGGGTCATAACTGGTGACGAATCGTGGGTTTATGGTTACGACGTGGAAACCAAAGCTCAATCATCTCAATGAAAGCTGCCGCACGAACCAAGACCGAAAAAAGCGCGCCAAGTTCGGTCGAATGTGAAAGTTTTGCTGACAGTTTTCTTCGATTGCAGGGGCGTGGTGCATCATGAGTTCTTGCCACAGGGTAGAACGGTCAATAAGGAATATTACCTGCAAGTTATGCGCAATTTGCGCGAAGCAATCCGCCAGAAACGCCCGGATTTGTGGAAGAACAAAAATTGGCTTTTGCACCACGATAACGCCCCTGCTCACACATCGTTGCTTGTGCGCGACTTTTTGGCCAAAAACAACACACTAATGATGCCGCAGCCACCGTATTCCCCAGATCTGGCCCCCTGTGACTTTTTCTTGTTCCCTAAACTGAAGAGGCCCATGAAAGGACGACGTTACGCTACGCTTGACGAGATAAAGACGTGATCGAAGGAGGAGCTGAACAAGATAAAAAAAATGATTTTTTGAAGTGCTTCGAAGATTGGAAAAACCGTTGGCACAAGTGTATAATATCTCATGGGGATTACTTTGAAAATAGATATTCATGAATAAATAAATATCTGAAAAAACACAAAATTCGCGATACTTTTTGAACACACCTCGTATATCAGATTTGGTCTAAAGATTTTTCACAGTCAGTTTACAGTTTGAAAAACATTAATTTTGCAAGCAGGAAAACTTTTTAACAGTTGATAATATGTTGGTTTTCGTTAGTTTTTAATTACAAATACCTTTCTTGGTTTTAACATCGCAAATGTGTCGGATTAAGACATTTTAGACACGCTCTCACACCCTCAATCTGGTATTGACCCAACCAGTGAATCCAAACTACTGACTGAGACTGTCCGTCTTCGCCGCCCGCAGATCTGCTTGTTTTGGCCAATCAAAATGAAAGCACAGACAAGTAATGTTATGAAACGCCTACCTGTCATCAGCATTTAACATTGTCTGATCGCACAAAAACCAGCTCGAATTCCGAAGATTGCCGATTTGCATCTTCAAGAGATTCAAGACTCCTCATGCTTTTGGCAAACCTTTACTCGAAACATTGGGTGAATATTTAGATACCGTCTCCAGAAATCTTTCTGTGTTTGCGCTTAATTCTCAATTGCAACTTATATCATTTTGTTGGCTGCTTTTAAAATTTCAGTTTAATTAATATCATACATTCTGAGTTCTGAGTTGCGATGTGTCTGCAAGGGATCACTATTTTATATTTTATGAAAGTTTCATAGTATTTATGCCAGGCTTACTAAAACAAAAAAGAAGAGCTATCATAGACACGCAGCATATAACATAACCTTGAAGACCGGAGTCATCCTGCTCACATATCCAATGCATTCTGTATTTGGAAAACAGACCGATAAACCATAAGATATTTATAGAAGAGCAAACCTTTCAAACGATAATTTATAAAATTAGAATTTGAATTTGTAAATTGGCTTTTACTGAGGTCATCGTCCTGATTTAGAACATATAAACCTTATCCTGATAATATCTTATTCAATGCTTCACATATTTCTTTAAAAAAAATTGAAATACCCTTCACAAGAGTATAAAACCGGAAACACAACGAAAAAATCTTTCAGAAAACACATTTCCTCAGCCAGCACGTGTTTACCGACACTGCCAGCTAAATACTTTATATTGAGTGAGAATAAACTGCAACATTCTGTTCAAGTACCAGGATGAGTACAATTGTGAAATTTGAAGGATGTAGCTGTAGCTGGTGGAGAGTGAACGTACAATAATCTACATCAACGTGCTCCGCAACGAGCATAACAAACTGGTTTGTGGCAGCAACGCCGGCAGATGTTCCGTTGTTTAAAATGTGTGAATAGTTTCCATTTGTGGCTTTGTTATCCTTGTTGAGTCAATTTTGAGTTGAAATGATTCAGCTGGTTTTTTGAGCATCATTTTGACGAACGCAAACTAAACTCGCAACAGCTGACTTATTAAGCCCTTCCAGAATCGAATTGGAAGTTATACTTTTACCTAAAGTGACACAAAACCAGCAAAATTGCAATACAACTGATTTAAAATACATTAAATGTTTATATATTAACCCAGTCTCAGAGGTAATTCGTTAAAGTCATACGTTTTACCTTCATCAATTCAACTTTCCTACAATATCTCACTCAATTGCAGCACAGGATGTTCATGTCCTGACTTAAGACGGCGCGGCGCAAGAGCTCTCCAGCAAAATTCAATATAAGGGTTGCTTTCAGTTATTGTCACTGCAGCTGCTCGAAACTCCTGTTGATCAGTCTGTCTAGGTACAACATCGTGGTCAGTTCTCGACGTTCGTTTCAAAGTGTGAAACAGCCAAAATATTCAATATATGAATTTTGCGTACAATTAATTCTTTAACTCAACATATTATATTGTTTTTTTTGTTGTAAATTTAAGTTTTGTGTTCAAGCCCCACCAAGCAACTATAAAAGACGATACCAAACTGTGTAAACATATTAAATATGAAAAAACAGCAAAAAGTATATAGAATGAATGTTAAATCGGAAAAGATCGAATCAATATCACACAATCGCTTTGTAATTGGTGCAAATTACAGACGTTTTAATTCACGTGCTTTACAAAGGTGAGGCGAAGGACACGTATGATCGGCCATAAATAAATTCATAAAGTTTTGTAGGAAATAAGTCGAAACGAAACGATCTCTTTGAATGACAAGAAAATCTCAAGAACTCAATTTTAAGTCGAATTTGTGGCACTTGATAGCTGCGGTAGACATACGAGGTGTGTTCAAAAAGTATCGCGAATTTTGTGTTTTTTCAGATATTTATTTATTCATGAATATCTATTTTGTCCCCTTCAAAGTAATCCCCATGAGATATTATACACTTGTGCCAACGGTTTTTCCAATCTTCGAAGCACTTCAAAAAATCATTTTTTTTATCTTGTTCAGCTCCTCCTTCGATCCCGTCTTTATCTCGTCAAGCGTAGCGTAACGTCGTCCTTTCATGGGCCTCTTCAGTTTAGGGAACAAGAAAAAGTCACAGGGGGCCAGATCTGGGGAATACGGTGGCTGCGGCATCATTAGTGTGTTGTTTTTGGCCAAAAAGTCGCGCACAAGCAACGATGTGTGAGCAGGGGCGTTATCGTGGTGCAAAAGCCAATTTTTGTTCTTCCACAAATCCGGGCGTTTCTGGCGGATTGCTTCGCGCAAATTGCGCATAACTTGCAGGTAATATTCCTTATTGACCGTTCTACCCTGTGGCAAGAACTCATGATGCACCACGCCCCTGCAATCGAAGAAAACTGTCAGCAAAACTTTCACATTCGACCGAACTTGGCGCGCTTTTTTCGGTCTTGGTTCGTGCGGCAGCTTCCATTGAGATGATTGAGCTTTGGTTTCCACGTCGTAACCATAAACCCACGATTCGTCACCAGTTATGACCCTCTGGAGCAAATTTGGGTCGTCGCGGACAGAGTCCAACATCTCATTAGCAATGTTCATGCGATGCTGTTTTTGGTCGCAATTGAGCAATTTTGGTACGAATTTCGCGGCGACCCGTCTCATGCCCAAATCATTGATAAAAATCGAATGCCATGAGCCAATCGATATGTCTAGCTCCTCAGCAACTTCTCTAACGGTGATTCGACGATTGGCCAATACCATTTTCTCCACTCCATTAATTTTTTCGTCTGTTGTTGAAGTGCTCGGGCGTCCGGCACACTCTTCGTCGTTCACATCTTCTCGGCCTTCTGAGAACATTTTGTACCACCGATAAACGTTGCTTCGGTCCAAGGTAACTTCTCCGTATGCCACAATCAACATTCGGAATGCATCCGCGCACTCAATTTCGTTTTTCACACAAAATTTGATACAGGTTCTTTGATCCATTTTTTTGAATAGGTAAAAATCGAAGACGATCCAAAACACGTGCAAGCAAAGCAGCTGTCAACAATTAAGTGAACATTCAAAATGGCCGAGCTTGTCGGCATAAGTGAGAGACATGAGTACCAACATAACGCTACAAAAAAATCGAAATTCGAATATACTTAACCCGCGAAAATTCAAAATTCGCGTACCTGCACATTTACATTTTTTGTTAAGAGCAAAGAAATGCCTAGGCCTATGTCAAAGAGAAAGTTAAAAGGAAAACAAATGAAAAACTATAGGCAAACGTTTCTTCTTTGACCGTTTCGTTGTGGGTAAACAGGTCCCTTTAATTTCAAATGCCTTGGAATTTCCTTGGCCTGCTTGCTCTATTTATGTTATAGAAATTATAGATATTTCTATGGCTAGCTTGCAGTAAGTACAAGCACGTGGGTCAAACAGCGTCACCTGCGTTCTCAACACTTTCCCATGTTGCATTTTCACACAAATTAACTAGCCGGTAAAATCGATGTACTTTTATGGCTGTGTAGCTCTCTAAGTAGCATTAGTTTTCGTGCCTCTATTGTAAAGCTTCTGCAATTTATTTGCAGTTTTTTGTTAAGTTTGGCGGGGTGTATAAATGATTATAACGGATTGCGCAAGGACAACTCTACATGACCATAAATCACATAAGTTCGGGTAGTCACGTATTTTTTTGACACGCTGACAAATAAAGTTAACCAATGGGTAAATAGGACTGGATACCGGACTCATTGTTCTCAGAAATTGTAATTTATAAATATCTGTCCCAAATTTGACTGATAAAACGATTCTTTTTTCCTTCCTACAGATTGCCGAAAAAAGAAAAGGATGATATCAGCGTAATTGATATAAGATGTAACGGATATGTCGAGTGTTTGGTATGTAATCAAATAGTTCTAAGGAAATGTTTTTAGGTATAACGAAACAATGGAAGAATATGATAAGGGTTAGACTATTTATTGGTTAGCCTTCTTTAAACAGCTTTCCATTCTAATTTTTAATTAAGTGAGGGTTAAGTCTAACTAGTCAGATCTCTATAGCTGAACAATATTTTCAATACTTGCGAAGCTTGCGATTACATAAAACCGAGGCAATGGTTAATATGAGTGACTCAAGAAAAGAAACACTATACAGAGTTCAATACACCCTAAGGTATCTCGAAGTCCGTGGTATAAAATTGATTTATTTATTTATCTAACAAACCCAATATCAATGCCAGAAACCATAAAAATAGCTACTTGTGTCGTCTGACCTTGCTGCGGTGGAGATACAATGAGTGTATTTAATTGGATACTTTTTTAATTTACCCACGCGTGTAGTAATAGGGAAACCACTTGAGGTGTACTTCGTGCAGTGAATGAACCTGAAAAGAGATCTACGCAATGTCACTGCTGTGTGATAATCCAGTTCGATTATACAAATTAGACTACAAAATTGAATGTAATTTATAAAATCCAACCAACATCACGATTACACATATAGCTCCTCATCGGAATGGATTGGCCGAAACCTTTTTTGGTTACCAAGATATTCGCAAGGTTATGTGCGTTCATTAAGGTTTTTAAATTTTGTAACATTGTATTTTATTATACTGTAAAACCATTGAAATATTTGTATAATGAAGATGTGGCACGTGCAGATGAAGTTTATTTTATCTAATTGCATTTTCCAGCGTGTTGATTTGAACATGTAAGACACGTAGTCCAATAAGTAAGGAATTGAGCTCAGGGTTTCTCCTAGTCGAGTTTTCCTGAGTAAAGCATTCTTACTTAATTTGTTTATAATTTAAATTAGTTAAGTTTATTGTGCTCCTAAAAGTCAGATGAGAGATTTGTTACATTCTATTTTTAAAAAGAAAAAAAAATGATGCTCTACAAAGTCTGTCTGAGATTATGTCCGCATAGGCGCTATTTATTCACTGAACCCATTGAAACTTAGTAATAAGGGTTTAATGAAGTTGGGAAAAATATGGAATAAGCAGATGGAAGCATCTCCGACCCCATAATTACATATATTCTTGATCAGGATCATCAGTGGAGTCGATCCATGTGTGTATAAGCAACCGTTCTCAGAGAGCTAGAAGCGTTTTGCGAATATCAATACAAATCGATTTCCGATAGCAATTTGATCGATTAAGCCTTCCAATCGAGTTCGATATTTTATAATCAACTGTAAAATGTTAGTAAAGATCGGATTAGAAACATTGATTTTGTTAACCAAAACGTATAAATATAATATCTTACACTATCTCTGCTCACATATACCACAAAATGTTTATAATTAAGGCTTAGGAAGAATAGCAATTAGCTGTTTCAATTCAGACAGCCTGTACTATAATTGAAAATGGGGTAAAAACTAATCAAGCAGAACAAAGGTAAAGCCCCAGCACCACCGAGATCAAACTATAATGTCATGACTCAGACATACGAGCTATTGAGACCGAAGTGAATATAACTGTTGATGCATTGCATTGTGGGTGCCGGCTCATGCCATCAATGAAAGTCTTATATTGATCTAATCAAAACTCTGGACTCAGCTGCTCTTCAGCCTCAAGCACCAGAAGCTAGCCCTTAACTCGGAATGCCTAGGGTAGACAATAACCAACAGAGCAACACAATACGGTCCGGTTGTCCCACTCCCCTTCCCCAATCGTATGTAAATGCTTATCAAAGTGATATCATCAACACCATCACAGACTTTTCACAACAAAAGGGCAGACATACAATACACGCATAGTCATTTGACATCGACATCGGAATTGTGGTAGCCGTAGCAGCGCCGCATTTGCAATTCTCGCAATCAGTTATTATTTATCACGTCCAACGTTGACACCTGCTATCGGGAGGCGCCTTTGGCTTTGATTTGTGCCTCAGAGCCTCGACATACTCTGAGGGAGACTCGCGAGCGCCATGAAGAAGCTGATTATACCCACGCTTATGGATATGTATGGACTGATTAAATTTTGGGACTTTGATGATGGTGTGCCGGATGGCAAAAGCAAAACGCGACCTCATTTTAGCATTCTGCCAATCGATCCAATGCCCAGCGAGCGAAACTACAAGTGGCGACCGCGTATGTTTCAGGTAACTGGATCTCCTACATCGCTTGTTGTTCCTCGGCATTACCTGATGACTGCCTTTAAAACATTATCGGTTAAAAAATCGATTTTATGTAGTTTTCCTTACCCGAATTTTTGCAATTATTCAATTTCCAGCTGATAAGATGTGGTCGCTTTTTTCTTATGAAATAGCAGCTGGAATTAGCCCACAAACTTTATTCCTCAATTCTTTCCTTGTTTTTCACGTACCTTTCAAAATGAACACACTCGTAAATAAAAACAAAAACTAGATAAGGACACACATAAAATGAAAAAAAATAAAATAAAATAAACAAAAAACTGCTTGACTGGCTGTGAGTCAGTTCTGATAATATCACATTTTGAATTGGTGCCAATTTTCAATTGTCTGCTTTTTTTCCATTGTGATCTATGTGTGTAGACTACTACAAAGTACTCAGGCACCAGACAAAACATTCACTGTTTACTACAAATAAGTGTGGTTTGATTTTTTTGTAATAAATTGGATTTGATTATATACTTGTGGTTTCGTGTGAATAGCGAGAAGCATATCAATATCGGGAAAAGCGTTAATCTGAAATCTGTTTAAGGCAATAATATTTTTCCCGTTTTAGTCGCAGCAGATGCGAGCTATTTCGAGTCCTACTCTAACTGGTTCATTCACGGAGCAAAAGAATCCCCACTCAAAGCACACTGTAGCTATTGATTCAGCAACCAATCCATATGCTACAAAAGAAACCAGCGGAGGCAGCACTGCAGTTGGAGGTGGCAGCTGCGGCGTCTTACAGAAATTCAAACGAACATTGCACAATTTAAACTACAGAAATCAATTGCAAATGACACCACTGACCGGAGGTGCCGATCTTCACATGGTCGGCAAATCATCGCCCCCAGCACAGACACTTACAGCACCAGCGCAAGCTAAAATCACCGACGCGCTCCAAACTGTCAATTTTAGCGGTGATACAAGTTCAGCCAAATATCGCTTTGGACCGCTTATTTGGCGTTCATCAAAGGAGCGTCAAAAGGCAAAATTCAATCGCCGTGACAAATGCAACTCCGGTGATTCGGGCATACAAATTGAACTCGAACATGATGAGCACTACGTGCGTGCGCTGGCTGGCGCACAAAGAGCAGCCGCTACCCTGATTAACACTTCGCAGGACATAGATGCAAAAGCACGCTCGATACGCCGCTCTCATTCTGCAAAGGCAAGTAACATATTGGAACAGACAGCTTCAAAACCACCGGTCTACAAAGAACTGAAAATAGGCAGCGATTGCAGCATAGAACGTGAGGCACCCGAATCCTTACCAACGCGTTCGATCAGTCAACCGAGTGGGCTCGATATATATGGAGTACGTCGCGCCTATATTGAGGACAGCGACAGCGACAGCATCGCGTCACATGAGGAAGGTAAGCTTTTATATAGACACTTTTAATATATGCATACAAGTATGTATGTATACTAAATATAAAAGCTATTTTGAACATTTTTTATACCTAGAAAAAAATTAAAGAAAACTTGTCTTCTTTGTGAAAGCAATAATTAATTTTTTTTTTTTATTAAATTAAAATTTGTATCGCGTCTGCCAAAAATATAGTTATCATCATATGCATAAGCGGTCGTATGTTTTAATTTACATTAGAAATTTAATATTCCTATCAGAATTTGCTTATAAATTATTCGGGACAAAGATTTAATATACGTATAAATTTTAGGGATGCATGCATATATGGTTTAATTGACTTTGGCGGTTCAGACATGAGTTACTAAATCAACTTGTCAACTTGTTTACCCTACAGCGAACAGCTACCATCCCATTTATGCGGAAGTGCTCTACAACTTCACCGCGGCTGGTCCGCAAGAGTTGGGTCTAGAGCGTGGCACAGTAATCGAGATATTACGCAAGGAATTGGGTCCTTGGTGGTTTGGACGCATTAAAAAGCAGGATGCCAGCATTGTGGAAGAAATACTTGATCCTGAGCTAGGCTGGTTTCCCAAAGACTTTGTGCGCATTATACACAATCGCGAAATAGATGAATTTTTCTACGTGCGAAAGACGATGTTGTGCGATGAGCCTGTTGCAGCCGTTAAAGGTTTTGAAATACCAGTGCCCGTCAGTGAATTGGACACTAGCCACGAGAGTCCCAATGCTACCATAACTATAGATCAAAGCAACATCACTACTATAGTCATTGAGTCACCCCCATCTGCCGTCTTTAGATCACCAACGCGTATTAATACGATGCAGGATAGTTGCCATGCGTTACGGAAAGGCGCTGTTCGCGAGCTTCTCGAAACTGAAGTCAATTACGTAAAGCTTCTGGCTGCCATTTGTGATGGGTAATAAATCAAATCATCGGAAAATTAAAGATGTTAACACTTATTCTATTATCTCCAGATATTTGCCTGTCATGAGCAAACGCATCGATATATTCTCCCCCAACAGCATACGGCTCATATTCTCGAATATAACAGCCATATACAAGTTTCAGCAAGTGTTTTTGGAGGAACTGCGACAAGGCATCGAACAAAATCAAATATCAAAGGTCTTTTTAAAAATGGTGGGTTTGCTCTATCAAATAATCGATACTCTTCATCACTGACTTTAATTCTTACACCTAGTATAAAGGATTTCTTTGCTACTCCACGTACTGTAATGCTTATCCACGTGCACTTATTGAACTTGAATCCTATGAACGCATCAAAGATGCACACATCATTCTGGAAAAGTAAGTTTCTGAATCGCATACGTAGGCCAATAAATATGCATAATATTGAGACTTATCCCGCACAGTTGCCGGGAATCCGAGAACTTAGCCGAACTACCACTATCTGCACATCTGCTGGCGCCAGTGCAACGCATCTGTCGTTATCCTCTGCACCTTAACGAACTTATTAAGACTGCTGTGAATAGTGAAAGTACAGTTGACACTATTGACATCGGCATCCCAACGGATACCTTAGACTATGAACAAATCGACGTGTCCAAGTATAATGTTGCCGATACGCACGACACCGTTAATATGGCTCTTGAGAAAATGCGCGGTATCACAGAGGCTGTAAATGAAGGTAAACGCCACAGTGAGACCATTGCACGACACCAAGCCAGTTTTCAAAACTTTAAAGGAACACCCCTACACCTGCAGAGCACGCGATTTTTCTTTCAAGTGGACGCCACACGCCAAAAGCAAAACCTGTGGAATAGCAGCTACACTCTTTTCCTTTTTGATAACCAATTGATCTACTGCAAACGTGATATCATCAAGCGCAGTAATTTTATCTACAAAGGACGAATCTTTTTGGATCGGTGTCGAATCGTGAACGTGCGAGATGAAAAAATGTTTGGTCACACAATCAAGAACTCACTACGAATCTATTGCGAATTACGGGACAAGTGGTACGACTTTAGCTTTCGCTCGGCAAACCGTAAACATCGTTTTCTCAATACGCTCGCCTTGGAGCGACAATTTAGTGACAAGGCCCTGTACGTGTCTGAGATGACTGGATTTGAATACAACTATGAAGAGCGACCGGGTGACTTTTCTGACCAATCGGACTATGAGTTGCCGGACTGTGAGCACGCACTGGGCACCACATCGGCAAGTGGCGACAGTTCAGTACCTGAATCGCCGTCCAAGTCACCTTACCGCTCTTGCGATACTTTACCAAAAAAGTCACAGTCGCGCGATGCCATTGCCAGTACCAGCCACGGATCTGGACAGATGCTTACGACAACGTCAACTGGTTCGTTGGGCCGACGCCGCCTTGGCAACTGGTTCCGCAAGCCAAAGAGTTCCAACTGTACACCGAGTCAGTCGCCAACGCACAAGTCGAGCTTTGATGCGGATTTGACGTTAACAGCCGCACGCGTAGCAGCCATCGAAATGGCAGCTGCCGCAGAACAAGAGGAGGATAGTTCGTTCACTTAGTCAACCTAATTATACATAATAAGTTATAATTAAAAAGATATATGTGAGTCGCAATACGTATAAAAATAGATACATATGGGTACGAAAATACGTATAGTCGCATTACATGATTAAAATGCCAAATATATTAAATATTTGTTAAAATTATACATAAAAAATGCATTTAATAATAGCGACACCTAAGTGTATCCTTTACAATTTGTTGCGTTTGTATTTGTTAGTTAACCCTTTAAAGAGCGCTATTTTTTTTAAAGAGTCAATTATAACCAAAATTGACATGTCCCTTATGCGTAAGCAAATTAATAATAAATGTTTTTGTGTGCAATCGTTTCTTTTTTTAATGTATTTTATTGATCAAATCAGGCTTTGTTTTTGAAATGTTAAACTAAATAATTTACTTCACATATATGTACATATTTGTGGAATACAAACTGATACAAAAAATTAATCGCTTGTACATTAAATGCATCACACGTTAAAATAACAAGTAGTTTCAATGAGTTAAAAAAGTAGAGATAATATTAAGCAAGTATATTCAATGAAATTGTTACTTGTAAATTTTGGTCTTCAAAATCCTGTAAGAACAAAAATACTGCATTACAGAACAAATTTAAAGATAAATGAGCGAATTTAATTTTTCTTTAGGAAAAATAACCTAAATGTATAATTAAGTTAATGTGGAGTTATAAATTCTTGAAGCAATTTACTATTTAATAGATTTTGTAAAAACCTCTAAACTTTTACTATGTGAATTCTGCAGATGTTATTTATGGGCCAATCTATCAATTGTATTTGGACGCCAGATATATTAGTGATATGTATCTTGTATCTTGAACTGCAGGTTCGAAATTAGTTTGAAAAATTTGGTTTTATCAAATATTTACATATACATGTTTATGTATTTACAATTTAATTCAGGAATGAAATTCAAACTTGAAGAACATGAATCCTAAGATCAATCAACTAAAAAGTAACTAACGTTTTAAAAATGAGTATGATAATAAATAATTCAAATGTTAATATATACATAAATGTTTGCCTATGTATGTATACACATAATCAACTGGGTTTAAAATGGTAATTATGTACTTGGTTTTGACTGACTGGAAGCAATTTATTCGATGTCGACAGAAAGTTTTAAGACCAACCAAATAAATATAAATCACATCCACATTATGTAAATTGGTTAAAAAGTAAATATATTCATACAGCGACAAGTGTGTCATTAATGCCAAATAATTAAATACATAAATATGTATATATATAAATATTTGTATATATACATATATGTACATATATTTATCCAAAAAGTTAAATTAAAATGTTATTTTAATGATTTGGGTTTAAGGTGTTTTAAAAAGACGCTTTGAAGAGCAGATTAAATATTTTGGCGACAACAGAACAGAATGAGCGAGTCCTGGAGAAGATGAGACGGTGCGTTAATGCTTACACATATCGATACTTTGATTATGGTAATCGGTTATCGAATACCAATTTAGCGTTGACGTAAGTGAAGGACTCTCTCATGTAGCCTGTAACACGTCCAGTGTTTCGCAGTGGGCAACCTCGGCTAGCTCAGTATTCCCAGAGGTGGGTAACTCCAACCCTGCCCGTGGACGGTACAGACAAAAAAAAAACTTGACCTGCACAACACTACATAAAGACCTACATGCACACACAAAAAAAAACGAAACAGCTGACGGGCCTGGTGTTTATGGCCACGACGTACCCGCCCTTCCTGCAATGGGCTTGCACGGATTCGAATTGCCCATCGCCCTTATTGTAGTTGACGACTAATTTATTCCATGCTCCCGGTGATTCTCCCCTGTATTTAACTTACTCACAGATCATCGTTATTTCCTTACAATTTATTAACAAACATTACATGGTATGAAGTATTAATTACTGAATACGCCGCTAGGTAGCGTTGTATTCTGCAACGGCTATTCAATTTTGAATTTAAATCGGGAATCTTGCCAAATCCGATAAAACCAAAATAAAAAAAATGGAACAAATATGACTATTACTTTAGGTGGTCCTCAATCCCTATCCTACCCTATTAGAGCTCCAATATAAGTATTCGGTGTATGGGGGGGCTCGTGCAAAAAGAAATGGATTCTGCAATTTGGCAAAAATCCGGACGCCGGGTTTTGTTGACGAACACGGTCAACTTAGAAATTTAAATAATTATTAGATGCATGAATAAATAAATACAGTAACGTAAATAACGAATAGCTTAACACAACATTCAACAAATTTGCTTAATCTAACATTCAACATTTACATAAATATACTGGAGTAGGGGTGGGTGTGCTGGAGCACTGCTCACATGCGCGTCTTATATTGATCTAATCAAAACTCTGGACTCAGCTGCTCTTCAGCCTCAAGCACCAGAAGCTAGCCCTTAACTCGGAATGCCTAGGGTAGACAATAACCAACAGAGCAACACAATACGGTCCGGTTGTCCCACTCCCCTTCCCCAATCGTATGTAAATGCTTATCAAAGTGATAGCATCAACACCATCACAGACTTTTCACAACAAAAGGGCAGACATACAATACACGCATAGTCATTTGACATCGACATCGGAATTGTGGTAGCCGTAGCAGCGCCGCATTTGCAATTCTCGCAATCAGTTATTATTTATCACGTCCAACGTTGACACCTGCTATCGGGATGCGCCTTTGGCTTTGATTTGTGCCTCAGAGCCTCGACATACTCTGAGGGAGACTCGCGAGCGCCATGAAGAAGCTGATTATACCCACGCTTATGGATATGTATGGACTGATTAAATTTTGGGACTTTGATGATGGTGTGCCGGATGGCAAAAGCAAAACGCGACCTCATTTTAGCATTCTGCCAATCGATCCAATGCCCAGCGAGCGAAACTACAAGTGGCGACCGCGTATGTTTCAGGTAACTGGATCTCCTACATCGCTTGTTGTTCCTCGGCATTACCTGATGACTGCCTTTAAAACATTATCGGTTAAAAAATCGATTTTATGTAGTTTTCCTTACCCGAATTTTTGCAATTATTCAATTTCCAGCTGATAAGATGTGGTCGCTTTTTTCTTATGAAATAGCAGCTGGAATTAGCCCACAAACTTTATTCCTCAATTCTTTCCTTGTTTTTCACGTACCTTTCAAAATGAACACACTCGTAAATAAAAACAAAAACTAGATAAGAACACATAAAATGAAAAAAAATAAAATAAAATAAACAAAAAACTGCTTGACTGGCTGTGAGTCAGTTCTGATAATATCACATTTTGAATTGGTGCCAATTTTCAATTGTCTGCTTTTTTTCCATTGTGATCTATGTGTGTAGACTACTACAAAGTACTCAGGCACCAGACAAAACATTCACTGTTTACTACAAATAAGTGTGGTTTGATTTTTTTGTAATAAATTGGATTTGATTATATACTTGTGGTTTCGTGTGAATAGCGAGAAGCATATCAGTATCGGGAAAAGCGTTAATCTGAAATCAGTTTAAGGCAATAATATTTTTCCCGTTTTAGTCGCAGCAGATGCGAGCTATTTCGAGTCCTACTCTAACTGGTTCATTCACGGAGCAAAAGAATCCCCACTCAAAGCACACTGTAGCTATTGATTCAGCAACCAATCCATATGCTACAAAAGAAACCAGCGGAGGCAGCACTGCAGTTGGAGGTGGCAGCTGCGGCGTCTTACAGAAATTCAAACGAACATTGCACAATTTAAACTACAGAAATCAATTGCAAATGACACCACTGACCGGAGGTGCCGATCTTCACATGGTCGGCAAATCATCGCCCCCAGCACAGACACTTACAGCACCAGCGCAAGCTAAAATCACCGACGCGCTCCAAACTGTCAATTTTAGCGGTGATACAAGTTCAGCCAAATATCGCTTTGGACCGCTTATTTGGCGTTCATCAAAGGAGCGTCAAAAGGCAAAATTCAATCGCCGTGACAAATGCAACTCCGGTGATTCGGGCATACAAATTGAACTCGAACATGATGAGCACTACGTGCGTGCGCTGGCTGGCGCACAAAGAGCAGCCGCTACCCTGATTAACACTTCGCAGGACATAGATGCAAAAGCACGCTCGATACGCCGCTCTCATTCTGCAAAGGCAAGTAACATATTGGAACAGACAGCTTCAAAACCACCGGTCTACAAAGAACTGAAAATAGGCAGCGATTGCAGCATAGAACGTGAGGCACCCGAATCCTTACCAACGCGTTCGATCAGTCAACCGAGTGGGCTCGATATATATGGAGTACGTCGCGCCTATATTGAGGACAGCGACAGCGACAGCATCGCGTCACATGAGGAAGGTAAGCTTTTATATAGACACTTTTAATATATGCATACAAGTATGTATGTATACTAAATATAAAAGCTATTTTGAACATTTTTTATACCTAGAAAAAAATTAAAGAAAACTTGTCTTCTTTGTGAAAGCAATAATTAATTTTTTTTTTTTATTAAATTAAAATTTGTATCGCGTCTGCCAAAAATATAGTTATCATCATATGCATAAGCGGTCGTATGTTTTAATTTACATTAGAAATTTAATATTCCTATCAGAATTTGCTTATAAATTATTCGGGACAAAGATTTAATATACGTATAAATTTTAGGGATGCATGCATATATGGTTTAATTGACTTTGGCGGTTCAGACATGAGTTACTAAATCAACTTGTCAACTTGTTTACCCTACAGCGAACAGCTACCATCCCATTTATGCGGAAGTGCTCTACAACTTCACCGCGGCTGGTCCGCAAGAGTTGGGTCTAGAGCGTGGCACAGTAATCGAGATATTACGCAAGGAATTGGGTCCTTGGTGGTTTGGACGCATTAAAAAGCAGGATGCCAGCATTGTGGAAGAAATACTTGATCCTGAGCTAGGCTGGTTTCCCAAAGACTTTGTGCGCATTATACACAATCGCGAAATAGATGAATTTTTTACGTGCGAAAGACGATGTTGTGCGATGAGCCTGTTGCAGCCGTTAAAGGTTTTGAAATACCAGTGCCCGTCAGTGAATTGGACACTAGCCACGAGAGTCCCAATGCTACCATAACTATAGATCAAAGCAACATCACTACTATAGTCATTGAGTCACCCCCATCTGCCGTCTTTAGATCACCAACGCGTATTAATACGATGCAGGATAGTTGCCATGCGTTACGGAAAGGCGCTGTTCGCGAGCTTCTCGAAACTGAAGTCAATTACGTAAAGCTTCTGGCTGCCATTTGTGATGGGTAATAAATCAAATCATCGGAAAATTAAAGATGTTAACACTTATTCTATTATCTCCAGATATTTGCCTGTCATGAGCAAACGCATCGATATATTCTCCCCCAACAGCATACGGCTCATATTCTCGAATATAACAGCCATATACAAGTTTCAGCAAGTGTTTTTGGAGGAACTGCGACAAGGCATCGAACAAAATCAAATATCAAAGGTCTTTTTAAAAATGGTGGGTTTGCTCTATCAAATAATCGATACTCTTCATCACTGACTTTAATTCTTACACCTAGTATAAAGGATTTCTTTGCTACTCCACGTACTGTAATGCTTATCCACGTGCACTTATTGAACTTGAATCCTATGAACGCATCAAAGATGCACACATCATTCTGGAAAAGTAAGTTTCTGAATCGCATACGTAGGCCAATAAATATGCATAATATTGAGACTTATCCCGCACAGTTGCCGGGAATCCGAGAACTTAGCCGAACTACCACTATCTGCACATCTGCTGGCGCCAGTGCAACGCATCTGTCGTTATCCTTGCACCTTAACGAACTTATTAAGACTGCTGTGAATAGTGAAAGTACAGTTGACACTATTGACATCGGCATCCCAACGGATACCTTAGACTATGAACAAATCGACGTGTCCAAGTATAATGTTGCCGATACGCACGACACCGTTAATATGGCTCTTGAGAAAATGCGCGGTATCACAGAGGCTGTAAATGAAGGTAAACGCCACAGTGAGACCATTGCACGACACCAAGCCAGTTTTCAAAACTTTAAAGGAACACCCCTACACCTGCAGAGCACGCGATTTTTCTTTCAAGTGGACGCCACACGCCAAAAGCAAAACCTGTGGAATAGCAGCTACACTCTTTTCCTTTTTGATAACCAATTCATCTACTGCAAACGTGATATCATCAAGCGCAGTAATTTTATCTACAAAGGACGAATCTTTTGGATCGGTGTCGAATCGTGAACGTGCGAGATGAAAAAATGTTTGGTCACACAATCAAGAACTCACTACGAATCTATTGCGAATTACGGGACAAGTGGTACGACTTTAGCTTTCGCTCGGCAAACCGTAAACATCGTTTTCTCAATACGCTCGCCTTGGAGCGACAATTTAGTGACAAGGCCCTGTACGTGTCTGAGATGACTGGATTTGAATACAACTATGAAGAGCGACCGGGTGACTTTTCTGACCAATCGGACTATGAGTTGCCGGACTGTGAGCACGCACTGGGCACCACATCGGCAAGTGGCGACAGTTCAGTACCTGAATCGCCGTCCAAGTCACCTTACCGCTCTTGCGATACTTTACCAAAAAAGTCACAGTCGCGCGATGCCATTGCCAGTACCAGCCACGGATCTGGACAGATGCTTACGACAACGTCAACTGGTTCGTTGGGCCGACGCCGCCTTGGCAACTGGTTCCGCAAGCCAAAGAGTTCCAACTGTACACCGAGTCAGTCGCCAACGCACAAGTCGAGCTTTGATGCGGATTTGACGTTAACAGCCGCACGCGTAGCAGCCATCGAAATGGCAGCTGCCGCAGAACAAGAGGAGGATAGTTCGTTCACTTAGTCAACCTAATTATACATAATAAGTTATAATTAAAAAGATATATGTGAGTCGCAATACGTATAAAAATAGATACATATGGGTACGAAAATACGTATAGTCGCATTACATGATTAAAATGCCAAATATATTAAATATTTGTTAAAATTATACATAAAAAATGCATTTAATAATAGCGACACCTAAGTGTATCCTTTACAATTTGTTGCGTTTGTATTTGTTAGTTAACCCTTTAAAGAGCGCTATTTTTTTAAAGAGTCAATTATAACCAAAATTGACATGTCCCTTATGCGTAAGCAAATTAATAATAAATGTTTTTGTGTGCAATCGTTTCTTTTTTTAATGTATTTTATTGATCAAATCAGGCTTTGTTTTTGAAATGTTAAACTAAATAATTTACTTCACATATATGTACATATTTGTGGAATACAAACTGATACAAAAAATTAATCGCTTGTACATTAAATGCATCACACGTTAAAATAACAAGTAGTTTCAATGAGTTAAAAAAGTAGAGATAATATTAAGCAAGTATATTCAATGAAATTGTTACTTGTAAATTTTGGTCTTCAAAATCCTGTAAGAACAAAAATACTGCATTACAGAACAAATTTAAAGATAAATGAGCGAATTTAATTTTTCTTTAGGAAAAATAACCTAAATGTATAATTAAGTTAATGTGGAGTTATAAATTCTTGAAGCAATTTACTATTTAATAGATTTTGTAAAAACCTCTAAACTTTTACTATGTGAATTCTGCAGATGTTATTTATGGGCCAATCTATCAATTGTATTTGGACGCCAGATATATTAGTGATATGTATCTTGTATCTTGAACTGCAGGTTCGAAATTAGTTTGAAAAATTTGGTTTTATCAAATATTTACATATACATGTTTATGTATTTACAATTTAATTCAGGAATGAAATTCAAACTTGAAGAACATGAATCCTAAGATCAATCAACTAAAAAGTAACTAACGTTTTAAAAATGAGTATGATAATAAATAATTCAAATGTTAATATATACATAAATGTTTGCCTATGTATGTATACACATAATCAACTGGGTTTAAAATGGTAATTATGTACTTGGTTTTGACTGACTGGAAGCAATTTATTCGATGTCGACATCTTAGAAAGTTTTAAGACCAACCAAATAAATATAAATCACATCCACATTATGTAAATTGGTTAAAAAGTAAATATATTCATACAGCGACAAGTGTGTCATTAATGCCAAATAATTAAATACATAAATATGTATATATATAAATATTTGTATATATATATATATGTACATATATTTATCCAAAAAGTGAAATTAAAATGTTATTTTAATGATTTGGGCTTAAGGTGTTTTAAAAAGACGCTTTGAAGAGCAGATTAAATATTTTGGCGACAACAGAACAGAATGAGCGAGTCCTGGAGAAGATGAGACGGTGCGTTAATGCTTACACATATCGATACTTTGATTATGGTAATCGGTTATCGAATACCAATTTAGCGTTGACGTAAGTGAAGGACTCTCTCATGTAGCCTGTAACACGTCCAGTGTTTCGCAGTGGGCAACCTCGGCTAGCTCAGTATTCCCAGAGGTGGGTAACTCCAACCCTGCCCGTGGACGGTACAGACAAAAAAAAAACTTGACCTGCACAACACTACATAAAGACCTACATGCACACACAAAAAAAAACGAAACAGCTGACGGGCCTGGTGTTTATGGCCACGACGTACCCGCCCTTCCTGCAATGGGCTTGCACGGATTCGAATTGCCCATCGCCCTTATTGTAGTTGACGACTAATTTATTCCATGCTCCCGGTGATTCTCCCCTGTATTTAACTTACTCACAGATCATCGTTATTTCCTTACAATTTATTAACAAACATTACATGGTATGAAGTATTAATTACTGAATACGCCGCTAGGTAGCGTTGTATTCTGCAACGGCTATTCAATTTTGAATTTAAATCGGGAATCTTGCCAAATCCGATAAAACCAAAATAAAAAAAAATGGAACAAATATGACTATTACTTTAGGTGGTCCTCAATCCCTATCCTACCCTATTAGAGCTCCAATATAAGTATTCGGTGTATGGGGGGCTCGTGCAAAAAGAAATGGATTCTGCAATTTGGCAAAAATCCGGACCCCGGATTTTGTTGACGAACACGGTCAACTTAGAAATTTAAATAATTATTAGATGCATGAATAAATAAATACAGTAACGTAAATAACGAATAGCTTAACACAACATTCAACAAATTTGCTTAATCTAACATTCAACATTTACATAAATATACTGGAGTAGGGGTGGGTGTGCTGGAGCACTGCTCACATGCGCGCAGTCGACTCGCACCTTTTTTTTTTGATATGTGTTTCTCTTTGTCGTTTTTTTTTTCTTTTTACAATTTGTAATTTAATTTGGACTCTGGGTCGATTGCGCGTACTGCGCTCGAGCTACGCGGCTGGTTACTAAAGGCTTATCCCGATGGCACTTATTCCACATCGGAACGCACTCACCGGCTGAAGAAATACCGTCGGTGCGCTTGCGCGCTGCCAATATCAGGGGACGGTGTATTCGCCCAGTGTTTCCTCGCAGTAGCTTCGAGGGCATATCCAGCAGTCTTTGCGCGACGGCCAGGTCGTTGTTGCATCAACTTCGGAGCATATGACATAAATTGCACAATTGCGGCGTGACCTGCCGTCGGCCACGCCGAATTTGGCTTCACAAGGTCTATCGAATATGGAGGGTCAAGGCACTCCTAAATGTACTTCACCATTCGATCCGTACGGCACACAAATTTAAGCGCTATGGACCACGACCTGCCTCACTGCGTTTTTTTTTCTTTTACACATGTGTTCTTGTCCCTAAGCTTCAACGCGCCACCTTGCGGAGAATGTCCTCACACGTTTCTGACCCTGCCAACTTGTTCCCGCTTTTCAGCAATGTGGCCCTTTAAATCTCACTTTTGGTTGTGGCATACGATAATTGAGTATCGATATGTCTGCAAATGCAACAAGCCCAGTCTTGTCAATTATATATTTTTAAAATCGCACAGATCGACTAGAAAAAGGAGGACAACAAATATTAAGAGGATAGAAAACTGGTAAAATTTTAAATGCATGTTTTGTGTAATTAGGATAGCAATTAATACTTTAGTAATCAGTAATATACACTTCGTCATTTAAGAATTCAGACATTTTTATACCTTTGGGGCTCAAATATTTTTCAAACAGTATTTATGTATGCAAAAGCAAGATACTGTATTTACTATCGCCATTCAGACTTCAGATCATCGATGAATTGCACTGTTTTTGGCGGAAAAACTTTGTGTTACATCATTCGTTTTAATGGCTAACAGAATAAATCGGAGCATGCTGTAATATCCAAAACTGCCTTATGCTCAGTAGTTTCACCAGTTGGTAGGGGGTGGAACTTATTTTTTGGACAAATTGAACCCTTCAAACATGCTTTTCATTGCCATATGCTGACGCATCTGATTAATTTTTGTATTTATACAGCATGTTTTATGGCAAGCGTTGAAATATTTGGAAAAATGATCAATTTCCGACCACAAACAGCTAAGTCAAGCTAATAAAAGTCAGATCTGTTGGCCAAGATTGTTATGGTCGGCAGAAAGATCGATAGGCGAAGGATATCGATGGGGGACCATCTTGAGAAAAAGAGGAAGAAAAGAAAAAAAAGACCGCGTGCGCATGCGCTGCGAGGAGGTTTTAAAAAAAGAATTCAAATAAATTGGTTGTAAAAAAATTATGAAGTAATTATATATAAAATAAAATAATGTAAAATAAATAAATAGCAAATAAAAGTAAAAATAATAAATAAGATAATAAAATCAAAACATACCAACATACAAACCGGCGGCAGCAACAGGCGGAACTATTCATCGCCACCATAAAGGAGGAAATCGGCCAACTGGACTCAGGAACCAGGAAATCAAAGCCCGGAGCCCGTGAGACGACTCGGATGGTATCAACACATCAGTGAGTTTGTTCCCGCCTAATTGCGGCAGAGTGAGCCAAATATACTGGTGTAGGGGTGGGTGTGCTGGAGCACTGCTCACATGCGCGCAGTCGACTCGCACCCCTTTTTTTTTTTTTTGACATGTGTTTCTTTTTGTCGTTTTTTTTTTCTTTTTACAATTTGTAATTTAATTTGGACTCTGGGTCGATTGCGCGTACTGCGCTCGAGCTACGCGGCTGGTTACTAAAGGCTTATCCCGATGGCACTTATTCCACATCGGAACGCACTCACCGGCTGAAGAAATACCGGCGGTGCGCTTGCGCGCTGCCAATATCAGGGGATGGTGTATTCGCCCAGTTTTTCCTCGCAGTAGCTTCGAGGGCGTATCCAGCAATCTTTGCGCGACGGCCAGGTCGTTGTTGCATCAACTTCGGAGCATATGACATAAATTGCACAATTGCGGCGTGACCTGCCGTCGGCCACGCCGAATTTGGCTTCACAAGGTCTATCGAATATGGAGGGTCAAGGCACTCCTAAATGTACTTCACCATTCGATCCGTACGGCACACAAATTTAAGCGCTATGGACCACGACCTGCCTCACTGCGTTTTTTTTTCTTTTCCACATGTGTTCTCGTCCCTAAGCTTCAACGCGCCACCTTGCGGAGAATGTCCTCACACGTTGCTGACCCTGCCAACTTGTTCCCGCTTCTCAGCAATGTGGCCCTTTAAATCTCACTTTTGGTTGTGGCATACGATAATTGAGTATCGATATGTCTGCAAATGCAACAAGCCCAGTCTTGTCAATTATATATTTTTAAAATCGCACAGATCGACTAGAAAAAGGAGGACAACAAATATTAAGAGGATAGAAAACTGGTAAAATTTTAAATGCATGTTTTGTGTAATTAGGATAGCAATTAATACTTTAGTAATCAGTAATATACACTTCGTCATTTAAGAATTCAGACATTTTTATACCTTTGGGGCTCAAATATTTTTCAAACAGTATTTATGTATGCAAAAGCAAGATACTGTATTTACTATCGCCATTCAGACTTCAGATCATCGATGAATTGCACTGTTTTTGGCGGAAAAACTTTGTGTTACATCATTCGTTTTAATGGCTAACAGAATAAATCGGAGCATGCTGTAATATCCAAAACTGCCTTATGCTCAGTAGTTTCACCAGTTGGTAGGGGGTGGAACTTATTTTTTGGACAAATTGAACCCTTCAAACATGCTTTTCATTGCCATATGCTGACGCATCTGATTAATTTTTGTATTTATACAGCATGTTTTATGGCAAGCGTTGAAATATTTGGAAAAATGATCAATTTCCGACCACAAACAGCTAAGTCAAGCTAATAAAAGTCAGATCTGTTGGCCAAGATTGTTATGGTCGGCAGAAAGATCGATAGGCGAAGGATATCGATGGGGGACCATCTTGAGAAAAAGAGGAAGAAAAGAAAAAAAAGACCGCGTGCGCATGCGCTGCGAGGAGGTTTTAAAAAAAGAATTCAAATAAATTGGTTGTAAAAAAATTATGAAGTAATTATATATAAAATAAAATAATGTAAAATAAATAAATAGCAAATAAAAGTAAAAATAATAAATAAGATAATAAAATCAAAACATACCAACATACAAACCGGCGGCAGCAACAGGCGGAACTATTCATCGCCACCATAAAGGAGGAAATCGGCCAACTGGACTCAGGAACCAGGAAATCAAAGCCCGGAGCCCGTGAGACGACTCGGATGGTATCAACACATCAGTGAGTTTGTTCCCGCCTAATTGCGGCAGAGTGAGCCAAATATACTGGAGTAGGGGTGGGTGTGCTGGAGCACTGCTCACATGCGCGCAGTCGACTCGCACCCCTTTTTTTTTTTTTTTGACATGTGTTTCTTTTTGTCGTTTTTTTTTTCTTTTTACAATTTGTAATTTAATTTGGACTCTGGGTCGATTGCGCGTACTGCGCTCGAGCTACGCGGCTGGTTACTAAAGGCTTATCCCGATGGCACTTATTCCACATCGGAACGCACTCACCGGCTGAAGAAATACCGTCGGTGCGCTTGCGCGCTGCCAATATCAGGGGATGGTGTATTCGCCCAGTTTTTCCTCGCAGTAGCTTCGAGGGCGTATCCAGCAATCTTTGCGCGACGGCCAGGTCGTTGTTGCATCAACTTCGGAGCATATGACATAAATTGCACAATTGCGGCGTGACCTGCCGTCGGCCACGCCGAATTTGGCTTCACAAGGTCTATCGAATATGGAGGGTCAAGGCACTCCTAAATGTACTTCACCATTCGATCCGTACGGCACACAAATTTAAGCGCTATGGACCACGACCTGCCTCACTGCGTTTTTTTTTCTTTTCCACATGTGTTCTCGTCCCTAAGCTTCAACGCGCCACCTTGCGGAGAATGTCCTCACACGTTGCTGACCCTGCCAACTTGTTCCCGCTTTTCAGCAATGTGGCCCTTTAAATCTCACTTTTGGTTGTGGCATACGATAATTGAGTATCGATATGTCTGCAAATGCAACAAGCCCAGTCTTGTCAATTATATATTTTTAAAATCGCACAGATCGACTAGCAAAAGGGGGACAACAAATATTAAGAGGATAGAAAACTGGTAAAATTTTAAATGCATGTTTTGTGTAATTAGGATAGCAATTATTACTTTAGTAATCAGTAATATACACTTCGTCATTTAAGAATTCAGACATTTTTATACCTTTGGGGCTCAAAAATTGTTCAAACAGTATTTATGTATGCAAAAGCAAGATACTGTATTTACTATCGCCATTCACACTTCAGATCATCGATGAATTGCACTGTTTTTGGCGGAAAAACTTTGTGTTACATCATTCGTTTTAATGGCTAACAGAATGAATCGGAGCATGCTGTAATATCCAAAACTGTCTTATGCTCAGTAGTTTCACCAGTTGGTAGGGGGTGGAACTTATTTTTTGGACAAATTGAACCCTTCAAACATGCTTTTCATTGCCATATGCTGACGCATCTGATTAATTTTTGTATTTATACAGCATGTTTTATGGCAAGCGTTGAAATATTTGGAAAAATGATCAATTTCCGACCACAAACAACTAAGTCAAGCTAATACAAGTCAGATCTGTTGGCCAAGATTGTTATGGTCGGCAGAAAGATCGATAGGCGAAGGATATCGATGGGGGACCCTCTTGAGAAAAAGAGGAAGAAAAGAAAAAAAAGACCGCGTGCGCATGCGCTGCGAGGAGGTTTTAAAAAAAGAATTCAAATAAATTGGTTGTAAAAAAATTATGAAGTAATTATATATAAAATAAAATAATGTAAAATAAATAAATAGCAAATAAAAGTAAAAATAATAAATAAGATAATAAAATCAAAACATACCAACATACAAACCGGCGGCAGCAACAGGCGGAACTATTCATCGCCACCATAAAGGAGGAAATCGGCCAACTGGACTCAGGAACCAGGAAATCAAAGCCCGGAGCCCGTGAGACGACTCGGATGGTATCAACACATCAGTGAGTTTGTTCCCGCCCAATTGCGGCAGAGTGAGCCAAAGACAGCTGATCGGCCCTAACCAAGGCAATAGTGATGCTCATATTGTCAATCAGTGATGCGCACTTTTAAAGCCAAATAAGAGAAAAGAAAAAAACCTAAATGTTTTGTAAGCTTTAAATTAAGTAGATAGATAAAATTGTATTAAATATATATAAGCGAATTTAGTGTTGGCCAACAAAGAGGTTAGGGATCACGATGTTACATGTATCATATGAATTGTAAATTAAATAGTCTAAAAAAAGGAACATGATGTGGTAAATCAATGTGATTGGATGAGATGAGGGCATAAGAAGCAAACGAGAAAGAAATAATTATGAAAGGGAATTTCTCCAGGAAATTTAGAGGAGGAATCACAAGGAAGGGAGGGACACGCAGGCTGTACAACATCCACACAGCCAACACAGCAGCGAGCGGACTGGTTTGATGGAAGTATTTGTTTTTTTTTATTTATAAAAGAATACAAATTTTTTGTTAACTTGCCGCCCAATATATCGCGGTCGAACACCCCTGAGCCGATAGCTAGCCGGCTGAGCGATATATTGGTGCTTTCGACAGGCAAGGCATAACAAGATGCCAAAACGTCAACACTGCTGCAGTCACAGTATGCTGCTCAAAGTAGACGCTGTAATCATCGATATTGATATCGATATAATATCAACAAATTGATGATCATAGTGACCCACTCTATCGCATATACAGATGATCATTGTAAATTATTGGCGTTTGTTGTGCTCAATTATTAATATTAAAACAAAGTTATGTTTAAGGCGTAGCCTGTGTTGCTAAAAGTGTTGCTTGCTAAAATGCACAGCGTTGGTGGAGCCACGGGGAGCAGCAAAGTAGTCGCCACATTACGTGCCGATGGCAGTGTGGCAATGGAGGCTCAATCTCTCAACCAGCAGCTATCCAACTTACTAAATTATAAAATTGTAAGTAATAAGGCGTTTTATAATGGCTTGCAAGCAACTTATAGTTAAAACCCCTGCTGTTTCTAACTCTAGCGAACCGAGGGTGAGCTTCTATTAAAGAAGAGCAACGCGCCCGGGCCAACTACGGTCATCGACTTGGGCAAGCAACTTTTACAATGTGCTCGAGACAGCGATGTGCCCGGAGTGAAGACTGCGCTTGCACATGGTGCTCCGTTTGCATCGGACTGGGTGAGTTATGATATAATTACCCAGTACTTAAATTTCAACTTTTTACTCTTAGCTGGGTATGTCAGCACTGCACTTTGCTGCGATGAACAATCAACTGGAAATCTGCGAGATTCTACTTCAAGGTGGCATCAACTTGGAAGCCAAAACCAAAGTAGATCGAACACCATTACATTTAGCTTGCTATTTTGGACACGAACGAATTGTAAGCTTACTCTTGGCCCTGAAGCCTGCTGTGAACGCACGTGATATGGTGAGTAGCACGAATTTGTCATAAATTGTCATTTATTAACTTACTAAGTTTTATTACAAAGCTTCGAATGACGCCACTGCACTGGGCTGTGGAGAAGAGACACAAAAGTATTGTACGCATGCTACTTAAGAAACAGGCAGACGTAACGTTAGTCTCCAAGTTTGGAAAAACCCCAATCGCCCTTGCCGTGTTAACAGAACAGGCAGATATTTTAGGGGAACTGGAAGCCGCTCGCCAAATGCAGGCCAATCGCAAATTCAACGAAGACAGTGAGGTAAGTGATTTGGCAACTCCACAAACTTCACTTCAAAGAATGCCACAACCTTTGCATTGTAAATCAAATTCTCATTTGATTCCTTTTTATTATCGATATTAAAGTATGTGAATTCGCAATACTCTTTATAAAAGACTCAAATCTTTCTCCCTCAAGTAAGAACGTTAGAGTCGAATATAGCCGACTGCGCAATACTCTGTTCCCAGTGTAAAGCGTTTTGTTTGGAGTTTGGAGTTGAATGGAGTTGAATGTCTAGTGCTAACATCCGTAGCTACCGATTTTACAAGGTGCGATTTATAGGTGGTTGCGTTAGGCAAGGGCGGTAAGATATGTGAAGGAGCTGATGAGTAATCTACATTTCTTACAAACATATTAATAGATATAACATTTTTTAATTTTCGGTTTGTCCTTAATATCGTTTAATCTAATCTTATTATGCTTACACGCTTTGTCTAACTTTTAGAAGGAAACCAGTGAAGCAGTTAATTCAATTATGGATGAGTCTCCCCCAACACAAAGATTTGATGATGCGGACATGTCTGTCGAGGATAAATTAGATGTTCTAGAGACACTACGGCCGCGTAAGTGTATATTTTTATTTATACAGAACTAAAAATATCGATTTTTTATAGATACAAACGTGCTAGGAAATTCTGCTTTGAATATGTTGAAGACCCACGGAATTGCAGACATGATGCAAGACAACCAAATAGGTATTATGCTTTCCATTCTAAGAAATTATATGTCTCAATAAATTGGTCGACATTGCAGATGACGAAGCTTCGAAAAAGATGCTGAATACTGCTTTGCGAAATGGTCGGCAGCTAGTGCTCTCAGAGGGTGGTCGTATGCTATTGCACGAAACAAATCGTGGATCAAATATCAAACAAAGTACAAATGGATCTATCAACAGTCATTTAAAAAACAACGCAATTAGTTTGCAACCCAGTACAAATCAAACAAACCACAATTCATCGCCCCAAAAAATACGTATGAATGTCATTAAGCAAAAGGAATCACCGTCACAAAGTCCAGCGGGTGGCGTTACAAAAAACAAGGTTACAAATATTTAAATAATTCATTTTTAGTTCATTACTTAATTTTTTATGTTTCAGAATATAAGAATTATCTCGCTGACCGACTTTAAAAAACTTTGCGATCAGCCAAAATCTCTACAAAAAATACCCGCAACCCTAGCTAGGCAAGAGCTCTTTGTCTTCTTATTTATTATGCTGACTAAATTAAAAGTATATATTTTGTAGCTCTGGAGTGGTACGCCAACTTGCCGATGGTACCAAACTCGTAAACATGCGACAATTACAGTCTCGTCAGGTTTGTTCGTTGTGGTTGCTCTAATTTCGAAATTTTTTATTGACAACCATTTTTATTACTGCTTAGTTGAAACTACCTGCCGTACCCAGACCTCTCGAAATTGGTGATATTGATGAGCAACAGAAGTTGATCAACGAAGCGACAAACACAACGCCAACACCAAATCTCGCTGTGGCGAGCACAATGCGTGGTCAAGTGGGGACAGTGCAAACTATCCAACTGCGACCCTCGCCAGCAGCCGGAACTGCTGTCGGAGCCACCAATAATGGAACTGCAAATAAATCGTTGGGCACTGCAGCGATACGTTCTAGCTTACGCAGTGGCAACGAGTTCAATACAACAAAAGGTCCCAACGTGATGCCATTGCTAACGTCGTCCGAAATTTGTCGGCAGCTGCACGAGCTACGGCGACATAATGATGAGCTACGCCGTCGTGTAGAAATTGTGCAGAAGGAAAAGGAAGACATGCTGCTTCGTATCGAGCGTTTAGAGCAACTTGTGTCAGTCCGTGAACCTGAGGCAGAAATGAATTATGTAGGCATTTAGGGAAGGTTTAGTTTATTATCCTTGTAAATATGTATAACATTAACATTACGATTGCAAAAATTCGCAACTGTGTAGTATGTATGTACTTGTAATTGGAAATTTTAGAAGTTTTATTAAGGTGTTGCTGTTCTAACAACATTCTGGTAATACCAAAAGAGGTAATGCGTTTAATAGCAAGCATTGAAAGCAAACTGGAGATAAAAGAAAAATGCATAATATTACGTTCAAGTTTAATTGTTAAATATATTTGAAAATGTGAGATGCACACATATGTTAAATGCGTAAGGTACGAATGATTTTATAATATGCACATATATATAATACTTTTGTACGTTTAATAAAGTCTATTAGAATAACATTGCGCTTGGAAATTGATAAAGTGGACCAAGTTGGGTATAACGAAACATTTTCCGATTGCAGAGTGCATTCTTTGACAGCTTGTAAAATGCTTAGCTTTTGATCGATGTAGAAAAGTCTTATCGAAATGGGCTATATCGATATTTCCAAATTCTGAAAGGCAACGGTCACACTAGCGAACTTGCACGTGTAAATTATCTATTTGCTCATTTACTTGATTCCTTTAGAAATGGTCGGTAAATATCTATAAAATGGTTTTATATTTATTAATAAATCATTTTTAACTTCCAGCGTAAAAAGCAGCATGACGAACTACCCGGTTTTCCATCATTGGAACAAAGTGTTACTGGTGGCGGCCACGATGACATTCTTAAAAACAAACCAAAATCGAAAAAAAGCCATGGATTTCAATCTATGGGCCTGGGATTTGAATTACTGAAGGGTATAACTAAGCGTGGATACAAAGTTCCCACGCCTATTCAGCGAAAAACCATTCCGCTGATTCTGGAGGGACGCGACGTTGTTGCGATGGCCAAAACAGGCTCCGGCAAAACCGCCTGTTTTTTAATACCTCTGTTTGAGAAACTGCAGCGCCGGGAACCCACAAAAGGCGCTCGTGCCTTAATTCTATCGCCAACGCGAGAGCTCGCAGTGCAAACATATAAATTTATTAAAGAGTTGGGTCGCTTTATGGAATTAAAGACAATACTAGTGCTGGGCGGTGATTCTATGGACTCGCAATTTTCGGCAATACATACATGTCCAGATGTTATTGTTGCTACGCCTGGCCGCTTTTTGCATTTGTGTGTGGAAATGGACTTAAAACTAACTTCAATAGGTGTGCTACCTAGTTGAAGTACATGTATACATTACTAACTCTAATTGGCAATTTTACAATTTAGAATATGTGGTGTTCGACGAGGCCGATAGGCTCTTTGAAATGGGATTTGGCGAGCAATTGAACGAAACGTTGAATCGATTGCCTGCCTCACGTCAAATGGTCATGTTTTCTGCAACTCTCCCAAAGCTACTGGTTGAATTTGCACGGGCTGGACTCAGTGATCCGGTGCTAATACGATTGGATGTGGAGTCCAAACTACCAGACGCATTGGCTTTAAAATTTGTATACTGTCGACCAGAAGATCGCTTTACAGCTTTAGTGGTGCTCCTGAAATATGTGATACCACAGCAAGCACAGACAGTCGTCTTTGTGGGTACACAACATCACGTCGAACTTATTTCATATGTGCGTGCAAGTATAAATCACATTTTTTTCCAATACAGCGTCTGATAATATGTTCCATTTAGATTCTAAGCCAGTCAGGCATATCGAACACTTCCGTGTATTCCAGCTTGGATGCAGCTGCACGAAAAATTAATACTGCAAAATTTGCGAGCAAGAAGGTTTCGGTTCTAGTTGTCACAGATGTAGCCGCACGCGGAATTGATATACCCAGCTTGGATTATGTTGTTAATTTGCACTTTCCGGGTATACCGAAATTATTTGTACATCGCGTAGGGCGTTGTGCCCGTGCAGGACGCACTGGAACAGCCTATTCTATATTCTCCACAGACGACACAGCGCATTTGCTGGACTTGCACTTATTTCTAAATCGGCCGTTCAATATCAATGATAGCTCATCCATAGGAACCATACCGCAAGACTTGCTGGAAGATGAGTATTTGACCGTGACCGAGATAAAAAAAAGTCATCATATAGTAAGTCATATAATCGTCTGCAAAACCGTGTATGTGATTGTTTATTTGATAAACAGGCAGGTGTGCTGCGCACCAGCGAGAATGCGTACAAGAAGTACTTGAGCTCCCGCCCCACAGCATCCACTGATGCCAATTCGCGAGCCAAGAAGATTAAATTCTTTGCCTTAAGGGCACTTGAAGATTTTTTTAATGCCGCGCCTGTGCTCCAGCAAACCGCGACCATTTCTGGACAAGGGCTTAATGCTATTTCCAAAGCCGACGTAGCAGAATCTGAGCGTAAATTGGAAAACGAAAAGCATGACATATTAGTGAAGATGCGTAACTTTCGACCAAGTGGTGTGAGTTGCCTCTATACCACTTTAAAAGAATAATATTAAGTCCTTTTTTTTATGTTTTAGACCATTTTTGAATTGAATACAACTCAAAAGTCAGTGCCATTTGTTGTTATGAAGGAAAAACGATCACAACACGCTGAAGTCATTGAAAAGTATCGCCACCAACGTTCCAAGGAGGACATTATCGAGGAACAAAAGGAAGTGAACGCCTTGAAGTCAAATACTAGTTCATGTGCTGATGACGAGTCCATTAAAAACACGTTTAATAAGGTTGTTGCACCCAAAAAACGACAAAATACGGACGATCTATATACAGAAAAATCAAAGAAGAAAAAACGCAAGGTACAAACCAAGGATGAAGACAACTATGTACCCTACCAGTCAGCAGATAAACACACCGAGGATGGCCTTGCTATTAACTCATTCGAGCGTCAAGCTCAGAATGCAGAGTTTTCTGTGGTGGATCGCAATAGAATCGAAGAAATAAAGCACAAGCCAGGACTTAAAAAATGGGATCGTGTAAAAAAAAAAATGGTGTCGGTGCAAGATCCACATGCAAACAAAATACGCACAGAATCTGGCGCTTGGATACCGGCATCCTTCAAAACGGGTCGCTACAGCGTGTGGAAGGAGAAGTCTAAGATTGAGGAACAGTTACAACGGGAAAACGCTGGCAGCGCTGACGACAACCTTCAGCCATTATCCCATGTGCAACGATATCCAGTTGGACGCCACGCTCGTCACAACGCAAAGCTGGAATTGATGAAGCGCATCAGCGGCAATGATAAGGAGCTGCGAAAACCGGAACAAATAGTCAAGTCGCGGATGCGTCTTGAGTTTATTAAGAAGCGTCAGGAAGAAAATATCACAAAAAAAGTTCATAATCGCCAGAAAAGTATGCGAAAAAATCAAAGAACAAAACCAACCCCACAGAATACTGGAGGATTAAAGAGACGCAAATAAGATAAGGTAACCTGTATTTTTATATGGGTATATATATCTTGTTAATATTTTATGTACTAAAAAAATAATTGGTTCTACCCGAGCTCCTAGCACTTATTTAAACAATTATGTTTAAAAGACACATACTCGTAATGCTGAGGTTGGAAATGAGCTGCCTATCCGATTTACTTTTGTTCTCAAATAATTTGTATCCCCTTATTCAATTCGATCACTTTTCATCTCAAACACTTGAAATACAAAGACGGATCCTTTGTCTGTCGGGCCAAACTATTGGCGACTTTCCAAGAACATTTTCCCGGTTTAACAATTAAAGAAATATGTCAAATGAGATGCTGTGTTTCCTTAACAATTGAAGCCTGAGTGGTGTGTACGTGAAAAACGTTTATAAAGAAAAGAACGAACTCCGAACTAGACTTAGGGATGAATCTAAAACTCAAAAGTCTGAACATGCAGCTCCTACCATTTTGAAGAATTAATGATCGATATTGATAAAATAGCAAAGAAAAAGCAAAGAGCAAAATGTTAAGTACTCGAAGCAATCCATTCCTTTTGTACTATTGTTCCGAAGAGTGACGAATTTGAATGTTTTTGGGTATCTGGGTCACACACACACACAACATCTGCTGAAAGTTATGTCCTAACGTGACGTTAAATAAGCGACACGCCTGTTGTTTCCCTGCTCGTAACATGACCTAAATGAGCATTGAGAAAATGGTACGTGTATGACACACGATTGGGATTGGTTGTAAGGGTGTGCGGAGATACAGCATATATAAGGTATTCCTGGAAAGTCGCATGTAAGGGTGCGTTAGTCCGGCCACACCCAGACTCAAACTTCAAAGTCAGGGCAAATGACACGCACATTCTGTATGAGGACTAGGACAAATGCCCATTTTTGGGTGTTTAACTAATTTTGCTTACAGTTTTTTTTTTTATAAAATAAAATCTTCAGTTAAGTAGATTACTCAACTACGACAAACAATTTTCAGCTTGAATTACAAAAATCAAATGGCGGGCGTTTGTATTGTTTGTATATTAGTTGAGAAAACAAAAAAAACTGTACTTTAACAAACCACAACTAGAATCAATCTACTGCTGCCTTGCCACCCCTTAGGCTTATGCATGTCTGTACTGCTTGACACCACATATGTTCCTCTTGCCTCGATGCATCACAGACATTTGATAGACCTTCGGACAACATGTTGAAAACGCGTGAGCTCAATCAAAAATTATAGGAAACTCTCCGAGGCAAGCTGATTCTATAGATTTCATTTTCCAAAGGCCAAATTCTAGTACTTCGACTGCAGAAACGTCGTCAGTTTGTGACTTACTTTTAAAATCACTCAAATGGAAGTTTAATTGTAATTATTTGAAAATAATTACAAATGCTTAGATATTTATTTACTTTGACTATTGCTCACTGAAATTCAAACAATTAAATAAATCATTTCATAATTATAGTTAACAGAGAATTTTTTCATACAATAAAAATTGTATTTTATCGATTCAGTAATCCAGTAGTGCTTTGCACTTTTTCTTTAAAGGTCTGCGTTTAAAATTTAGTTATAGCACTATGTGCTCAGTGTTAATCCCCAAGTCTAAATATTTATTCAATAACAAGATCTGCATAAGATTGTGTTTTGATATAAATACCTGGGAATTATGAGCGTCTTTTTATATACTTATGTTCACATTGGTATAAATGCGCATCTCATTTCATAAACATATTTCATTATTTTAAGTGGAGCACAAAGAAATTCGACATAAGCGGAACGCAAAAAACAAAATGTGGCAGCCGGCTGTCCCCCTGCTAAGTTCAATTTAGAGCATCTTATTAACATGCCACAACGTTTAGTTTGGGGATTTTAGCGCCTAAAAATACATTGACAGCACATAAAACGGAGGGTGCCCATATACAAGGCATGGAATTCCTGCTGTGTACAAGTGCACTGCCGTTAGCATTTATCACACTGCACACAGAATGTTTTCTGGCAATGGAAAATAGTTGCTATTTTAAGAGCGCATTTACTTCAATATTTTTTTCTCAATATATTTGTCACAGCTTACTGAAACAAATTTTACAAATGTACACATACATGTGTACATATGTTAAAACCGTCAACTAAGCTAGTAAGTCAAAGAATGCCATACACTTGATAACAACTACAGACAAAATATCCCAAGCGTTAAATGCATAGTCCGGATAGTCGATACTTGTCTTCCCTCTATTTACACATTGTTGAACTGGCGCAATGGACAGCCAGCCGTCCCAGTTGACGAGTCTAATCTGCGCCACATCTTATCCCCATTTTTTTTGTGTGTGTAAATTATTGTGTGAGTCTGCCATGCTGCTGACGAGACACTTGGAGTTCATATCTAATTTGGGCTGTCTCAATCCCGCATTGTGGTCGACCACTTTAACAATTGCACAATTTAGTGAAGAATGTTTCTAAGCGTCACTTAAAAACGCATTATTCAATTCATGGAATTTTCTGAGATGCAAACCAATAGATATGTACACATCTATGTTTGTATGTAAGCATTGTATATACATATATATGTGTTAAGCCCTTACATTGTCATATAATTTGCTTTCATATGTTTTATATTATCTATGGAAATCACTGTGAATTGCCAATTTCGCTTAAAATTAAGATCCTTTTATAGAAGTTTTACTTGGCTTTTTCAAAGGACGGATGACTCATTGTCTTATTTAGCAGCAGCCTGCTGTTAGAATGTAATTTATAATATAAAATAAATGTGCCGCAAAAACCATCATTGACGCAGTTAACGTTTTCCATCGGGAATGAATGGTTGTTGCAGAGAATTGTGTAATAATAGTAGATCTAGTTATATTACTATCGATACTCCGCCATCATGCAGCTATCGATAGAGACAAGCGATAGTGATAGCCGTCTACCTTTGAGATATCGAGTGTCGTCGATAGTATCATCCCTATCGTACAGTAGCAACAAAATAATTGGACGATTCGGGTGTTGCGAGTTGGTGCTTGGCTTGTTCACGTAATTAACTCTTAAACTGGAAAACCAAAGCAACATAAAAGCAAATTATTTTTTTTTATCGTCAAAGCGACGTCTGCTTGGACAAATTAAACGTATTTTTACTTATGCAATATTATTTCAGTATATATATAAATACATATATATATATATAAATACAAAGGAGTGTACGTGCGCGTCTCGTTTGATTTCATATGAATATATGTGTATGTGTGTATATGTACATAATCATGTGCATATGTATTTAGGTGTGCCGTCTCCAAGTAAAAGTGAAAATGCGAAAATGCGTGAGGCTGTTTAAACAAATATTTTAATCGAATCAAATCCAAACAAAGCATTGATTAATTAATACGCGTAATATTACAAATATTGAAGCAAGTGCTGCCTGCTGTGGCCCACGAATTGCGATTTTTTCAAGTAACAAGCACACACACACACACAAACCTCCAAGCGTGATATGCTACCCATACATACATGCATTTGTATATATATATATATATATATATATATATATATATATATATATATATATGTATATATATAAGTGATTGTACATATTTTTACCGCGCTGCTTCACACAACGAAGACCATAGCGAGATTTTGCAAGCCGTTGTTTCTGTCTTTGTGTGCGTAGTGAGTTGTCTCTTTTTTTTTCTTGCAACAACAAAGCTACAAAGCTAGTTTTTAGTGAACAATATTCGCAACTGGCAGTTTTAATAAATACAAATTTAGTGTGACCGCATAATATTTACATGCAGTTTGTCTGCGTTGTTTAATGCACCCTGATTGTGCTTGTGTTTTTTGGTGTGGGTAAGAGAGCGAAACAAAAAAATTGAAATATTTTCGCCCTCTTTTATGTGATTTCTAATAACAATACCAAACAAGTGAAAGTGTAAAAGTTACTACAAACAAAAATTGGTGCACATATAATCTACAACAACTTCAAGTACAGCTGCACAAAAATCAACAACTGAACACTTTTTGGATTACGCTGAGCTATCTTTTTGCAATTGCTTCGATTAATAAGGAAATAAAGGTATGACTTATATTTATAGCTATGTATACAGGTGCATGAACAACTTTGAACATAAATCCAATTAGGATACCGTTGAGATGAATATGCATTGACCTTATTTGTCGTCGCATTCTTCATTAATTCCTACTTAAATTCATAAATATTGCATGGACATTTCATTTTTTATTAGCTTTATTTTGTCTGTATGAACGCAACTTTTTTCGACAACCTTAGAGATAGAGGCTTGAAACTTGGAACACATACTGGTCTGTGCCCACGTCAGACAAGGTGTAAAAATTGCTTCGTGCTTCGTCCACCAGGGGACTAGATAAAGCCACATATCTCCCACAATCTAAACGACACTAACAAAATTTGGTTGATAGGTTGTTGGCAATGTGCTTCAAAGATTGCCATAAGTCACGCCCACCTAACACATTTCAAATGACTATACCTTCCGCAGTTTTTGAGTTAGACCCGTAAAATTTGGTAGGTACGAGGTGTGTTCAAAAAGTATCGCGAATTTTGAATTTTCGCGGGTTACGTATATTCGAATTTCGATTTTTTTGTAGCGTTATGTTGGTACTCATGTCTCTCACTTATGCCGACAAGCTCGGCCATTTTGAATGTTCACTTAATTGTTGACAGCTGCTTTGCTTGCACGTGTTTTGGATCGTCTTCGATTTTTACCTATTCAAAAAAATGGATCAAAGAACCTGTATCAAATTTTGTGTGAATAACGAAATTAAGTGCGCGGATGCATTCCGAATGTTGATTGTGGCATACGGAGAAGCTACCTTGGACCGAAGCAACGTTTATCGGTGGTACAAAATGTTCTCAGAAGGCCGAGAAGATGTGAACGACGAAGAGCGTGCCGGACGCCCGAGCACTTCAACAACAGACGAAAAAATTAATGGAGTGGAGAAAATGGTATTGGCCAATCGTCGAATCACCGTTAGAGAAGTTGCTGAGGAGCTAGACATATCGATTGGCTCATGCCATTCGATTTTTATCAATGATTTGGGCATGAGACGGGTCGCCGCGAAATTCGTACCAAAATTGCTCAATTGCGACCAAAAACAGCATCGCATGAACATTGCTAATGAGATGTTGGACTCTGTCCGCGACGACCCAAATTTGCTCCAGAGGGTCATAACTGGTGACGAATCGTGGGTTTATGGTTACGATGTGGAAACCAAAGCTCAATCATCTCAATGGAAGCTGCCGCACGAACCAAGACCGAAAAAAGCGCGCCAAGTTCGGTCGAATGTGAAAGTTTTGCTGACAGTTTTCTTCGATTGCAGGGGCGTGGTGCATCATGAGTTCTTGCCACAGGGTAGAACCGGTCAATAAGGAATATTACCTGCAAGTTATGCGCAATTTGCGCGAAGCAATCCGCCAGAAACGCCCGGATTTGTGGAAGAACAAAAATTGGCTTTTGCACCACGATAACGCCCCTGCTCACACATCGTTGCTTGTGCGCGACTTTTTGGCCAAAAACAACACACTAATGATGCCGCAGCCACCGTATTCCCCAGATCTGGCCCCCTGTGACTTTTTCGTGTTCCCTAAACTGAAGAGGCCCATGAAAGGACGACGTTACGCTACGCTTGACGAGATAAAGACGGGATCGAAGGAGGAGCTGAACAAGATAAAAAAAAATGATTTTTTGAAGTGCTTCGAAGATTGGAAAAACCGTTGGCACAAGTGTATAATATCTCATGGGGATTACTTTGAAGGGGACAAAATAGATATTCATGAATAAATAAATAATATCTGAAAAAACACAAAATTCGCGATACTTTTTGAACACACCTCGTATGTTACTGGTATCCGCCTTTAAGAACCGATAACCCCAAAATCGACAAAAGCCTATATCTTCCGCAATTTAAGAGCTACAGTTACCAAACTTGGAAGGTAGCTCGTACTACAACATTTTTTTGGCCACGCCCACTCCCGCCTCCAAAATCTCCAGAAGCTTATATCTCCGTAACTTAAGAGCTACGGTTACCAAATTTCTAAGGTATCAAAGTATTTCGCAGTCGGTTACGCGCGACTGCAATGTTCTATCTTGTTAAAGTTGAAAAATCTAGTTTATTAATTTTTTTAAAATTATTTATAGTCAGATTAGTCTGCAAGATAAATTTCCGTACCTGAGACTTATATTTATTTATAATATCCATAAGCATAAAAGTAAGTCTGAGTACAAATATGCTTACGTGTATACATATGTATATAATACATAAACATGTATGTAAAAGCACACGGTTGTCGACCTCTCAACTAGAGCTTTCGAACTTGTTTTATTGCATTTGGAAGCAAATCTTATTTAAGTTTCAAGAAGCTTTATTAAAAATTAGTTGAGATGGCAACATTTTGACCAAATATTTGCTTATGTGAAGCTTCAGCTGATTTAAATTCAAACATTGGTTGGCAAAGCTTAAATCAATTCACAAAGCAAACCAGTTTGAAATTTCAATTCAGTTAATGATTTCCGGCATTCATTCATAGATAACAATAACAGTGCTTGTAACTAGTTTTCAATTGGTTTGTTCTTATATATATGTATATATATATATATATATATATATATATATATTTATATTTATATTTCGCTTTAAACATAAGGTATATAAGTGATTAGATTAAAGTCAACGTATTGTCAGCGGGTATAATTTTGTCTTGAAATGATTTTATATTTGGGATCTCTTAGGCAACCTACGCTGAAGCTGTCGATAAAAATACAACTTTTTCTATCGATTTCATTTTACTATACTATACTATACTATATATCCATCCATGCTGGACGCTTCTTTTTCACTTGTTCTGCAATGAAAGTCGAAAAACCGTTCATGCATTTTTACTTGAATACACATCCGCTGAGTTTATTGTTGTTGTTTATTGTACTCGCAGCAGTAACTTAGCCAGAGAAAAAGATTGTTTGTGAGGCGATAAATGAGCCAAGGGTTGGGAATCAAATAAAGAATTTCTGTAGCGCACATGTGCGGGCAAGTAACAGTTAAGTGATATTTCCTGTTTGGATTAGAAGAATATATATATATATATATATATATGCATATGGTCCCTTTTCATGTAACAAAATGTGTAAGGTATATTCTTGATTAAAACGAAATGTGAATGTATAACGGTCAAGATCGTTGATAATCTTTCTTTAAACAGGTTTTTGTTTTTGTGTTAACAACAACTAGTTTAGAACATTGGATTTGTTTTAAACTTTTAGCAATTAAGAATAACTTATATAGGTAAGTACCATTTTTTTTTACCAATTGGTTTTTTTATGCGGGTATATTGCCTAGATTCAGCGTCTTCAACTAAACACTGCCGACGTGGTCCCCTCTTGTTATGTTGCATCACAAGCCGACGTCGAACTGTTGAAAAGCGGGCAATTCTTGCCAAGATGCGCTAAAAAAGTCTGTTAAAATATCAGCAATATTAAAGAGGAGTGCATTAACTTACCTGCTTTTGAAAAAGATTTTTCTTTCCAATGGTCAGCGTATTCCATTGGGCGGCTGCCTCTTGAAGAAGGCGACGAAGTCCTAAACGTGGATGTCTGCGCTTTAGGTAGCGAAGAAAATTTAAATAGGATAAGGTTGCAATGAAGCGGGGCTCTTCCAAAATGTCACAGGCTCTGGGAGGATGGATCATTTTGATGAATACCCATAATAATAGAACAGGGGCAGCAAACACTATAACAATTTGATTTCGAATCGATAACGGAATATTAAACATACTATGTTTGTTATCTGCATTGTTATTTCTATATAGAGCATGACAATAAATATAAGCTTACTTAAAAATTGTTGAGCAGTTCGTTCAAATATGAATGAGTGAGAGCAAAAAGCGAGATCAACATAAATACATAAGAAGGCATGAATGAAAATAGAAGCATGTTGCATAAAATTATTTTTTTGTCATTAACATTCCTCGCATATCAGCTTCTTATTCATTAGCATGTGTGCAGCAGTAGACGAATGACAAATGTATTTTGTGATACACAGCGTTCAACATATTCTGCAGTAACTTTGTTTCCGCTCTCTGCACTATATGAATCAAGAGGATCTCATATAATCTGTTGAAAGTAATTCATTTTGTACCCCCTACGCAGCTTGATTTCGATACTGATGCCCGTTTGCCTTCCTATTGTACCTTTAAAGCTATAATGTAATAACATTATTATTTTGATTTGCCGGCTCTGCAAATATATTTAATAGATGCATCGAGAGTGCTAATTTTGTAGACTGTCTCTGAGCAGCAAATAAGTTATTTTATTATATGCATGGTGTATTCTAAGGCGCAAATTATTTCCAATTGACGTGCCAAAGTGACGTTGCCACGTCCTACACCGTTCGCCCTGCATAATGGATGCAGCAATCTTGTTTGCCTCTTATAGGCATAAACAATTTATAATGCAAGTTTATCATGTATCCCCATAGGGTATTTACTTTGTAGAATTATGTAGTTGGTAAATTCTGTGAAGTTTCCTCTTGCACAGCACACGATTGCGTTGAATGAAGCACCGTCGGCTTCCACTCTACACAGCAGCCAGAGCTTTGTAATACTGAAATTTCCGTCCGGTTTGTGGGGGTCCATTAATTCTCATTTAACATAAAGGAAAGTTTTATTTCAATAACATGAATGTAGTAGGCTGTGATGCTATTGTAATCACACATTGAAAATTATTGATATAAACATATGCATTTATACAAAACTAAGCACGGTTTTCTTTTAATTTAATGTAACGCTTTGGAACAACACTATACGAAATCAATCCTTACAAGTAACTTATGCAAATATGCTACGGTGCTACGTAATGAGCAAATATAGCTCCATCAACTCATTCTTTTGTTGCAATGTTTGCAACCAAGAAGTTTCAACCAAACCGTTAAAATCAGAGTGAGGTTATTAAGCTGCTTTGACAACTTTTAATTAAATAAAATCGTAAGTAAAATACAGTTCGTTACGCTGTCGCTTCAATATCTACTGTATGAACTATATCATTAATTTCAAGTATGCCTGAGCATTTATTAGTGGATGCTCAATAAAACATCTAAATGATAATTAATGCACAGTCACGCTTTTCACACAGCTATTTCACTAACCTCTTTCTTTTATCAACTTTTTGGCTGTTTCCCGGGGACTTTGTTTATAGCTACGGTACGTAGCCATGCCTACTTTACTGAATTACTTAATCAACTTGGAAACTCGAGATGTATACCATGTAGTCATTGCCTTATTATGGACTTATTGGACTAATTAAGTCGCAGTGCCCTAACTCAGACACAACATATTGTTATATAAATCAATTCCTGTCACTTTTTTCTGTTTTCCTTAGCTTTATTAACACAGAAACTTGATTAAATTGTAGCAATTGTCAGCATGGAGCTGACAATCGTAGTCCGCTTTACGTGAGACCGCTGATGTTTAGAATTTCAAAATACTCAATGTTCAACTCAAATGTATTAAAAAAGCTAAGCTAAACTCTTTTAAATTTTGGCACTTGCAAACTGGATTGCTATTAGATGCACTTTGCTATTGAAAAGTTATTTAACTTATGAATATCAGCTCTCCAGCGTCTCTGGTTGACCTTCGTATTGTATAACGAGACTAAATGTAACGTGGAATTTCACTGTACCACTATAGTACTGCGAATGTGTATGTATTTTCTGCGATATTTTATCGTGTTGTTTGCGGCTGGCTTATAAGCCACATCTGACGAAATATAAAACCATAATAATGGCTAAGATTTGCAGTCCTCGCTAAAATGGAAAACGCCTGTAACTTGTAGAAATATAGTTAAATTGTTACGCAATTGCTGACTTTCCAGCTTACTCAAATATCTGGAGATATCCGCGTAAAATAACCTTGCTCACACTTGTTGAGAGTCATATTCACATACAAATATCGACTACTGGGGTATTCAGATGAGGGTAAAGTCATGCAAATACGCACACAATTTTTACCTGTTTCAAACAATAAAAATTGCGTTTAATTAAAAGCTTGGAGTTTCACTTTAAGAAGTTGCTGCTGGTATTATCTCAATAAATAATGATTACTATTTTGATCATAATATGTTGCTTTCCAATTTTCAAGCTCCTGCTAACCTGTTTAAAAAGTCGACCCACTCCAAAGCCCTCACATTGTTACAAGAATGCTGAATTTAAGTTAATAAAAGACTGAAAACAATCTATTCAGCCAAAAGCCTTAAATTTGTAAAGAAACATACCTACAAAGTTGACTATAGCTCGATAGTGATCTTTGAACATCGCCTGCATCAGGCAAATTTTGTGACTAGCTTTTAAATTGTGGGATATGTGGTTGTGTGAATTAGCTCATTTGATACTTTGACGAGGGCGCAGACAAATATATGTTTCAAGCTTTCATTAAATTTGGCAAAAAGCAGAGCATCGAATCTAAATAACTGCCTATATCTGGTATTGTTATGGTAAAAAGATTCATAAGACAAATATAGACATGTAGGCACTCAAAAAAAAAGAACTCAATAGCAAATGATTTTTTACATATTACGACAAACCTACATTTTTCCTTAAAACTACTAAATAATACAAATTTCTTTGTATTTTACAGTGTGCCAGAATATTCCGAATGCACGTAACATTGAAAATAAACATGCTGAAAATACGCTCCCACTCGAAGCACCTAAAGTGAAAATTACCTAAATATATAACATTCGTGTAATGTATATCTAAAGTTATTTAATTCATGTTAAACAACTATCAGCAGCTGCCGCTAGCAATGGAGCAAAAAGCGGACTCAAATCAAACTAACTAAAGGAACTGCACTTAATTAAAGGTCTTAAGGCTGAAACAAACTCGCTCTGATTCAGCTTTATAACTCAAAACTCTCCAATACACAATAAAAAAAATGAACTCCGTCATCTCAGCATTTAAAACCAAAAAGAATAACCAGGCGAGTCCAACAACCGTGGCTGTTACGTCCAGTGTTGCAACATCGGATGGCAAGCAAAGCGGTGGCCTAGTTGGCATTAGCATATCCAGCGTTGGCGGCGTAATTAGAAAAAAGCCAGTGGCCCAAGACAATGGCTATCAATACTTGCGGCAAATACGCGAAATAGAGACTGCCAATAAGCTGCTTTTACCTGTTGTTGCAGCTGCCGCCGACGATCTGCTCGTGCGCGGCCATTCGTTTTTGGATAGCGCGGATACGTTGCATATCCGTCCAGCACTTGATGCAGTTGACGCCAGCACAGATGTGGTGGATCACTGTGCGCCTCCTATGTTGCGTCAGTCAAGTGCGGATGCACACTCTGATTATAATATGAACGGCGAGGCGAACAGCACCATCAGTAGCACCAATGTGACGGTTGCTGAGAATGGCAACATGGATATTTACACGTTTCCCTGCGGTAGGTATAGTCCAGCGGCGCCAGATGACGATGATAATTCGGATCATTCGACGGCCGCTTGTACCAGCACGAGCAGCTCCAGTGAACATAGCAACAGCACTGTGGTGCATAGTACAACGGTGGCGGACGCCATTCCAGGCAAGAATTCCAGCTTTTTGAGCAGCGCTTCGTCAGCAAATTGCCAATTGTTAATCGCAACCGTCTGCGAGCCGCACTCAACATCGAGCATCACGCTCTCTTCACTAAATTCAGAGGAGCCACTCGTTGAGTACAGCCTAAATGGTGACGGCAGCCACCATACTCCGCTTTCCTCGCCTGTGATAACAAACGGGCATGAAGATTATGTGCCTGCGTTTCTAAAAGTCCCGCCCGTAACATTGCCCCTAAGTTCGCCAACCTACAACTGCAGCCGTTCTACGACTTCAACGCCAACAATTAATTCCGCCGCCAGCACCCCCAAACATGTTCGCTACTCAAAACCCCGCCTAAGCCTGAGCCGTGGGTTCAATCAATCCATGCCCTCGGTTCACGGACGGCCCAACCTGAGTGTGTTGTCAACAACCACCGCGCAGACTGGCACCACTCCACCAAAGCGCATTGCAATGCACCAAAGGAATTTGAGTTTAGATTTCAGGTAAGTAAGTTAATTTTTTCAATTAAAGTTAATTTCAAGGGGTTCCGGAAAAAATAACTAAAAAAAATAAATACGGACATGATATGTCGCGTTTCTTTTACTTCATTACGAGAAACTAGTAACTACACTCTTATCTAGCTTTACGGCTTAGGTACGCTCCACGAAACTTGGCCGCAAAGCGAAATGCCGTATAAGGATATCGACACCGAAATATTTTAGGCCGTATATCGAAAACGTGCCTTAATAGAACAGGGCTGTTATAGCGAAATGCCGTATAAAGAGCGACCGTATAGCGAGATATGAGTGCATATAAGCGCCTTCTCTTATTGAAGCGGTCTTGTTTTTATACCACCCATATGGGTTAATTTAAGGGTTAATTCTATTTTGATTTCAAATTCGAGGAAATTGAGGAATTTGACTCATTTGACTAATTTTAACTCATTTGATTATTTATATATTTGATAAAGAACAAAATGTTTATGATGATATGATAAACTTATTTTTTAATTTAGCAATTATCATAACATAGTTGGAGTCAGGGATACATAGCAACGCGACCACTCACCAGTTGCACTTTTAGTGTCCTGGGTTAAAATTATGACGAATACAGAATTGGACTTCAAGAGTATAAATTAAGTCTGCCAAATCCAAATAGGGAATCTTTAACATTGTCTTGAAGATATAACTCAGAAATAAAGTTGAGCTTACTCCTGTTGCTGCAACTGTCGTTTTAGTGCCACACCCTGCGCAGCATCAATTGGTGCGCACAGGCCTGTTAAGTATCTAGAGGTGGGTGGTGCGAAACTGTCTGTTAATGTCCCATGTTGACACATTTTGGCATAGGTAGAAAAAAATGGACTATTTTTTAGCCTTGTCTGAAGTTACAGTTTATCTATCCTCGATTCAAATAAGCAGCGCAGCTTTCAATATATATTTATGATACCCCCATTCTTCAATATATCTATATCCTTATACCGCAATATATCCAGTAACCCGCAAAAGAAGTAATTAACTAGGCGACCACAAAGTGAAAAGGCAGAGAAATAAAAAAGTTGTTGAAAAATATATTGATACAGCGATGCACAGGGTGTATATAGAGAGAGGGAGGTTGATTTAAATAGAAAACGACCATACATTCAATCCGTTCGTTGGTATTGGCATTTTTGCTTTTGATTTGTGAAATACTGAGCTAAATATTTGTACGGCTGGCAGCGGGGGCTTTTTTGAAATGCTCCTACAATACATATTTTCAATGGGAAGTGGGATTTCACTCTGTTCCCAAAACGAATAGAGTACTTGATTTTCTGTAATGTTAGTCCGTCTGTCATATTGAACGCACATTCGCGTTTAAATGTTAATTAAATGTTCAAATTTACTTTCACATAATTTTGATCAACTGTCAAAATTTCATTAAGATCGGTTAATGTATAATTAATTTCTTACTTATTACGATAAACAATCTCGATTTAAACTTTAAATATTTTAGTAATAATAATAATAAGCAGTGATAAAAATGCCAGTTTTTAAAAAGAAGTGCAGTATTGACAAAGTTATGGCAATGGAAAATGTGTAGACAATGTCATGAAATATAATAATACAATAACTTCTTTATTCCTTAGCTTCAAATTCAATTTAAGCTGAACTTAAAAAAACGTACATATTTTTGGGTGTAGTATGTATGCATGTGTGCAATTTGTTGAACAAATTTTATTTTAATACTTAGCGCTATACAAAATGAAATAATTTTCCATGGGTAAAAAATTGGAATATTATTTGGTTTTCTAGTTCCTTACATATAGACAAAAGCTCTCGTCTACAGTGAACGTGCCATTTTGAGTATTAACATTTACAGACGTTAAACATGACTGTCAGATTAACATATAGTGAATTGTGTTAACAGAGCCAGTTTGTCAAACTCGCTTCGAAACTATTCTCATGAGAGAACTTGATGTTGCTCTCATTTTCCCTTGTTTGTGACAATACATATGTGTGGGTTGCGTTTTTTTCTTCCTCACTGTCATTGTTTTGAGCTTTTTTAATTGTGATGCGATTAACCTTCTAAATATTTCTAATTTAATTTAAGTCTTGAGCCCTTAGCCCAACAATACATTTCGGACGAGGGTGAGTGTTCATCATATGTCCGAAGACTTGCGCTCGTATGACAAGCTTATTGTTTGGCAGAGATTACACTCGTAGACATGCTAACAGATGCTGACAACATTTAATTGATTTTTTCGTTTCCTTTAGCAATTGTCTTCTTTTGTTAACTCTCTCTATTCCTACTTTTGTAGATCAATGGGCATAATGCTGCCGCCTGTGTCGCAGGTGACTAACGCGCGTATCAATCACACGCAACATCATCGCAATCGAAGTCTCGACAGCGCCTTGCAACGCATACCAGAGGTGAGTAACGGATGCAAAACGCCCTCCCACTTCACCCACTGTATTTGCCAGATTCCGCAAGTGGAGAGCGCACATATACATATGTAAATGCATATAATATGTATGCATGTATGAGTACACGCGTACAATACTCTATATTATCTGTGTTATGTTATATTTTTATCGTATTTCGCATTGTTATTCACAATTTTGCACTTTTGATATTTGTGTACGTTTCTGGTTATCAAAACACAAAACAACAACATTACTGAAAGCCATATACTGCTCTCTCAGTGCCAATAACAGTATAAACAGAAAGAGAGATAGCTATTTTTTTTAAGGTGTTGGTGCTGAAGCGTAATTTTGAGTATTTTAATCAATGGCAATCTGCTAAGCAAATGTGTTACGTTGTATATTATTTTGACTAAAGAAAAATTGCGCTTTTCATTTGCTTATGTTAAACTTTTTTAAATTTAAAGGTCGAAATTTCTTCGCCCAATGCTGAGAGTGAAAACTCATTTTGCTCACCATCATCAATACTAAACACCAATATGTGCTCAAAAATTGTAACTACTGCGGCTGTTGTAACCGCTGCTCTGTCCGCATCCCCACCAATGCCGGGCCTCACTTTTGCACATAACATAAATCCTGGCTCTGGAACAGTCGCCACTGTCCGGCCAGCAACGAATCAGGCAGCATCTGCAGTCACTGTACACATGCAACCGAATCAGCATGCAACCATTGGAGTTGGTGAGTGTTTGCATTTAGTTGACATTATATTTCCGTTAAATAATTGTCCTTTATTCGATTCCAGTAGACTCCTGTCCAACGTTAAGAATGCGACCCAAATCGAACGAGTTGGTATCAACGGGACCACAAAACATGGCTGAGGCTTGTAGCAGTATCAGCAATAGCTTTAGCAGCGCCAGCAGCAGCAAAAAACGCGAGGATCTGACTAGCCTTGGATCAGATGATTCCGGTATGTGAATTATGTTTGTAATCCAGCTAAAACTATCATAGATTTGCTGGTCGGGTGTTAACACAAGCTTCCTTATTAATTTTTTAACATTATGTGAGCATGATTAAATGTTCTGACGTTCTCCTTCCACTCACTCATTTTCTCATCAGGTATTATATGTGGCTCAGAGTCTGACCAAATATCTCTGAATCGTATATGCAACTCACATGAATCGCTCGACTCTGGCGAAATGGATGGTGATGTCGACGCGGAGGATGAAAAACAATGTATTGAGATGATGGAAACAGCGTCCATGGATGAAGACTATAATTTAATGAAATCGGAGTTATGCATTTTTCCACCTCTTAACGCCAATGAATTCGACTGCCGCACATTGAAACCCTCGCGCAAGCAAAAGCAGCAAAAACGGGAACAATCCAAACCTACAGCACAGCAGCAGGATCAGAAACAGTGCGGTGCAGATGATCGAATGCGTTATCGTGTGATGAACATGTCACAGGCTGCCATTAACATGGAGCTCGGCGCAGCGCCAAATGAGATTGAGCCGGTGTTAGACGAGCATGTCGAGGGCCATGAGGCGTTGTCCACATCACAAACTACCACCAGTAACAATAGGGCACCGGTTATAATGACGCCCACAATGACGACACCAGCAGTCATACCCACAACCATAGCCATACCTACTGAAAGCACCAAGAATGAATTGCTGTTCAAAAATTTTTTCGGTGCCACCAAGAATGCAATTTTCCGCACGGCCCAAAGCATAATTGAGAACCATGAAAAGAAAAATGCCGCCAAGCTGAAAATCACCGATCCGCAGGAAATTTCAACTACGACAAATGTGTCTTATATTACACCGAACAGTGCAACGCAAATGTCTCCGGATTCGATCAAGTCGCCCACGGACATTTCTAAAAAGAAAGAGTTTTTTAGCTTGCTCACGTCCAGTTCCAGTAAAAAATCAGCAGCTGCTGTAGTAGTTGCCAGTGCAACATCAGTCAGTACCCTCCCAGCTGATTTGCCAACGGACGGCGCCAAAAGTGCCGCCACGTACGACATTTCCACGGATGTAAAGATTAAGGAGCGCACGCTAAGTCTGCGGCTGCCGGGCACTGAAAGTGGCGACCACGAGGCGACGCTACCGAAAAGCTCTTCCATAAGTTCACTGCAGCAGTTGAAGATGCCAGTGCCAGGCGTGGTGAAATATTTTATCAGCGACCGTTTGCCTTCTGTTTGTTCAGCGCAGAGCTATGAACGGGGTCCTAGTGGCTTGTTGAGGTTTTTTGAATCGCCCGTTTTTAACATTCACTTCGCTGTGCATTATTTGTTTTATTCGAAGGAGCCGGGAGTACTGAGCTTTATTGGCAATAAGATATTTAGCTTTCAAGATCAGGATGTGGATCTATATATACCGCAGCTAATTGTAATGTATATTCAAATGGAAGAATTGGCTGAAGTATTGGACCCATATCTCACTATACGTTGCCGTAAGTCCGTGGATTTCTCGCTGAAGTGTCTGTGGTTACTGGAGGCGTATAACTATCAGGTGGACTCGTTGGGCAACTGCAGTAACAGCCGCAAGTCCAAGCTGGCACTTATGAAAGAGATATTCTCCAAAAAAGAAAAATCCAAATCTGATGTTAACCAAAGCCCAGCTATTGCTTTAGTAAAGAAAACGCATCATCGCTCCCAATCTGATGCCACAGTGCTGCTCGCCGACTCTCGCAGCCCTCATCCGCTCAGCATAACGCATAGGATATTCCACCAGCCACCTTACACCACACAAACATTACCCACGACATCCGCCAAGCTTTGTCTGGGTGATCTAACCTCGGGACGTGCTTTCGACAATGGTTGCTGCTGTTTCGAAACGGTGCGGGGACAAGTTAATGGACTGCTGGGACATCGTACGCTTTGTAGTTGCGGAGCCCCAAAGACGGCGCCGCAAAAGGAATTCATGAAATCACTTATGAATGTGGGCAAAAATCTGACTTCTCTTCCCTCCAAGGCGGAAAAGACTTCAGCGCTGCGCATGTTTCTAAATTTGATCAATAAAAATTTGCCCGCTCGTGTCTGGCTGCCGCTTTACTCGGATATTCCACATCATGTGGTCCGCATCACAGAAGAGAAGACCGCTGTGCTTAACTCCAAGGATAAAACGCCGTATATCATATACGTAGAGGTGGTTGAGGTGCCAGACATATACACATCCCCGCTAATACCAAAGATGATGCCTTCGCTGCGGCACACCAAAAGCGAAGAACACTTGGAAGGCGGCACCTGTTTGAGCACGCATCAGAGCTGCAGCCGAACCACTAGTTGTAGCAGTAGTCATAATGGCTCCAGTTGTCGCCGCAAAAAGGCCACTGAATCATTTGCAGAAAGTGGAAGTGGTGACCCCTTCACACACAATTGTTGCTGTAGTTATAATGGCAACCTACCTTCAATGGGTGGACTGCATCTGCATGAAGATGATGTCTGGTCACAAGAAGATGACGAAATCACTGCGCAGTATTTGAACATGCAAAAGATCAGCGAACGAGATGCAATTTCACAGATGTCGTTGGACTCGTGTGACTCCAGAGATCAAGGTAAGCGGCCAATATGAAGCCTAGAAGACTTTTGTTAGGTTAGACGGTTGATGGCCTATAGTTATGATACCGGCTGTCGTGTAAATGTGATCAAAGATTTAACCAGCCATAAAATTCGCAATCTTGGCTGTTAATAAGTTTGCTAGCATTAACAGGTTAGGTAGGAAGTGGCTGCCAAAGGTAGGACTTAAGTTGCCCTATAACGATTTCTGCAGAAGCACTTCTGCAACAGCGAAGAGATTTGCGACAGCTTATTACCAATATCGAGTTTGCCGATATCGCACTAATGGATTTTGCCTGGGCTGATATTATGTATTTTTAGGCAGCTTAATGCTTCTTTTATTCCTAGTACTTCCGCCTGAAAAACACTAGTGTTTCGGAAGGCTGAAAGATAGTTGTACATTAAGTTGCTCAGACCGTCTGTGAAAAAGGTTACGGCTGTGGTCTGGGAGTACCGTGGGTCTTTTCCTCCCGTTGAGGAAAATGCGTATAGAAAGGGGTGTTAAGCTGAACAACTGGCACACAGTAGTCGGTTTTCGAGGGGATTTTTGAATTTTCTTCTAAAATGGATGCATGGCTTTTTCCATGAGCAATCTAAACTGAGGACTCTCAGTCTTATGGCCGTGAGTCTCGCATTTCCTGTGACTTGTCTTTCAAGACATGGGATGTCCAGAATGGCATCTAATGTCTCCTTCGGTGTGGTACGTAGAGCACCTGACATGCAGAGTGCAGTCAGACGTTGAACTTTGTTGAGTTGTTTGTGAGTGGTTTGCTTTTTTTAGCCAAGGCCACCATACTAAATCCCCATATAACAGGATTGATTTAATAATAAGACCTAAGACTTTTGATAAATAAACTACTTTATTTGACAGGTCAACCAATTGTCTTCAATATTGGTGATGTGCGTAATCGACATTGCAATAACTTGAGCTGTGAGAACACAAAGCCCTTTTGCAATGATCCAGAGGATCCATCTGCGGCGGCCTTAAAGGTTTGTTCAACACTAACTAACACTTCAGAATGCAAATTATTCGTAACTTTTGATGTGTTCCATAGGAGCCTTGGCATGAAAAAGAGAAACTCATTCGAGAATCCTCGCCCTATGGTCATTTATCAAACTGGCGCCTATTATCGGCCATTGTCAAGTGCGGTGATGATTTGCGGCAAGAACTTATGGCCACTCAGTTGTTGCAGGTAAATTATCAAATTTATATATAACTCTTTGGCAATTTTCATAATATATAATTTTTCTCAGATGTTTAAGATTATTTGGCTGGAGGAACATGTGGATCTCTGGGTACGGCCATATAAAATAATTTGCCTCTCGAATGACAGTGGTTTGATTGAGCCTATACTGAACACCGTTTCGCTTCATCAAATTAAAAAGAACTCCAACAAATCTTTACGGGATTATTTTATTGACGAGTATGGACCACCAACGGGCCAAAGTTTTCGTCAAGCCCAAAGAAATTTTGTTCAAAGCTGTGCCGCATATTGTTTAATATCCTATCTTCTACAGGTTAAGGATAGGTAAGTCTTCGATTTGTGCTCAAGTTGTTTTTACATTCACACTTGCTTTTCTCTATCAATAGGCATAATGGCAACATACTCTTTCATTCGGATGGCCATATAATACATATAGACTTTGGCTTTATTCTAAGCATATCTCCCAAAAATTTGGGTAAGTATTTAAACTGCAACTGATTTGCACATTGAACATTATTTCCATTCTGCCTGTTCCAGGTTTCGAGCAATCGCCTTTTAAGCTCACACATGAATTCGTCGATGTTATGGGCGGCACCGATTCCATACATTGGCGGGAATTCAATCGCCTTCTTCTCGTCGGCATGATGTCTGCGCGCAAGCATATGGATCGCATCATTAACTTTGTGGAAATCATGCGTAGTAGTAAGTACAATTATAACCCAACATATAACCAATATTTTTCAATTTGTATTTCCGTACTCTTTTTCTAGATGCACATTTACCCTGCTTTAAGAATGGCTGTTCCGGTACAGTTCAGAATCTCCGAAAACGATTTCATATGAATTTAACTGAGCAAGAAATGGAGCGCAAGGTTGAACAACTTGTGCAGGACTCGCTCAAAAGCCTGTCAACAAAACTGTACGATGGCTATCAATATTACACCAATGGCATATTGTGAGAACGGTTTTTTATGAAAATCTAAGCCAACGGATTGTTAAATCATCTACTGAGTAAACGTGCCGATCTGATAAACCAAAACTATGGACTGACTTCGATTAAAAACAAATTATGATATATACATATACATGTATATATGTTTAAAAGTATAGATTATTCTGCGTGTTGGCACTATTATTATTATTATTATTAAATTATATTCTCTTAGGCTAAAGTAAATGTTGTCTAGCTTTTAAGTTGAAGTCTAAATGTTTGTGACTAATGATCTACTCCTCCGGTATCGGTATTGCAATTATAATAATCAGCGACTTGTATATAATTAAAATCGTATTACTTTAATTATCAAATAATGTCTTACAAGTGCAAATTATCATTCATTGTTTCATGCTATAACTGTCTATAAACTACACAATAATTGTACTAAACGTATTTACTTAACAAGTTTTATTTCTAACTACAACCACACACACCACCACAATAGTTTCATTTTTATCTAAAAAAAAATCCAATTAATATTGCAAATATGTATAAACATCCGTCATTTAAAAAATACAACATTGTAAAAATATTTGCGTTTGCCGTTCAAGTTGCTCATATGTGTATATATGTATTTTAACATTTTCTAAATATAGGAACTAAGCTATTAAGATAAAGGCAAAATCAAATCAACCAGAAATAAAAATTTATTTGTAAGACACTTTAAGTGTTTATTTCTACTTTGTGTGTCAAAAATAATATGAATAAGTACTCATTGCATGTCTTAAGCATAAAACAAATATCGTACACAACAAATATTGATACGGTACATAATATAAATACGCAAAAAATATGCAAACAAAAGCTTAAACATTTTTCTACGATTTATTTCATAAATTCGATTTAACAACAGTTATAACTACTGCAAGTTACATATATTCGAAAATGCGATATTACATTATACTAATAATAAAGACGAAAGTACCCAACACACTGTGTTATACAAATTTGGTGTTGATTTTGTGGAACAATATATATGGTCGATGGAGTTAGTTATTATTCTAAAGGAATTTTGTACATTTTGTTCCAGTGCATGTACGAGTCAATTCTAAATTTAATTTTAATTTCATGGTGGATTTTTGTAGAATATAGAAAAACTGTGTCTAATTTCAGGGTGTTGTTTTCAATGTGTGTACGTTAAAAAATATATTCGTATATGCGTCTGCTTACTTTTCTATATTCACAATGAGTATTTCTTCTTCTTCAATTTGGCTGTCACACCGTTGAGATCGATCGACATCGATATCAGGTTAAGTACATAGTTTCATGGAGGTTATAGATGTTACGTTGCAGTCTTAGAACTACATCACTAGTAGCCTGTGGGTGGTGTGGGTCTGTTAACATTCTTACTAAGAGTTGATCAGCCCTAGCTCTGTTGTAATTTGCGCTAACTGTTAACATACACTTTAGCGTATTCTTAGTTGCCGTAGAACCTTTTTCACAGTGTGCGCAATGGAACATTGGCAGCAATTGACGAATATAAAAAATATTCCTCAGCTAGCCCTCATTTATTCTCTCATTACTACTATCTCAGCAACCTATTGACAGATTAAAAAAAATGTAAAAACAATTCTGACAAAAAGTACAGAATTGTGTGTCTGGTGTGTTTCTTCTTGTATTTAACTAACTTGCACGGACTTCTTTGACATCATGGGGCGACTGGACTGTTTTTTTCAGTTGTGTTCCCAATGGAACATTGGCAGCAACTGACGACTGTATAAAACAATCGCCAGTTAGCCCTAATTTATTTTCACATTTCATCACTTCTTGGACACCTTAAACCGACTTGACTGTGTGAACTGACTGGACATCTATGTTTCTCGAACTGACTGGACATCTATGTTTCTCGGACTGACTGGACATCTATGTTTCTCGGACTGACTGGACTTCGTGTACGGACTTGACTTTGCATGTTGACTTGGGCATCTTGAACTGAGTATACTGTTTGAAGTGTTCAGGGTGATGGCAGCATGGCGTGACTTCTGGTATATGTTTCCTTCTTGACTGTGTTCCTTGGACTGAGTGGACTTCATGTGTTAACTTGAACATCTTGGACTGACTGTACTGTATGAACTGTTGGCAATGGTAACGCGTGACTTTTGGTGTTTCCATTAATGATATCACAATCGACAGGAAAGCGTCTATTTTCCTGCCTAGCTCTGTCACCAAAACTGTGTGTTGCTGTATTATGTCTAGTATTGAAGTGGTATCAGGGGTACAGGGCAAAGGTGTGTTCTGTTGTTCCTCCTGTATCTGCGGCTGAGGGCTGCGGAGCTGTTTCTCCTTCTACTCAACGCGAAGCCTCTTCTGGAACTTCTCCAGATGTCTTTCCGCTGTGTTGTTGGTTGGTGCAGTGTCCGTAGTGTTCTTTGCCTGCACCACCTGGCAGTATGTCTTTTTTTTTATACATTCTGTGTTGGAGTTGGCTGTCTCTTCTGAATCTTGTTGGGCTGCTGCTCCTTCGAAGGGACAAGCAGCGCCAACTGCTGCTGTTGATGTATGTCTTCTTTTTATACATTCTGTTTTGGAGTTGGCGCCAACTGCTGCTGTTGATTTTGCCTTTGTAGGTGGCAACATGCTTACTCTGACAATTTTCGCACATTGCCTCGGTGTCTTTCGACTTGCCACACTCAGTCCTTATCTGGCTGCCACCACACATCAGGCAGGCAAATGTCTGCTTAGTGCTATAATACAGTACTAGAAGTACTGTGTTGCAATAATATCGATATACACACTCATCAACTGCGTAACGAGGGAGGCTATCGTGTGATTATGAGGCATCTACATCATACGACCCCGTTAAAAGCTGGAAAAACTATTGGTGCGCCTCCAAACACCAGTTCACACGCATACTGCTAAATCAATTTGAGATCGAGCTCACACCGGATCCATTAACTAATGAGAGGATATTACTACTTAAATCCCCGGGTAACCAGCACAATATCGAGGTCATATTGGAACCGGTACACTGTAATCGCTGCCAGGCGTTTGACCATAGTCTACTATTGCCGTCACCCGTTCGTCTGTCTCAAATGTGGGCAAGCACACCCCATGTGCCCCATGCATGCGCAAAATATATCAATTCATCATGTTTCAAATTACAAAGGTTGCAGCAGCTTGAATCAAATAGTAAATATCAATACCACAGTACGCCAGTCAAAAAGAAACACACAGCAGCAGCAACAGCAGAAACAACATCAGCAGCAGCAAGAACAGCGGCAGCAGCAGCTGTAACAGCTTAAATCATAAACCATCAACAACAGAATCTTTAGCAGCAGCAAATACAACAAACCAGATACTTAAATATAAAAGCCGCCAATGGGAAGCTCAACAGCGCCAAGTACAACCAAACCAAAATTTCCGTTTTCCTAGACAAAAACAAGAGAAGAATTCATCAAAATAACAAAAACAACGACAAGAATAGCCACGCCAACACAAAAATAATCAGCAGCGTCACCAGTAAAATGACCTACACCTAAATTCTAATTGAGCAGGTCCCACCACTGCGGCAAAAACAAGAAACTAGGAAGGCTTATACAACACCCCATGAAGAAAGTCAATTTTAGGCACTTACATTTGAATGAATGCTATAAAATCGCCCCTAACTAACTTTAAAGGAACATTCAATTCAATATTAACACATTTGCACACATTATATACAAAAGTATATTTAATTATACTACTTACGTTTTATACTAAACTTTTGTTATAAATAAGACATTTCGAGACACGCTGAAGAATTCAGAGATTTTAGAAAGTTTTGTCAAAGGTTACAAGAATTTCCATATCACTTTTCTATTAATTTTTTTAATAAAACTATAACTTTAAGACAGACGCTAGCAAGCAGACAAGAATTTTAAAATATTCTTACATGTTAGTTTGATAATATTGACAATAGCTGAAAAGTTTAGTGAGTAAGATTATTACATTTCCATGTACACATATCGACAAAAAGTTACAATACAAAATAACTTTGCTTTGTGTTATAAAACATTTTGTTACGCATTTTATAAAAGTATTATAGAATTAAAAGTATAACTAATATACGTAAGCTTTCGAACACTATATGGGTAATTTGCCGGTTCTCATATCAACATTTATTTTCCACGCTTCCGTATTGGTTTTGTACTGTTCAAGCAATAAGTGTTGAATAAAAATCAGCAATTCACATTCTACAAGTAAACTTTAATATCATGCTCTTAAAACAGGGTGTCTCCCCGGAGTTGAATTGAGATTGAGATGAGCATTGAGACTGATGACAACGCAAAATAGTCACCTATTATCCTACGTTATTTATCCATTACCTTAATCACAGCAAATTTGGAATATGGCTGAACGTTCCACCTCTGCAATTTCTGATATGGTATGTGCCACACGAAACTCTCTGTCAGTTGCGTTCATTGTTGTATTTGGGTACATATCGATAGTAAAATTAAAGGGCCACATTGCCGTACAAAAAAAACAGGTTGGCAGGGTTAGCGAGACCACAATTTAATGTGACCACACTTTCCACAAGGTGGCGTTTTGTGGGCTAGGGAGAAGTTGCCACATTATAAAGAACTAAAAGTGAGGCAGATCAGTTCCTGGCGGTTAATTTTTCATATGGTGCGATCGATGTTGTAAATTTCTATGGAAGTGCATATAGTATCATATTTTTTTTACTTTGTGGAATAGAATTTGACGTGTGTTCGTATAAATAATGTTTAAATTGTGCTAATTTTGTGTTAAGTGTTTAGGTGGCCGACGGCAGGTCATGACATTTTTTTTCTGCACTGTTCCCAATGGAACAGGCTTAAGCAACACCCCATGAAGAAAGTCAATTTTAAGCAGTTGCATTTGAATGAATGCTATAAAATCGCCCCTAACTAACTTTAAAGGAACGTTCAATTAAATATTAACACATTTGCACACATTATATACAAAAGTATATTTAATTATACAACTTACATTTTATACTAAACTTTTGTTATAAATAAGACATTTCGAGACACGCTGAAGAATTCAGAGATTTTAGAAAGTTTTGTCAAAGGTTACAAGAATTTCCTTATCACTTTTCTATTCAATTTTTTAATAAAACTATAACTTTAAGCCAGACGCTAGCAAGCAGACAAGAATTTAAAAATATTTTTACATTTTAGTTTGATAATATTGACAATAGCTGAAAAGTTTAGTGAGTAAGATTATTACATTTCCATGTACACATATCGACAAAAAGTTACAATACAAAATAACTTTGCTTTGTGTTATAAAACATTTTGTTACGCATTTTATAAAAGTATTAAAGAATTAAAAGTATAACTAATATACGTAAGCTTTCGAACACTATATGGGTAATTTGCCGGTTCTCATATCAACATTTATTTTCCACGCTTCCGTATTGGTTTTGTACTGTTCAAGCAATAAGTATTGAATAAAAGTCAGCAATTCACATTCTACAAGTAAACTTTAATATCATGCTCTTAAAACAGGGTGTCTCCCCGGAGTTGAATTGAGATTGAGATGAGCATTGAGACTGATGACAACGTAAAATAGTCACCTATTATCCTACTTTATTTATCCATTACCTTAATCACAGCAAATTTGGAATATGGCTGAACGTTCCACCTCTGCAATTTCTGATATGGTATGTGCCACACGAAACTCTCTGTCAGTTGCGTTCATTGTTGTATTTGGGTACATATCGATAGTACAATTAAAGGGCCACATTGCCGTACAAAAGAAACAGGTTGGCAGGGTTAGCGAGACCCACAAATTTAATGTGCCCACATTTTCCACAAGGTGGCTTTTTGTGGGCTAGGGAGAAGTTGCCACATGATAAAGAACTAAAAGTGAGGCAGATCAGTTCCTGGCGGTTAATTTTTCATATGTTGCGATCGAGGTTTTAAATTTCTATGGAAGTGCATATAGTATCATATTTTTTTTACTTTGT